GTAAAATAGAAAGGAAGTTTAGAATAAGACTTAGCTCATCACTGAATGATAGGCAGCTGTTAAATCTTCTTGTTTAAAAAAGACAATGAACGGATGACTACAATTCCGTTCCAGCGCGCTGCGGCTGTCGTCCGGCGGTCGGCGCGTCATAGGTTGGCGGTCATCGACCCGCGCCAGCAAGCGGGCACACCTCACCGGGCAGTCTCCAGTGGGGTGAAGTGCGAGTTCCCGGGGCCGGGGAGAAACCGGAGGCGGCGCGCACCTGCAGCGAGGACCTGTGGTGGGAACCTTACAACTTACCCAGTACCCCATGCCCCTGCAGGCGCCCGCTGCGCAATCGGCACCTTTCCAATTCTCGCCGTCTGCCCCCCCAAACGACGGTGAAGAATGTCCCGTCGGCATCGAACAGCTGTGGGCCGCTCACGCGCGCAACGTCTATTGTTCGGAGTCGAAGAAGTCCGGGATGCGCGACGATCTCTGCAAGTTTTTTTTTTTTTGCTCTTCTACATTTGCCCCGAGATCATCTGCCCGCCATCTGCCCGCCATCTGCCCGTGGCGCCGCGACCGAGCGCCGCCTCGCCCTGGGGCCGCACGCTACAGAGGGCCAGTGGAGGCACCCGGCAGCGCTGGGCGGCCTGTTATTGTTGGGCGCGGCGCGGCGGTCAAGCGCGCCGAGGCCTATTCAGCGGGCGCCGCGATGCAATGGGCGAGGCATTGTTGTGTTGGTGTTGGCCCAGGCGCCTGTTTCGGCATGCCTGCGTGACGAGTCCGCCAAGACCGTTGAGGTTTGGATCGCCAATGGCCCGTGGGTGCAGGGATAGGGATGGCGTGACCTATGCGTCGAAACTTGTCGTGGCCGCGACGACGATGCTGCGCTGTAGGCACCAGGTAGGCAGGTACTAGCTACACGGAACCTCTGCTGCGCCGTACTCTGTGACGATCCGCACGCGAAGAATTCTATTGTCTATTGGACGGCAGGCGCAACTGTGCTTGAATTACAGCACGGTACGGTACCTATGCAGGCGACGGCACTCTTGTCGGCCGGACGAGTTTGGCGGAACGTCGGTGCTCTGCTTCCATTGCGGTAGGCTATTCGGCCTCTCCATGCCTACATGTAGTTTACTGTAGCTCGGCTTGGGTAGCAGCAGCCTTTGGCGGTGATGCACACGACAGCGGCGGCTTGGCAGGAAAGAGAGCACGTAGGTAACTGGTAACTTGGTTACAGTACACGACGGTGCAGTACAGTATCCGCCGGCAGGCAGACGAAAAGACGGGCCGGCAACCTTGATGAGAAACGAAAAGAGCCAGACGGGAGGCATAGGAAACCGGCCTGGATACCCGCCCCACACCCACGCGCCCTTGATCGGACCACCACCCCATCCACAACCACCACCGCCGAAGCCAGAGCCAGAGGGCCACGGGAAACCAAGTGGGTTTTTTCTTCGCCCGTCCCGAAGTTCCGAGCTTTCTTGTAATATACCTCATCGTCGACCCGACTCGCCGCAACTCGCTTCAACTCGACTCAACTCGACTCTTGCCCGCCGCAACTCAGCGCAAGCCACCTCAGCTCTGCTTTCAGCCAAATACCAAACCGGCTTCTCCTTGCCGCCGGGCTGACTTACTTGCCCCCTTGCATGACAGCGTCGTCCTGGCGCAGAGGGGCAAAAATGCCTGCCAGTCACTCACCCGCCGCCCCCATGCTGCCTCCCATCCCCGTCCTCGAGGACTATGGCCTCTCGCCAACCACTGGCTTCCTGCCGCGCACCCTGCCGCTGACGCGCCTGCCGGACCCCTACTACAACAAGTGGGAGGCCATCGCCGCCAACCTCCAGGCCCACGTCCTCAGCAGGCGACTTCGCGGCGTTGTTGACAACCTGCCCGTGCTGTCCACCATCGGCCTCGAGCACGACGCCGAGTGGCGCCGCGCCTACTCTCTCCTGTGCTTCATCGCCCACGCCTACGTCTGGGGCGGCGACACCCCCGCGGACCGCCTCCCGGCGTCCGTCTCTGTGCCGCTGCTCGACATCTCGAAGCACCTCGAGGTCCCGCCCGTCGCCACCTACGCCGCCGTGTGCCTGTGGAACTTCAAGCCGCTCTTCTTTGATGAGTCCATCGACAACCTGGAGAACCTCGCCACCCTCAACACCTTTACCGGCTCCATCGACGAGTCGTGGTTCTACCTGGTCTCCGTCGCCATCGAGGCTCGCGGCGGCCCCATCCTGCCGCTCATGCTCACGGCCTTCGGCGCCGCCCGCCGCGACGACGCCCGCACCGTCACCCGCTGCCTCTGCGCATTTGCCGAGCGCCTCACGGACCTGACGGCCATCCTGCAGCGCATGAACGAGAGCTGCGACCCCACCATCTTTTACCACCGCATCAGGCCCTTCCTCGCCGGCAGCAAGAACATGGCCGAGGCGGGCCTCCCCCACGGCGTCATCTACGAGGACGGCTCCGGCACCGAAAAGTACCGGCAGTACGCCGGCGGCAGCAACGCCCAGAGCAGCCTGATCCAGTTCTTCGACGTCGCGCTCGGCATCCGCCACCGGTCGACCGGCGAGGCCGCCGGCGCGCCGGCGCCCAAGCACGGCTTCATCCAGGAGATGCGCAAGTACATGCCGGCGGCGCACGCGCGGTTCCTCGAGGACTCGTCGCGCGCGGCCAACATCCGCGAGTACGTCGACGCGCACCGCTCCGACCGCGCCCTGTGCCTCGCCTACGACGCCTGCCTGGCCATGCTCAGCGCCTTCCGCGACAAGCACATCTCCATCGTGACGCGCTACATCATCAACCCGTCCCGCGAGGCCCGCGCGCGCAGCCGCGGCCGCGAAGATATGGACGCGCCCCCGCGCAAGCGCGTCAACCTCGCCACGGCGGGCAAGCTCGCGCAGGAAAAGGGCAGCCAACGCGGCACCGGCGGCACGGCCCTCATCCCCTTCCTCAAGCAGGCCCGCGACGAGACGGGCGAGCCGGCGGTCGAGGAGTGGACCAAGCGGTTCATGAAGCGCAAGATGGGCTCCGTGGGCAGCGTCGACAGCGCGCGCGTGGACATGCTGCTACCGCAGCCTACAGTCGTGGACAAGGAGAATGTGGATGTCAAGGGCCTGGCATGGTCGTGGACGATGGAGGACGACGTCGGCGGCATCTGCATGGTGTAGCATTGCAGCGCTGCTACTCCGATACTTTCTTACTGCTACTATGGGTCCTCCCGGCATGCGAACCCCTGCTGGTCTGATGGATCAACAATGTCTCACTGCCACGCAGAGGACATGGACACGGACAATGTGCCAGCCAAAAGAGGTCCCACCTCCATGTCTGCGGGCCACACGCGCATACACGCCACTCGCAACCAACAAGAAGCCTCCGCGCGCTCACGCGCTGGGAGCCGCCGGAAAGCTCCCGTCGTCCTGCCTAACGCACCCGCTAATGGCCGTCAGCGCCGCCGGGCACTTGACCTGCTCAAACGTCAGGTTCGGGTTGTCGGCGTTGAGAAACCAGTCGAAGCGCCAGTAGCAGCCGGCCTTGAGCTTCTCGGGCATCTGGTCGCACTCGGCGCGCGACGACACGCCGCCGTACTGCGCGCCGGGGATGCCGCCAAACTCGGGCGTGCAGCCGTCGAAGAGGCCCACGCCGCCTCCCGGGATCATGAGGTCGAAGTGGTTGCTGCCCAGGTCGCCGCCCGTGTTGGTTGACTGTACGACGAGCGTCTTGCCCGCGACAGGGCCGGACGTGAACTTGAGCCTATACGTTTTCAGCCGTTTTTCTTTTGTTTCGATACGAGTACGAACGACCGAACATTATTTGCAACTCTTTTTCCAGAGCGAACGAAAGCGACACGAAAGAGTAAAGGGGGAAAAGACGTACGCATAGCACGCGCAGCACCAGCTCGACTCGGTCCCGCCGCTGAGCGCCGTCGCGGCGAACCCGTACGCCAGGTTATCGTTGACGGCAAACGGCGAGTTGTTGGTGCACGCAAAGGCGGGCCCGCCGTTGCATCCGCTCTGCGCGTCGGCGTCGGCCAGGGGGCTGTCGTTCTTGTCGCACGTCGTGACGGGCTTGCTGACCGCAGCCTTGCCCGACCACGCGCACGACGGCTTGCAGCAGTCCCAGTAGCGCGTCGACACGCCGGAGCCCGAGGCCGCGAGGGCCGTATACGGGAGGCCGGCGGCGGCGGCTAGGAGCGCGATCTTGAACTGCATGGTTCAGGAAGGGGCACTTTGGGAGTAGAGTGAAAGAGACTGGCGGGGAGCAATGATCTTTATGAATGCTTGTACGATATCCCCTTGCATGAAACGGCGATGCATCTAGAAGCGAAGCCCACTGGCGGCAACGAGTCCTTTATATAACATTTTTCTTTGTCTCCATCAGGAGATCTCCTTCGGTGTTGTGGAAGACTCCGAAGGCAAGGGAGGATAGTCTTTCGCTATGCAGTGGACGTGTGCGTCAGGCCATTTCTCTCCTCCGTGTTATTAGAAAGGAGTCCCGAGGCGGGTCGGCCTGCCCTGCAAACCTCTAGATCCGAAACGCCCAAGATCGTCGGCGCAGGCGGAGTGTCGCGCCGTCTTCCCGCAACGTCCGCTACGACAACCACGCCTCTCGCTCACCTTGCGTTCACGGCCTGCTCGTACTTGACTGGTGCGATTGCCGACTAGCATACAGTACAGCAGCGACTAGGTAGGCAGGAGCAAAGGAGTGATCTGCCGTCTGGGGTGCATGGCGGGAGTGAACGGCCATCATAGTGCCGGGTGGCGTGGAGACGGCGTGTTGCACTTCACTTCCTGGGGGTGAAGCTGCGGGGTGAGAGACGAGAGGAGGCAGGACGCGGTGGTGGAGGTTGCGCGGCGTCGACCAGGGCTTGCAGATGAAACGGTAGGGAGTCGGTCCGATCATGGGGCCGCGGCGCGACGGGCCGCGATGCTCGATGGCGGACGTGACGAGATGCGATGTCTATCTTGTCTATTGTCTATGTAGGTACAGTGCTGTAAGTAACCTGGAAAGTACCTAGTGGGTTTGATCTGCGGTAAAGTCTACTACTAGGTCTGGCGGGCGATGGCGCGCTGTGCCGGAGCTTGGAGACCTAGCCACCAACGCCAACCGTCACGCAGCCAACCCTATAGCCTCGAGTTATAGAGGAAGCATCGCCTGATGAGAAACGCCGCCCGCTCGCTTGTTCATATGCCGTTCGCGAGGCGATCTTGGTTCTCAGTATGGCCGACCAAGTTGCCGTGAGGGTTGCGAGAGTGCACACCTTAAGCTGCCCCGTGATTGCTGCAACTGTTGGGAACCAACCGTGGACTGGACGTTTTATGTCATGGCAAACGACCCAAACCTAATGTCCAGTAAAAGAAAGTCTACTTTGGATTGACTCCGGCACAAGAACCGGCAACCCGGGCCGACAAAGATGTCTGCTAGAGATGCTATGCGAAACTGGGTAGGACGATGGTAAGAGCACGTTCAAGAAGCTTCCACTATCGAGTCGCGGTCGTTGGTGGCTTGAGTTGCGTTGGCGGGTGCTATAACTCAGTACTAACGCGGCATCCGGCAGCGCCAGCCAGTGGTGATTGCCCGCTCCTACAAAGACAGCCCGCACGCAGCCAAAGTCAGGCACCAATGGAAAGCCACAGCCCGCTTAGCTAATCGCCCAGGCAGACAGCAGTGCCGCTAATCCGACTCCAGACTAGCGCCATCTCTCCTGCACGGCGCGTCCAAAGCAAAGCAGCGACAACTCGGTGGCGCCTCATCGTCAAAACTTCTGCACAGCACTCATCTCGAGCCTCGGACGCTCGCCCATCGCCCGCCATCGCCTGCCGCTCGTCACCCGCATCAGCCGTCGCTCATCCCGGGGCTGCGCTCGCCGATGCTCACGCGGTGCCACAGGCGCCAGGTCCAGCACTGACCCGCCCTCGCTGATTTCTCAGCGTCTGCCGAAACCGCCCCCCCTTCGAGAGGCAACGGTGCGCCAGGACCGACGACCGTGCTCCGCGCGACAGCACGCGCCCCAGCGAACGCGACTTGAACACTCCAGGCGAAGGACAGACGCTCGGATAGCGTCGCAGGCACCATGGCCGACTACGAGGACGAGTACGACTACGAAAACTACGGCGAGGATGAGGAGGAGGGCATCACCCCCGAGGACTGCTGGACCGTCATCTCGTCCTTTTTCGAGACCAAGGGCCTCGTCTCCCAGCAGACGGACTCGTTCGACGAGTTCACCCAGACGACTATTCAGGACCTGGTCAACGAGTACTCGACGATCCAGCTCGACCAGCCGAACCCGCCCTCGCCCAACGGCACCAAGATTGCCCTGCGCCGATATGAGATCAAGTTTGGCCACGTCATGGTCTCGCGCCCGACTATATCAGAGACGGACGGTACCGTGACGTCGCTGCTCCCGTACGAGTGCAGAGACCGCAACTTGACGTACGCCAGTCCGCTGTACATCAAGATCACCAAAAAGGTCCACGCCGCCGTCGAGAAGGAGGTGCCCCTCCACGAGATGACCGATGCTCAGCAGGACGAGATGGCCAAGACTGGAAAACCTCCCACGACCCTCATCTGGGAGGCCGAGGAGACGGGCGAGGATGCCGAGGAGGAAGACGATGAGCAGAAGCACCCGGGCAAGCCAGGGAGCTGGAAGAACATGGTCTTTGTCGGCAAGTTGCCCATCATGGTCAAGTCCAAGATCTGCCACTTGAGCCGCGAGTCCGACGAGAACCTCTTCATGGTCAACGAGTGCCCTTACGACCAGGGTGGCTACTTCGTCATCAACGGCAGCGAAAAGGTGCTCATCGCCCAGGAACGGTCCGCCGCCAATATTGTCCAGGTCTTCAAGAAGGCCCAGCCGAGCCCCTACACATACACGGCGGAGATTCGAAGCGCGTTGGAGAAGGGATCCCGCCTCATCTCCAGCCTCATGCTGAAGCTATATGGCAAGGGCGACTCTGCTCGCGGTGGCTTCGGCCAGACCATTCACACCACACTGCCCTTCGTCAAGTCTGATCTGCCCGTCGCCATCGTCTTCCGAGCCTTGGGAGTCGTGTCCGACGAAGACATCCTCAACCACATTTGCTACGACCGCAAGGACAGCCAGATGCTGGAAATGCTGCGTCCGTGCATTGAAGAGGCGTTTTGCGTCCAGGACCGAGAGGTGGCCCTCGACTTCATCGGCAAGCGTGGCAACCGAGACCAGGCCGGCCTCGGCCGTGAGAAGCGCGTGCGCGTGGCTAAGGACATCCTGCAAAAAGAGACGCTTCCTCACATTTCCCAGGCCGAGGGCAGCGAGACGAGAAAGGCCTTCTTCCTCGGCTACATGGTGCACAAGCTGCTGCAGTGCGCTCTTGGCCGACGCGAGCCTGACGACCGCGATCACTTCGGCAAGAAGCGCCTCGACCTGGCCGGTCCCCTGCTAGCGAAGCTGTTCCGTGGCATAATGCGCCGCATGAACACTGAGCTCGCAAACTACCTGAGGCGATGCGTCGAGGGCAACCGGCACTTCAACCTGGCGGTCGGCATCAAGCCAGGCACGCTGTCCAACGGCTTGAAGTACTCGCTGGCTACTGGCAACTGGGGTGACCAGAAAAAGGCCATGAGCTCCACTGCTGGTGTGTCGCAGGTGCTCAACCGTTACACATTTGCCTCGACCCTGTCGCATTTGCGGCGAACCAACACGCCCATCGGTCGTGACGGCAAGCTGGCCAAGCCCCGCCAGCTGCACAACACGCACTGGGGCCTCGTCTGTCCGGCTGAGACGCCAGAGGGACAGGCTTGCGGTCTGGTCAAGAATCTGTCTCTCATGTGCTACGTCAGTGTCGGCTCGCCGGCGGAGCCGCTCGTCGAGTTCATGATCAACCGAGGCATGGAGGTGGTGGAGGAGTACGAGCCGCTGAGATACCCCCACGCGACCAAGATCTTCGTCAACGGAGTCTGGGTTGGCGTGCACCAAGACCCCAAGCACCTGGTGAGCCAGGTGCTGGACACGCGGCGGAAGAGCTACCTCCCGTTCGAGGTGTCCCTCATCAGAGAGATCAGAGACCAAGAGTTCAAGGTCTTTTCCGACGCGGGACGAGTCATGCGCCCCGTCTTCACTGTGCAGCAGGAAGACGACCACGAGACGGGCGTGGGCAAGGGACAGCTGGTGTTGACCAAGGACCTCGTCAACAGGCTTGCCAAGGAGCAGTCCGAGCCGCCAGAGGACCCGAGCATGAAGCTGGGCTGGGAAGGCCTGATCAAGGCTGGTGCGGTGGAGTACCTGGACGCGGAGGAAGAGGAGACATCCATGATCTGCATGACGCCCGAGGACCTGGAGCTCTACCGCCTCCAGAAGGCCGGCGTTGCAGTGGACGATGACCCTGGCGATGACCTTAACAAGCGGCTGAAGACGAGGACCAACCCGACGACACACATGTACACCCACTGCGAGATTCACCCCAGCATGATCCTGGGCATCTGCGCCAGCATTATTCCCTTCCCGGATCATAACCAGGTATGTTTGCCCTCCCTGATGCCCCGTGCTCCGTCGCTGACAGCTGTAGTCCCCCCGTAACACCTACCAGTCTGCCATGGGTAAGCAGGCCATGGGCTTCTTCCTCACCAACTACTCGCGCCGCATGGACACCATGTCCAACATCCTCTACTACCCCCAGAAGCCGCTAGCCACCACGCGGTCAATGGAGTTCCTCAAGTTCAGAGAATTGCCCGCAGGCCAGAATGCGATAGTAGCCATTGCTTGCTACTCGGGCTACAACCAGGAAGATTCCGTCATCATGAACCAGAGCAGCATCGACCGCGGCCTCTTCCGAAGTCTCTTCTTCCGCTCGTACTCGGACCAGGAGAAGAAGGTCGGTCTCAACTACACCGAGGTGTTTGAGAAGCCGTTCCACCAGAGCACACTGCGGATGAAGCACGGCACATATGACAAGCTCGATGAAGACGGCATTGTCGCTCCTGGTGTCCGTGTGTCCGGAGAGGACATCATCATCGGAAAGACGGCGCCGATCGACCAGGAGAGCCAGGACCTGGGTACGCGCACCATGGTGCACCAGAGACGCGACATCTCCACGCCGCTGCGAAGCACTGAGAACGGCATCGTCGACTCGGTCATCGTCACGGTCAACGCGGACAATGTCAAGTACGTCAAGGTGCGGGTGCGGACAACCAAGGTGCCGCAGATTGGCGACAAGTTTGCGTCTCGACACGGTCAGAAGGGAACGATTGGTGTCACGTACCGACAGGAGGACATGCCCTTTACGCGGGAAGGCGTCACGCCCGACATCATCATCAACCCGCACGCCATCCCGTCGCGAATGACGATTGCTCACTTGATTGAGTGTCTCCTTAGTAAAGTTTCCACGCTGGAGGGCATGGAGGGTGATGCCACGCCGTTCACCGACGTCACGGTGGACTCGGTGTCGGAGCTGCTGCGCAAGCACGGGTACCAGTCTCGCGGCTTCGAGATCATGTACAACGGACACACCGGCCGCAAGCTGAGGGCGCAGGTCTTCTTCGGGCCGACGTACTACCAGCGCCTGCGCCACATGGTGGACGACAAGATCCACGCGCGAGCCCGCGGGCCGGTGCAGATCATGACGAGGCAGCCCGTGGAGGGTCGCGCGCGAGACGGTGGTCTCCGATTCGGAGAAATGGAGCGTGACTGTATGATTGCTCACGGTGCCGCGGCCTTCTTGAAGGAGCGACTGTTTGAGGTGTCGGACGCGTTCCGAGTCCACATTTGCGAGATTTGCGGACTCATGACGCCGATTGCGTAAGTTTCCCGCACTGGCGACAAGTATGACATGAGCTAACGTGACGCAGGAACCTTTCCAAGCAGTCGTTCGAGTGCCGGCCTTGTAAGAATAAGACCAAGATTGCACAGATCCACATCCCGTACGCCGCCAAGCTCCTGTTCCAGGAGCTGCAGTCGATGAACATTGCGGCGAGGATGTTTACGAACCGCTCGGGCGCGTCGGTGCGCTAAACCGAGTGCCCAGCGGCACAAGGTAGAGGGGGACGGACAGTGGTGTACCGGGGGAGCACGGGAGTTTGAGAGACAACATGACTATAAAGTGCCCATTCAACGAGACTGGCTCTGAGGGGAAGACGGCGCATGCATCGATGTGGAATGGTTGGTTGCTTCTTGCTCGCTGTCTCTTGTCACGCTATAAGCGCCCGGGGCATTCCGGGCGTGTTGTACCAATAGTAGGATAATATACAGGGCAACGCCATGAGTATTGTACAGTGTGTGGTGATACATGTAGTAGTGGTCGTAGCTGGGTGGGTGGGTAGTAATGTTGGTACACGCGCGTCGCGACGTATCTGTCGCCGGGAAGAGTGCCTCGACTATCTCGGCGCGGGCGCCTTGGTGTCGTCTGCTTCTGACGTGGAGTCGCGGACCGTCTGGTGCTGCTTGTACTCTTGCTCGAGGGCGCGCTGCATGTCAAAGTCGAGCTGGCGCTCGCGCTTGACGCGCTGCTGCTCCATGTCGCGGACGACGCCTTCGTGCATGGCCTGGATTGCCCGGATGGTCAGCTGAGTTACGGTCTTGGTTCGTCGACATTGGGCTTGCCCTCTTGCGGCCGGCCGGGTCGCAAGTTGCAAGTGCGATGCACAAGAGCGAGGGCACTTGGCCCGTACTATATAAAGACGGGGGAAGGAGGGAGAGAAGGAGGAGTGAGGAGGAGACGCACGGCTCGCTCGGCCTTTTGCTGAAAGTGCACAAAGACAATGGTCGCGGCGGCGAAGAGGGAGGTCGCCCCGAGGGTGAGCTTGGAGGCTCGCGACATGGTGGGCGGACTGCTGTCTCGAGTTTTGCGGTTCGCGGGCTGCCGGCTGGCTGTTGTGTTTCGTGGGCTCGATTGAAAGGCCAGCCGTCCAATGCCGTGTGTGTATGCTCGATTTTGCGTGCGAGGTGGCGAGGCGGGCGGTTCGGGGTGTTGTCGAGGGCGGCGAGGCACGAAAATTGGATCTCGAACGAGGCTGCGGTTTGCGATACTCGCTCCGCCGGTGATGATTGGCATGGATGAAATGGTGCCGAGCGGTCCACTGCCCAGGTGCAGCTCAGAGCTGCCGGTGGTGGGGCTGCGGCGCTGGGGAGCGGGCGGTAGGTACCTTACCTAGGTACTTTCGGCGCCGCGGCGGTTGCGGCTTGTGGTGAGGTACCTAGGTTCATTACCTCCCGTCACCCATAACGAGACGCCAGCCCGCCTGCGCAGCGGGCGGCAACCCCCCTCCAGCTGCTGGGCTGCTACTGCAGGTGACCTCAGGTAACCTCCCGATAGCTGGCGGACCTACCGTCATCCTCCACCTCCAATCCCTCAACGACGCTCCTCGAAACCGCTCCTCCGCCCTTCCGCCTCACCGAGCCCCCGACCCTGCTCGCGCGTCCGACGCACACACGATCGATCGCCTGTCTCTACCCCCCACGTCGGGTTGACTCTCTCTCCGCTCTCCGCCCATCATGGTGCGTTTGCGCTGCGCCGCCCCCGACGCTGAGTCCTCGCTCTGCTGCCATCCCCCGCGGATGGACGATGGGACAAGCTAACGATGCTCTACTTGCGATATAGTCGGCCCAGAACTCGGCGGGCATTCAGACCCTTCTCGACGTGCGTGACGCTGCTCTGATCCCCGCGTACTGGAGGCGGCCCTTGCTCGATTGCTGCGTCGTCGCCGAGCCAAGGATGAGAGGGAGGGGGACAATGCTAACGAGTTCGAATCGCGCAGGCTGAGAGGGAAGCGTCCAAGATTGTCCAGAAGGGTGCGCCTCGCCTCTCCCCCTTTCCGCCTTTGCCTATCTGTCTGCCACTGCGTCTTCTCCCGGTCATTGCCGTCGTATGCTAACCCGCGCTCGCCCAATGTCTAGCCCGAGAATGTCAGTCCCTCCCCCGAACCAAGGCCCCCCTTCAGCGAAACGAGCCGCGATGAATCCTGCATACACGAATTGAGCGGATAAACGAGCCGTATACTAGAGTAGTACTGACATTGTGTTCTTGGGGCATGGCAGTCCGAACGAAGCGCGTCAGAGAGGCCCGCGACGAGGCCAAGAAGGAGATTGCCGACTACAAGGCCCGCAAGGACGACGAGTTCAAGAAGTTTGAGTCAGAGGTACGACTGACCGCGGCCCTTGCGCTCCCCTCCCCTGCACTGCCGCTCGTTCTCCCCCTGTTCCTCCATGCGAACCTCCCTCTGGGCCTTGTGGCGCAGGCAGACAGACAGACGCTGACCTCCACGTGCAGCACAGCAGAGGCAACAAGGAGGCCGAGGACGAGGCATCCAAGGAGGCCGACAAGGAGATCAAGGCCATCAAGGAGGCCGGGCAGAAGGGCCAGGCCGCCGTTGTCAAGAACCTCCTCGGCGCCGTCTTCGAGGTCAAGCCCGTGCCGCCGGAGAAGGCGTGATTCGGTTGACGGACAGACGGACGGCATGGATGAGGGGGCTACAGCGTGTACATGCGTGCGTGGGACGGTGGAGGGAAGAAGGAAACGTGTAGCATTGCTTCAATTGAAGATGGCGCGGTCGCGGTGGTGATGGCAAGCCGACCCCGGCGGATGGGACGCACGTCCTCCAGCCACAGAATGGCCCTGTTTTACATGAATACATACATATCGTTACAGAGACGTTGCGACTATACCCTCTATCCCAGGAAGTCGAGCAGCGCCCCCAACATGTCGCTCAGATCCTTGCTGTCCTCCTCCAGGGTATCCAGTCCTGCCCGCTGCTCCTTGATGACGGCGCCAATCGCCGCCAGGTCCTCGTCCTGCTCCGCCAACAGCTGCCGGATCTTCCTGCGCGCGCCCGCGTCCTCGGCCACGAGCCACGCCAGCGACGCGTCAATCTGCTGTAGCGTGAAGAGCCCCGCGTCGAGCCTCCGCGACAGGAGCTCCACCTCGGCCTCGTCCGGGTCTGTGGCGGTGTCGGGGTCCTGCTTGTGCTCGTCCTCGGCGCGGGTGACGCGGGCGCCGTACTCGCGGTGCAGCGTCACCAGCTTGGCTGCTTTGGCGTAGTCCTTCTCGACGAACTTTGCGAGCGTGCGTATCCGCTCGGCCGAGTTGGCGGGCAGCAGGCGGAGCATCGACGCGAATATGCCGAGGATGTGCTCGAGGAGGCGGTGGTCGTGCGTCTTGCCGAAGAGGGTGAATATGGTCTTGAGGCCGCCCGCCTCGACGAGCTTGGAACACACGTCTCCGCCGGTGCGACCGCCGGCTGCGTGGTCCAGGAGACGCAGTGCCGGGGCCTTGCTCATCTTGCCTTCCCTGAGCATGATGAGGCATAGCTCGATGCCCTCTGCCTCAATGAACTTGACCTTGCCTGACGGCTCGTCGGCGAGACATGTGAGGGCCTCAAAGACATTCTCCATGTACTCTTCCTCCTCGCCGCCCTTGTCCGGGTCGCGTTTTCGGTAGGGCGCCACAAGCTGCAGCAGCGTGTCTGTTGTGTCCTGGTCGATGATGCGCTGCCGTGACTCGGACGAGGACTGAGAGAGGATGGCGAGGATCTCGGCGGCGTACTGCTTGTTCTGGGAGACGACGGATTCCTTACGCTGGACGCGTTGCAGGAGCCACTTCAACAACGTGGTCTCCTGGCCGACTCGCGTCGCCGTTGCTGCTCTTGAGCAGAGGTTCTCGAGGATGCCGAGCGCGTAGTAGACGCCGTTGCGGTCCGTCTCGTCATCTTCGTTGAGGCGCGAAAAGTTGGACACGAGCAGGCCCACGACGTCGCTGTCAATAAGGGCATCCACCAGCGCGTTCCACTGCTCGTCCTCGGCGGCGACGTCCTCGTCCGTCAGTTCACCGATAATCTCCATGACGTCGATGGCAATGTCCGTGTTCTCGTGCGCCAGCAGGCCGGCCAGGTTGGCGACGCACCCGAGCTTGACGAACTCGGGATACAGCTCCGGGTGCTCGGACAGTATAGACAGGCTCTTGATGTCGGCGTCGAGGTCGCCTTCGCTGCCGATAAACTTTTGCGGCTCGCTCTCAAACTTGGCGCGAAGCTCGGCATTCTTGGTGATGCGCTTCTCGAAATTGGCCGCCGTCTTGCGCAGCCAGCCGACATCGATCTTCTCGGGGGCCTGGTCGGCTTCGCCGGCGCCTTCTACGTAGTCGAGGATCTGGGATTCTTGCTTCGTGATGCCGCCGCCGAAAAAGCGGCCCTCTTCATCGTCGCCATCGTCGTCGGGCGGCATCGCGGGGCCGAAATCGCCATCGTCGTCAGGAGGCGGTGCGGGCCCGGCTTCCTGATCATCGTCTTCCGGTTCGTCTTGGACGTGGGCGTGGCGGCTGGAGCCGTTGGCGCTCAGCTTGCTGGACTTGTAAATCTCGTCTGGGGGTTCAACGGTCAGCGGCAGGACAAGATGATGTCAGCGGGCGTCGCGTGGGACGGACTTGGGTCCTTGATGGCATCCAGCTTCCGCTTGCTGGGCACGCCCGCATTCTGGTTGGGTTGTCAGCAAGTCGAGCCAAACGTGCGGCTGGCTGCCAGGGCTGCCAGGGCTTGCCTTGAAGATGTCGTCGACGCTGGCCATCGTGGTGCGGAGCGGTGCGATATCGCGGCCAGGCCAGCTGTTGATGGGAGCGGCTATGCGAAATGAGCGGGAATGACGTCTGCGGCCGGCCCAATGGAGATTGGTCTCCAACGTGCGACGTGACGAGGTCTCGAGCTTACGCGCCGAGGAGCTGCCACTCAGCTGCTGGCGGCGAGATGGAGCTTTCGAGGTGGGATGGTGGGTGGACGGATGGAAACGCGATGATGCAGCGGGTGGCCTGTCTGCAGCTAGCTGGAAACGGCAATAGGCGCTATGCCGCATTGGACGGCGGCTACGCTCCAGCGGGCTGTCATCCCTTTTCCCTGAGGCCGCTATTTTTTTGTGGTCTTGCAGGTTCCTCCGGGCACGCAGCGGTTCCAGTGGTCTATGGGTGCTCGGGCCCCATCTGTGGACCCCTGCGGTCCCCTGGCGAGGCGGCACGCACCGACCTAGGACAGTGTGGAGGAGCCACCAGCTAGAGGCCATGGAAGCACCTCAGGGGCGAGCCAATGGCCGTGCTCCTCCCCTGGGAGCATTGAACCGAGCACCTCCTTGGAGGGGCCTCGCCAGCAAGCTGACTGGCTGCAGCGACCGCGCGGGAACCTCTAGGGCTCCCCTGAACTGGAGAACCAGCCCTGGAGAGCACCTCAGCGCCTCAGCATTGGATGCTCGGGCGGCACTTGGCCCTGAGAAGCTCCTCACATCCACTGAGGCGAGGTGGACACTCCGGCCGCCGGGGTCCCTCCATTCACTCCACTCTCACTCCCTCGGCGACGGCGACTCCTTGCCCGCCTGGCCTTGATCCACACCTTGCTTCACATCGCCTGACACAATTTATGCCAGGTTTCATCGACATCGACCAGAACTCTCGTCCTGCCCCCCGTACGCGCGAGCATCAGCGGGCGTCATGACGTCGACGTGTGCCTGTTGGTGAGAGACGACGCTGCCCGCAATCATCCCGACATACCGACACCGACAGCTTCAAGCCCCGTCCCTTGCCCCTTTCGAGGGGCTGCAGATCTTCGCACTCGTCGTCGCCGCTGCCGCCGCCGCCGCCATCCGGTCAGCCACGACACCGGCCGCGCACGAGTCACGAGTCGGCGAGCCGTGCGAGCCATGGACGCGCACCCCGACCGTGCATGACCGATATTCGAGCTCCGCGATAACGATCGACAGCCATCTGGAAGGTGCTGCCGCCAGCGACCCCTAGCCTGAATTCACGACGACGCCGACACCAACGCCGCCGCCGCTGCTGCTGGGAGAATGACCCGCCCGACCCTGGCCGACGACTCCGACGTCTTCTTCTCCCCGTCCACCTCTCGGGTCGCCGTGTCTCTTTCCTCATCCTCCGCCTCGTCGTCCTCCACAGCCGCTCGAGAGCCGCCCGCCCGCCCGAGGCCTGCCCCTGCCCTCGAGGTATCGCGCAGGGCCTCCGCCTCCGCCTCGCCTGCACGGCTACCGCGAACCTCGTCGCTGCTGCCACCTCCCCGCGCAGTTGCAGAAGCCGCAACCACGCCTGGACCGACGTCTGGACTCCATGCCCCGGGGCATCAATCTACTCGCGAACCCGCAGCGCACCTCGGCCGGCCCTTGACACCCGCCGACCAGTCGGAGCGCACCGACACCAAGATACCATTCCTCTCCCTGCCTCCGATTCTCCCTCTTCCCTCTCTTGAGGAAGCATCCGAGGGCAGGCCCTTGAGTCTGGAGGTCCTGCCGGGTGGCGACGCCAGCGACCGCGATACCTCCGGCCCGTCACCCGACCCTATACGCCCGGCCACATCCCATACTCTATACAGGATGCCCTATGACCAGGCGCGGGACGGCTATGCCGATCGAACCCGTTCCAGAAGCCGGAATGGCAACGGCAGTGTCGACTTGACAAAATCCAAGGCCTCGAAACCACCGTCCCAAAAAGCCATGCTTTCTCGTGCGCTTCAAAAAGCAAACACGGCCGTACAGCTGGACAATGCCCAGAACTTTGAGGGGGCCCGGCTGGCTTATGCCGAGGCCTGCGATCTTCTGCAGCAGGTGCTCCTGAGGACGTCTGGCGACGACGACCAGAAAAAGCTCGAAGCCATTGTGAGCGTGCCTCCTTCTTCCCCCCTGATGCCTGTGTCTAATCTGTCGCAGCGTCGAACCTACGCCAGCCGTATAGATGAACTGGACCAAATGGGTCCTTGGACGAGCAATGATACCAACAAGGCCTTGCCGGCCAGACCGGAGAGTAACGAGTACCACCCGAGCCTCGATCGCGAAGACGAAGACGAGGAGGTCGCAATCATTGGAATGGCGAGCACGGTTAACTATGGCAGAGACGACACAAGCCGCAGCCCTGTGCTGCATCGCACTGGCGCCTCGCCAACACGGGAACCAAGGGATCGTCGTCAGCGAGAAACCTCTCAGGAAAGCTTGCGAAATACCACCAGCCCTTCAAACGCACCGCTGCGTTCCACATTTTCGCGATCGCCCGCCCGACTTCGACAACAAACTCAAGCCGTCAAGCGTGAGAGCGAGTCTGTGCCGCCGCCGTTATCGAACATCCGTACAGCGTCCCCCGCAAAGCCCCAATCGGATCTCCCCGAGGAGACGTTACCGCAGGAGAGATCCTTTACGCCTGGATCGTGGGATGAACCGCCGGAAGCCGGGACGTACATCCGGGACGGCAGCCAGAACTCTTGGCTGGACGCAATCGACGAATCTGGCGGCTCGAGTGGCTCATCGGTCCATTCTCGCACGTCATCCATGGGTTACAGGAGGAAGCATCTTCGAGGCATCAGCGGAAATACAGAAAACGAATTCGACACGGCACTCGATGCCGCCATTGAGGCAGCTTACGACGATGGGTACGAACCGATGGGCTCCGATAATCTCGACGCCCAGGATCCGGACGATGAGATCGTCAATAAGGCGCTGCGAAAGGTGGAAATGGCGAGGGAGCGCGTGCGCCAGACCGAGCGCGAGGCATACGGTACCGAAAAGCCGCGGCAGCAGCAGGCTCAACCTATTGCCGACAGACAGGAATCGCCTGCAGACTTCTACGACGACGACGACTCGTCGGAAGAGGAGGAGCGGATGCTCGAAGAGATGACGCGTGGTTACGGCATCGAGAGCTTCATCGTGAACCAGGACAGAAAGCAGTCTGTATCGCGACCCGAGTCGAGAGGGGCGACCGGCGCACACCGCCAGACTCCCTCGGACCCTGCGTCAATGACAGACTCGAAGCCGCTGCCTCCTATCGAGAAGCTGGGGCCACGCGGCCCCGTCTCCAAGAACCTCATGCCGGCTGCGCCGCCGCCAATGCAGTCTTTGCCGGAGCTACCTGCGCAACGGTCAGCATCGTCACAGAGCGTTCGCAACCGTCGGCTCTCGGGACAAAACCCGAAGCAGCTCAAGATCGAGACGAGCAAGCTCCGCCCGCCACCCGCCGCCGTCCAGGAGGACGCAAGCCAGTCGCATTCGAGATCTGCGTCTGTCGGGCGAGAAGCCGATGCCACCACAGCCAATACTGCTCGCTCGTCGGCAGAATCAAAACTGCCAGAGTCTCCTCCGACGGCGACACTGGCCCCTGCTCAACCGATGACTCTCGGGTCGCCGCCCAGCAGTCGAGGGCGAGTTGAGGGAGAGGATGCAAACGGTCGGTCCGGGTCTCCAATCGCACAGAGGATACGCAAGAACTTCTCATCGTCCAGCCTGCGGAGCATCAAAAGCAGGAACGTGTCGCTGTCGAACCTCGATGATGCCTCGGACAGGTCGCCAGGAACGCCATCGAGCAACACACAGTTCAGCAGCTTGCGGGCGCCAGCGGTGCCAGCGCTTCCGACGCCGCTGAGCTCAAGCTTCCGCGAGAACATGGATGGCTCCGCGGCGGGCGGTCTCCACCTGTTTGAGGACAATTTCCATCTGCCCACGAGTCCGGGGTCGCCGAACCCGATGTCGCTGGATGCGCCCGTCGCCCTGGAGCCCTGCCCGAACGACTTCATGCTTCGGCCGTTTTGGCTCATGCGCTGTCTGTACCAGACAATGGTGCACCCGAGGGGCGGCTACCTGAGCACCAAGCTCTTTGTCCCCAGAGACGTGTGGAAGGTCAAGGGCGTGAAGCTCAAGTATCTGGAAGACAAGATTGCCAACTGCGACTACCTCACGGCGGCGCTGTTGAAGCTGGCCAAGGTGGACACGTGCGACGCCGACGCAGTGCTTGAAGAGATGCAGTCATTGGAGGGCGTGCTCGAACAGGTGCAGGCGACGCTGACCCGGAAGCTTGGCAGCGAAGTCGGTGTCCATAGTTCTGGTTCACTGTTTCGGGAAGCCTCCAACGTGGTGGAAGGCGACGGATCCTCGGGCGTGCCTCGGGCGTCGAGCATTTCGAGCAAGTCATCATCGTTTTCGTGGCGGCGACTGAGGTCCAAGAACTCTGCCGTGGGACTCGGCGGGGCGTACAACAGCAGGCTCAGCAGCGTGGAGGGGACCAAGGAGGTGGTGACGCTCCCGACGCTGCCCATGACTGCGCAGCCGACGAGCCGGCCGGCGAAGAGGGACGTCGGCTTGGCGCAGTTTTCGGGACCGAATGCGCATTACATGGGCTCGCTTGCGCGCTTGTTTGACGCGGCGCAAGCAGTTGGTAAGTCTGAAACGCCTCGGGTTTGCGACGTAGTGCTAATGAAGATGCGACAGACCAGATCGCGCGGCAAGTGGAGGATCCCGGGCTGCGTCATGCCGACAAGACGCAAGTCGGGCTGGAGCTGTGCACGCGGCACGCGGCCGAGTTCTTTGGGTTCTACGTCTGCCGTTTCGTGCTGACGGACGTGAGCCTGCTGCTGGACAAGTTTATCAAGCGCGGTAGCGAGTGGGTGCTGTCTTGAGCGGGAGATGCCGTGGGAAGCCCGGCAATGGCGGTTACATGTCGCTTCGGCTGAACTGTCGACGAAGCAATGTTTGGACGAGATATCTGAGAGCTGCATGGTTGCGTCCCCCAGTAGCATTATACCTCGAGGATTGTTGTGCTTGGGAGCTGTAGCGAGACTGGGTACGAGATGCGGTTTGCGCGTCGCGAGATATTATAGAGCGTCAGTACAGGGCGAACCACGCATGGCATGACAGATTCCACGCGGTCCTGATAGTATCGATCTCGTCTTTTGCGCCAGCACCTGGCACGGCCAGCCATGATTCGATAAAGTAACATGAGGGCGACTTGTTGTCAGATGCGTTTATGGGCGGCAAGGCGAAGCAGCTCTCCGTGTTAGGTAATCGTGGAATTTCCATTTTGGGTGTGGAGAATTGCCTCTGGAGCTGGATCCAACTTCAATCCGCCCACGACAACTGCAGCCTACATCCAAGCTCCAATGCGCCCGCGCCCGCATCCCCATCCGCCTAGATGAGCTGGGCTTGGAGAGCCGGCACGGCGTGGACGCGGCGATGTCTGGCCCCGAGTCTGGCGCGCTGCGAGGAGCGCCTCTTTCGCCGCGCCTACGCCGCCGCGTCGACGAAGCCGTCGCCCAAGGAGCTCGAGGCGCGCATCGCCGCCATCCCGATCCAGCGGTACCGCAACTTCTGCATCGTCGCGCACATCGACCACGGCAAGAGCACGCTCAGCGACCGCCTGCTCGAGCACACGGGCACCATCTCGGCGAGCGACGCCAACAAGCAGATCCTCGATAAGCTCGACGTCGAGCGCGAGCGCGGCATCACGGTCAAGGCGCAAACATGCACCATGATCTACAATTACAAGGGCGATGACTACTTGCTGCACCTCGTCGATACGCCCGGCCACGTCGACTTTCGCGCCGAGGTGACGCGCTCGTACGCCAGCTGCGGCGGCGCCCTGCTGCTCATCGACGCGAGCCAGGGTATCCAGGCGCAGACCGTCTCCAACTTCCACCTCGCCTTCGCCCAAGACCTGGCCCTGGTGCCCGTCATCAACAAGATCGACATGCCGTCGGCCGACGTGCCGTCTGTGCTCGACCAGATGGAGACCAGCTTCGAGCTGGACCCCAAGGACGCCGTGCTTGTGAGCGCAAAGACAGGCAAGGGTGTGCCACAGGTGTTGCCCGCTGTGGTGGAAAAGATCCCGCACCCGCTGGGAGACGAGAACGCGCCGCTCAAGTTCCTGCTGGTCGACTCGTGGTACGACAACTTCAAGGGCGTCGTGCTGCTGGTGCGCGTCTTTGACGGCACAATCCGCGCCGGCGACAATGTCATTTCCATGGGCACGGGCATGAAGTACACGGTCGGCCAAGTGGGCATCCAGTACCCGGATGCGACGCCGCAGACGGTCATCCGCGCGGGCCAGGTCGGCTACGTCTATTTCAATCCGGGCATGAAGCGCATCCAGGACGCCAAGCTGGGCGACACCTTCACGACGGTCGGCAGCGAGGACAAGGTCGAGCCGTGTCCCGGCTTCGAGGAGCCCAAGCCCATGGTGTTTGTGGCAGCCTTTCCCACGGACCAGAGCGACTACCATCGATTAGCGGACAGTATTGGGCAGCTGGTGCTCAACGACCGAAGCGTGACGCTACAAAAGGACTTTTCCGAGGCGCTCGGCTCGGGCTGGCGTCTGGGATTCCTGGGGAGTCTGCACTGCTCTGTCTTCCAGGACCGGCTGCGTCAGGAACACGGGCGGAGCATCATCATTACAGAGCCCACGGTGCCGACCAAGATTGTGTGGGCGGACGGCAAGGAGGAGGTGGTGCAGAATCCGGCGCTGTTCCCAGATTCCAGCGACCATCGGATCCGCAGCGCCGAGCTGTTTGAGCCGTGAGTTCTCCCTCTGGAAACGACGTCTAGTCGCTGACTCCTGTAGATTTGTCAAGGCAACCATTACTCTGCCGCAAGAGTATCTCGGCCGGGTGATTGAGCTGTGCGAGGCCAACCGCGGCGAGCAAAAGAGCCTCGAGTTCTTCCACGGCGACCAGGTCATCCTGGTGTACGATATACCCGCGGCACAGCTGGTCGAGGACCTCTTTGGCAAGCTCAAGGGCGCCACGTCAGTCGATCCCTTCTTTGCTCTTATACTAATGCTAACCTCGTCGCAGCAAGGGGTACGCTACGCTCGACTACGAGGACGCAGGTTGGCGGCAGAGCAAGCTCGTCAAGCTCCAGCTCCTCGTCAACAAGCAGCCCGTCGATGCCATCTGTCGCGTGGTGCACTCGTCGCAGGCCGATCGCATCGGGCGGCACTGGGTGACCAAGTTCAAAGAGCACGTCGACCGGCAAATGTTTGGTGCGTTCTCTTGCCCTTGTGCGGCACACATTTGAGACAGAGGAGCGGCAGCTAACACGGTGAGCAGAGGTCGTGATCCAGGCCATCGTCGGCAACAAGATCATCGCGCGTGAGACCATCAAGCCGTTCCGCAAGGACGTGCTGGCCAAGCTGCACGCCAGCGACATTACGCGGCGGCGCAAGCTGCTCGAGAAGCAGAAGGAGGGGCGGAAGCGGCTCCGGGCGGTGGGCAACGTGGTGATTGACCAGTCGGCCTTCCAGAGCTTCCTGTCCAAGTAGACGACTTCGTGCGGGGCACAGGCGCATGAGCACAACCACATAGAAGGTGAGATGCTGTACCATATGGGAGCATTATACTGCATGGGTAAGCCGGTGTTTGGAAAGGGCAAAAAGTCTATGTTGTATGAGGGGAATGATACCCCGTGTAATCTAGAGTCATGAACCGCACGCTAGAGTAGACATGAAGAGCCGTGGAAAGCGGGAAATGCCAAAGAGAATCCTCTCGTCTATGCCGCAACGCCGTTCTCACCATTCGGAAGACCCTCGCCGAGCGCCACCCTCTCAGGCAGCGACCATCCCATCCCGCCGTTGACCATGCCCTCTTCCTGCCTCAGCAGCAACCTGTCGTCCTCTTCGCCTCGCGCCGCCTCCTCCTTCTGCTGCTCGCCATCGCCCTCCGCCTGCCCAGACGACGACGGCGCCCCCGCGGCCACAAAGTCGAAGACGCGGAAGTCGGCGTTGAAGAACCACCAACGGGAGACGCCCGCGCGCAGGAAGCCCGAGTGGGATACGACGAAGACGAGGCGCTCGGGGCGGGCGTGCAGGGCCTCGAGGGCGCGGCGGCCGCGGGCGAGGATGCTGGCGCGCGAGTAGCCGAAGAGCTGTGCGGGTGTTGGCTCTTTAGTCTGCGAGGTCGCTGCTGATGAAGGTGAAGGTGGAGACGACGTCGTCTTGTCAGGCCAGAGGGGCGAGACGTTGCTGAAGGAGACGTGTGGGAAGGAGGGGGCGATGGCGTCGAGGGCTGAGCCCGTGTCGCAGGGCTGGTCTGAGTTTTCTGCGGATGGGTCAGTGTGAGCGCGTGGTCCGTTTTGCGTTTGGATGGCCTGAAGTCGTGACATGACGGAGGAGAAACGGGATCGGGATCAACGCCGTGCAACAGCGGCCCTCCCTCAACAACCCAGCGTGTACACCCTGCCCAACCAGACTCTCCACGATGATCACCAGGACTGAGGACTGAGGGTTTGAGACGTACCTTGCCAATCCGCGCTGGCCTCGAACCGCACGCCCCGGTCCAGCAGCCAGTCGAGCGCCAGCGTTGCCGTCTGCAGCGTGCGACGCATCGGGCTGACGATCACGGCGATATCCTCTTCGCGCGGCGGCAGAGATCCGTCAGCGCCATACCGCTCAAGCAGCGAGGCTCGCAGGGCGGCGCACTGCTCGAGACCGAGGTCCGTCAGCGGGGGGTCGTGGATCGAGTGGTCCTGTGCTTTTCGTGTCAGCTTTGCAAAGCTCTGTCCATTTGAAGCAGACTTCGGGGCAAGGGAAGAGGGAGACGTATTATCGACGTTGTGCAGGGCCTGGGCGTGCCGGATGAGGACTATCGTGGGAGCCATGCTTGAGCGGGCCGGTCGGCGGTGGAGGATGCGTGGCGGATGTTCAGTGTGCGGATGTGTGTAAGTGAGAATTGACGGTTGAAGTGGATGAAGAGGATGACGCTGGGGGCTGCGAGGCCGGAGGAGTGACTGGAGAGGGCAGTGGTGGTTGAGTTTGGTGGGTGGGTTTATTAGCGCTGGCCAGTGAATCACGGCGGCAGCGCTGAATCAGGCAAGTTTGGATGGATGGATGGATGGAACGCTCCAGGCACTCACTCACTGGCGGGCACTCGCTCCTCAGTTATTATAGCGCAGGCCATCCTTTGTCGCGACCTCGCTCCCAGAACAGACGATGGCAATTATCGTCGCCGCCATAAGACGCCATCCAATCCAGCTCAAGTTGATATACTCTTTTGTTTTCCGTTTTTTCGTTCATGGCGTGTGCAAGTCCGCAACTTTGGTCCCGATGGATCGTTCAAGTCGCAACGGTGCTGTCGGCAAAGTTCGCCGTGACAGTGTTCAAGACTCTTCTCTTTACGCCTACAACGCGCTCGAGCTCTGCAAAACGTCTTGCGTATTCCTGCCTAAAGAACATGCCAGACCGGCTTCCTCGACTTCATTCAGGCGCTGGAGACAATACGTCCAGAGATAAAGGTCGGCTTCTCCGTGCTGAACCGCGGAACATCCCCGAGAATCTCTGCGGTGCCTGATCCTGCGTGTGCAGTCGTATAGCTCGCCTGGTCTTTCCAGGTCAAAAGAGCCATGACGCTGAATGGCGCCTCGCTTCCATCGCGCGCCGAGTCAAACTCGACAACCTCCCACTTCAGTAAGCCTGCAGGCTTCCAGTGTCGGTCCACCAGGGGCATGTGGTGGTCGATGTAGTACTTCATGTCGAACGTTGCGCCGTCTCGGCGCGGGTAAATAACCGACGATACATAAGACATGATGGTGGTCTGGGTAGGTAATGCACTCCTGAGCTGCTTTGGGGCGTTTCTCTCGATTGTATGTTGACTCTTAGAGGCGCTGCGTACTGTTTGCCGACTGTGTTGTCTGGCGGAAACTGGCATTGGTGCGGCGGGGGGCCAGGTCACCTTGATATGGGCTCCGCGCGGAGCCCAACGGCATCGGGGCCTGATAAAGTTCTAGCCGGGACATTTTCGATGCCGGCTTGCATGACGACCCCTCAGCAACACCACCGGGGCGGCAGGGGGAGTCGAGCCGCCCCTCTCCTGGAGGGTGCCCCCGCCGATCTCCCACTACTTGACGTTACTGTCCGCATCTTGTTGTGCCGCGGAGCCTCGGTCCTGGTGCCCTGGCGACGGTAATGCTCCAGTCACTGGCCGGCATCTTAGTCGCCTACTAGGTATCATGGCCTAGGCCACATTCTTCGTCGCGACTTCGCTCTCACTCGCAAGCCGACACATCGCTGAAGCCAGATCCTCTGGAATCGTGCGGCTCCGGACCGGACCACTCCACGAACGGACGATGCGAGATACGAGCCACATTAGCGGCTGCCGCACCTAATTAGGGAAGGGTATATGTCGCGCAGCGAGTGTTGCCCTTATGAGTCTCAACCTGGGCCTGGTCCTTGCAGTTGTCGCGCCACCGGGTAAGTTATCCCTAGGTGCAAATAGAGCAGTGGCTCGCAGCAGGTAGCTTGTACGTCAAGCGTGCTGCCGGTGCCGGAGTCTGAACCTACAGGCTCACTAGGCTGATGTCCTGTTGCAAATTTGACTCTATGGAGCGCGGATGAATTGCTTGTCAATGCGTACGTGTTACGATGCTCTGTCGGACATGGACTGGACCAAGGCATCTTCATACGGGCGCAGCCGCAGCCTTTTTGCATCATTAGACGACATCGACTCGTGCAGCGCCGAGTTTACACACCCGGGCTTGCTTTATGCACCCTTGCCTGCACTTTCATGGCTTTGCTTGGTGTTGTCGGGCCGCGTCGATTGCCTCACTTTACGATCATGGCCTGAGATAAGACGCAGCTTTCCCTGCTCGGCTGGGCATCTCACTGCACGCCACAGAACTTGCTCTCAGCGGGCCGTTGTCATGCGGCATTGAGGCAACGCTGTTTCCACACTCAATCAAGCCGCTGGCCTGCATGCGGCCGCCCGAGTACTGACGATTTCTCCAATTGTGTGTCGCAGAAGCTTGTCGTGACGAGTCCCAGTGTTGACATGGTATTCCAGGCCTGTTGGCAAGCTCGCTCTCCATTGCCACCCCGTGTGCTAGGTAGGCTGTGCATGCAGGGGGCGGTTTGGACTTCGTTGGATAACCAACTGCTCATCCATCATCAGCGGCACTGGGCATTTCATTGGCACAGGCTTATGGAGGATGCAGCAGGGCAACCAACAGCACCACGCGTTACGTGCCGTACATAATACAGAACCCCTTTCTCAAATACGTGTCCATGGGACTCTTCTCCCATTCTTCTCCAAAGCTGTATTACCGCTTCAAGCACACAAGCTCAAGCAGCGTCTTCCCGCCTGAGTCTTCGCAAGTTCGCAACCATGCATGTGATCGCTCCCAGCCAGGTCTTGCCCGACACCATGCATGTGGTCCCTCCCAGCCAGGTCTTGCCCGACCAGGAGAACTTGTCCAGTCTCCTCGGCAAGATTGTTTCCGTTTTCGAGGTTGAGTCGGTCCAGGATGGCCGAGATCTGCCAACTCACCCCCTACAGCGGGAAGCCAAGGATCTCGCCAGGGCCCGCAGCCCTTTCTGGCCGATGTCTGGCAATGACTTTCACGTGTCGCCTAGATTCTCCTGCTCACCGTCCTGGGAGGCTACGCTCCGTCTCGAGACTAATTCTTCCAGCACAGAACTTCCATTATGCCATGTGACTCAGCATCCTGGATCCGCAGATGAGGCAGTCCAGACAGTGGAGCAGGCTGTGCCGATGCTGCGAGCTTCCTGGCCCGACGCTACGGTCGGTCTGCTTCGACGTCGTCAGCTTGGCCCGGGCTTTCATGATTTGGAGTCTCCCACAGTCCAACTATTTGCGTGGCTAGCCTCCAAGAAGTTAAATCCCACATATGAGGGGTTCTACGTCGATGATCTCTTCCTGTCACAGGGGAGGCTACGAACACCACTGCGACCGAGAACGGTGAGCCGCGATCGCTTTCTAGGGCCTGTGTTGCAAGGGGCGAATTGTTGATCTGCCTCTGTTTCTTAGCGAGGAGTTCAGATTAGAGAGCTGCCAAGGGCCGATTGGAAGCCGCTTTCCGCATCCAAGTCTCCCTCTGATCAATCCCCGGACGCTCAAATATGGTAAGTAGTATTCCGAAAGCAAGATTCCGTGTGCCAGTCGCCAACTCTCCATCAATCTAGGTCGTTCACTGGACCGGATCCCTGGGTGGTATCACTGCCAGTGTTATGTGCCGTTCTTCTTTTGATGGTCAACCCTACAAAAAAGGTTGACAAAGACGCCGACTGTCCCGATCGGGAGCTCTCTTGGTGTCTAGACTCAATGCATGCTTTCTGTCGTCTGAAAGGCCCCGAAGAAGGCTCCCGCTGCATTTCTTGGTCTCTGGGCACTTCCCCCGACTGCTGGACATACCTTCACTTTGTCTTTTACTCCTTTGGCCACGACGACGACTCGGCGAGTCAAGGGGATTCGGACTTATGGACAGGTTCCGGCGTCAAGTGCGAGCGCCGTAGCATCTCTCTGCCCATCGGACGCAACGGGGAGACGGTGACATTTGGCGAAGATCGAACTTGGCTCGGCATGAGAACTGGTACGTCGTACGGCAACTGGATAGAGGCAAAGCACCCTGGGACTGTCGCATTCTCCATGTGCGACGAACGCCACTTCGTGCCCAGAGCATCGCACAGCGAATGGAACGAATGTGGCCTGAAACATCCTGACGGAGCGTCCGGTATTGCCCTGTTTCAAATGCTGCTCATGAGCGGGACAGATCTCTGGAGCTCGACTTGGCAGAATTGCCTTGACTATATTGACAGTCTCTACGAAGTCACAGTGAGGACATAGTTGCCAATGGCCCGCCTTCTTCTTATCGCCCGCGATCCTATTTGCTAACGAGCTACAGATTGGGGACCTAGTCAGCGGAGGCGAGAGACTTGAGACGCTTATGGCCGATCCCAGCGGTCAACTCGCAGAGCGGTACTTCAAGACGGCCAACCTCCTGAAGATCTTCCAGAAGCATGTTGACGCCATTCCTCATTCGCTGCGAGCCATGGAGAAAACGTGGCGGCGAACGTACCCAGGCTTGCACGCAGATCTCCTGACACGCTTCAGCGAGACAACGCAGGTGGAGCTACTCGACAACTGGCGCTTGGTCATTGCACACGCCGAAAATAAGCATGGGCAGCTCTCCGCGAGGATCGAGAAGATGGTCGCAGAGTTGATGCGGCTTCGGGATAGCGTAAGTTGAGGACAAAATCTTCCCAGGTTGTGGTCGGCACTAATCGTCGCCTACATGTAGCTCTTTCTATCGAGGTTGAGTAGGGACACGGGATAATGCCGCTTCTTCTGAGGCGACCCTGATATCGCCACGGAATATGGAGGGACGGACCTTTCTTGCGAGAAACGTGCATTGCCTCGGGCGTAGACGTAGAGTTAGCGCCGCTACCCCTGGAGCCTTTGCCTGCATTTCACCGCAACCTTTCCTTCCATAATTTCCGAGATAGCGCTGGAATGATGAACGGGCATTACGCTTGAAGAAGGTACAGCTCTCAGAATGCATCTTAAGCGTTCATAAACATTAATGAACAACCATTTCCACACCCTAGCTGAACTCGTCCTTTACAATATGAGGTCGGGCAAGTCGAAATCAAGGAAATCTTCCCAGAACCAGTCAGCGTTAACCCTCTCGCTTTGTCGCCGGTTGCTGTGGTCTGCTGTTGGGATGGTAGAGGTTGTTTCGTCGTTCTCATCCCGATGTAAGCGCTGACTCAACGGATCTCGCTTCCACTGGGCTTGATCAATCGCCAGCCAGTCTTTGAGCTGCTTCATTATGAGCAAAGATCTCCCCAAGGTACTCCGTTCGTCTCGGGCAAGAAGCGCCTCGGAGATTGCCTCAAGGCTGCCCAGATAGCTCTGAAGTCGTGCTCTATCCAACTCAAGTTCGTTACCAAAGTCCTCCGGGGCTGTTCCTGCGGCTTTGTGCAGCTTAATCAACAAGATCACAGCGTATATGACCCGACCGCCGTAGATGTGCGGACAAAGAGAGGCCATGTCAAGGACGGGAAAACAGAGAAACGTATCCAGAAGTCCCTGCAGAGCCCCTGATACTCTGCCTAACATCTCGTGCTGAACTTGGCCTTCTGCCTTGCTCATGATTTGGAATGATTGCAAAGAGGTAGGAGAGAATGGGGCTTCAAACTCCGCGACGTTATTGTCTATGTGAAGCGCAATTTCGTGGACATATAGCAAGCCAGTGAACTTGCCAAATTTCAGAATTACTGCACAGACACTTAGTGAGTGCTCCAATGGTCCTTCGGCTGTAGAATGAATATACTCACAGTTTTGGTTGAGAGATGGACGGTCAGCACACCGGGCTTCGAACATGGATGCATACTCGCCAATAAATTGCACAGTCTGAGGATCTCGGAGTGATACTGACTCCACGTAATCACTCAAATGTAGCCGTAGATCTACGTCGCGGTAGTTGCGCTCCAACTCAACCAGATCGCAGAAAAAGGTGTCTGATGGGCATGCCTGCGCGAGCCGGAGATTACCGATCAGCCGATCAATGGTGGAGGTCCATGTCGCAATGCCAGGACTTCTTTTGATCAAGGAGAGGCTAAAGGAAAGTCAGTACTCCCACACGTGGATATAAACGGGCAGCCATACCTCGAAGACAACAGAAAGCAGCCCAGCCATGCGCGTTTTGCCTCTGCATCGAGCTGGACTTCAGACGTACTGCAGTCCGACTTGAGGCGTTGAGCCTTGTACAAGCCGAGGTCCACCGCCATAGACACCGCAGTCTGGATCAACTGCGTCAAGTTCATATGACTGTAGTTCCCGAAGGCGCGATACCACAGAGAAGTGATTTGCAGCGCTTGCACGAGTTCAACTGACTTTTCGCCCCGGATGAACGCGTGCTCGGCCAGAATTTGCATTATCTCGGCTGACAATACCCTCTGTAGATCAACGTTGCATCTTCTAGAGGCAACGACATTGCACATTGCGAATAAAAGGATCGGCTTTTGTTCTTGCAGGAATGCCACCGTAATATCTGAGGGCAGCACTACCATGGGACAGGTCGGAAGGTATGAAGAGATGTATACTTGTAACATGTCCCCGGTTGTATCGTCGTCTAGTAGAGAGCGAAGTCGGTCACAAATGACCTCTCTGGGGTGACCAAGGGGCGTTTGGGAAACCGCCTGCTTTGTCACCTCATCGTCGTTTGCAGCCGGCAATGATAGTTGCTTGTGACGATTTCCGGTAGCCACGGGCGGTTCAACCCGCGTCGAGGGGTTTCTTGAGATCTCCTTCGGACCACCATCATCTCGTCGCAGATCGGTCCGCTGATCAGCGTTTGTCCGATAAGGTCGGCCACGTTTGTCCCTAGATGAAGTTTGTTGATCGGCTTGTGCGTGGCTGTTTGTATATGCACTACCCGTTGCGTTAGAATGCCGACGCCCTGGAGATGGACGGTATCGTACCGTTTTGCACCATGCCGTGGGCTGTCATAGTCCTCTTTGCTGTCTCGAGGACGCTCTTGTGCACGGTTGTGAGCTGTGGCACTGTGGTGGGACTCGCTCCCCGTCAATGCCAAGCGCGGAGCGATCGGTACAGGATTGGCACGTTGGGGTTCCCGGGCAAATTTGAACCTGTGAAAGGACATGCTGGAACCGCAATTGAGATGGTAAGTTTACGACAATGCAGCTCTTCTTTGACCAGACTCGCAGATGCCCGCCAGGCGATCATGGCCGTGAAAATGTTGATCCGTTCCAGAACTTCTGGGTCGTCTTGGACTCTTGGTAGCCAAACTGCCGGCACGGTTACACGACGTCATTGCAACATTGAACGGACCGCCAGTCGCTGCGCTGTGGTATCCATCTGAAAACTTACGCACCCAGAGCCTTGAAAAGATGCTCCGACCCTGTCTCGTTCTCCGTTAAATGGTGGAGACCCCAATGGAGCCAAACTGTAAGCGGCAGTTCTTGAACGAATCATAACTGAGTCCGACCTAGTTCCACTAGCCTATTTGAGTAGTATTTTAACCAATGATACAACATCGACCGACATGACAGTCCCCTTGTGCTCGTTAAGATGCAGCGACAGCAACGGAGCAGAATTAATGTCCAACTTCATCTTCTCTACGACCTCTTTACATTTCTTTGAGGTGCCTTGATATCTTCATAGGGCTTACCTGAACAAACAGTATGGCAGTGACAACCCAAACCTCCATCGAGCCTGAGATGCAAAGCAATGGGAATGTTGATCCCTCGGGCATTGACGACAATCGAGCACCTCTGGAGAACTATGGCGAGAAGAGCATAGAATATCCCTCCGGATGGAAGCTGGTATTTATATTTGTGGCTCTTTGTTTGACCGTATTTCTGGTCGCTTTGGTATACTATCTTCGCGCCTCACATGATCGGCCATGAGGCTAACTTGCGACAGGATCAAACGATCATCGCCACCGCTATTCCAACCATCACGTCACAGTTTCATAGCATCGAAGACATTGGTTGGTACGGAAGTGCCTATCTTTTAACCACCTGCAGCTTTCAACTCTTTTTCGGCAAACTGTATACTCTTCTTTCCTTGAAATGGACCTTTGTTGGCGCCGTTGTCGTTTTCGAAGTCGGTTCAGCGATCTGTGGTGCCAGTCCCAACTCGATTGCTTTGATCGTCGGGCGAGCGATAGCAGGCATAGGTGGTGCAGGTGTATTTTCTGGCGCACTCATCATAATAGCTAAATCGGTCCCGCTTGCGAAGCGGCCGGCATTCACAGGCATCCTGGGAGCGGTCTGGGGCGTTGCGAGTGTTGTAGGCCCACTTCTAGGAGGCGCATTCACCAGTAAGTTATTCTCCGATGCAAACAACGGTTCAGAAAGCCGGCTAATGACTTTGTAGCCCATGTGTCGTGGCGTTGGTGCTTCTACAGTAAGCTCCAATTCCCTCCCTACTTCCTCCAGGATTGTAACACCCGCTTACCTTTCTCCAGTCAATCTTCCCGTTGGCGCTGTGGCCATTCCATTCATTATATTTTTTCTGAGATCATCATCAGACCGGACAGACCTGTCGCCCAACTGGAAATCCATTCTTCTACAATTCGATCCCATTGGTACGGTTCTCTTCGTCGCAGGCATCATATGCCTCTTAATAGGCCTTCAATGGGGAGGCAGCGAATATTCGTGGAGCAACGCTCGCGAAATTACACTCATGACCCTGTTTGGTGTCTTGATGATAGCGTGGGGCATCACCCAGCACAAAATGAGTGAGAATGCTACGGTCCCCTTACGCATAGCAAGACAGCGCACTGTTGCATTCTCGACATTCTACATTTTCTTTGGTAGTGCATGCTTTGTTCTGGTTATCTACTATTTGCCGATCTGGTATGCTACACACGCTCGCCCACAAACATTTGGGGACTAATAGAGGACCAGGTTTCAAGCGATCAACAACGACTCGGCTGCCGAATCAGGGATACACAACCTCCCTGCGGTCCTCAGCGTTGGTAAGAAATGGGTAACGCTTGTAGAGTGTGCAAATCAAATTGCTCTAACAGGAACATTAGTTGTATTTGCCATCGCGGGTGGTCTAGGTGTTACGGCTGTAGGATACTACACGCCTTTCATGATCGCAGGTGCCATGGTCTTGACAGTTGGTGCTGGATTGTTGATGCTCTTCAAAGTGGACATCCCTATCTCCATGTGGTTAGTACATAAATTCCTCCGTCTCCGCGAAGAAATTGATGTGATCTAACACGAAGAAAGGCTGGGGTTCCAAATTATCTTCGGCGCAGGGGCTGGTCTCGGCCTCGAGCTCCCCAACATTGCGGTTCAGACGGTCCTACCTGAGAAAGATGTGTCCATTGGCACGTCACTCGTGGTCTTTGCCCGCTCCTTGGGTGGGTCGATCTTTGTGAGTGCAGGTCAAAACGTCTTCAACAACCACATAATATCCGGAATGCGAGAACAAGTCCCAGACCTGGACCCATCTGTTGTTCTACAAGCGGGGGCTACGGAGTTGCAAGCGACGGTTCAAGATGCTGCTACCGGACAGGCTGACATCATGAGAAGAGTACTCAATGTTTACAACGATGCAATTGTGCAAACATTTGTACTGGCGCTGGCGTTGGCTGCGGTGTCGATTCTGGGCTCTTTGGGGGTTGAATGGCGGAGTGTAAAAAAACCAGCCACACCGACTAAGTCACAGGGAGACAAAAAGTGAGAGGTGGCAATGAACCCCCGACGAGAGCAAGGACAGCAAATGTACGAGCATGGTGATCTGGCGTGTCCTTCCAGTGTACTGGGTGTCAAGGTGTCCAATTGGGCTGCACGGACTGCTTCAGCCCTGAAGCTAGGTCGGACTTCTTGCCTGTCATCCTCGACGCCCCAGAACCTACCTGTGTACTTGAAGCTCAACACGACGTAGTAATTGGGTTCAAATTAGGGTGGATCCAAATGTTCAGATATAAGTCAAACGAGATCCTGTGCTAGGCAACTCCATTGCTATGCAATCGTTGGCAAGGATTGCCCACTGAACTCAGCCCAGTGATTAAGCCTCGTAGGCCTGACGTTGTTTTCTGCGGTCTCGCTAAGATGATACGGCTGCTAATCAGCTTGTAGAGTCGAAGCTGAACAAGGACACGGGATAATTGCCTTTAGTACTTCGCAATTGGATCATTTGAGGTTGCCTATCGTCTAAAACCGTTAGTCTCTGCGGGATTGCGACACTAAGTCCGCAAACGTTGAATTGTCCCGACCCGCGCGATATTCCACACTTGTCGCCTTCCGTAGTCCTAGCTCCGGTTGGTTGGATCGTATCTTCACATCCGTCGGGCGATTGATGGTTGGAATCAAGTCGCTAAGCAACACGGATTAGCAATCTGGGAAAATGTAGTAGGAGAAACGATCGCCGTGCCTGCTTCCCGAACACGAGAACACCATGAACGCTCCTCCACGTGAAGTTGATCAGGAATCAGGGCATACCAGCCGCAATCGTTATGCTTGACACTTGGGCCCCTTCGGTCGAGCTCAGGTTCTGTTCTGACCAAGCAGACGCCCACAGGCTATGGTTCTTGGCATGCCCTCAGGTGGACAAACGAGCGCTTCGCGTCTACTCAGCCTCTCAAAGTTGGGTGAGATGATGTCAAGAACTATGAACATGCGCGCGATTTGGCCTCCCACAAGATAATGTGATACAGGTATGTGCACACGACTGGACTGTGCCCTCTGCAGTCATCTTTAAGTGTCGGCGCCTACTCCTTTCGCGGGCTTGAATAGGCAGGTCGGCGAGCTTCTCCGCAGGAGGGGTCGCATCCTGACACACACTCTACCAAGAAGCAATGAACTTTAAGTTATTACTCCTATTGGCGTGGGCCGATAGCGCGGCAGGGTTTGCGTTCCTTCTAGAATGGTATAAATGCGACGACCCGATCAGATAGTCAACGGACGCTCGCTCGCATCCTCACGCAGACTTCCAGAACAAAACAGGTTACATTCCACGCGCTTCATCCTCTCCTTTTGATACTACTCAAGATGAAGACATCGTTCGTCGTTCTCCTTTCCGCCGTTGCCACGGTCATGGCTCTCGACTCGGCACCCAAGCAACCTCTTCCCCGGGAGCTCTTCTCCCCGGCCACCGAGGAGGAGAAGAGAGAGTTTGGGCTGGGCCCGCGCGGCGTCTGCTGCTGCCTCTGCAGCCCCTGCAACAAGCCAGGCTGCCGTACCTGCCTTTGCTAAAGGTAAGCTTGTAGCATCGGCATGTCCTTGCCGTAGATGCTGACTCCGAGGACCAGCGCATGAAGCAGTCAAGTCGGGTCAAATAGTCCGAAGTATAGCTGTCGTCAATAGTAGAAACAGGAAGATCCAAACTTGTGTCTCGGCGTTCGCATCACGGAGTGGTAGCCATGCATTGGTGTAGTGCATCCGACAACGTAAGTCGGTTACAACGTAGAAGCGTAGTGGACCATACCGAAAGTGCCAGCCCTCCATTCCGTCAGGTCCCCAGGGCATCTGGATCACACAGCCACGGGAAATCGGACCATTTAGAACAAACAGGGACAAAATGGCCGATTCTCTCTCAAGTGGCGCGACTTTCGTTGAGCCCAATGCTGCCATTCGCTCAAGCACGGCTACTGTCGGCAGGCACCAACTCGTCGGCTCCGGCCTCAACGAGCTGGAGCAAGGCCGCGGCCGATGAATGCTGGCCGCCCTTGTCCATGGGTGGGCGCCGATCTGCCGGCCGCGTTGGCGCGCCATGGTTTGGTGGGCGAGTTGCGGGAATGCCAGTGCATCGGCTGTCGGCCTGCGCAGTTACGGCATGTATCTGACTTCGGGCCCACGGGGAGATCCGTAGACTCTGCGGGGGGCGCACGGAGAACGGGTCGCAACTCGCCATTGCCAGATGCTGGGAGATGACCAGGGCCAGTGGAAGCAGCCTGAGAATTCGAGGGGTCGCTGGAAACACAGTGGCCATTTTGAACTTGCCTACTTCGTACATATGTATGAGCCAGCTTGTTAGACTTTGACACCTGAGAATAGATGGCGGGCATCATGTACGACTCATAGCTCATGTCGCCGGGCGGCGCCTGCGACCAGGCGCGTCCGCGCCTCTCAGCGACAGACACGAGATTCACTCAGGTGAGGCCCGTCCAGACCGTTTCCCCGCAATGCGCTGCAGCCACAGCGCAGTCTGCTCCGAGAAACGCAATAAACACAATGAGTCGCCCACACCGTCGTAGATTGCGGCCAACACCCTCACCCCAGGCTTCCCGCTGATGAGCCTAAGCCGCAATATTGATGGCTGTTAGACGCCACAGCCGTTGAGCGATGATTGGCAGCGCCATTCCGGACTGTACCTCAACCAGAAAAAGAAAGTGGGTGAGAGTACGAATCGCAGAGTTGTATTTCGCACAACAGCTCTGGATCTGGTCGGTTACCCCCCCTTCGTCCCGGCGTCAGTGCCCGGCCGGGAGCTCCACACCGAGCCGATCAATCAGCGGCTGGCTCACTGACAACGGCTTCGAGTGTCTCAAAAGATTGTATCTCCCAACTCAGCTCAGTGCTGCGTGTACGACGTGTGTCAATATTGATCGAGCTTTGAGTCTAAAGAAACAGGAACACACATATCCGTAACTCTCTACTCGCAGGCGAACTCTTCGCTCGTCAGCGATAGCTATGGAAGTGGTATACTTTCCACCCAAGACGGAGACCGCGGCCGAAGAACCTCCCAACGCCGCCCCGACGGCTCCTGAGTCGACGAACCCTCCAGCCTTGAAGGTCATTATCGTGGGAGGTGGTATTGGTGGGCAGACGGCGGCCATTGCTCTCCGTCAGCAAGGGCACCATGTGAAGGTTAGATGTGCAAGCATTCCCAAGGCATTTGTCGAGTTTGACACCTTTTCAGGTCTACGAGCAATCCCGCTTCGCCAACGAGACAGGAGCCGCCATCCACCTCGTGCCAAATGGCCTCAGTGTTTTGCATCATCTGGGCGTTCCCGCCGAGGAGCACGGAGCCAATGAGATCACGAGTGTGAGGCTACCTCCTTACTCCGGGTCAAGGAATCTTTGCTGATGAGGCTTCATCTACTCTCCAGACAAGGCTGCGCAAACACTCTGGAGAGATCATGAACGTTTTTGACCACTCCAGCCGACGAAATAGGTTCCAGAAAGTAAGACTGCCGAACGCCAGTTGTCAATCAGGATACTGACGAAACTTCTAAACAGGACTGGCTTCTTACACATCGAGCGCACCTCCACGATCATCTCAAGGCCGTCGCTACCTCTGCCGAAGGCTTAGGCAAGCCAGCTGATCTACTGTGCTCCTCCAAGGTCCAGCGTGTAGACCCGGAGAAAGGCGTGGTCTACCTCGCCAACGGCGAAGAGGATCAGGCCGATGTCATCGTCGGAGCCGACGGCGTGCACTCGGTTTGTCGAAATGCGATATGCGACGATGTCCCTGTCCCTCATCCATCCAAGGACTTTACGTTTCGCTTTCTGCTGAGTCGGGAAGAGGTCGAGAGCGATCCCGACACAGCCCCTCACGTCAATCCAGAAGTGAGCTTGGATATCTGGTATGGGCTTGATCGCAAGGTCGTCATCTATCCCTGCGCCAGGAACAAAATCCTCAACTTTGTGTGCATTCATCCAGCTGAATTGACCAAAGACAAGCTCGACCTGGACGGGGATGCGCTGAAGGTGGCGATGCTTTCCATCTATGAGGGATTCCAGCCGGCGGTAATTAAGATGCTCGATAAAGTTAGCCCTGAAGCCCTGAAGCTTTGGCCATTGCTGGATATGGCAACCTTACCCAGGTACAATGTCGGTCGCCTGGCATTGATTGGCGACGCAGCCCATCCCTTTCTACCTCACTTGGCCCAGGGAGGTGCGATGGCCATCGAAGACGGTGGCTCTCTTGGCATCATGTTGTCGAAGGGCATCACTCCGGACGAAGTCCCAGAGCGTCTGGAGCTGTACAACAAAGCCCGTTACGACAGAGCCACTCTGTGTCAGGAGCTGACACGGTTGACCGGTGGAGACGGGATCAAGTCCACGGAGTTCGACACATCGAAACTCAACTGTAAGTGTCAAAGCACATCCGCGCACAGGTTGCTCATTCTTCTGACCGTATACTCTCTTTATAGTGAACAATACTCTCGAGTATTTCTTACCACACGATGAGATACACGCTTCCACTGAGGTCCTGAGGCGGCACCTGTGGAAGAAAGACGAGTCAGCCAGATGGAAGCAGCCCATCGTCTTCGGACCCATGCCCGGCCCTCGCAACATTCCCTCAGAATGCTCCCAAGGCGGGGCGCCATCAACCGTCACAACCGCAACAGTCAGGTTCAGGACAAGTGCAACGCTTCTCAAGAACCTGTTCCCAAACAAGGCATACAGCTTTTCACATGACGGCTCCGTCGGAGAAGTAAGCTTTGTAGTGCAACAACTTCGCAACCTGGACTGGCTGGGTGGCGGCGGGTATAACGTCTTCAGCCTTTATCTCCACGACATTCGGTATACGAAGGAGGACGGGACCAAGATTCACGGCTTCTACTGCCCCGTCACCTTTGAGGACTGCGCCGATCCCATGATCGCTGGCCGGGAGGATCTGGGATGGCCGAAGCTGTTCTCGGATATTGACATCCAGCAGCCGTCCGAGGGAAGCATGGAAGTGTCTTTGTCGTGGCACGGTGCCAAGTGGGCGTCCTTTTGGTTACGCGGCCTCCAGAAGAAGAATCCCGAGGCGGGGGACAGTCCTCCAGGCCCTGCCACACCGCAAGAAGATGGTATCTTCATCCATAAATACGTTCCCGGCGCTTCGGGGAAGTTTGATCAGCCGGATGCCGAGTACGACATGTTTATCCCGAAGCCTTTCGGGAAGAACATGTCGGAGAGACACCAGAGCAACGATAAGCTAGTGACCTCGGTCGCTGAGGAGGCAGGCGTGGAGTTCTTCCCGCTGGGCTGGAGTAAGCTTCCGACCCTGAATCATATCGTGAGCCGAATTGCCGAACTACCCAACTTCGGGAACACAGTCGGCTCGCTGAAGCCCGAAGCGGGCATGAGAGACTTTTCAGGCGGCTATCGGGTGGAATGATGCCATTCTTGCAGCTGATGAAGGATTGCGGCTGCTGTATGGAGGGCCTGCTGGGGTGTGCGCAGGCATGGAGACACTGTGTGACGTTGAACCGCTGGAGCAGTAAACCACCAAGCCGTTGAAAGCGGCAGATCGTCTCGGGAACCTGCATTGCCTCACCGAGTTGCATGTGAGATCCTGCATCTTGCCAATGGACGTGAAACCAGGGTGCCCTTAGCAAGTTTTCATGTCGACATATCCAATCGGTGGGTTGTGTTGCACTGCTGATGCCGTCGCGACGCGGGTCTCAGGAGGTCGATGCGGCGCTCCCGCCTGCACGCTTGAGACTCTCAACTTGGATAAGCTTTTGCAGGACTTGGCCGAGAGTCCTCGCAAGCAGCAAGCGCATTTTCTTTAGAACGAGGACTGCTTGTCCAAGCTGTGATCGGGACCCAGGACTCTTTTCAGCTGTTTGCCTAAACCTGGCATGTCTGCTGGCCCAAATGACGAGGCCTGCGTTGAAGATACAGAGTGCGTCGTGAGGTGTCTCAATGTATCCTAGCCTCTCACCCGATATTGTGAGATCCATGGCTGGAATCATAGCTACCACGTCCATGATCTGCAGTGCGTGTTCGAGAGCAGTCTGCACATCGAATGAGCGGCACCAGCTTCTGATGCGGTCGACCATGGTTGGCGTGGGCTCTCGTTGCATTGTGGCCGAGTATGCGGCGTCGCTGATATCGGACAAGGGCGCGTGGAGCGCGACAATTATCATGTGCCCGAAGAATCGTGCCGATATCTTGTTCGGGGAAGAGTTCTGCAACAGGGTGTCGACCGAGGCGTGTATGATGGCCGGGTCGTAGTCTCGGTTCGTGGCTTCGTACGAACTGCCTACCCAGTGGCCACTGGCTAGCCAGGAGCCAGTGGACACAAAGATGAGCTTTCGTAAGATAGGGTCGTGTTTCGACGTTTGTGGGTTCATGAGATGTAGCGCTTGTTGCTGTACATAATTGAACGGCTGGGCGGTGTCGGAGTCTGGGGATTCTGTTACACCCCAGCTTGTATGTGCCAGGTATGCCGGTGTCAAGATGGGCTTCAGTTGGAAGAGCGATGTCCTGTAGCTCTCCAACAGCAATATGTCCGCCACCAGTCTGCCGACTGAGATTAGTTCCTGTCGCTCTAGGTGACAGAGAATGAGAACTACCTTTCTTGTTGAACCTTGTCGTTTCCTGCGACGTCATCGGTGGAGAGTAGGCCGTGCATATAGAGGGACTAGTAAGGGGAAGAATAAGTGACTTGGAATGACGAAGTTGAATCATCACTTTCCGCACTTACCTGGATCAAGCTGTGGTGATATGCCTCGCTGAGTTCTCGGGAGCGAGGATGTCCTCCACAGATGCCAAATAATTCGGCCGCCAGAAACTGTGTCCAATGTCAGAAAGCCGATGCGCTATCGTTCGGGTTGTCGCGGGGTTTATACGGCTTGAACCAGGCTCATGGCGGCGGGCCGCGAATGCTTCACAGATCCAGCGACCTGGAACGTCAAAGTTAGCTGGAACAAATGCCGTGCTAGATGAAATCTTACAGAGTTGTTGAGTAGCCGGTTGGAATCGGTAAATAACACCCTAGAGATACGTGGGCTACCCTTCAAATTAACAAAAAGTGATCCCACAGCGGCCATGGCTAGGATCTGCTCCGGCTGGGTGTGTGAGGTAATGGCGAAGCCCTTGAACGAGGTGAATGTCTCCGAGACGTGCCTGAGGAATATGTTTAGCAGCGAGTTCAGTACCTCAAGATCGTACGTGCGAGGGACCAGCGGCATTCGGAGCCATCGAGCCGTCTGTTCGTCAAATTGCGAGCCCGGGATATCCAGCTGGAGCAGCTCCGCCAGATATTCCAGACCAGCCTCGTCGTGGAACTGCTCATCAGGGCTGGCCAACATAGCGCCATTCAGCGCGAAATACTCGTCTTCTAAGCCAGGGAGAAATGTGGTGCCCATCCAGGCCAAAGGGTCGGCGAAGTTGATGGTGCTCTTCTGATGGATCAGTCGACGAGAACTTTTGCCACCGGTGGTAGGCGTCTTGCTCACCAAGTCGCCCATACAATCAGGGTTCATTGCGTCAGGACATGGAAGACCCATGCCATGCTCCTGCATGAGTTGTACATCGGCAGCTAGGTCGATGCCGCCCATCCAACCCTGCAACATGGCTTCGGGAAGAGCGGAAGCGGCCTCAGCACTCGACGAGAGGTTCGAGGCCACGAAAGACGTGTCGTCAAGTGCAGCATCCGACGTATTCACCAAGATTGTTTCCGTTTCGATGTGCTTCGATTCTCTAGAGTCGATTGGTGGAGACATGGAGTCTGGCGAGTGTAGCAGCCGGAGGCGATCGGAGCGCTGGTACGTGCAGTCATGCCGCTTCGCGACGCATTTTCGACACGGTTGTTTGCCGTCGCACTTCAACTTCTTGCTGTGACACAGGTCGCAGGCAGACTTGACCCTGGAGCGAACCTCGTCGCTGCCATTTGCTGTAGCGTTTCGCAGGTTCTTGGAGCACTTGTCGACATGTCGTCGCAGAGAGTCGGTTCGCTGGAACTGGTGGCCGCAGAAGTTGCAGCGGTATGGTCGCAACAAACTATCTAATCAACACGTAAGCAATCGACACACGACTAGCTACCCATAAAGTCCGAACGCGTACGTGTCGCAAGATGCCTGTCGCGATGTTCGGCGCGACTGAAATTGCGGTCGCAGATGTGACACTGCGACGACGTTAGCCGGCTGGCTGGCTCGGCCTCGCTCAACAAGGGGCATCGGAACACAGACAACGAAGGACGGCGGCGCTGAACCGTCCCGCGTCAGTTTTGACGCACGAGTAGACATGTTGTTTATGCTTTGACGGAAGGTTAAGGAACTGAGGGGATCGCAGCCTCGCGATGTTGGTCCTGACAGTGAGTATAAGGCAGACGTGACATCCCGACCAGGATCGCACAGGCCACGAGGGTACGAGTACTTCGTACTGTAGGCTCTATGGGCGCCAAGTGAATGCCCCCACACTCCGTGAGAATGGACAGGGGCGGGGTAGCGTAGCCAGTGACAATAACCGCTCGAGCCGTTCCTCTCCGACTGTACGCGTACCGCGTAAGTCGCGATCCAGGTCGCAGCAGCTGGTGCCAAGTCCCCGATGGGGTCGCCATGGTCGTTGGGACTACCAGATGCTCTCGGGCTGAGCTGTATCTTTCCAAATCCCTGCAGAATGCGCGCCATCGTGAAATGGTCGGGTTGAACCCCGTGACTCCCGGGGTATCTACGGCGTAGGGTGCGTAATGAAAGGACCAACCAACCAACCATCAAGCAAACCCTGCGATGTTGGCTTCCACCCCCACGAGCGAAGCCCCTTTTTGTCTCAACATTGCCACGAAGTCTATCCGGCAGACTGTCAACATATCTTCGCGTCCAGAGCCGTCTGCAAACTCTAGCCATGGAAAGTATGCAAGATGTCTGGTATACCAGGAGGCGCCCACGCCGCCTGGACTCTCAGGAAGACCAAATATACCCCGAAACGAGCGTCTTGCAGGAGTACAAGACGGCTCTTCTGTCTCAAGAGAAGGCGGAAGGCGACTTGGACTTCTTTCAGGGGGCGCCAGGCGAGTTGATAGCGAGCTTCCGTGGTGACAGTATCGAGGTCCGCATCACCCCTGCCCCTTGTTGAGGAAGTTTCAGCCTGTGCTGAATGAGCCTCGACTAGCCCTCCTTTCCTTCCAACCTCTTCAACCGATTGAAAGATCTGGCCCCACCGGCAGATGAAGTGGACATGCTGCGGACCGCGTTTCTGTCCCAGTTCTTATCCAGATGTCCATTTATACAAGGCCTTTCTCCAGACTTATTTCACGCACGCTCGAAATACTTGTCTTTGTCAATGGCGTCATTAGGTGCAGTCACTCTCACCGACATTCCCCGTAGCCGAAGTCTCTGGAAGCTTGCAACGAAAACGCTCATGGCTACCTTGGCGTTGGACAACAGTCAGACACGCAACACGGACATCCCCTTAGCTGTAGGTTATCCCAAGCATACATAGAGGTCTCCTCCTATCTTGCATCTAACCTTGAACCCAGTGCCTACTTCTGGAAACCGTCGGCGTGCTATCCAGTGACTTGACCATTTGGCACCTCACCAACAACATTCATGGTTGCGCGGAGGCTGTATGTTGCTGTGTTCCACAACCCATGTTAACATGCTAAGATATACCAGATCTTCAAGAGAATCTGGAACAACGCCGTGGACCCAGCTTCGGGCAGGTCCCCCGCCGCCAAAGACAGGACGTAGGTTCCCAGAAACTAAGCGATCTCGGTGCCTGGCTAAGTGCAACTGCAGCAACATGGTGTCTTTTGTGGTACTAATCGACACGCTGCGCTCACTGCACATGGGCATGGCTGCGTCGAGCATATCCGCGTTCGCCGACATTACACTCGAAGCACCACACCATTCGCTGTCAGGTCTCCTGTCGCAAACTCTCTTTGCGGGGCCGCAGACCGAGTGGCCGGCGTTCAGCCAGGACAACGCCCTTCTGACGATTCTTCTCATTCTCAGTCACACGCTCATCTGGGTGCGAGAAATGTCCCCGCTTGCTCCATCGGCGGAGACAGTCTCGCCTCAGGGTCGATCCAATGTCGATGCCGAAACTCAAAAATGTCGGATCAGAATTGAAAGGGCACTCGACAAGTGGGAAGGACAATACAGCCGAGGAGCATTGCCAGAGACTCGAGCTCTATTCTACTTCTGTAGGATGCACCTGCGAGCCCCTCACCTGCATCTGGTTGCCGTTTACGCCCAGTATGAGCCTCTGGCCACCCTGTCACCCATACCGTTGGAGAAGGTCTCTAGCATCGTGGAGGCAGACACTAGCACGCTAGATGAAGCGGCTCATTTTGCGTGGCTAGTCTTGGAGCAGGTTCCCGACGCCGCAGATGTAACTGCACTCTGGTTGCCCATCATCTTGTATTTCTCTGGGTTGTTGGTATGGATGAACATTGCCTCTCAGGGGCGGTCACGATCTCATGGGTCACTTCGAGTCTTGCAACTCTTTGGGCAGAAACTATCCTGTATGCCGTGGCCATGTTGTGCCGCATTTGCTCACAATCTCGAGAGAATCGCCATGTTCTAGAGACATAGACAATGAGACATGATCTTTCCGCGCCCCGCGCCCCATGCCCCGCATCTGTCGGCTCTCGCCTCGATGAACCATTGTGCCGATCTTTTCCAGTGATCATCCCGAGTACTGTCACATAGCTCGGTACGGTACCGCTTGGTCGAGCCTCTGGCTGGCCCCATCCGGATGAGTTGGGCCAGGCTCGGCTCCCCCGCAAGCCGAGCCTCGTTGCTTCCCCGCTTCCTAGCAACCAAATCACATAGCCTCACTGTCTCGTAACATGATTCGGCTCCGAATCCTTCGTGCTTCAACATGAGAGTTTCGTTCCCGTGAGCAGTGTCAGGTGTGTTAGGTCTGGCTCAACGCATCATCATCGCCCTTCAGCCGGCAACCCGCACCCGAGCCTTGGCCTCATGAGGCGAGTTTACGAAGCGCTTAATAACAATAAAACTAGACATCTCTTCGAGAGCGGACACTAGACTTCACGAAACATCAAAATATTTATCGAAGGCTCGTTCTACTGCCATCAACCGTTTCATACTGCATCCCTACGCAATGGCTAGAGAACACGTTACTGTGGGTATCGTTGGAGGTGGGATCGGTGGCCTAACTTTGGCGAAGATGCTAGAGATGATTGGAGTCTCGTATATTCTGTACGAGAGCTACCATGACATTGCGCCAGATGCAGGTGCTAGTCTCGGTGTTATGCCTAATGGGCTGCGCATCATAGATCAACTAGGTCTTACCGACAAGTTTGAGGCATTCCACGTAGTCCACGACTACTGGGAGCACCGCGACGGCGAGACCGGAGATCTCTACGCGCGTTCTACATTCATGAGACACTATCCTGCAACGTAATTGGGGCCCTCTGATCGGACGCAGCTTTGCCAGACAGCTAACCGGCATGCAGCATGGGTTACGAAGGTTTCTTCATGGCTCGACAAGATGTGTTGCGGCTACTCTACGAGAGCCTCGAGGATAAGAGCAGGGTTCACACCTCAAAACGTGTCGTTTCTATCCAGGAGCTCGATGATTCAGCTGTCGTTGAGGCTGCGGATGGCAGCTCCTTCTTCTGCGACTTTGTTGCTGGAGCTGATGGAGTCCGAAGCGTTGTTCGGGATCATATCCTGGCAGCAACAGCCCAGCCCCCCTTGGGCTGTAAGTGGGGAACCCTGATTCGCAATGTACGTGGTGTTTCTGACAGTCTAGAAGATCTTCGAGCGGAAGCTGCCTGCGTGTTTGGCATATCGAAGCCAATTCCGCAAATTCCAGCAGGGCGCCACTTTACCGTGTATAGGCCTAAGGTCTCTGGCCTGGTGTTCGCGGGTTTGAATGGCAGACTGTATTGGTTCCTCTTCAAGCTTCTGCCTGAGCCTATCGAATACGGTAAAGCAACATCGTATACCCAAGCTGATATCGACGAAGTGATTGCAAACATATCCGATGCACCTGTGACGGATGGTGTACGATGGTGTGATGTATGGGCTGCGAGAGAGCAGGCTCTAATGACAGCTCTAGAGGAGGGCCTGTCACATTCTTGGAAGTCCGGAAGAATGCTTCTTCTGGGTGACTCTGTTCACAAGGTGAGAGGCTACTCTGCCGTTCGAGTAGTCCAGCCGTCGTTAACATGCCCTACAGATGGTACCACACGCGGCCATGGGCGCCAATCAAGCTATGGAATCGGCTGCGTGCTTTGTGAACAATCTTCGAAAGCTGCCGATGAATCCCGATGGCACCTTCCCGCGCATTTCTCGCTCCCAAGCCGACGAGTGCCTTGAGGCATATGCAAAGCGACGTCAAGAGCGTATGGCCGTCATCTGCAAGGTCGCGGCAACATTTTGTAGGATGCAACTCAAGGTTGGCCCTCCAGCACAGGGCTTCATCGGTGCTCTTCGTCATTTTAGAGACGAGGATTTCCTGCAGAAGGGTCTCGAGCAATTGAGTGGCGCAGAGGCCTTGGAGAACTGGCATTGCGGTAGCAAGTATGTTGACTACTATGGCGTGGAGTCTGTTAAAGCCTTGAAGATTCTCGAAGAAAAGGGGGATCTGGCTGCTCTTGGGTTGGAGAGAGCCGTCGTGCAGTAGGGTATGGATTCACTGGTATATACAGCTACTTTTGTGTAGAGTAGTATTTATATAAGAACAGTTTCCCACGCCTCAGAGTTAGTGGAGATGATCCAGCTGGTTATCTCGCACTTACGGCCTTCAGGTACTGAGCTCGCTCTTCAGAATCTTTGTGTGCAGAGGGTGACACTCCTGGAAACCTGAACTGAGATCAATCCGGGCTTTGAAACGCCGAGATAGCACTCGCATGTCATTGACCTTGTAATCAGGCAAAAGATCACGGGCCATCAAATCACGAAAGCCAACACGTAGGTTGCAAGATGTCTCTTATTCAACAGCGACACATGCTCAAGACTAAGGATTTTACCCATCCTGCTTTACTCCTTCGCGGGGATAATAGGCAGCCGCAAGAAGTTCTGGAATTCCCCTCCGATGTGGATGGCATTGAGCCCTCCCAGCTTCTCAGGGTCTCGATCGTCAGGGTGGTTGTGCTCAAATACGCTAACACCTTCCGAGTCACCGCTCGAAATCTCGATTGCAACCTTGTCGCCCGGCAAAAAGACAGAATTGGTTGGCCAGATCTCAATATCGACCGAGTAGACTTCTCCAGCTTTGACAGGCTCGACGTCGGTGGAGAGATAGTCGCGCTCGGGGATAATCTTGCTCATCTCAGTCGGGTGCTTGGTCGTGGCTCGCAGAGAGACTCGAAGCCAGCCACGGGCGAGGGGGACTGGGTCACCAACGGCACCAGTGTAGAACACTTGGCAAGTCATCAGCTTGGGCTACCAGCAAATGGGAGTCACTACCCAAACTTACCTTCTTTGCCATTGGCATCGATGTGCCGGAGGGTCGCAAAGACATCAATCTCTGAGGGCACTTTATCCCCATCTGCCTCAGCAGAGACGCTCAATCTTACGATAGGGTGGCCGGTCATCTCAGTCTCTTCTTCGAATGGCGCTGAGACAAAAGTGACCCCTCCTTTCGGCGCAGTGTAGGTGACGAGCCCCTCTCCCACCTCCGACGTGGAGCTCCTCTCGAGGCCCATAGACTTGCAAAAGTGAAAGTCCGTATAGACGGTCCTCGCGAGAGGCCATTCCATCTCAGGACGTCGAGGGAACGCATCGCGCTCCGCCTTGGGATTATTGAAACCAGGGTTGTCTCTTCGGATACAAAGGCTGACGGGTGGAAGTTTCCCTGGTGTCGACCAGCCTTCTGGATCAACCCCCTTCAAGAAGGCGTCGAGGAATGACTTCTGGACAGCGACTTCTTCGTCGTAGTAGAAGGGAAGATCATGACGGCCAGTGATGAAACGAAGATATTTGAGTTTCGATCCGATGCCGAGATAGCCAAAGATATTGCCGCGCAGGTGGAGGTGAATTGCGCCCCAGTTGGCGACGCTTAGAACGGGCACCTCGATGTCAGCCAGGTCGTAGTCGCGAGACTTGTAATACTCTTCGTCTCGGAACTTGTACTTCGCAGTGTCAATGGTTTGGTCAGCCCGATTCTCGGCAAGCTCTTCAGCAGACAGGACTCCCTCCAGACTGTCGGTACCCCAGTTCCGTTCGGTTCTTCCGCCGAGTCCGTACTGGTTCGATCCGACCTGGCGGTCATACCAATACTCTGCAAGCCAAGCATTTGTCGTTAGATATAGAAGCATGTCTAGGAATTGACGGGTGGTACTTGCTGATGAAGACATTGGAAAGGATACCGCCGTGGCGGACTCGGTCACGGTAATAATCCGACATCCCTTGAAGTGTGTCAATAGGTGCAACTTTGAGTCCATATGGCGTCTACTTGCCTTCCCAAGGAATAATGCAAGCGAGGCCAGCCGGCTTCCGGGCCGCCACACGCCACTGGCTGCCCGCATAGTAGCTAATACCGAGGAGGCCGACTTTCCCATTGCTCCAGGGCTGCACTGCTGCCCACTCGACCACGTCCACAAAGCCATCGCAGGTGGCCGAGCTCATGGAGTCAAGCTTCCCCGGGCTGTTTCCAGACCCGCGCTCATCGGCTCGAACCACGACATAGTCGTTAGATGTCCAGAAAGCCGGATCAGGAGTCTCCCATGCGGAATGCTTTGACTTCTGGTGCGGATTCACATCCGCAAACGAGTGAGAATGGAATCTGTTTCTCTTGTCAAACGCGGTTAACTCTCTCGATCAATTGGCCGAGACTCACTGCTCATAAGGAATATCCTTGCCATCTGGAACATATTGTTAGTCTCCCACTAATGACAGTCTTGGCATTACTTACAAGGTCCGTATGTGCAAAGCACAGGGAATTTTCCTTCTTTTTTGGGGCGATATACATTGGCACGAACGAGGAGAGGATCGTCTTTAGTCTGGGGAGTGGACCTCTTCAAGGGGACGTCCACATCGCGTTCAAGCACGTATGGGCCGGACTCGTCAACCACATGGAGATTCTTGAGTGCGAGAGGCATTTTTTTCGAAGGAAGCGTAGAATCGAGTGATAAACTTGAACCCTTGTTTCTGAGGTCCTGAGGCTTTACTCAAGAACTCAACTTGAATCGTGAGATGTCACCTAGTTGTAGGCAGCTGAGAACCGCCAGACGGGCAGCACAGTATTCAAGAGCCGATGTCCAGCGATTAGCACTGGCCGGCACATGGGCCATCACGTCTGAGGCACTCGGACCATGGTGGGGACCCCGCGTGCGTTCAGTGATCCTATGCCGAGGGGTTCCAGGCCGACGGCTCTCCCCCACACTTTGCCGGAGGCGCTCGGCCATGCTTATGCAGATCAGAGCGTTAGTCACTTGTCACATGCACTCTACCCGGTACAGTACATCCGGACTGAACAGAGGATTATATTAATAATGTTGAAATACTGTATAAAGCGAATCTCTGTGATGACGCCGTGGCCCAGGACTGGTAACCATCTACTCCACAATTGACTTCCACGATACTACATACCTCTCATTCTCAAGCAACATGGCTAGCCCGGACAAGGTTAACCTCGGCCGCTTGGCCTATACAGTTTACAAACATCCTGATATCACGAAGTTTCTGCAGTTCGCCAAGGATTTCGGATTCGACGTCACAGAGAAATCTGAAGATGGCAACTTTTACCTCCGGGGGTATGGCGTGGACCCTTACATCTGCGTCGCTAGCGAGTCTGCGCCAGGCGAGGCGAAGAGCTTTGGTGGCTCTGGCTGGGTGGCACGAACCGCAGAGGACTTTGAGCGAGCTTGCAAGATGCCAGGAGCCGAAGTGATTGACGTCTCCAAGCGCCCCGGAGGTGGCAAGATGGTCCGCATACCTGACAACAACGGATTTCCCTTTGAGGTTCTCTTCGGCCAGGAGGAACGCCCGGTCCCAGAGCGTGGGCTTACTAGGGTGTTGGACGGTCAGCCGAACGTGAACACTGCATTGGAAAAGCCGAGGAAGGGTAAGCGGCTACACCAGTCACAACCCGTAACTTTGGTAGGCTTATGCTAACGTTCATTCCTGGTGCTTGCCTAAAGGCCAGTTCAACCGCATGGCTACAGGTCCGGCCATGATTCATAAGCTAGGTCACTTCGGCTATGCAACCGATAACCAAGCCAAGACGAGTGCGTGGTACAGCGATAACTTCAACTTCAAGGCGACGGACATCCTCCATAAGCCCGGAGACCCGTCTGCGGAGCTTTTGGCCTTTTATCACTTGGACCTCGGCCGAGAGTACTCGGATCACCACTGCCTCCTGATCGCAGGGCATCACGGGCCTCATCAGACGGGAACAGAGGTCCACCACTCCTCCTACGAGGTGGAGGACTTTGACACACAAATGATGGGTCACCAGTGGCTGATCGAGAAGAAGTACCAGCAGATGTGGGGCGTAGGGAGGCATGTCATGGGCTCTCAGATCTTCGACTACTGGTTTGACACCAGTGGCTTCATCATGGAGCACTACACGGACAGCGACGTGGTCAATGAGGATACGCCGACGCACCGCCAGGAGAATACGCCAGGCGCAATCTGGGGTCCTCCTTTGCCAACCGCCAAGTTTGAGGCCTAGTTTGTTACTCTATATAGCTACGAAGCGCACTTGTACATACTCTGACATTGTTTTGTTGCGGTAATGATCCTGGCGGAGGCCAGCTCGAGCCCTCGGCCGCTACAAGTGTGAATGTGTCATGTCTATTCATGCTCTACGCTATGTACTTTGGCGATCTCTATTTTTCGTTGAAAGTCCGCCGATCTACAGTCCATTCTGTTGTGAGCTGCTCGGGCAGAGGCGGGCATGGCGCACCACGAAGCAACTTCACGCGCGGCCCGTACCTAAGCACAATGCACAACGCCATCTGCGTGAGTATGGCATTCCTGTCCGGTGGTTAGCGAAAAGTTTAATCGGTATCGGATCGAGGGATTTGCTTACAGTCGGCGCGCTGCTCGTTGCGCTTTGGTCTGGCTTTGGCGTTGACGTAGGAGCCGGCGTCGAAGCGGATGATGCCTTGGAGCTTTGCGGCTTACCAGTGCAGCCGATCCCTGGGGCGGCAATGTCGTACGCCCACACGTCAATGGCAAAGTACTGAAGGGCGTTGCTGTCGATACCACTCTTGTCCGACTTCGTCTTTGCGAGCTCTAGGATGCCAGCGTAGTCTTCGGCAAAGTGGTCGACAATTCCCTCGCTGATGGTGGGCACATGCAGCAGTCGGTGCAAGAGGTCGGTGGCCCAGTAGGTGTTGAGCTTGGATCCAGCGACTGTGTACCCAAGATTGCACACTGCTGACAGGGGTCGACGGATCTGAAAGGACAGAGGGCAGATGACGGTCTCAGTCGTAGCATTGCTACCCCGCCAGTGTCCAGCCCAGTCTGTTCAGCACTCCAGGTCAGCTCATGGCTTCTGATACAACCCGGATTGATGCTAGGCTTACTCTTCTGTGTCTCGCAATTGCGGTCGGGATCATCGCAGCGGAACAGCATGCCGGTCTTGTCGGCCGCAATGATTCGATCATACCAGCCAATGGGGGTCGCACTTGAGCTGTTGCCAAAGTATTTTTGAGTGAATTCGGAGCGGTTACCCCATCGCAAGAGGTGATCCCTGGCGTGTTGCGCTACCTGGACGGCCTCATCCAGGCCCTGCTGGAGCTGGGCACGCAACGTACTGTTGCAGGACTGATGAATGTTGAAGGACGGTTTCCAACCCTCCGACCAGTCATAAACATTGGCCTTTGCCGTTTCTTTGGGGATGGTAAGGGTGACGGTCGCCTTGGGGTCCTGAGTAATGATGGGCGTGCCAAGCGCATGCTCCAGGAGCATGGCCACCATGAAAGAGGTTCGTAAATGCATTTTCACGACTTAAATGCGATCAAGATCCTGCAAGTCAAGGTGCTTCGTCTTTCCGATCGTCTCATCTTTTGACAGGCAGCAGCGTTCACCGGTTCTTATACCTTCATTGGGGTGGTCAACCACGTGGGAACCCAACGAGACCGACAGCCTGATGGCTCACGTTACTTTTGCAACCTACATGGGTAAAGCAATAGTCTGCGCAATTTCGCCATGTCGGTCCAGAGACCCTGTTCGGTCTGGTGTTGTTGCTGCCCATCAAGGTCACCCGCGAAGTGGGCGTCGATGCCATCAAGGTGTTTACTGGAGGACGCCAAGACAAGCTTAACCCAACACAAGAGAGCAGCCAAACATATGCCCAATCAGCTCAATATTTTTATGCTTAAGAGATAAGCATACATCTTGATGGACCCATGCTGCGTCATTGGCAATTGCAGAAGGTTCTTGAGAAGATCTTGCCCCCTGTAAACCAGCCATCTCGCGTTCCGGGCCGCATCGTGGATGACGAGAGGTTTTATGTAATGCGTGACACATGGCAACAGAGACTCTCCCAACTCAGCGCACTGAACTGCATTTCTTTTAAACCATGGAAGTGTTGGGTCTGCAACTGATTGTCACAACGTTCGTCTCGCTCAGCCAAGGTTGTGCCTTCCACCAGAAGGTCCATGTCATCCTCAACACAGGCACGGTGTAATTAATACGGCCCCACTGACCATGGCCTTTAGCACACAGTCTTCCACAAGAAAGGGCTGTTGAAAGGAGCCTAGAGCTGTCGCTTCATTCTTCTCCACGCGGGCGTGGCGCACACCATACGTGCGACGCGGACGCGCCATCCCTGGAGCCCAACGTGGAGTATTGGCGTGCAGCAATCCTGAGGCTCGACTAGCAAAGTACACCACGTTCTTGGATCACACGAATTGTGCCAAGTGTTATATCGCAACGCTGCGGCCTGTCTATACTGTACGTGCACTACCGCTCTGTCTATCAAACCTCTAAAAATGTTCCACCAATGCTGACCAGAGCCAGCACTGAGCTCAAAAGTAAATACTCTGCTCCTAATTCCAAGCTGAATGCAACCAAAGTCATGCCCTCGTAATCATCCATGCCATGTAGCAAATTATCTCCTCTCGGCGATCATCGGCGTTGAAGTGGGTTGCTCAAGTTCAAGCTCAACCAAGTGCCGGACCGTTCGCGAGCGATCGAGCTCAGAAGCCGCCGTTGGGGTTGGGGTTGGGGATAACGTTGCCGCCCTGCTGCACGGGAGGGATGACGGAGACCTTGGTCTTGGACGCGAGCTCCCTGTGCTTGCTCAGGCTGACGGCGGGGTTGTCAAAGTTCTGGTTGATGACGCCGACCATGCCGTTCTGGCAGTGCGAGCCGACCTGCTGTGGGCAGTAGTACCAGATCGGCTTAGTGTCCTTGACGACAATCTGGAAAACCTTGGGTGCCTGGCCCTGCTGAGTGGCAAAGTTAAATCCGGAAAAGAACGAGGTGCCGTCGGCCAGAGGCTGGCATGGCTCGCCAAAGCTGGACTGCGCGACGGAGTGGTTCTTGGGGAGGTAGTGCCACTCGACCACATCGCCGACCTGGGCGACAACGTTGTCCGGATCGAAGCGAAGGCCACCGAGACCAGCGACAACCGAGTGCGTGACGCCAGTGAGAGGGACAGTCTTGGAGACTTCCCTGGGGACGGTGGTGGTGGGTGCAGCGGAAACGCTGGCGGCCAGGGACAAGACGGCAAAGGTGAGGGCGTACATGTTGGCTGTCGGTAGGTTGTGTTCCGGGTGAATGAAGCGAATCGTTGAAGTTAAAGTATGAGAGTTAAACTGTGGCTTATTGTTCTGATGTTGATGGCGCTGAGTCTGATGATGGGAATAAACATCGGGTTTCCTCGTCCGTGACGGACATCTTTATAGAGTTCATCTTGCCAGTCCTTCCCGCCCCAGCCCGCTCTGCCTTCAACTACCGCCTCCCGGCATCTTGACCAGCCGAAGTCAGTGCTGACCATGCTGTGCAGTGTAAGACGAGATATTATTGACATGTTTCCCATGTCTACGCCGCACGTCTATAGTCGACGATGCCAGAATAAACGGGCTGCGACGCTCATTCGTCGACGCCTCCGTTGCACGGTCGCACCGCCGTGGGCGAGGGCCGGAGGCGGAGGCTGAGCTGGCCCACACGTGCTCCCGGAACGCGGGGCCTCCGGGGGCGCAGCTACTGGAGTGAATGTTTCCGAGGTCAGCCAGCGGTCAGCAGCCCTACCCGGCGTGTTTATTTAAATGTTTGCCCCTCCACGGTGGGCCGGTTGGGGCTGACACGTTAAATTTGGCAGCCAGTGGCTGTGAGGGCCATCGCCTGGAATGTTGTGCTCACTGCTCACCGGGCTAAACGCCAAGGTAGGACACGCCCCGACCCGTCGGTGAGCGCAAACGCGTGAGCACCGAAAGGAAACCGGAGTGTAATCCTCTGGGGCCTGACTGACTGCCCAGGCTGTTTTTCCTACGTCTCGGTGAGATGCACACGGGTCGGCGTCTGGCCGGGCTCATCGCCGCGTCCGACGTCGCGCATACTTGCTGACTGGCAGCCACCACGCACAGAAGTCGAAAACTCGAGATGAGATTGAACAACACCTTGCGCCAAGCTAACCTGCCTGACCACCTACAAAGGCTCTCGCGCTTGGCAGCCTCGAAAGTTGAAGCCAACGCGGGCGATTGCCGACGTGTTGTCATCACCCATCAGACCGGAGAGCACCACCATCGTCGCGCAATGCAAGGATGCGGGCCAGGTCTGAGGAAGGCAGGTTACACAACAAGACGCGGCACTTGCTTTGTAAAACGGTCGCTGGGGGCGGAGCATGTGTCACTCCTGTCATCGTAACGCGGCAGTGGTCGCGCTGCCCGGCGCACGCAGTGGCTGCCCACCAGCTCTACTGCAGCGCGTCAGCACATGGACAATGGCTTCGGCAATAACTTTGGTGAGCAAGGGCAGGAATGGAGGAGCGCGAGGTGATCGTGTGTTTCGCTCGGGTCTAGTGGACTTTGCGTTAGAGCCCAAAGTTGTCGAGGCCGCCTCCAACAAGCACCGTTATTTTGTAATTGATGAGATCCGCGAGGCCGCTCGTTGACAGTGATCGAAAACCTGTTACCACTCGCGAGCTGTAGTATAATGCATGGAGTACTCACTTCTATATACTATGCGATTAGCCATTTGAAGGCCGCGGGAATGTTGACTCCTGCGTCGAGAAAGGTGTAGGGTACGATGCGCGACAATGCCCAGAACCAAGGACGCGCAAAAACAGGTGGCCGGAACAATGGTGTGTATCCCTACCGCCGTACAAGGAACGCGCGACTCAGCGAACGCGTCGCTGATTCCCTCTGCCACTCCCCGGCCGAGCAGTACCGGCCTGCATGCTGTTGCACTCGAGTAGCCACGCGAAGCAATGTTCCAAAGGTGTCAATTTGAACCGCTGACGGCAGACTATGGAAAACCGCTGGCGATAAACACTGATATCACTTCGTGTCAATACCATGGCCACCGCCTGGGCAGCCCGTGGGCAGTCTTCGTCTCCCTCAACCACGCAACCACTAGGGAAGTAGGGAATCACCCTGTTCTCCACCTCTGGCCCTGTGCTGCTCCCTCTGTGTACCGCTACGACTCAACACGAACACGCAAGCGACCCGGGTTCGCTATAGCCCACAGCGCAATCTTCGTCATTGGGGCCCAGGAGGGCCAGGATGGCGATAATGCGAGCCTCTATATGTGCGAGGTTGAGAGAGGAAGAGAGTGGTTGCTAACGCTCGGGCGAGTAGACGCGGGCAAGGAGCTCGCGAGCCAGCACCACGCCTCTCACCTAAGTTACGCGTACCGAACGCATACAACCCCAATCTTTCCTCTCTCAACCTCGCACATATAGAGGCTCGAAATGGCGCCATCTTGGTCCTCATGGGCCCGGATGACAAAGTCGGCGCTATGGGCGATAGCGAGCCCGAGTCGCTCCAGTCAACCACCCAGGCGCCGCGGCAGCCGGCTGGTCGCACTTCCGCCGACGGCACAGATATAGATGATGACTCTTTCGAGCCCTTCGTGCCCAGCCCGGGCGTGACTGCTTCGGCCGATAAGAGTTATGGAGCGTGGCGAGCCGAGTCTTTCGGTTTGGTCAAGCGGGTGTCGCAGCATGATACCGTGCAGGTCTTCTGGGCTCACTATAGCAAGCCTCGATATCGACTTCGAACGAATGAACCGATTCTGAGGCTATTATGCCCTGCCCAGCCGCGACTGCTCCGGCCGGCAAGAACAACGGTATGGACTGCATCGAGCCGGAAGTTTCGGGTCGGTCAAACCAGACGTCGCGGAGGGAAGCGGTGAAAAGTTGCGTCTGAAAGTCGAATCGCTTCCCGGACGGGGCGTGAGCGGACAACCCACCTTCTCCCAGTCCTGCGGCGTAAGGTGCGTCCACTGCTTCTTAAAGGCTAGCGAGCGCGAAGGGCAGCCATCACTTCTTTGAGCTGCTCTGTAGAGAGCAGCTTCGTTGAGCCAGTAGGCGTCGCAATTGGGTCTCTCAGCTTCTCACGGATGTGACGGGGCACGACAGGACGCGTTATTGAACCCTAGGTTAACAGCATAGGCAACCTGCCTCCTTAGAGAGATCGAGATCCCAGTGCTGTGGTCTATGATTGCATCTTGATAGCCAGATTGTACAGTCGAACCCGGACGGAGTTGGCTGTTGCCATTGTCACCCGCTAAGATGGGTCAGCTTTGGACGCATCGCTCGACTTGGCTACACCTACCCCAGCGATCTCGCCGCAGAGCGTCGGTACGGTCGCGAGAGGGACGACGTAATCGTTGCATTGGAGCCGTTCTTCTGCCGCTGTATAGGTACTACAAATACGGCGAATTTCCTTTGCGATCTTTGCCTGTAGCTGGGCTCGTCTCGGTCGGATATGCAAGTCGCGGTCGGGCAGGGCATATTAGGCTGTGACTCAATTGATCAGTTCGAAGTCGATATCGAGGCTGACCATGGTGAGCCGGCAAGAGTGGTGCTTCGTATTGGTGCCCGCGACGGCGGCAACGGCCTAGCCGGTCAGGAGGCCGACACGGCGTCTGACTGGCCGACCCGAGAGAACCGAGCTCGCTGCAATTCACATCGCAGTTTGCACCGGCCGGGCCCAGAAGGGCCAAACTGGCGACGTTGTGAACCCCTCTGTAGGCGGCCAAGGAGGGAGAGGGCTCGGGCACGGGAGCCGTTCATAATAAGGACGCGACCAGCCGGGCCAGGTGGACCTCGGCGGCAACAGCCGGGCCGCTATTAGCTGCGGTGTGACGGGGTAAGCTGGCAAAGGCTCAGCCCACTGGCCACTGGAGATTCTTGAGGGAACCAACATGTGTTGTGTGTTGGCAAGCGCAGCCTGGCGGTGAAGCTCGTTTGATCAATGAGATTGTGAAAGAGGAACCTGTCCGTACGGACCGCGCCGGGAACACCGTTTTGCACCGGTCCAGGTCGCCGTCTCTAGCGAGAGGGAGAGACATGGTGGAAGGTCATGTGCAAGGAGGGCCCAATTCAAGCGGTGCCGTTCCCCGCGTTCGTCGGCCAACTCGGGAGATCAGCGCAGTGGCTAGTGGGCACTGGGTACTGTCCGAAAGGCTGGCGGCCTCGACAGTCATCAAAAGCCGCCTGTACAAGTGCCTGCTGTACGGCCAAGCTGGACTGTCACTCAGCCTGAACACCACCCTCAAGGAACAGTATCCAGGCCATGTCTCAGTCAGGCCACCCATACAGAACCCGGAGAACTACGCGTTCTGTTCTGAAACGCAACGCAGACGCTGCTAGCAACCGAGAAGGCCATGGCGTCGTTAGTTGGCTGGCTGTCAGCCGGCAAAGTGAAGACACAATTGGCGTCACAGATTACCAATTTGGCATCTCGGCTGGGTAAATCCAAGGCCTGGCAGTGCATGATCGCTCACAATTTGAGACACCTTGCTTGTAGTTTGGTCTGGTTCCCTCCCCTGGCATCGACGCCTTCCCGTACATTGCTGGCGCAGAAGACCGGTTGCTCGCGCGTCGCTCCCGCTCAGCTTGCATGCCTGCCACGCGACAGACAACAGTAACCCCTGAATCTGACATTATAATCGGCGACCTGCTGCCTCTTGCCCTTTCCTAGCAGGCTAGAACGTTCTCGAAGGGCGCAATGCGCGGCAGTCGTCAATCCACGTCCTTCGGGTCGCTGTTCGCCATTGCTTCTGCTCTAAAGCGTCAAACACGATCTGCGTGAGCCGCAGCGTGTAGTCGGATGTAATGGTCGCGACTCGTGGGCATCTTGGTAGTTCCTTTGACCAGCCAGCTCCGTAGCATCAATTGCCAAACTACAAACGCACGAGAGGAGACGCGACAATGGTCGTCTCAAGGACGACTACCTCCCAAGTCCACGACACTTCGCTGTTCTCTAGCCATTTAGTGTAAGCTCCAACACAGGGAACTGGGGCCTGGACCCCGCCATCAGACCCGCCCCCAGAAAAGCCCCCGGCGCCAGTGACGACTCCAGGCCCCGTGTATTGGTAGACCGCACCATGGGTGGCTGAGACCCGGCTTGCCTCTGGCTCAACCGTTGAACACTCGAGGCAATGTGTAGCTAGCGCACGTCCGAGCGCAACGGCATGGCTTGCTCCATCAGCTCTGTCATCAACGGCCCGAGGCGAGTCCACGCGGTATGTGGGTAGACAAGGTCAGGGGCATTAAAACAGCAGTTGACTCCGCTCCCGTGTCGGGCTTTGTCCTCGCGAGCATGTGGTGAGCAGCGCTCGGTCGCAGCCTGCATGTGACGGCACGATGCATGGCAATATGATGTTTATTATATGCCTGTTGGTGTCGGTCGCGCAGTTTGCCGTGGGCCTGGCGCTGAATCCGGAGTCCGTCTCCCTGCCATCATGCCCGGTAAGTGTACTGAACGAATACCGTGTGCTGACACTGACGATAGCATAGGAGAGATGTCTCAAGGAGGCCTTGCAGACGTCCAACTGCTCTAAAGCCGGTGTCACCTGCGTCTGCAATGACGATGGGTTGTTCGACGGCTTCGTTACGTGTTCCCACCACGAGTGTAAGCCCAAGGACATCCTGGGTGAGTTGAAAAGCTGTATACATCCTGTGTGATGCGAAACGTGCTAACTCCAGTCAGTGGCTATCAATTTGACTACCGTCGCGTGCGACTTTCCGATACGAGACGACCGCCCAAAGCTCATAGAGATGGCCGTTGCCTTCCTCTGCGTCACGAGCGTCATTGTCGGACTGCGGCTGTTCCAAAGGCTCTGTCTTGGCAGTGGCCTCTACCCCGATGACTGGCTCATACTCGTGTCATACGTTAGTGTTTCCTCGAACATGCCCACGAGCCTTGCTGACCATACCAACGCAGATCTGCGGCATACCAAGCACGGTGAACCTCATAGTCGGACGTCAGTCCCCAGCGCCTAGCCCGGAGTGGTACCACAATGCTGACGCGGCCAAGTTGCCGGGAACGGACTTGGAACAGATGCTTGGACTGTGCCATTCGACAAGATTACCACTTTTCTTCGTGTAAGTACCTTGCCCTAGCGCTGGCGGCTAGCTACTGACAGTGTAGATCATGTACGTGAACGAAATACTCTACTTCACACAAGTCTTTACTGTCAAGCTCTCGATATTGGCCTTTTACCTGCGCCTCTTTCCCGGAACCATTGTACGACGCCTCATCTGGGGAACAATAGTCATGACCGGATCCTTCATCATCATATATGATCTCATGGTCATTTTCCAGTGCAAACCCGTCAGTCATTACTGGCTGGGCTGGGACGGCGAGTCCAAGGGAAGCTGCCTGAGCATCAACGCTCTCGTTTGGGCGAACGCTGCGTCCAGCATAACTCTCGACGTATGGATGCTTGCCCTTCCACTGGCGCAGCTTCGAGCGCTGCAGCTCCACTGGAAGAAGAAGATAGGCGTCGCCCTCATGTTTAGCGTCGGAGTATTGTGAGTACACGGGCGTTTCTCAATCTAGGTAGCCATTGATGGCTAACACACTTCAGCGTCACGGCCGTCAGCATCCTCCGTCTACAGTTCCTGGTGAAGTTTGGCAGCTCGACAAACACAACTTGGGATCAATTCCCCACAAGCTACTGGTCTGCAGTGGAGCTCAACGTGAGCGTGTGCTGCGCGTGCATGCCTAGCATGCGTCTCATCTTGGTCCGTCTATTTCCCAAGATGTTGGGTTCATCTAGAGACAGGCTGCACGAATCGCCGATAAGTCTGTCACGACATCGCCGCGCACAGAAACCTGCCAATCCGGATCCAACGATTAAGATCATACAGTCGCGGGGCTTTCAGGGCTACTGTGACTTAACTGACGGGGATGCCAGTACCAGAGAGCTATCTGATGGACCGAATTGGAAGAGTAATCAGCCTTGAAACCGCCAACTTGCACTTCCATGTTGGCTTAACATAAATGAGCAAGGGGGGCGCTGTCGAGAGCATGAACAGAAACATGTGAAGTTTCCCTGGCCATTGTCTTGATCTCGTCGAAATACCGTGGAAGTATGACTTGACTCCTAACGTCGTGATGTACAGTACCTCTAACTCGGGAAGAGTGCGTCCCGCTCCAATCGCTGGGTGCAGTCCTCGGGCACTGGCTATCACAAGCTCGGTACCGTCTCGTGAGCTCTAGCATCACACGCACGACAGTGAACCGCCAGAAGCGCAGTGACCCCCACGCCATGGCCGGCATTCCAATCATCATGCCCGGACAGCCTCCGGGAGGATGCGCTGGATCGGCCAAGGCGATGCCATTCCTGTAACGCGCATTTACCGCCAAAGCAGCCTCAAGTGATCGCATCATCAGTGTCCAACCCCGCATCGGCGACCCGATGCGCATGTCTTGGTTTGTCTCATAACATTCCCAATGGACGTCGTGATTCGTGTCAGGAGTTCAGGCAAATACGAAGCCAGCCGCAGCGCCACCACAGTCGTTGCGGGCGCGCGCCCAGACTGGGGTCTCGTCGGTCACTCAGCTGTCAAGGAGCTGCGACTCGACGCCTCATCCAGCCTGTGGCGGCGTGCCATGGCATGTTCCGTGTTCCCCATCATTCTTCGTAGCTTTGCTCTGGCCAAAATGGACCTCAGGATCAGAGCATGAGATGCTTCAAGTTCCGCTGTATGATCATGTCCTGTACTGAGTCCATCGTAATTTTTATCAGGTTCGTATCCGTCGCGTTCGTAAAGTGTCCGTAGATCTCCTTGTCTGGGTTTCGGCTTTGAGCTCGAAACTTGTCGAGGAAGTAGCTGCTCGCGGCCTTGTAATCGTCTGGGGCACCACGGTAATCCGTGAATCCGTGATCGGTTATCGGTCGTCGCGGGAGTTTCTCTCTAAATAGATCCATCTTGTTGAGGAAGAGGATCATAGCCGACTTGGTGAACCAGCGTGAGTTCACGATTGACTCGAAGAGCATCAGCGCCTCGTTCATTTGGTTCTGGACCGCGATTAGCATGCGAAGCAACCAAGCGACCGGACTCCCCATACCCCATCCATGTCTTCCACTAGACACTGGTCGTAGCCACTGATCGCCACAAGAAACAAGACAGATTGGACGTTGTCGAAACAGTGTATCCACTTCTTTCTCTCTGATCTTTGACCACCGACGTCAAATATGCGGTAGGTCAGAGGGCCGATGGCAAAACGGCACTCTGTGATGCCCGTCGTCTTGAGTCGAGCGCAGAGTATGTCTAGGTCGTTGGGGACATAGTCCTCTGCCCATAGCCTAGGTATACTGGAAATGAAGCTGCGCTATGTCAGCGATGTCAACACCCAAGACGAGAACTGACGAGCCGTACTATGTCACGTTATCATGCAGTGCGTACTCACAGCCCTTCGAGAAGGCTGCCTTAACACCCGCGTCTTGCCACAAGGCCTTGATTGGGTCTATGAGATCCTGCGGGAACCTGTCTTCTGGCCCAACCTCGCGCTTTTCGAGGATCGTGGACATGAGGAGCTGTGCGAGTATATGTTAGTTGGTGTTCAATGTACTCGACGATGCCATCAAAGATCGCAAGCACCGTGTAGCACCGGATGGTGGGGCGCACTTTACTGTCAGGACTCTCAAACTGGTAGTTGAAGTCTGACATGACCATTTGCATGATGCGAAACGACTCGATGATGTTGCGAAATATGATAGGCCTCCACCATAACCTCTCACGGTCGCTGAAGCTCCTCGAGTAGATGAGTCGCATCTGCTTGAGGATCGTGGTCTTTCCAGACTCGCCAGCTCCTGGGAGAAGACGTCAGCGAGTTCGGCCGCAAAGATGGTGGACAACAGTGCCCCGCGTCATCATTGAGACGGCGCCGCTTACCGAGCAGTAGCAGCTTCACTTCCTTGGCGAGCCTCGCCTCATCTTGCCGGATGCCGCGGTCGATGTCGCGCGAGCGAGTGACGCCGCTGTCGTCCTTGTCGCGCGGGCCGAGACACATGGCGAGAGCAGGCCGCGTCTCGTGGCCAACGATGCCCAAGACCCAAATCGTGAATGCGCATTGATGAAGGTGGGAAACAACGCGACGACCACCACCTTCCGAGCGAGCGCAAGTGCATTAACGGACCCGGCGCCCGGCCTCGGGACAGCAGCTGAGTTCAGCCAGAAACAGAACTGGTCCACACCAAACTGGAGGCTGCAGCGCTGCGCAGCGCTCTTGGCCGACAAGCTTACCAGGACTAGGATCCTCCAGGCAAGTGATCACCGCCAAGCTGGAGCGTCCATGCCTGCAACGGTCCTGCAGGTCCTGATAGCCGAAATTGACGGCTGAGCCGGGCGCTCCAATGGGCACCAGGCGCTTGACTCAAACCCTGCTGGCGCCGTGGGGCAGCTCCGAACCAGATTTCTTCACCTGTCTCATCGCGACAACGTGGGTTCGGGCCGGGACGGGCGGATCCTGGTTCCGCCTGGATCTGCAGGCCATCGCTGCCCGCACATGTCACTGGCAACGGGACTATTGGTTTTGCTTCTGCTGGCGAGCTCGATAACACAGCGCGCCGAGCAAATGCCCAGGAGCAGTCAGTCACATGATGGACAGGGCATGCGCTGCCGCTCAGAGCACAAGGCCTTGAGGCACGGAACACAAAGTACGGTAGGGAGTTGGGTCAGTGTTCTGTCTCGCTGCGTTATGCAGACTCTAGAAAATGGTCCTGAACTCCTGGTCTTGCGTCCGTGCTCCAAAGGGAAAGTGGCATGCTAGCTCGCTTGCGTGCGGTAGGATCACTGCTCAATTCGGCGGAAAATGCAACCCGTTGGTCTGTTAGGACGATGTGTCAACCGTTGCCCATACGCACGAGCACCAGAAAGTTGTCGCCTGTGAGTTGACACAACGCGCAGCATAAATAGTATGCACGTTTCTCGGATCCATTCCGATGCCGACCAACATGGGCATCTCGGGGACCAAAAGTGAGTGGCGTAGGCGTCCACGACCAGGAGAAGCCTGGGAGCTTATCGACCCGGCTGAACTCTGACGATACCGGCGGCGCCAGGCGTCCGACCGAAGCCGTTTGTCACCCACAACATCCATGTATTACCAGGTCAGGGTTTGCAACCTGGTTGTTGAAGGACCGGAACGTGGTCGGCTTTTGTGCAGCTCCAGGGGCGGGGTCGGACCGGCCAAATGCCGCGTCCCAACCTGGGGACGCCACTTCATCAAAGTGAACAAAGCAATTATTGTTGCCATTGCACGATATCGCCATGGGCGGCATTTGGCGCAGTGGCTGATACAAAATGTCTGACAAGAACGCTTGCCCATGAATCCTCAATGGCGCAAAACGCGGCAACATGAACCACACCGGCTGCAGAGTCCGCTATCCCCTGTTCATTATCGCCGTTCACACAAGCGCAGCACAGTCGACCATACGCAAGGGCCTCGGTGTATTCACTGGTCCTTCATTTGCTGTCCTCATCCATCGACAGGGCGACACTCTCGAGCCGCCCTTCCCGATTGACAACCTCGGCATCCCTCCTGTCAAGAACGGTAAAGAACCCCGCTGCAAGCCGGCAGAAGAGCACGGAAGCCAACAGACGCAACACTATGTACACGCAATCCTTAACGGAGACAAAGAGGACGCTTGAAAACAGAAGGGTGCCGAAAAAGACGTGAACTACCGTGTATACCGCCGTGAACCATGTGATGAGCTTTGTGGCCGCAGTCGGCGGCAGGATCTTGATCCGGATTCTCTTCTGGACCCTTCCATTGGGACCTGCCATCTCCGACTTCGGTATTGGGATGTGCTTGACGCGAAGGAATACGGTAACAGCCCCGATTGCGTGAATCGAGAGGCCTAGAAAGGCCCACAGGAACATCAACCAGCCGTCGCCTTGAACAAAGGTGAAGATGGCCCTGGAGCCGATGCGGTACGAGACCTCGGCCATGTTACCGATGGAAGCGACCGCGAGGACATAGAAGACGGCCCATCCGGCAGCGCTCGCCAGCTTCTCTCGAGCCCCTCTTCCTGCTCGAATGTCCCGCCCTAACCACACGGGAATATTGATGTGATTGTGTCGCGGGCGGAGAAAGCTATCCTTCAAATGGCTCCCGCTGCTCAGCGACGGACTCAGCGCCGGCGACCCAGCGGCAATCAGCAGCGCAGCGAGGCGACGCTTGCCGACGGCAGCAATCACGCCAGTGTGCCATGGGCTGGGCCCAAGCACGGCGAGCAGCGACGGCGTCAATCCCAGAAGAACCTGGGCGCTCGCCATCCGAACCTTGATGATCTCTGGTGTGTTCTTGAGTATGCAGTCGACGAGTTGATGCGTGACGCTATCGAGCCCGAATGCGGCGCTCACGGGATCAATCTCGGCCTTTCGCAGCTTGAAGGGGTCGGTGTCGCTGTCGCCGTGCTCGTTCTCATAGTTGCGCGCGCGGAAATCGCGGTATATCTCTCCGCAAAGGGAGTCATTGCCGAGGATATAGCGGAATGCTTCATTGTATTGCGGGAAGAAGGTCGAGAAGTCGGTACGCAGAAGGTCAGACAACGCCAACGGTAGCAGCGAAAGGGCGGCAACGGCGCCCCACGGCCGCATCGTACCGCGTCGAGCTGGTGCTGTCTATGTCAGCGAGTGTGAATGGGGCCTTGTCTTGAGCGGAGCGAAAAACAGTCGAGGAGAGACGAGGCGAATGGAATATTGATGGCATTTGCCTCGTTTGAATGGCGAGCATCTTCCATGTCGACAACGCAGGACCACCGCGGATCTGATGGGGGCCATTGTGTCATGAGGCAAAGCTGCACGACAATCCTCCGTCAGCACGTCAAACCACCAAGAGCCGCCGACGTAGAGCGCTCTCGTTGGTCCGCCAAATGTTGCAACTTGCCTGCTTTTTTTGCAAGATGCCTTTAGCCAAAAGGCGTGCACACAATCCTTCACCTGTCCCTGGGAGCAGCGCGGCTCCAGTTTGTGCAGACCGGGACGGTCCGCTGTCTTGATCTGACCAAAATCACTTGTGTCCTCCCAATGAAAGTCCTGAGGCCCGCAGTAGTTTATTGCCGTGCATGGACCCCATGTTTGCGGCTGAGGATGGTCATGACGATGATGCAGAGAGCAATTGAAGCAGTCGCCTCGTCGCTCGGAAGTTTTGCTGTGTGCTTTGGGTGGCAAGCAAGTCTGACCGTGACGCCGGCGCCGGTTCTGTGTGCGGCATGCAACAACCCTATCACAGTTGCCTGACCCTGTCATAATCGCCGCCGTTCGGTGGTCGGTGGCCCGCCTTCTCTTGATACTCCCGGTGCAGTACTTGCAATGTAATCTCGGGCCTCCGAGCGTCCGAATCCAAGAGTTCATTCAGCATTCAGCTGCCCCCTTTATTGCCAAAGGCGCTACTCCGTCGTGATGATCAATGATGCTTTTGGCACACTCAGTGACGCCCTCGCGATGCTCCAGTGGACAGTGGGACGGGCCGACCCCAGAGTTAGTTTGCCAGAGCCCAAAATTGGGGTCGTTAGCGTCTGTCCCCCTGTTATCGGGCTGCAACGGGGGTCCAGTCTTGCCAGTATGAGACGCTGCGGCGCGCGTGGCTGGAGGCTGGGACGGGCTGTTGGTTGTGTGGCTCGCTCTCTTCCCACCCGACTGCTTCACACTTCTTCAGATGCTTCTTACACCTGTGACAAATGAGGTAGATTGAGCGAGAAAGCTGTTATGCCTACCGATGGCTCCAGGCTCAAGCCTCGAGCAGTGCGGCAACAATCTGTGCCTTCGTGGGCTCGGTCGCCTCGGCAGTTGACGTTGGGAAGCCAACAACAGCAGCCAACAGCGGCACGTCAGAATCTCACCACCGTTTGCTCCACTTCACCAAGCTCGACCGTGCACCGCTGCCAAGTTCACCGAGATCCGAGCGATGGCTTGCATTGGCACGTCAGGCAGTGAGATCGGCAGTCCCATCAGGCCAAGAGAATCTCGTGGTCTGGGGGCAACTAATTGATGTCATACCACTCGGCGTGGCACGATTCTAGCGGTCTGCCGGCGACATGCCGACTTCATGCCGGCGGAGCCAAAGACCAGTCACCTGCAGCGAGACCCCATGACGCACATGCAGCCATATTCAGGACGTCCAGGTTGCTTTTGTCTGGCCTTTTGGCCAGTCGCAGGCCGTGGCCCTCTGACCCAGCTCGAGGTGGTTTGGGGGACCATGAATGCCGATGTAGCTATCCGGCCGTCCCGGAGTGCCGGCATCCTGTATCGGAGGATCCGGACGCGGGCCAACGCAACACCACCGTCAAGTGACCCGCTATTGCCGATGAATGCCGCATCATGTGGTCGACTGCCGGCATCGTCGAGCTCTCTAGCCGGATATCCGGGCGTCAATTGACTCTGTCGAGCCGCGGAAATCCTGCTTCCCTCCCAGGTGGTCAGCCGGGACATACGGAACGACCGCTCACGCAGGGAGAATGCTCGGGAAGCGCAGAGACAGCAGCAGTAGCGTGGCATCAATTTGTTGGAAAGAGCTACCGGAAAGCTCTCGTTGGCGTCTCGGCATCGTCCATTGCTCACGATTGAGGCAATGGTTGCATCTGCAGGACCAGGAAGTGAAAGAAGACATATAAAGCACCGTCGCTTCCGGCAATGCGACGTCGGTGTTTTCACAGATAGATCTATACAGCTCCTCAGCCAACTTCTTTGCAAAATTTCTCGCATCCTGCATCACGGCGCGCTCCTCAATTGACCTCGACGAACCATGATGGAGCAACTCACCCTGCGATCGCTGGCCACGGCGAATCATTTCATGGTCTTCGCTTCATCGGTAATCGTGACGGGAATTATTTCCCACTTCCTCAAAGTTGACTCGTTTCGCAATGCCCACATAATTTACCAAGAAGTTATTGTACGTGTTGCTCCCCGCGGGAGGCTTGGGACATGTCACGATAGCTGACCAGGGCTATCTCCACGCAGGCGACAATCACTCTGGCCGTGTCAATTGTCGCGATGGTGCTGCCTTTCATCCATCGCTACAAAGGATACCTTCTGCCATTTAATCTCATCGTGTCATACCTCTGGCTCACGTCCTTCATCTTCTCGACTCAGGACTGGGCGGGCGGCCGCTGCCCTCTCAATGGTCCCGGATCCGGAGATTGCGGCCTGAAGAAGACCGTCATTGCCTTTAACTTTCTGGCCTTGTAAGTCTAACTCATCATAATTGCTTCAGAGCATTCCCGTTGATTCAATATTTTCCAGGTTCTTCCTTCTCTGCAATGTCGTTGTCGAGGGGCTTCTGTGGCGCGAACCGCGTGTCCCTGTCAACCCTCCAAGTACAAAGGAACGTCCCGTGTCTGATGCTACCGCACCCGAGACTTCCAGCAATGTTTAAATAATGTTATGCGGGACCAACGAGCCGGAAGTTAAACGGGGTCGGACCGGACATGACAGTGTCATGTTCGCTTGATCCCCACTCACGAGTGGGAGCAGAGCCACATTGAGATGTGGCGCAGAGACACTGGGGATTCGTCGAGACTGAGATGCACATTGCACACCATGACTTAGGTAGACACCGTAATACTCAATAATAATGGTGGACGACATTCAACTTTGGTACCGGTTTGCAACTTGTTCGAAGCGTTCATTGCAGCGCGATGAGTTTCGCATAAAAATATTGCTCACCGCTAGCCGTGACAGCCGATCCTGTGGCCAGCGTGACTAAAGTAATGGCTTGTACAATAAAATAACAGACTTTTCGACTCGCCACAAAGTCGTTCAGTCATTCCTCGTCATCATACACTCGTTCCTCCCAAACACCAATACATGTAACGCGTGAGCGACACCATTTTTAGGACAATATCCCTCCGGGACCCCTCATCGCCTCCAACTCATTAATAAACAATAATGGTAGAAAAGCTGTTGCCGTGCCCTCGTTGTCATCTGTGAAGATATGCACCGACATTTCTAGATAAGCTCGACGAAAGGTCGCCCACGCATCCCGGTATGCTGGTGAGTCTATCCACCGCGGCCAGCACGCCCCATTCTGCATCACCGCATTCACGAGATGCGTGGTGACGGCCCGAGCCGTCCGTCGGAACGGCTTGCAATTCGCAAAGTCGATGAGCCAAAGCTGGACATGGCCACTTTTGTCGCATCCTAGCATGAAGTCAACGCCGGCAGCGTCGATGCCGCACGCCCAGTGCAAGGCGCCCAGAGCCGATCCCATGGAGCTTGCAAGGGAGCAGATGTCAACCCGCTCGGCGTATAGTTGATCGATGTAAGCCGGGCGATCTCGAAGCTCGGTTTGCCATCTGTCGGCAAGCGGCTGGAGGTCGCCCATTCGTACCTTGGCCAGGAAGTGCGGAGCTAAAGCACTGCCAAAGGCGCGGTCTTGAACGCATTTCGATATGTGTCGCTTGACAAGGTACTTGGCATGATACCTGTTGAACGGGCGGATGTATTCCATTGTGTAGGCGGCGCTGTGCTTGGGAAAGTGTTGAATGTCTTTAAAGATGTCGCGATGCTCCGACGCCATGACATTGGCGTAGAACTGGAAGCAACGCGGCACGAAGGGAAGGAGGACTTCAACACCCTGATCAAACAACTCGCGGTGAACAAGAGTAAATGTTGCATCAACGTCCTGTTGTGTTGTATATTCTTGATGAAGCATAAGAGTATCTCGACTTGCTTTGATGACCCGTGTTGAAGAAGTAGGCGGAGTTGTAAAGACCCAGGAGGTGGCCGTCCTGGCCAGCAGTTGGGCTTGGGCAACAGGGGCAGCTGGCGGACAGGTGTGATTGATCCACCAGTATCGCCCGAAAAAAGACCAGAAAGACGGAAATTTCACCCAGTGGCGGCTTGATCCATGTCTTGTTGTCGTGACGGACCTCTCGGTCCCGCGATAGTCGTGGCAAGCGAGCACCAGAGGCTCGGCAGCAAAGTGCATCGTCGAAAACCTCTTGTCGTCTCCTGGTATATTGGACAGCATTCCGCGGCTCTGAGATATCGAGCTGGCAGGTTCTCATCCGTCAATGTCCACGTCCGCGCCGAAGGAGGGGACAATAAGTAATTGATAACGCAGGGCTGAGGCGGAACCGCCGCAGCTGCCGGGAGAGGAGATAGGTTGAATTCATCATGCAGACGAGGCCGAGACCGTGGAATCGAGCCGCTAAAGGTTTTCAGACCACCCTTGAGATATGCCACCGCGACCCGACGGCGGCAACAGGCGGAGGAAAGAGTGACATCAAGTTCCGTCAATGGGCCCCTGCGACACCGAGTCTTCAGCGATGGCACAGACTGCGCCAACGATCGAACCAACGTGCGGCCGCAGTCAAAGAGAGGCTCATCCACCACCCTGAAAAACGTGGCATCGGAACCTGCATGCATGTCGACTGACATTGAGCGAGCGTAGTGCTGATGTCGTCGTGCAGGCAGGTGGAGGGGCAGGTGGGTTTCCCCGGCCATCGCACATGCAACCAACGACCATCGAGATTCTGTCACCTGCGAAGGATATGACACGCCTTGCTCATTGGTTGCTAATGGCTGTTGGTCGCATTCCTGGTTGCTCGGTGCGCCGGCAGTGGACAGGGGTGAGCGACGACTGCAGGTCGCCACCCATTCAACGAAGCAGGGACCAATGACCCGAAGGCTCCGGCGCCCAGGCATCGTTCGACTTTTTTCTCACACTGTCTCCTGCATTCAGTCGAGCTGGGCCATGCCCGTGGGTGCGGGCGAGCCAGCGTCCCACCCGGCTGGCTCGGGCAAACATGGCGCACCAGAGCTAGTTGCGGGCTAACGAGACTTGCGAGAGACGACGGGCGTCCCTGCGACGCCTCATCAGCCACGGTTTCCCCGCGTTTTCTGGCCCACCCTGTTGGTGATACGACGAGGGATGTGTTTTGCCCGTTCAGCCCCATGATCAGCCCGAATTGAGTTCATGCAATGCGATCGATCCCGTAAGGCGTCAGTTCAAAGTTGTCACCTTGGGCCAGAGCTCCTACGACAGTGGTCGGCACGAGCAAGAAGGCGGCTTCACAATCGTATAGATCGAAAATCACAAGCTTTTCGTGTTCACCCAGGCTCTGCTACAGGCCTCTGAAAGAGCTAACTTTTTTGCAGCTGAACGACTGACTGGTCTTACACCTTTCCTGATCAAGAACCTCCAGCCACCGCCTCGAAGTCATTGACCAAGTTGCTGAGACTCATCACCGACGCACTGCGGTTCCGCCACGCTTGAGGCAGCCGAGACTTGGGCTGCGCTTTTGGACGCCTGTCTTGCTCGTCATACAGAGCTTGGAAGCGAGCCTCAGACGTGTCCGAATATACAGGAGACGTGCTGGCAACTGAAGTTTGTGCAGGTGTCAAGATCCCGCTGCCGCGCGGCACTTTGCTGTTTTCTCTTGCATTCTCAACGTCCCCATGGGTGTTCGCCATGAAGGCGATGCTCCCGGCAGCGGCCTGCGTAGTCGATGAGCTGCGTTTCATGGGCGTAGTGCTGTTGCCGCTGCGTTCCTGCATGGTCCTACGGCGTTTCGCCGGCCTCGCGTCTTCCATGTCCTCTCTGGAATAGACAAAGAAAGGCACATGTTGAAGTGGCACCGGATGGTGGATATTGGTTTGAGGGAATGGAGGCAAAGTTTCCACTCTGAATCCTGGGTTCATGGTACCAGACACCCAGCTCTTGCGGCTGTCTTGGTGGATGTGGTTGGTGATGACGGACTTGAGGACCGCTCCAGAGACATCCGTGGAGATGGGTTGAAAGATGCATTCCTGTCCTTTGTGAAAGCAATTCTGGCACCTGCCCGCTACTGTGTTCTGGAAACCACTGCATCGAATCTATCCAAGCGTCAGGCATGCCTGCTTACGTGGCTCAACTGTCAAGGCGTTCGTCTTACCTTTCGCTGTCTGCAGTAGATGCATGCCATTATAGTACGCCGGGGCCAGGTTGCCCTGAAAGCATACACTGATGTTGGATCCGCGTATAAAGTTCCATTGCGCGGGTTGTCTATTCTGTCGTCCCCGCTGAGGGGTGTTGCTTGGTCTAGGTGCTGTGATGCATGGAAGGTGTATTGGTACTTAAGCTCAGGTCGCGGGCGCTGTGATGCTGCTTGTCTTTGAGCCATTGGTTCGCACCAGGAGGTTCTTGGCTGATTGTCTGTAATGTTGGAGTAACGGCGTTGATTAGGTAGAGTTGAGCGCGTGTACTGATGATTAATGTGCTTGGAAGACACCGAAAAGCTACTGTGAACCCTCCTTAGAGGTGGACAGAACGAGAGACTTGAAGGTAAGGCTGTGTGTTGCGGGAGAGAGAGCTCCATATCTGTCTTTCTAATACTTCAGTGGTCTGGTGTCGAGTCGGGGCGCCCCTGACGACTCATAGGAAGAGACACCGCGGGCGGCAAAACTGCCCAAGAGCTGTGCCTTTGCCCACATGGACCTTACGACATCCGATGGGCCATCCAGCTCCAAGATTGAGTCTCGGCCCGCTTGGGCGATTGGCAAGGCTATAGACGGCCTGGGCAAAGCGCGTATGTATGAAGGAGAAAACTTGGCCAAGATGGCCCTGGAAGAAGCCGCTGCTGAGGCTGAACGCGCACCCAGGGGTCGACAGGCTGCCCTGGGCGCAGTGTAGACAGAGGGCAGCAGGCCATGCAGCTGGATCAACTTGGAAAGAGAGCAGTTAGCTTCAAGAAAGTCTTCTCGTCGGTGGCTTGGAGGGACCGAGCTGAGGGCTGCCTGGCAGGCACGAGCAGACTCGCCGTCGACCAGCAGCATGGTGGTCGCCCAACTGCAGACAAAGGGTGTTGGAGTGATTGGCCCTGTTTCCGCGTGGTGGGCGAGCAGGACAGCGTGAGGCACGGGGACGGGAGGGGGTGGGAGGGGGAAACAACGGTGCCATTGTTTACCCAGGACACACCGGGTGGGCAACCAAGCCTTGCTAGCGCCACCACGATATGACATATCCGACGTTTTGTCGTCCCAAGTTGCGACGACGAGTCCCTCTGGTTGGCGATTCGTCTGCGGGCGGGGAGCCATGCCCCCTCAATTTGCACAACGGGCTCGGGAACTCCGTGATCTACGGCGGCAGCACAGGGGTCTCCTGTCAAACGTGTGCATGGTCCCTGGGCGTGCGCCGTTGCCAAACTTTCCGAAACCTTCACTCCCTTGAATAGCTCTGTGGCTGCATGACCTGGGCCTCTCTAACTTTTCGTATGGGGTCCAGCGAAGAGCGTTAGTGACCGAAGCTGCTAGCTGAGTGCCGCAAAGCCCAACTCTGAGCAAAGGCTCGGGGGAGATAAGAGAGGTCCTGGCATCGACCTGAGGGACAGCCACAAACAGACAGGTGAACAAGCTGCCACACCGGAGCCATATCTCCTCCACCCTTGTCAACCACATGCAGCTAGTGCGGAGAAAGCACCAAGATGCATCCCACGTTCCGATTCTACCGGGCGGTTGTGCGGCAATCGACTGATGCGAGATGGCTGTGCGGCTGCAGTCACTTGGCGTGGACTCCGGCGTGGGGAAAGTTGAGGCGAACACTCACAAATGACAGGCGCCTTCGAAGAAGCGTCTCCAATCACCAGCTCGTAAAAGCGCCACCAGAACCCTGGGTACAGCCTCGAGACGGGAGTGTTGGTTCATGAGGTCAATATGGGTAGGATCGCCTGCCAGGGCCCAGGTACTGTCGTTGGTCTGTGGCTGGCGCAATACCCTTGAAAAGGAGGGGGAACCTCGTGTGGCTCATGCCGTTTTGGCCAGGGGAAGAAGGAGGGGTCAACAGAACCCTGGCACGCCCTGAGGGGTTGTGGATGTGCACCTCATGGGTCCAGGGCCGGCCACTCATACCTCCAGTGTCTGGTTGACTCTGGCAAATAAGTCAACACAGAAGATGCGCAGAATGAGGATTCATAGAGTGCCCGGACGTCTACACTAACTAGCGGCAAGCACGGTTCGAGGCGACCGGGTGCCTGAGCCCGTCGAACACGGTGGACATATGCACAGAAGCGGTCCGCCCATGCAGCCCAGCGACGACAGGTGGGGACAACGAAGCCCGCCCGCCGCCGCGAACCGTGAGGCTGGACCGAACCACCCCATTGAGAAAGGGGCCGACACGGGACCAGCCAGGAGCAGGGTACACATCACAAAGCTAGTCCTCGGCCGAAAAGGCTAGCATCAATAATCTTCCGCGTCGCAGCATGGCACGACTCCTCAGATCCCCCCATCGCCATCCCAATCGTGCCTCAGACAAGAACGATCTGGGCCTTCTTTTCGTGTTCATCCCGCCAAGGCTAATCATGGCACCATGAGGTTGGGGGAATTGAGGCCGAATCCCCTGTCACTCACCAAGAGCGTCTGTAGGCTCGGACTTTGGTGCGTCTTCATATGACAAAACTGCCAAGCCAATCAACTTTAGAGTTTGTAGCTAGCATCAAGGAACGAAGGTTTCGAGCGGGAGCAAGATGGAGGGGTTGAGGACGACCGAGCCGCGCAAGGGCCGGGCCCATGCCGCCCGAAGCTCGTGACGGCGACAAGGACTGGCCACCCTGGTATCACTGTTGATCTTTATTCCGCCCTGCGGCGGGAACGCGACGAGCGGGCGTCAAGCCTCTTGCGTTAAGAGAAGTCAGCAACACGGACCTTGCCCTGCAACCCACCCCGCATGCTGGGCCCAGGACTACAGAGCCCAGGCAAGAAGCTGCTGAACCATCAAACGACAGACTACGTTTCTTCCGGCTTCTCTGGACGAACCCCCGAGAGGATTGGACACATGGTTTGGTCCGACATGACACCATGTCAGCGCCTTCAGTCGAAGACGGGTGGTAGAGTTCATGTTGGAGGGGAGGTTGCAGACAAGAATGGCTGTGAGGCGAGCGAGCTCTAGTGCCTCCGCACTTGCAAATTTCGGTCAAGGACCTGGTGTTTTGTCATGAGCGCGTCTTGTTACCTGTCAGATGCTCACACCGACTCCGAACTCGTTCTTGCTGGGAACATGAATACTCTGTCATGGTCTATGACGCGTCGACTCTACTTTCTGAATGCTTTAGCGATAATAGCTCCGGCAGGACTGCGCCCCAAAGATGACGGCCTCCTCGCATGTTTCCATCGCCCAAGGATGGCGTGTCTGAGTGGTGTACAGAGATGTGTGGAAGCGAGAACCACCAGCGCCAGCGCGAGAGTCGATGTGGCAAAGCAGGCAGCGCAGCATGTGAAGAGCCGCTAGGCAAATCGACTACCCTCATCGACTCCTTGAATTCTTAGCCGATCTACCCGTTTCGCACCCGATGAATTGCGCTTGCCAAACTCAAAGTTTACGCTCCACCCAACCCGCCCAGCTGTGCTCGCAACAAGCATCTCACTGGCCACATGCATCTGGCAGCGAACAAACTTGTTCCCCGCACATGGCATCGACTGTCACTCACGACACCCGTCTGGTCGAGACTTTGCTGTGCTCCAAACCAATCCAAATTTCCCCTCCGCTTCATGGTAGCAATGATGGACCGCCCGCCGCGGCTGAGGGGCTCGCCACCCTCCTTGATGTCTCCGACGTCTCGGCCCGGCGCTTGCAATGCCACTTTCCGGGACCTGCGAATCATGAGCGCTGGCCAGACATTACAGTGGTCGATATCTAAGCCATCCTGAAGATCGAGGTGCCATCGCAAGGCTATCTGATTGGATTTGCAGTGGATGACAGTTGGGGTTCTCGAACCAGCGTTCATGATGGGAAGTCTGCCTTGAGCCATGTTTCCAATCCCTTTCGTCGTCTCAGCTATTCGCCCTTTCTTCACGAATACTTATTCCTCTCCCCAGGCTCCTCAAGGGGCAAGCCTGGCCAAAAGCGCTGCTGGACAGCCCTGATTGTAAGAATACTGAAGTGGCATGTGCACCCTTGGTAAGTTGATCTCTATCACTGGTTGTCAGAGGAGCTAGGATTGTACCGCATGTCGTGACGCTAATTCTCCCTAGAAGTGGAACGATGCTCCCTGACTGCAGCCAAGTCAGGCGTTTCGACGAAATAGCCGCGCGGGAAAGCTGGACTGCAGGCGAACGCTTTGAAGTCTGGAACTGGCCGCAGCAGCCAGCCAAGGCAGCGAATAAGTTGCACGGCCTCAAGGGTGCTGAAGTCAACGAGCCTGGCAAGAACGAATACGACACCAATGCATGCTCAGATGACTTAGTAGTTGTCCAAGACGTCGTCAACAGGACTTCTGAGCAGGCTTCTACTGGTCAAAGTCTGACAAACGCCTTACCACAACTCGACTTCCAACTGAGGCAGTTCTCAATCTCGAGATACATCCATCGTGAAGCGCAAGGGCGAGTGCAGTATCCCAGGAGGTTTCGGCTTGCACAATGCCATACCAAAGCCACCTTCAACCAGATCTCTTCACACCCTCATGTCAATAGCTGGGAAACTGGTAGACGCCGCAAGAAGCTTCTGTTTCACAGTAGCGTGGGGCTTTCTCCTATATCTTTGCCTCCAATCCTGGAAGAACCACGCGTGCCGCAACATGTCCTGGCTGCTTAGCAGTGACACTCACTCCGCCTGGCTTTGTTAAGTATGAACAGTCTGCCCACTTCCTTCTTGATTGCCTTTGGGAGGGCATAGTTGGATTTCGAAACACGAATCACCTCATGGTCGAGTTGAAAGACCAAGAGAGGCTCAATGGACCTTATGCCTAGTCTCGACCAGCCATGGGTGTCTGTGAGACTGCATAAAATTTGCGACGCTTTGCACTCCTTCATTTGTTTGGTTGTGTCTCTTGCAAGGCAAAAGCAGATCATTGTTGCTTCTAATCTCATCTGGAATGCTATAGTATGCCATGGGGATGCGCTGTATGTACATGTAGCTTCTCCGTTTCAGAGCGTTTCACCGACTGAAGCTTCGCCGATATTCGTGGCACTCTGGAGTGTGGTGCGATACCTTCAATATTGATGATACTCAAAAATTCCGGCTAGTCCTTCTCATTCGGGGTGCACCCGCCGCCATCAATATCCTCTCTATGTTATCGGTGTGATTTAGATGTACCAAACTTGCCCCCACCATACTCACTAGCCCACGATCCCCAGATGTAAGGACAGGGTCACTATCGAGGCTGCATGTGGCAACCAGGTCAAAGACCGCAGCTCACCACGGGATGGGAAGGGAAACCAGTGACTTCGCAATCACCTCGCACCCCATGACGCTGCTGGTCAGAGCAGCATTAATATCATTTTCATCATGCCTACGACGAACAGAATGCGAAACTTACCGAACAGGGCTCAGGACACTTGAGCCTACGGGCCATTGTCGTCGCATACCATCCAAACGGATACGGCAACTTCTCAACGACCCACCCATCAAAGGCGCAATATTGGCTATCAGAAGTGCAGCTCTGCCAATTGCGTCAGTTCATCTAATCCGCAACAGTTCCTAGGGTTATGGCAAGATATGTCCTACACCGCGAATTCTCTGGTTGTGCTCCTCAGCGGCCGCACGGGCTTCCGCCTCTTGCGGAGTTTGGTTGCTGGGATGTGGGATTTGTTTGCTGGGAAAGGACCCGGCATTCACCGTCCTGGCGAGAATGGACATGTAGAGAGCAACTTTGGCGGCAATCATGGTGTGGGGAGAAGGAGGCCGGCAGCAGGAAAGAGGAGAGGTCTGAAGATTCTATACGTTTGATTGCGTGGAGTCCAGTTTTATATGAGTGTCTGTCATGAGCTTCATGATCGTCTATGACAAGAAGAGGGCGTTACTGTTACGTCAACATATCGCGCAAGTAGACGTGAAGCATGTACGTGCACCTTTTCTCGTGCCGGGCCCACGACTAGGACCAAACCGGGCGATGTTGTTGGTGGTCGAAACGACCCATGCTTTACAACAGCACTACATTAAAAGTAACAAGGAGATGTGGGCAAAGATCTTCGAGTTAGCCAGCTGTGCTCTCGACCCAACTTAACGTGCGGACTTTGATGATTCATGCAGTCAGTGTCTCTGGTTCTGTCCCACCTGGAAACGCTCCTAGCTTGTGCTTCGAAACGCTGTGTAAGGAAGCGGCCGCGCAAGCAAGTGCGTAGAGGGAGGAAGCCACTGAGGCAGACAAACTACAGCGCCTCGTAATAAACAGCGTGCTCAAAAGCGAGGCCAGGCTTCTTGGCTGTGAACGGCAGCACGGACTCGTGGAAGCGCCTGTTCAATACTATTAACTATGCGGTCCCAGGCAGGGCCTCCTATGGCCGGGGCGCAAGCAAGTCCCCCAAGAATCCAAGACAGGGTTTGGGCGCAATTTCGGTGCCATTTCTTGCACCGGTGGCCCCCGCCATGGCACATGCACTGTGCCACTGATGAGCCAGTGAGCCCCCACGCACGTTTGTGACCTGTTTCCATCTGGCAAGTCTCAACCCGGCCGCCTCAATCGTCAGCGGTCGGGGCTTGAAGATGAGCAGCATTCGCTAACGTCTCGACGGCACTGAAACGTGATCCTCGTCCATGGACCCCAGGACTTTGGCAATAGAGACGATGTCGGGCCCTGAGATACCTCCGTGTATCGCCCCCTATCGGAACCCTTGTAACGCGGCCTACAGCACGGATGCATCTGCATCTGCCCTGACGAAGGCGATACTGGCCGAAGATGCGAGCGGAGTCAAAGCACTTTTGTCACAGGACATCGCACTGGCCAACGCTTTTGTAACTCACTCCTATCAACCGTGTCAGAATCACGAAAGAGTCGAATTCGCCTAGCTCGCCATCGTTGTTGCCGGTAGGGTCCCGCTGTACTGGCCAGGCGAGGCAGGTAATCGAGCGCCTCAACGCAAGTCCTCGCCATCGCACGAGCCTTAGTAGATGCGGGCGCGTCACTTCTCGAGATACCGGGCGTAGCCTACTGGTCAGTACTAATTGACGTTCGCGGCACAACCTTGTCGACGACAGCGGTCAGGCAGGCCTGCATCACGCGGTCCTTTCTGAGTACGAGGCGGGTCCCTGCCATAGAGCCGCCATTAGGAGGATCGCGGAGATGAAGCGGGTGCTGCTCGGTGCTGGAGTCGATGAGTCCATATGCAACCACGACGGTAAGACGGCTTTGGCTGTGGTGAAAATATTGAGACAATGGTCTCGGACTCGCATAAGAGGGCCCCGTGGCTCCGAATATATTGTTCAGAAAGAAATAGGGGCCACTACGACTTCTAGCCGGCGAGCAATCCTTGTGTTTGAGGTCATGGGTCTGGTGGTGTGATCGCTCTGTCGCTCCGTCAAGGAACTGCCGAGTACATACAATGAGGCAGCGGCACAGTGATATTAAGGGTGCGGGCAGCTGGGTATTGGACTTTTGAAGGATCAAGTCTTTCTAAGAAAAATAAAAAATAATAACCCAGTACCAAGTTGGATTTTGAAACACTCGCTGCTCAATCAGCTGCGGGAATGGCAATTACAGAGCCAGGCGGGCCCCTGGTCTTGTGATGCACCAGATGGCTGTCCCGGCCGCTGGGCCCGGTCTGCTAGCAGCGACGCAGGCTGCAGGCAGTACAACTTACTGCAGGCGCGCAACAGTCTGTGTCCGAGGACTATAGTGGTCTCGGGCATCATCTCTGAATGAACGAGGAGCATCAACACGAAGCCATACCTGCATGCTTAGAAATGCATGCTCGCGACGCGAGATCGCGCGCGAGAATGGCGATCGGTTCATTTGTCATACCCGCGCGGCAATGCACATGCCCTACTGTGGTGCTCCCAAATTCCCAGTGCCCCAGTTCACAGCTCCGGCTTCCACGGAGCTGGCGCCTGGTGGTGTGCCCAACGTGGCAGGCGGGGGCAGACGCCATGACGAAATGTCTACTGGCATTGGCCTTTCATGTCAGTTGAGCCTTGCGATAAGGCAATTCGCGATGCATAAATACCTTGTTTGAACAGCCGGTGTGAGTTTTGATGGTGCTTCAGACGTTGGCCTGACAGTTCAGCGTCTAGTGGAAATGGCTTCAAACACCAAGGAGGTAACGGGGCGACCAACACGCTGCAGTGATGCTTGTGGGTGATGGCTGACCACGCAACAACCAGAAAATTTACCATGCAAACGGCCGTTTCACTCGGCCAGATAGCACATTTCGCAACTTCGTTTCAAACCAGCCGGGCGCGCAGTTCCCCGCTGAAGCCGGTCGCTATGCTCTCTATGTCTCGCCCGGGTGTCCATGGGTAAGCCCAAGCCCAGCGAGCGGCGCACTGCACGGCCGCAGACTGACCGTGGAAACAGGCGCACCGAACCCTCATCGTGAGACTCCTCAAAGGCCTCGAGTCTATCATCGATGTCTATCAGGTACACATGACCATGGGCCCCGAAGGATGGTACTTTAGTGGCGAAGGCGACTCCCTGCCCGAAGATCCCCTCCACGGCTTCAAGACGCTGAGGGAGCTGTATCTCAAAGCCGACCCCAACTACAGCGGGCGTTACACCGTGCCTGTGCTGTGGGACAAAAAGGCAGACGTGCTTGTCAACAACGAGTCGTCCGAGATCATCCGCATGTTCTACAGCGAGTTTGACCATCTCTTGCCAGAGCCCCTGCGCGAGGTTAATCGCCCTGGAGACGGCCTGTACCCCGAGGCCCTGCGCTCCGAGATCGACGAGCTGAACGACTGGGTGTACAACACCGTCAACAACGGCGTGTACAAGTCCGGCTTCGCCAAATCGCAAGAGTCGTACAATGAGAATGTCCACGCGCTCTTCCAATCCCTCGATCGACTGGAAGCAAAACTCCAGGCCCACGGGAAGCGGTTCCTGCTAGGCGACCACATCACCGAAGTGGACGTCCGTCTATACACGACGCTAGCACGCTTCGACGTCGCCTACTTCACCGTCTTCATGTGCAATCTCAAATCAATTCGGCACGACTACCCTGCCTTGCATCTGTGGCTGCGGCGCCTCTACTGGGACCAGGACGTCGACGGCGCTCTCAGAGCGGCGTTTTATCGCACTACACAGCCGTACATCTCACAGTACGCCTTGGGCTATGCGCATTCGAGGCGCAAGATTGTCTTGGGGGACGCGACGCCTTTGGTGGTACCTGCAGGCCCAGCCGTGCTGATGGAGCCGCTGGAGGGGCGATGAGTGGGCGTGCTGTTCTCGTGTACAACAGTCTCGTTCAGTCCTTAGCTTGCGTCAATGCAAAGAATATATGCGTGTGGTTTTGCTTGCTGAATTTTCATCTCAGTGCTGGAGCACATCTGTTTGGTATGCCTGCGTGGCGCGATCCAAGGCCACAACGTCCTGCTGGGTATACGGCGGATACATAATACGACATGCTGATACTTCGCTGGGCAGTCCGCTGGTCCGTTGTTCCAGCGGGGCCATTAACGAAGGGCCCTGTTGCAATATCAGCGATCTTCGGAGAGCGCCGTCTACATCCAGAACAGGTGAATACGGCTCTGTCTGTAGCGCGCTAGGTCACCACCAGTAGCTCGGATGCGATCGGAGTGAGCTTGGAGGTAGGAACACAGACGCATGTTGACCGGGAGATTCGGACCATCGATAGCCCGTCTTATGCCAGCCGGTCAGTCCAGGCTCAACATGCATGGTTTCACTAGCGAGATTTTCCACGGAGTCCAATAGAATGCTTGAGAGATGCAGAGATTTATCTGATCATCTTATCAATCGGATCTTGCCCCCTCCCCCTCACTGCCGCAAGCCAAGACGGCACCATGTCCCGAGCCGCCGGCCGGCAACTCGGCTGATGGCAGCGCCTTGCCGGATTCTCAATCTTGTGCTTGTCCAACCTTTGACGTCTGCAATACGGCAGGTTTGGGTGCTGCACTGCTGTATGCACAGGTTGTAACTAACTCGCAGGTTGAGCTCCGTCACTGGGTCAGTGAGTGCCTGTGGGCCATATCATTTCACGCTGAGTTGGAGGGTGGTAAAGGAGCCTAGACGGCCTGGCGATTCCAGTCATGGGGCCCTCATCATAGCAAACGCGGGCATCTCCACGAGACTGCACCGTCCGGCAACGCCAATCACTTGACAAGTTGCTCGCCATTCCCACGCATCTTGTTGGTCGCCACAATGGGGCGGACAACATGTCCAGGACGCCTGGAGAGACGGTACCACCTCACTACCGGTTGTCGGGAATGTCTAGAAGAGGGTGGCTTGCCCTGCTCGGGCGAAGATCCGTGGCAAGCGTGGTACCACAGGCTGCAGCAAGGACTCATGGGTGGCTCACCATCGTATGGCGTCGTATCGGAAAGGGCAATCGTTACCGAATACCGATAGTCAAACTTGTCGTCCAGTCGTATTGAACAGTGTTCGTGTGATACGTACTCCCTCATAAAGCAGGATGCCACCCCGTCGTGAACCCTCGGCCCCTGACCTGCAAATCACCTGGTTTGGCCCTGAAGTTCTTTGAACGAAGCGGCCACCCCGACTTTAAAAATTCACATTCTGAAGTCTCCGGAGGACGCAAGGAGCAGCTCCGCTGTCAATCATGCATCCACCGCGTGTCGTATTCTACTCGCTCTTCCCTCTTTACGGCATCACGTTCGCTGGCATTACGAGCTATGGCGCCAATTTTGGCTTCATTGGCGTCAGCATTACCCTCTACCAACCTGAATGCGCGTGGTCCTGTCTTTTCTGCATCGCGCCGCCGCTCAACTGCACGACCGAAGACCTCGCCGTGAGTGTCCCCGAGAAGCGCGATGCGCCCGACGAGTCGGCTCCCGCTCCCCAGTACCCATCGGGCAATGGGTGGAATGTGACTTTGGAATCCACACCTCAATGCAAAGCAAACAACGACTTTTATTTGCAGACAGTGGCATACTGCCTCAAGTCGAGGTGTACTGATTTGCCATCCATCCAACTGGAAGAGTTTTGGGACAGGGATGTCCCGTTCTTGTTTGAGGGAAACAAAGGTGCGCTCCCAGTGCCTAGACAAAGCTACACGCAGGTCCTCGGCGCAATCAAGGAGCCTCCAACGGAGCTCTTGAACAACACAGTCTTTCTCAACTACACCGCCGTGGTACCAGACGATATTTACATACCAGAGTACAACACTCTCCGCTACTACGCGGCCAATGAAGTCACTCACGAAATATACGGCCTGGCCATCTTTCTCTCCGGCGTAGCTATACCAATCTCGGTTTCGCTGCTGCGCTTTCTGCCATGGCCGACCTCGTGGGTCACAAAGTTTAATGCCTACCTCATCGATCCGCCGCTTCTCGGACACAGTCATTCGGCACCAATATGGGGTTTGGGCATCATGCCGACTCGCGGACAGGCCCTGTTCATCGCCTACCTGTGGCTCATCAACATCCTTCTCAGCGCGTGTGGATACGAAGTCTTTCTGCCCAGTCTCTTTTATCCGGACAAGCAGTACCAGGTAGAGACCTGGGTGGCCAACCGCTTCGGTGTATTGAGCTTTGCTCAGCTGCCGCTCGTTTTGCTTTATGCCGGGCGGAACAACATCTTGTTGTGGCTTACGAACTGGTCGCACTCGACGTTCCTTCTCCTGCACCGCTGGGCGGCGTTTCTCTGCATGCTCCAGGCGGTGCTGCATAGTATTGTCTACCTGCACATGGCGGTCGCGCACCTCGGTGGTCTCGACCACGCAGAGGAGAGTGTCGAGCCATACTGGTACTGGGGCATAATAGGCACGCTGGCCATGGCACTCATGGTCGTGTTGTCAGTGCAACCTATTCGGCAGAGAGTCTATGAGGCCTTCCTTGCGATTCACATAGCGCTCGCGGTCATGACTATCGTCGGTTGCTACTATCACATCACTCCCAAATATGGCCAAGATTACGGTTTCCAGACCTGGCTGTACATCACCATCGCCCTCTGGGTCTTTGATCGCGCTGCGCGTCTGGCTCGCAGTATTCGTGGCGGCATCAAGCGTGCGTATCTCTCGCCGATTGACGACGACTATTACCGCCTGGATATCCCCAATGCAACGGCATCTGGTCACATTTACTTACACTTCCCGACAATCAGTCTGTGGCGAGTCTGGGAAAACCACCCCTTCTCTGTGGCGGGAGTTGTCCAGCCCATCGGCCCTGGCTCTGTATCGCCTTTAGCCGTAGGGCTAGCGTCGGATAGCCCACCCGAGAAGACAGTCGGAGTCGGGGATGAACAGCCGAGTCGTTCATCAACTCCCTCCGAAGTGACTGTAAGTGATGCCAGGCCAGCCAAAGCCGGCATTGTTCTTTTCGTCCGCAAGCATGATGGAATCACCTCGATGATCTCCAAATGCAAAGCAGTTACTCGGGGAATTCGCGTCCTGATTGAGAGCTCGTACGCCCCCAATATGACGTTCCTCCAAGATGGGCTCCCTACACCCACTCACGATTTCCCGAACCTCATTTGCGTCGCAGGTGGTGTGGGTATCACGGGCGTCCTCCCTTCGCTGGATAGCTTTACTAACGTCGCCAAATCCGCCTGCCACGCCCAGCTGTTCTGGGGCGTTCGTACAATGCCCCTCGTTCATGCGGTCGAGAACATGTTGGGGTACGAGTGCGGCGATGTGACCGAACGGAGGTGGGGGAGCGTCCAAGTTACGCTCTCAGTCGGCGTCAGGTTCAATCTTAGAGACATGTTGGAGAAAGAGCTGGGCTCATGTAGTGGTGGAACCACGGTTGTTGTATGCGGGCCGCCGAGTATGGCGGACGAGGTGCGCTGTGTCGTGTCGGCGCTCTCGAGGCATAATGGTTCGCAAGGAACTCGTCTGGTGAAACTTGTGGTCGAAAGCTTCTCTTGGTGAGAACATAGCACGGCTCATGATGGGATCTTGCTCGTGTCATGCCCGCTGTTAGGGACATGGTGGCGACTGTTGGTGCTTCTCCTTACCCTCTGTGCGCGGACAGAATTCACGAGCAGCGACGCCACCGAAGCACCAGGCGCAAGAAGAGAAAGCTTAGTAGTAGAGAGACAAGAAAACGTCTCGAGCGCTGCCACTGGCGTGACAAATGCGTAAGCGCTCAGTATATTTGATCACTCATCAAATGCGGGCGCAAAGACAGGCCCGTCATGATCCCCTGCGCTGCGAATGCTCCATCATAGCAGGTCCCTGTATATATGCCATACGCTTGCGTCCCATCAATTGCAAAATAACTCCGTCGTCTACGCCTAAGCGACATGCTGCGCCTTGGAAGCCTTGTCCTCCTCGGAGCTATTCGGCTCCATGGCGTCCTGAAGTCTCATCTGGGGCAGCGTGCGCGCGATGCGCGGCGGATCCCAAATGGTCTTGGAGTGGAGGAAGACTTCGTCAATCTCCTCGAGCGAGCGGCCGTTGGTCTCCGGGAAGAAGAAGTAGACGGTCGGGACGATGGCCGCGTTGAGCACCGCGAAGATGATGTAGTAGCGGTACGAGATGGTGTTGAAGCCCACGGGCGTCACCTCGGCCAGCAGGAAGTTGAAGGCCCACACCGCGGTCGTCGACACGGCGCTGATGGCTGCTCGCAGCTGCAGGGGGGCAACTTCAGTCGCATAAAGGAACGTGAGGCCGGAGTAGCCAACCGTGTAGATGAACTGGAAGACGAAGAGGAAGACGGCCGCAACAATGACGGCGGACTGGTTATTCTGTGCCGAGGTGGTGCCAGCGAGAACGGCCATGGAGACGGCCATACCAGCGGCACTCCACAACATAAGGGGCCGGCGGCCGAGTCTGTCGATGGTGAAGAAGGCTAGGAAGCCACCAAAGGGCTGCGTCAAAGCCATCGCGGCGGCCAGGATACGAGACTTTGTAGGGTCGAGGCCGAGGTAGATCTCGAAAATGGTGGTGGCGTACATGGAAATGAGGTTGATGCCGCACATTTGCTGGAAGACCTGGCCGCCAGCGGCGAGGACAGTGCGGTGGAAGAGGCGCTGCTCGCCCATCGACAGCATAGCCTTCCAAGAGAGCGTGCCGCATTGCGAGAGCGAAAGCTGGATGTCATGAATCTCGCTGGCAATGGCATCGGAGTTGGGGTCGTCGTCGTTGAACGCCGAGAGAATGGCACGCGCCTCGTCCAGGCGGCCCTTCTTGACGAGCCAGCGGGGCGACTCTGGGAAGATGGACATGAAGACCACGACGACGAGCAGCATCGCAACCTGAAAGGCCAGGGGGAAGCGCCAGGAGACGGAGCTGCCGGTGACAAAGTAGAAGCCAAAGTCGACCCACAGGGCCAGCGAGACACCCGCGCCGATGAAGATGCCGTCCGTCACGACGTGCGCGCCGCGCTTGGTCGCCTTGGAGATCTCGGCCTGCCAGACGGGCACCGTGGCGAGGTAGCCGCCTGTGCCCAGGCCCAGGACGATTCGGGCGATGATGAATTGCGCGAGGTGAAAAGACGTGGCCATGAGGATGGCGCCGACGATGGTGATGGATGAGGCGAGCTGGATGACACGCTTGCGGCCGAGCAGGTCGCCGAGATAAATGCACGAGAGGGAGCCGAACATGCCACCGACAGTGAAGAGCGCGACAACGGTGCCTATGGTGTGCATGGTTAGTTTTCTGTCCGTACTCATGGGGCTTTACATGAGACTGAGGTGGGATAGCGCACCCTGAATCGTAGAGTTGTAGTGCTGCTCGTCGCCCTCGGTGTTAATAGTGTCGAGCTGCGGGAAGCTCTCGACAAAAGCGTCTAGGGTCAAGAGCCCGCCGGCGACGCTGAGGTTGTAACCGTACGTAACAAACGCCGGGCAGACGACGAGGGCGATGATGGCGCGGCTCAGGGCCGAGCCGCGCAGGCCAAAGTAGGGGGCCATGGTGGTGGTTCCCGTCTCTCTGTGTCTTGTCCTCCTTGAAGTGGGACTTGCAAGTATCGTGAGAGGATCCGGTCCGGTTCGGGGTTCGTCGGTTTGGTGGTTCAACAATGCCAATGCCTCTCCGGTCGACGGGGCTCTTTCATGCTTTGACTTTGCGGATCTGGAGAACGGAACGGCAAGTGGAAACGATGGCTCGACCAGATCGATCCGGATCCATTGTGCTGTGGAATCGGGCTCTCTTTATACCAAGGACCCGTTTTGCAACGGTCACCGGCGGGCGCCGTTGACAATTCAACACCAAGTGGACCGCGTTTGGCCTGCGATTGTGTCTCGCGGGAGCGTCAGCCAGGCTAGCCCTTGGTTAATTCCGCTCTACCCCAACTGGCGTGCGAATGGTTTGGCGGGCGAAATGGAGCAGTTGCTGCCATTCCTGGTCAAGAGTGCCGCTCCGGACCCCAGATCTCCCCTCCCCCGCAGTGCAATTGGGCCTCGGGCCTCCAATTCCCCAGATCTTTTGGCTCCGCAGGCCCCGTCGTGTGCCAAGGTGCGTGTGGCAGCGTGTGTCCCCGCGTCATGAGCTATGGGGAACGTTCCCACCGGACCCGGCCGATGCGGGAATATGTGAGGCACCGCTGCGGTGCAACGGGGGCCCCAGAACCAAGTAAGGCTCACTCTTGAGGCACATATCATACCCTCGGCTCCCCTGTCCTGCTCGTGTTTTCTGTCGGTTTGCCGGCCGCCCCGGCCGGCACGGGCACGAGGCGCTTGAACTTGGCGGGTGTGACAAGCTTCGGGCGTGGCTGAAGCCATCACCGCCCGCCCGAGCGATGATGGCAACCCTTTCAGGCCCTGTCTGGGGACCTCATTCGCTGAACGAGCATTTGTGCAGGGACTCGGTGGCTACATCTTGCAGCCAAGATCCGCGGCAGATGCGCGGGTGTGTTCAGAAGACAGGGGGGCCGCGCATCCCACGGCCGCCTCTTCCAGTTGCCGACAGCCTCATGTTTGTGGCATTTGCGCTGCAGGAGAGGCAGCAGCGCCGTGGACCAAGCACAACAATTAACAAAAAGAGAAAAATATCAGGGAAAAAATAAGGCTTACGGACAAAAACGGCAAAAGCAGGTTCCCCCCGTCCGAGCTCCGCAGCATGTGGCGACCGCCGACCACGAGGCCATCAGGGACCCGCTGGCGGCGATTGCATTCCTCCGACTTCCCTGGCTTCATCGCCTCAACGAAATCTCCAAATGCCAATCACATCTCGCAAGCCAAGAAAAGAGGCGAGATTTGGAGCGCGTCCAGCCACGTCTTCTCCAAGACGATGATGCCTGCAAGCCCGAAATGGCTGAAGCCGTAGATGCTTTGACACACGATGGGCGCCCCTCGAGCCGCCGGAGTCTTCCGGCCTCAGCCCGGGGTTGCCCGCTCCATGTGAGAGCGACGGACAGCGTAAATACATGTACGTAACCATGTCGGCGAGTCGACGACGACGACGATCCAACAGACGACACCGTCCCAATCAGTGCCGGCACTACCGGATGCCTCGCAAGCGGGATGCCGAACTGGAAGGGCCGAGCCCCAGATTCTCCCCCGCGAAATAGAAGACTGGAGCAAGGTCGCCGAGCCGAGAATAGCGACGATCGTGAACCGCAGGTTGTGGGGAGGCTCGCGTCACATTGAAGCTGGTACGGATACGGAAGCTGTCGAGCACGCCCATCAGCCGCGAATGCGCAGTGTTCAGGCCGGCGGGACGGGCCGTGACGACGAGGAGGCCTCCGTCTTCGGCTCCCAAGGAGCATCAACACTTGGACTTCGGCGAAATTCATGCTGGGCTACAGTTGCAGGATGACGACGACGAACACACGACCAGGGAACAGGACATTATTCCACGCCCTCTCGGGGACTCGGCGGTCATGCATGCATCATAGGCTTCAAGGTGCCATCGTCGCGGGCTTCATTACCCCAGATTGCCCCTTCACAATCTGGGGAACTGCATTAGGATGCAACTTACGAGAGCCCTTTACTCACCATAGTGGACACGCAGGATCTACGCTTATCTGGCAGTCTCCACGATCACGCACGAAGTGCTGCCTGCGCATGGTCCAGCGGCCTACGACCCTGCCGCTCCCCGGCCGGCAAGGACGCATCACCGGCGCAAGCGTGTGACGTCGACATCATGCGTTCCACGCGGATCCCAATAGCGTACCGCTGGTCCTACGCGCGCCCCTTGGTTGACAAATCACGGAATTCCAAAGCGGCACGCGGTGTTGGGTACCAAAACCTCCGGGTGACTGAGTTTCTCTAACGTAACACGAGCTTCAGGCGTTCATTAACCCCAGAGGCGAAGCGTGAGCAGCTTCGCCACTCCGCGACGTCTTACGCGCGGGCCTGTCCGCCACTCGAACTCAGATCAAACGGCGGCGTGGCGATGTCAAGGGGTGCGAGACGATGGCTTGCTCAGGAACTCCCCGAGGGTTTCGCTGAAATCCGCATAATCCTGAGAGTGCAATGGACTTGGGTAGTCCTCGCCTCCCCCATCACACCAACCGAGCACTGTGACGTGAGACATGGCGTTCATTTTGCTCGAATGCAACGCCCAGGCCCAGAAGCCTGTTCGGAAAGCCGAGTATGTGCGAGCGAGCAACCAGGCAGACGGCCGACAGACGACCGAGCGACCGGAATACGTTGGGACGGACGGTGGCAAGGCGGCTGGAGGCAGTGGCGTGCCCGCCTGAATGCTACGTGGCATCTTTCTGGGGAGATGGGATGCAGTCCGCTTCCCACGGTGCCGACATACTTGCTAGGGGAAACCTGTGGTTACTCTGCCCCTGGGGGATATCTCCTCGTCCGGCACGAAGCACTGGCTCTCGCCGCGGCGTTCTCAAGATCTGAGGAGTACCCGTCCATAGCATGGTCCCGTTGCCTCTCAGTCATCTCCCAGAGGAATGACACTCCTTTGAATTCGAATTACCAGCCCCTGAGGTGCCAAACCTGATATGACTACCGTGCTTGAGCATTGAGAGGGCAAGAATGAAATCTCAATGGTCGCTGAGATCCTGTCCATGTGCTCAATCTTTCATTTCATGGACCAGACCTAATTCTCTGGTTATTCGTCTCGTTTAAATACCTTCACCGTCGAGAAGTTGCCGGTGGACAGTCGACGGCAGGCGGTATCCCCCGAGCCGAGATCGGAGGATTCGATGACGAGCTCGACCGGACTCGATGCCGGCCCAAACGATTATATTAGCCGTAGCACCTCGAGATCAAAATGTTTCTTTACCATTTCCTTGACACCGAAAACTATTCTGGGGGGAATTGTTGGATGTGTTCCCTTGGCGAATATCAGGGGCATCGGGGCGCAATTCGGGATGTAGCCGCTTGGAGCGACCTGGGGAGGGACAGCCCCAGCATCGTCAAAATTCGCCCATTCGAGGACAAAGACCGTTTTTCAACGCGTTTTCCATGTCGATTGATTACATTGACTAAACAAAATATTCGTGTTCATCGCACCATGATTGAGTGATGTCGAGGTTACGGCATCGCCATACCAACCCGTGCCAAGCACATCACGTGTCAGGTCACGAGTACCAACCCAGCCAATCAGCGCCCGAACATTGTAATCCCGCAGCAGCACCAGCAGTGCTTCAGCGAAACGGCAAAAGTCCACCACGTCAATCCGTCGCCTCCTCAACGCCAACACCCCCCAGCTGCCTCGTCCTCCCGCCTCGACCCGCGCAGTCGGCCGCCCCGCGACACTCCGTCGATTGCGACCTCCTGACCCTCCTCGTCCCGTCGACCGACCCCCCTTCCGCCATGGCGCCGGCACTGACTGCCTCGGTGGCGATGGGCGTCGCCCGGCGACAGCTGCTGGCCCCGACCGCCTCGTCCGCCCCCCGCGTCGCCGCCACCGCCGCCGTCCGGATACTCGCACAGCAGCGCGGCTACGCGACGCCGAAGGGCCCCCCTCCTGCCAACTTCCGCACGAGCAGGCGCACCGAGTGGCCCTGGGACAAGGAGAGCACGCTCGACCGCATGGGCAAATTCTTCCTCTTGACCGAGATGGCGAGGGGAATGTATGTCCTGCTCGAGCAATTCTTTCGACCTCCGTACGTTACCCCCCGACGGTTTTATCCAGAACTATGCGCGGCGGGGGACAATGGCTGACGTGCCGATAGGTACACCATCTTCTACCCCTTCGAGAAGGTAAAGAACGCACAACACCCCGGGCAGGTGTCCACTCGGAGAACAAACCATTGACCTCTGGCGCAGGGCCCCATCTCCCCCCGATTCCGTGGCGAGCACGCCCTCCGACGATACCCCTCTGGCGAAGAGCGCTGCATTGCCTGCAAGCTCTGCGAAGCTGTGCGTACACACCCGTCTCCGCTCATCCGAGCCCCCCCGCGACACCGGCTCGGCAATGATGCCGGAGGTTCGATCTTCACAGCACGACGCAGCCCGCTAACACAAAGTCGAATTAGATCTGCCCTGCCCAGGCCATCACCATCGAGGCCGAGGAGCGCGCCGACGGCTCCCGCCGCACCACCCGCTACGACATTGACATGACCAAGTGCATCTACTGCGGCTTCTGCCAGGAGTCGTGCCCCGTCGACGCCATTGTCGAGAGCCCCAACGCCGAGTACGCGACCGAGACGAGAGAGGAGCTTTTGTACAACAAGGGTACGTTACTGCCGATTTTTGCACCCGGCCCGAGGCAATGATAGCCCACAGCGATGTCATTGCACCGTTGTGTCGCGTCTCCCGCCGACCCGTGGGCCACGACATCTGGCTGTCCCCAGTCAGCCTACCGTCTCAATTGACACGCTGCTAACTCCCGTTGCAGAGAAATTGCTCTCCAACGGCGACAAGTGGGAGCCCGAGCTGGCCGCCGCCATCCGCGCCGACTCGCCCTACCGATAATTGCCACGCCACCGACGACGACACCCCCTTCTGCTGCCACGAGGAACCCTCGCCTCGGCAGCAGAACATTACCTGTTGTTACTACAGATTTCCAAAATTCTAGGCTTCTTCTTTGTTCCACGTGTACGGGTAGAATGAGTGGAGTGGGGGTGGATGGGAGGATTGCGAGAGAGGAATGGCCTCGGAAGCACGGCCGACGATGTAGTCGTGCGGCTGGCTGAGAGTGGATGATCAGCTGTGTACATATCAAGAGGCAGGCAAGAGATGATGCCCATTCACCAGCACTACACGATGATGCTTTGCTCGACAACGTTCCCGCCATGGTCGTGTCTTAGGTGGCATCCACGACTCGCCCGTCCTGCAGAGCTACCGAGACTCTCGTCAACAGAGGACAGCCAGCTCTTCAACACCATAAACAAACAACACCGGTGCTGCACAATCATGGTCTTCATGGTAACAAGGTAATGAATGTATGCTCATTAAAAGCTACTAATGATCCCGTCTTCTAGGGAGTGGGGCAGCCAGCTTCGTCAACGCCCAAAGAACCGCCAATGCTCAAGTCGTCTTAGTCGTCATTTCCTCCCTCTTCTTCTTCCGCTTCGTCGTCATCAGCACTGGCGGACCTTCTTCTCACCGTCCTTGCCCGCCGCCGTAAGCAGCAGCTCCATGAGGCCGACGGCCACCTGGCGCATGCTCTCGTGGTAGCGAGCATTGTCCGGGTAAAAGGGGCAGTCCGACGGCGTCTCGTTGCCAAACTCAATGGTGAGGCCGTGGACGCGCGAGGCGCCGCACGTGCCGTTGTAGTACTGGCCCAGGGCGTGGTCGGTGCTACCGCCGGCCGTGGGGTACAGCCCGGAGCTGGGCTTGGGCACGTAGCGGATCTTACCCGCGCGGTTCATGCCGTCGCCCATGCGCTTGCTCAGGGCCAGCTGGGCGTCCAGGTCCGCCTGCTCCATGTACTCGCGGTAGACGCTGTTGGCGGGGTCCTGGCCGATGAAGCCGCGCTTCCCATCGTACGCCTTGTTGGTGAAGCTCTGCTTGGGGTCCGTCGTCTGGGCGTCATCGTCGCCCCAGGCGTACAGGATGTCGCCGCCAAACGAGTGCAGGTCGAGGAACCACGAGAGGTCCTTGTTCTGGTCCAGCACCCAGGCAACGTTCTGCGTCTCCGGCTCGGAGAGGGGCGCCTTGCCGTGGAACACCTCGCTGCGAGGGTTGTCGGACGCCGCGCTCCGGATGTTGGCGCTCGGGTTGAAGATGCGCTTGTAGTCCCACATGATGGCAAAGTTGCGGTTCAGGTCGATGCCCACCGAGGCCTTGCTGCCGTCGGAACTGGCCGTGTTTCGGTTCTTGCGCCAGCATGTGCTGGTCTTCTGGTCATAGGCGACGCCGTCAGGGTTGACGAGCGGCACGATGGCGATGCCCGCCGAGAGCGCCGTCTCGACCTGATCCGCCGTGTACTTTTGGGTGCCGTACGCGATTCCGGTGCCATTAGCTCGCGCCTCGAGCAGGTCCGAGATGAAGTAGAGAACGTTGTCAGGCCCGCCTCGCTCGCGGGCATGAATGCCGCTCTGGATGAAGACGCGGGGGTTCCCGGCACCAATAGTAGCGCCATATAGCTCCCGCTTCTCAAATGTCTTGTACGGCGCCGTGAAGAGCTCCACGTCGTCAAACTTTCCGGCGAGGCCCTGCAGGCCCGACTTGACTTCGTCGACATTGAGGATAGAGACCAGGTTGCGGTCGTTGACGCCGAGGCCGATGGGCGCCTTCTCGCCGCCGTTGAAGCGGTCGCCCTGGCCGATGGGCAGTTCTGTGAAGGATTGACGTTGACGAAGGCCGGCTCTGCTGGCTACGTACTTTTCGTAAACGAAGGTACCGTCCTCTTCTCCCGGGAGTGTGCAGCCGTTGGCAGTGAGGCCAAAGGCAGCCAGGGAGAGGACGCTCTGAAACTTCATGATGGCAACGATTGACCGAATCACAACAACGAGAGCAACGAATAAGCTGGGCCGAGCTGAGCAACGGCAAGGTAGGGTAGAAGCGAGAGTTCAAGCTTTATACCACGCGCAGTTCCACGTTTTGGGACCTGGCTGGGACCTGAAGGGCGTCCGCCACGGCTGCAACTGCTCGGCCACTCCGCCTCATGGGGAAGGACGACAGCATGCAGCAGTGCAGGGACAAGCTTTTCGATGGAGAATGGAGAGATCGGCGGCAGGAACTCGAGATTTGCCTTTGGCGGGTGAGTTGTGACGGGACGCCACCCATAAACACTGGAGGGGAGGGTCCGCGTTTGACGCCATCCATCATCGGAGAAGGTGCCAGCCAACCGGCCCGGTATAATCGTGCAGAGCGAGATGGCACCTCCCAGTTCAGGAGGACTTGGCATCCGAACCTCATGTATCGGTGGGGAGCACAGCAGGGACAGGTCTTGAACAAGCAACCTGCAGCTTCCACTCCCAGGCAGTGCCGCGGACGCCATCTTGCGCAATGCGCAGCTTGTGCGCAGCGTGGCTAGCGCGAGCGGCCTCTTGGCCCCAGTCTGGCAACCTCGTGCGGGCCAGGGTCAGCAGGCATCGCCGCAGTCAAGGGATACGAATACATGCACCTCGCGTGGAGATGCGACATGGCTTTGGCCGTGCGTCCAGTGCGGGGTGCAGCTCGATGCTCTCGCTGGTCCGCGCGACACCGTTGCACGCCGTGGTGCATGCGAATCCAAGGCCGTTGCAGGGGAACCCGAAACGCACCATTGGCGCACAGCCCCAACACAGTGTTGTCGTCTCGCAGCTTCCATCGTCCTCGTTGTTGTGCGGCTTCAGAAGCAGCTGCCGCCGTTGACTGGATGGCAAAAGACGACCGACCCACGGCGGAAGAATATGAACATGGAGGGAGCCCGGTGGAAACAAGCTGAAGTCTAGATAGAGTGTGTTCCCAACGTTGCAGCGGAGGGCGTAGTCGGGGTCGGGGTCGGGGTCAGGGTGGCTGATGAACAGCGTCAACTGCCTATCAGGGAAGGAGGCGGATCCCGCAGCGGTGGCGGCGGGTGCGAGAGTTTATTCGAGGACCGGCTTCTCCAAGGTTGCCGTCGGTAGAGGCTGGCGCCATGGTCTGACGTTGACGGGCGGCGAGACCGCTCCCGAGTCATGGGGGACGGGGTCTGGATCTCAACAAGCGCGCGGGAGGCACGGATGAATCTGGGGGTTTGCAAGTGACGTTGAGGATTGGAGGATGGAGATGGACGATCTGCGGGTGCACCTGCCATGGGCCAGTGATTGTCTGTAGCGGGCGACTGCTGCCTCATCAGGTCACGTGTTTCCTCATCTCGCGGCTTGTCCAGAGATGCCTCTCACGTTTTCATCAGCAATGCGCATCTCGGGACGATACTCTCAAAGATCTTCCCATGGCTTGCTTCTGTGTGTGAAGCACTCGGGCGGATCATCCTCGGCACGGCGAATGTCGCATCGTCATTGACGGACTTTCGCCAAACATGGCGTCTAGCTCAAGTTCACGCGTGATACTGCTCAAGGTCTTCATCTGCTTCCGTTTCTTCCCGCCCAAGGAGCCGATGGCACCGAAAGCAACACTCCGACTTCAACGCCAAATCCATAAGGCCTTTCTTTCCTCGCACCGTAGTCCCAGCTTCCATGCATCCAATTCAACCCTCGCCTCACCCCCGTCTAGGGTAGGCCACTCTTGCATGTCACGGTCCGCACTTACACGTCCACCAATGGCAGCGCGTCCAACTGTCGCTGAATAAGTCCCAGACGGGGGATAGAGGGGGACTCGCACATCACGTGACCTACCCCAGCTCCCTGGCCGGCTGCCAATGGCACTCACTCACTGGCCTATTCATTCCCCGGGCCGCGCTTCTCCCCCAAAAAGCCGTGGCCAGCTCCGAACTCCACGCGCTGCCCGCCCGCCGGCCAATTGCCTGCTTACCTCATTGAAGCCGTCCGCCCCCCGAACCTCCAGCGAGAAATTTACTCGCCCATCGTCACTCATCCTCGCAACCCGCCCATCTCCACCACCACCACAACCACAATCACCACCAACCCTTCTCGTCGCGCCTGCTCGACTCTTCGTGCTCGGCCACTCTCAATTGTCTCCGCCCCCCGCAGCGTCAATTGACCTCTCCTTCCACTCTCCGGCCACCTCCCGCGAGTCACAATCACAGCCGCCGCCATGTTCCGTACCGCGATGCTCCGCTCGGCCGTCCGCGCCGCCTCCGCCGCCGCCCGTCCCGCCGTCCAAAGAACATCCTTCCTTGCCGCGCCGCGCGTTGTCGTCCCCCGCGTCCAGCAGAGCATCGCCGCTGTCCCCGTGCGCATGTACGGCGCCGCCGCCGGCCTCAACAAGGAGCAGGTCGAGGGCCGCATCATGAGCCTGTTGCAGGGCTTTGACAAGGTACGTTGGAAGATACGGAGCAAATGAGTTTTGGCCCTCGGCCGGGAAAGCTGGAGGGGCCTTGAGATCTGCGCAAGAGTTGCTTTCAAGACGGCAAAGGCGAAAGACATAATGGGGTTCATCTTGAAAGCATGAGATGGGCTCGTCCAGTTTTCTATTCGGCTGGCCGTGCCAGACTTTTGCCCTCCCTTGTCGAACAGCTGCTAACATATCATCTTCCGCTTCAGGTCAACGATGCCAACAACGTATGTACCCCCCGTTTTTCGAGCTTACCAAACCATAATACCCGATACGCATACCCATACCGACTCGATATCCCGGTTCTGACGACCTCTTGTCTAACCCGCCCACAGATCAAGCCCACCGCCCACTTCGCCAACGACCTCGGCCTCGACAGCCTCGACACCGTCGAGGTCGTCATGGCCATCGAGGAGGAGTTCAGCATCGAGATCCCCGACAAGGATGCCGACACCATCCACTCTGGTACGCAACCTTGCTTTCTGCCGCTCCGGCTGCGGTGCCCACGCCCGCCCGCACGTACACAAGCTAACCTCTATTTTTTCCGCAACGCAGTCGACAAGGCCGTCGAGTACATCCTGAGCCAGCCCGACGCCAACTAAGCCGCGTTGTCGGAACCACTCCAAGATGCCGCCCGGTCGATCGCGTATACGACGTCTCAGGCTCAAGATGCGTCATGCAGACCCATATATGTTGTCACAGCTGCGGTGGCGCGTCTAGGAGACCAAGGGGGCGTGCCGCGGGGGCAGTTGCTGTTAGCTCGTGCAAGGGCGCCTTGGGAATGAGGGGCGGAGTAGAAGTACGGGAGAGGGATTGTCATGTCGGCATGGATGCCCGGAGGTGCATCTGGTGTATGTCTGGGGACCCGCGGCCGGCCAGCCTCGTCTGCCACGGCCCGTGGTCACCCGTGTACTAGTGTATAGAACCAATTTTGCTCATCTGGCACTCGGCCGTGGCCCAGGCTAGTCACGTCAGGTACGGCAGTGAGTCTGCGACCTGGCTTGCATGCAAAGCCGTTGAAATCGTGGCTCATATCGTATATTTTGACCGCCGCTCCGCCCATCTCCACCAGCGCCCGTCGCAACCCGTATCCCAAGCCTCCGCTACGCCTCGGTCCACCCCGCCTGTCCCAACTTTCAGCGCCCGGCCATTAGCATACCACTCACTGTCCTGTTTCTCAGCTTGGACGTAGGACGGGGGAGTTAATAGCTGACGACGCGACGACGCCATGACGTCCAAGCATGTAACGGGATGCTAGTGGCAGTCTGGACTCTGCCCGAGGCAGCTGTCGCCGGACCGCGGCTGGTGGCTAAGGCGTGACAGGAACAGGAGCATGTTGTCCCAGACGCTGCCGCGGCGTACTCCAGGAGCAGGGGCTTGTACAGCCATGGCCCTTCGTCGTCCCGCTCCTCCTTTCTCGGCATGGTTCCCAGTCTTGGATTTGCCACGAAATGTGCAAAATAGATCTGAACCCAAAAGCGATGCGGCAAAACACAAAAGTATCAAGTCCGATCAGTGCAAAACGCCATGCACGGGCGAAAGCAGCCGCAAACACCGTGCGTATCTATGCGCAGAGTCGTGACCACTTGGCGCCCCAAGCAAAGAGCAGCGGTGCGGTGTCGACAACGGTGTCGAAAGTGAAGAAATGCCCGACTACAAAGATGTGCAGTCAAAGAGCCTCGCGCCTGTATGTGGTCGTCGTTTGGTCGTCCTGGCGAGCAGTGTCCAATTAGTTTTCGTCCTGGTATTCTGTTTTTCTCTTTCCCGAATGGCCGTGGCGATGCAAATGAGACCGAGTGGAGTTGCTGCTCTCGGGAGCAAACTCTGTGAACAAATGCGCAATCCTGCGCGTGTAGTATGTGAAGCCTTCTTTGCCGCCGCCGTCGAATCATGAGACTGGCCGCGTCCACCATAGCGTGCTTTCCTCGGCCGCGGCCAACGATGCGAGGAATGATACTGTACTGTCAGCGTCTGTTGAGTCCAATCACCGGCCGTTCACCGGTACATTGTCTTTCGACTCTTTCGAGGCTGTTGGTACGCCACGGCCGGCGGCCGCGCTTGCGTAGCTTGCGAAACCACCTCCCATGCCCAGACCTGCGGAAGCCCGCTTCCGAGCCCTGGCATTACTAGAGTCTTCCTCTTCCTCCATGCTAAAGACAAAGGCGGGGTCCTCCTCGTCGATGGGCGTCGTGAACCGTCCCGTAACCGAAGAGCTAATGCTGCCGCTCGACACATGGCGTTCCATTGCCCGGTCCTTTCCAATGGCGCCGATGCCACCCGCGGAGATGCGGGCTGTAGTGGGGTGAAGAAGAGGGCTAGAGCTGCTGATGTTGTCGTCAAGGCGGCTACGCTGGAGCTGCTGAGAAAGAACAGACATGGACTCGCTACCGGACCGGAAAGACGAAGGCCGGAGACTGCCATTCGGGCTCTTGGCTTCTCCGCCCATCTCTTGAGCAAGAGTCGACTTGCGAAGCGGGCTTCCAACATGGCCAAACGCAGAGGGGCCAACGGGACCGCCCCTACCCGCACGGCTCGCATCCTCTTCCTCCTTCTGGCGTTGGAACAAGGATCCCCATCGCGACGGGCTGGATCCAATCGGGCTTCCGTACTTGGAGATACCCTCGATGACGGGGTCCTCGGCACGCATCGATCCGCGGCGGGCCTTTTCGGCTGGTGTCAGAAGATCCTGCAGGTTTTCCGGCACATAGTTCTCCGGAGCGTTGTCCCCGTCGTCGCCGAAGGCGAATTCTGCCTCCCAGTCGCGATCGACCGAGGTCTTGGGCAAGCTTGAGCTTAGCATCCGGGGCCGTGCGTATCTAGACGAGTGCATGGCGCGCTTGCCAAAGTACTCCTCGCCGTCAAAGGGCTGCGAGTTGGGCGGGCTGCTCGCAGTCGGGGTCACAAGATGCTCGGACGAGCCGAATGCAGAAGTATGAAGGAGCTTGAGCGTCTCGGACGTGCGTGAGTCCTTAGCGTTGCTGAGAGATGGCGTGGGCGACTCGAGGCCAAATTTGGAGGGCACAGACGATGGCCACGGCGCCGAGGGAAAGCGGGCCGCGTGCGAGATGCCATTGGAGTCGAACGAGGCCGGCAGAGGCGCATCGAGGATGGAGAGGCCCTTGCCGTTGGCGGGGGATAGGCCGAAGCCGAGGCGGGAGGGATCCTCATCGCGTGGTGAGCCGTAGGTCGAGGTGGAGAAGGGCATGTCGATGGCGGGGATGCCATTATCGAGGCTAGGCTGGCGGCCGAGATGGTGCTGGTGCTCGTCGCCTGAATATCCGATCGGGTACGAGGGCTGCTCGGCACGGTAGAGCGAAGACGTGAGGGCGCTGGTAGAGCCTTGGTGGTATGCGGCGCTGGAGGCCGAGGTCGGGGAGGTGGGAGTGGGTGAGGGGCGGCCCGCGAGGTTTATGGGCGAGGTGCCAATGGTGACACCATTTTTGCCGTAGTTGATGCGGCGTCCATCGGGGAGAATATGGACGTTTGCGCATTTGGGACCGAACTTGCAATTGCCCTGCGTTCGTTCAGTCTCGAGGTCAGCCGAGTGCCGCCCACAAACGGGAGAGGCGGCGGGCAACGGGGACGCACCTTGGCAAAGTATTTGCACACCGTCTCGGTCGAGGTGCCAATGTCGTGGCTGAACGGGCAGGCATTGCCGGCCTGACACGCGCCCTGCCGAAAGAACTTGCAGGGGACATGAGACGTGTCTAAAGGCGACCTCGCCGGTTAGCAGTGCGCACGTTTGGGGCCTCGAAGGTTATGGCCGACTGCATCGTGCCGTCGTGGTGGGGTTTGCATGCTGCGCGAAGCCTCACGCAGCGACGTCAGACCATCGCCAACGCCCGCCCACGTCAGGCACACGAGACAGCGCGGGAGACACAGGCCGGGGGGAAACGCACTGGGAGGGCTCCGGGGCATCATCTGGCCGTGGGCATGGCCGGCGGAGCCGTTGGGGATGTTGAGGCTCCCGCTGCGGACGTGACGGAACTCGGGCATGGCTGCGGCGGGGATCGAGTGTCGCGTGTGAGAGCGCCTTTTTGCAGCAGCGGCGGCAGCAAAAGGTGGAGGAAAAGGACCAGCTGCGGCTGCAGGCCGTGGAGGAGAGGAGAGAGAGACCTGGAGGCTGCTGGGTGCCGCGCCGGGCATCATGGTGGAGACGGAGAGGGGGGAACCGAGACGCTCCATTCTGGAAGTGGGAGGGGGATTTCTTAGGTAATCCAGGCCGAGTGCCTTTTTTGGCCCTTTTGGCGGCCAGCTGGGCACCTGCTGGGCGGGGAGGTTGGGGCCGGGGCTGTCTGGCCTGCGCGGTCCAGGCCTCCGGGGACTTTTCCTAGGCGGTTGCAGCGGCTGCTCCCAGCTACTGCCTGCCCGAGGTACGGGTGAACCCCCCTGGCGGCACCCGACGGTGGGTGGTTGCAGTGGAGATCTGGTCGGGTCCAGCCCTGGAGCGCTGGAGGGTGCTGTGGCGGCGGGGGATTGCGGCGCCTTGAGGCCCTAGGCCTGGGTGCTGTAGGTGGTGGGCGAGGGCGGGTCTAGCTCGGGCAGGTCTCGGGCTCTGCGTGAAGGTCGGACAGGAACCCTAGCCCAAGCCGCTGGTGCGCTGTCGGCAGAGGCCCAGGGCCCTGAAACGGCGCGACCCGGCCGCCGGGCAGAATATCCAACGGGGCTCACCCCAATGGTGGGAGACGGGGATACCTTAGTTGACGTCCTGGATCCCCAACTTCGCTGATGGTGGGGAACCCCAGTTCTCCCAAACCAGCCAGAGTCTGCCCTCTGCACTCTGCACTCTGCACTCTGCAGTGCTACCTCCGAGGCGACTTTCACCCTGGTCGGCTCTCGTCCCAGGCCCTCGACGCTGCGGCCCGTATCGTGGTGTTTTGTGCAACCGAGGTGGGTATCAGCGGTCGGCGGGTCGGTCAGATGACACAGGCTGCAGCTTGGAGCGTCAGGACGTTCCCAATACGGGACGTGACAGGTCGTTGCAAGGTTGATTCCTGGTAGGCCGAAGGGGACCGAAAGAAAAGAGACGAGAACATATGTGGGGAGCAAGGAAAGAGTAAGAGCGGAAAAAGTCGGCCGGGCAACGTCTAAGAGGAGGAAATAAAGCCGACTAAAGACAGCGGCAGTTGGCCGTCGTAGGAAGCTGTACTCGTCACTGGATTGACTGACGAGGATGACACTGATGCTCGCATTGACACATGCGCACCCGGTTGGCCAACAGCGACCCGGTCGGTGATGCTGTATAAAGTAGGTAAGGTAGTTAATACGAACGAACAAGCGGTGTCTGCGATATACCGAGGATAAAAAGGTGGCTTGTGGGGGAAAGCGTGCAGGTGGCCGTCTTATGGGATATCCGTGGGATGGCTCTGCTTGGCGCCGGGCGCATGGAGGCAACTCGGCACCACGGGCAAAGGCGCAGAGCCAAGGCTGGAGGCAAAACTGACAAAGCCAGGGACCCAGGGGTCGCGGAAGAAGGATGGCTCGTCCGGGCGTGGCGACGACTACCCGACGGCGTCGTATGGGCACGACCCATGGGCACGGTAAACCTACTCATCCGCAGCTAGTGGAGGACGTGAGACACGCACCGCACCACACACTCCCATCGCTCGTCCGTCACCAGACAGCGCCGCCGAGACGAAGCATAGCCGGGCCGGAACGCTATTTGGCGGACTAGCGTCGCGGCGTCCCAGAACGCAGGGTGTGTCTGCATCGCAGACGTGTGCTTGCAGCCGGCTGGGGCGTTGTCGCGTTATCGCACCCGCGCGGGCCCGGGTAAAGATAGCAGCATCGCCATTCCATTCCATCAAGGCGAGACATCTGTGCTGCCACGTCTGGGCGGACTCGGCCAAGGACGCCACCACGTTGTCGACGACTCACTTCAGCTCGCCGAGCCAGAAAGCAAACCGGGGATTCCCAGTCGCGCCTTGCGTCTGGGGTGACGCGTGAGAACGAGGCAGCCATCTTGAGTTGGTGCGTGTAAGCCTCTTTTGCTGGGAAAGGTGTGTGCATCCCTTCCCTTGGCTCACTCACCACCAGCCAGAACCACAGCCCTGGGTGGCACAGGCACTCAATCCTGTCTGTACCCGGGCCTCGCGCGTAGCCGTAGAGTGACCACTGACCACCCCCTCCATGACGTTCTTCGCCGGCCGTGAGACCACGCAGGGCAAAGTGGCGGGGAAAACAGCAGATGGCGTTACACGAGATGGTGCAGGCTACCCGAAGCGTTCGGTGCAACCCGCGATCCGTCCGTGGGAGCGGGGCGGCTGCCGTGTGACGGACTGGCCCTGGCCGTCGAGTGCGAGTGCCTGTGCCGGGATGCAGCCTGTCCATCGTTTCGCGCTCACTCGATGGCGGGGTTCGATGATGTCGTCGAGTTACACCATGGTGTGTGGTTCGCTCGTTGGCGGCCATGTTGCGACACGGCATCGGCATGTGGGGAGCGCACTCGGATGCGACAACGACCGACTGCGATCTGTGCTGGCGTTGAACCGTTTCCTCGGAGTCTCCCCTACCTGTGCAGTGTGCAGGAGGCAGGCAAATTGATGCATGGCGTGGGGCTGGCGAGCAGCAGGCTGAGAGCCTGAGACGCTGCCGTAGTGCTGCTGCAGCGCTGTTGCCCATCCTGGCTGCAGATCGTTCCTGCCGCACGGCACTTGGGGCACCAAAGGAAGGCGCGGGCGCGCTCAAAGCCCAGGCCCGGAGGAAGGCGCGTACGGGCGATGGATTGGACGGCTGCGGTTGGCCGGGGGGAGCCGCTGGGAGTGCTGGACGCGGCCGGGGCGGCTCCCCTAACAATTCCGTGAGTGTCTTCGGGCTCACAGAGTCAAAGACTCACGGCCATCCCATCCAGCTGCCACACCATCCCTGCATCGCCGCCGCTGAAGACGAAGGTGCAGCCAACCCTCTCCATCGATTCCCGACCCCCGTCCTCCATCTCCTGCACTCAACCCACCACCATCATGGCATCCCCGGCCGCCCGCCGCCACGCGCGCGACCATGGAGCAATCCAGAAGGATCGTTGAAGACGAACGGTGCCGCCACGCGCCTCAGCGTGGAACCTCGACCGTGAGATGCCCCGTCGCCTGGCAGGGTGTCTGGGCCTGGACATGGTCTGGCATTCGATCTATCCGGCGCTTCATGCGATCCATAACACGAGCGAGGATTCGAGCTGCACATGCAAACCCAATAATGAGCACATGGCTGACGACTCGAGCTGCGAACTGACTCCAGCACCAACGCGTCCCACGGCAGGCAATGCATCTCAAAGCTGACAAGACCCTTGGTCAGGCAGACAGCCGTCTCATTCATAATTCTTGGCTGCAGCCGGGCAGCCACGGCGATTTGACAAGGTATTCGGAAGCGAAGTCAAGGACATTCCCCGAACACGAAGCTCCCAGGGAGAGGAATCTTGCCAGCTCTTACACGTCTGCACACCCACGAGCGAGAGCACAGTGAGACCCACGTCGAGACTACCACACATGACGACATGTTGCATGCGCTGCACCCTGCCCGGAGACGACAGTCGGAGTTTTTGGACAGCGTCCCGACCGACCCGTACTATTCCAGGTATTTGTCTCGTTGAGCCCTCGTCGGCAGGCAGCACGAGCCCGTGCTTTGTAGGCAGAAAGCATCGCCGTCAAATACACTCGTTGTCGTCTTCGCGCGTCATTGGCAGCATTGGCCCTGGAAGGTGCTCTCGGCTACTCAGCCCAATGCAACTCGTCAGATTTGTCGCACTCGTTGCGCCAGCCACTGCTTGTCGCTTGGACGCGACCGATTCGTTGGGCAACGAAGCGCGGCCTTCATCATTGGTGCCGGGACGGTAACCTTTCGCTGTGCATCGCTCTAGCTGGAGCCTCTCAATAGCGCTTCGGAGGGACAGGCTGCGCAAGTGGTGTGTGCTTTCAGCTCGAGTCCAGCCTGGAAACACGCTCGTCGCGCCACACCCGCGCCACGCATTGCTCGGTTTGTGTGCCTTTTGACATGTCTGTGGCCACTAACTCGGCGTTCGCATCATGTATACATTGCATCCTCCAACCAAACACCAGCTGTCACAACTATCCCGCAGCCTCGCCGGACGAGCCGCTTTGCAGGCGCCGCTGTAGGCGACCTCATTCGACACATGGCGAACAAGAAAGATCTTGCAGTCAACGCTAGCGGATGCTGGCCGTGGTCCCGAGACCAAGCTATGGATGTCTCGGGCGGGCTGGCTTTGACATGTCGGCGCGCGTCGTCGCCTCCGGAAATTTCTTGCGCCACAGCGGTGACAGTTGACAGCCCAACATTTGGCCTGCCACCGACCGGCTGGGAAGTGCTGCTGTCTGCCAGTGTGGGCGCTGGTACTACCTACATACTATGGGCGACCGTTTAATCGCACAGTTCTCCCTTCTGGAGGGCGTGATCACGTCACTATCGCGAGCCACGCTGACGATGGTGGTGAGGTTGCAGCCACTCTGAAAGACTGCTCCATGCGGTGAACCTGTTGTGAGTCTGTGACCCTCTCTGTCTACAGAATCGGGGGCGTGCGCGCATTCACTGAAGCGTGGGATTCATTGAGCGGATCGGGAATATTGTGACGACACAGCGCAGATCTACTGATGTCGGAACAAACCGCGAAGTTCGATCGAAACCGTTGTGAATGGGGGTTCGCATGATTCTGCACCCCGCGTTGTGCGGCAGGCGAACCATCTGTGCGACATCGGCCAGACCCTGCGATGCGGCATGGATGGATGCATGGCTGCAGCAGGCTCCATGCCTGCAGACGCCGCACCTGGGCCGGCATCCGAGAGATTGATTGGCTAGCCGTGATGGGATCGGTCAGGTGCTCGATCTGGCGTGCTGCGTGCGGCGCTTCAGGCCGGAGGCCGGTGAACTGGTGCTTCGGCTGTGGAAGAAGCTCTTGGCTGGCTTTTGCTTCACAGACTTCTCAGTGAATCACTGCTTACTCACTGGTTCTCGTGAGCAAGTGTCTCCGGCGAGAGACCATGGCAGCTGAAAGAGGTACCGCGGTGGCGGCTACATTCCGTGGATCAGGAGCGGGCCGACATGGATGGAGTCTCAGCCCAGGGCCAACCGGGCCAGTCCGCGCCATCCGCTTCCCCCGCAAACCGTGGACCTATTATTAACCGCAGACGTCGGGCGTGTCTTGCCCAGACATTCTCAGTGCGTACGTGCCGTCTGAGGCCGGAGCGGGCCACCGATGGTCCCGAAAGGCTAGCCCACCAGCGACGGCCGCTGCGCCAGCAGGCTACAGTCATGGTTCTGACTCCGGAGCCAGGCGGCTCTCCCTCTGGCGTACGGTAGCCGGCTGGTGCGCAACCGTTCCTGTGCCACTTCTGCGGGTCTCACACTCGAGCCCTCCGCATGGCGCCGCAACAACAGCAGCGCTTACCAAAATCCGGGACGCGACGTGCTACCACGAACAGGCCGTTTGGAGCTGCATTCAGCCTCGCGACGCTGGTTGGCGGGATGTGCGCCCGCTCCAAGCCGTGGCCAGCTTCGATGACGGTCGAGAAAGGGTCACGGCTGTGGGGAATCAGGGATCGTCCAAAATGGGTGTGAACCGGGGCCCGAGAATTGCGAGCTAGCACGCCGCGGGAGCACCAGATGATCACCTCACGACCCCCCCTTATCGCCTTCCTCGTCCGCGTCGCCCCAGTAAGGTTGTTCGCCTTGACACAGTGGCCCAGGATTTCCAGGCTGAACGCGTTGGAGTACAATTATTTCAGCCTGCGAGGGTGAAGGTGAGTGATCGCCGTTGGTCTTGGGTTGCAACTGCCGGCACCGTCCCCTTCTCGCTGAGACCGGCGATGACTCTGTGCCAAACGATTGCCCACACCACTCGACGATTGACCGGTGATAGCCAGGTAGCAGCCGAAACAGCTGCGCGCGCCGTCACCTCACCGACACAAACCTCGCAGCGATGTTCATCATCACACACCATTCCCGTCATGAGTTCCGAAAAATCCGAGATCTCGACCGGAAACCAACATGAAGATCCTGTATCCTGATGTCAACGTACGAAAGAGCCTGCAAGTCCAGGTATCATTGGCCCAGTCCCCACGCCCCCCCATTCTCGGGCCGCATTTCCTTTCTCATTGTCTGGGCCAGGCAGGAGTAGTACTAGTGCGGCTCGTCTTCGCCACTCCTCCCTCGGTCGCCCACCGCTGACCCTATATGGGTGTGGCGTCACGAGAACAGCCTTTACGAGCTTCGGCGCGGCAAGAGCCATGACCATGGCCAGACCGTCCGCGTGGGAGTGGCTTGGCCCGGGCGAGCAAGGCTGCCGCGGCGACCAATGGCTGGTGTCTCTGACGCCCCAACCGCCAAGGCAGCATGGACCACACGTCCTCCGAAGACGCGTCCGTGCAGGACGGTGTGTCCCCCGGAGGCGTTCATGACGCCTTGAGCGCTGGCGATCATCTCCTCATCGCGGCGGCAGCAAGGCACCGCCCGAGCCCTTCGCGAGTCGGACTCAAACTCCGAAAGTAACTGGCGAATCGTGGGATGCGAGCGACGGCAGGTTTCCGAGTTGAGATCTGTAAGGGGCAACTCGTGAGGCGCTTGCTAGACCGTGGTGTGGCCTTCGTACCTTAAGCGCTTGTACCGCCTTCGTGGTCCCTGTGACCGGCTGTCTTCCCACAGCGTACGGGTCCTATACTTGTTCTCTCGAACCGGTAAGAGGGATGGCGAGTTTGTTTGCACTAACACCGGGCGCGTTCTTTGAGTCCCTCGTACGCTTGAGCCCCGGCAGTCGCTGGCTGGATTGATGGTCGCCATGTCTGTTCATACATGATGATCAGAACCGATCAAGTAAGGTGTGAGAAGACCAACATTTGAGTCCGAATGCGAACGCCGACTGGCTGACTTGTTGGCCCTCCGCAACGTGTTCCTCCTCCAATTACACGGGCTGATTCTGGCCGGGAGGTTGTCGTCCTGACGCAGCCGGAGTGCATCTTCCCGGGCGAGGACTGAGGCTAATTTCCAGACATTTGCAACGCAAATGAAGGAGAGACCGTTTCCGGGCTCGGTCTCTGGTGGCCAGCTTACACGGCATGGTCTCGTGGCTGTCATCCCCATGTCGTTGGGATCGCTTTCCGACCGAGGCTAGAGTCGCAGTCCCAGGGGCCTGTGACGCAATTGAAAAAGCACCGTTTCCAGGTTCGGCCGGTAGCGTGCCTATCCAGCATCCTCTGTCATACCTTTCTCGCTGTCTTACACTCTCCCTGGCGGTTGTCGTACCAAAGTAGCAAAGGGGTTATCACGGTTGCGATCAACCTCTTACTGCGAGACGTCTTCAGGCATGGAGGCATTTACGCCCTTGGTTGTCCGTGCCGACCATCCACGTAGGAAATCTCGGTGGCGACTGGGGTTTTGAAACTGCAGGTAAGGACGCTGTGCTCTCGCAGTACTGCCGGCCCCAACAAGAGACAAGCCATACATCCGGCTTAGACGTCTTTCGACGATCTCTCATAGCGTTGATTCGAAACGAACAGATTCCCTAAATAAGATGCTTTTGCGACAGAAAGAAAGAGGGTCAGGAGAAATCTCTTCCTGCGAGGTGCCGGGCCAACGTGGCCCATGTTGTCACTGCCGGAACGAAGCAGGAACAAAGAAGTGACGAGCCTTTTGCTACCTTCAACTCTGAAGGTGCACCTGCAAGCCCCAAGAAAGCCCCTCAAGAGACACGGAATGGCAGTGGACTGTTTCGAGCTGTATCGAGGCATTTCTCGTTCGCGAAAGGCTCGCTACCCGACCAGACCTCGCAACTCTGTCCGGGGGCATCGCTAATCAGCACATCTCAGGGCAACGCAGGCTAACACGCAACTCAAACACTTGTTTTCTCCTCTTATCACTCTTATTCATTCGGTTTTTCTTCGTCTCTTGTTCTTGTCAAGGTTATCGGCCGCAAATTCGGCCGGAGCGGTGCCGAGGCAAGTCGAGTCGAAGTCGGCGCGTACGATGATACTTGGACGGCATACAGTCAGCCGAAGCTGTTTGAAACGGTAAGTAGCTGGGCGATATAGGGCTGATGGCCTTTGGTGGCGTTGATTTTCATTTCAGGGGAGGTGCAGTGGAGGATTGATGTTTGCATCGGCGCGGCGCTGAACCAGTCTGACAGGAGAATTGAATCCCCACAATCAGAGAAAATCGGATTCCAAACAGCGTGCTGACGGCGCAGCAAGGTTAATCTCATGATGACAGTTCCGCAAGGGGTATTACCTGATTCCAAAGTATAATCCAGGCGGACTATGTTAGTGCTGGCCTTTGAGTTGTGCACGGTGGGCTGATGCTTTGACGCTCGAGATGAGCCATTGATGCTGGGTGATGGCCGAGTTCGGTTCCGACCAGACGCCGAAATGAGGCATTCCGACGAGAGAAGAGCGCCGGCACTCTCCTCAGAATTTTCTGTGCCAGGGATTTGAGAGCCATCAAAGAGAAGCAAGCGACTCGCCAAGAGGGCAACGCCGCAGCCAGCCCCTGACATGGCATCCACCGTCTCCCACCGGAGTTCCGACGGAGACGCCTGCTCGTATGATCGGCTTACCGCTTCGAGGCCCGCGATAGATGCCGCTGCATACTCCTGTGGACATAAGCGACGGTCTGAGCTCGCTTCAGGGAGCCCTGAATACTGCATACATCCTTCGTCCTCTCGCGCTAGGCTTCGCCCCATTGATCTTGGGTCGAGGCTGGTCAGGGGGTTCGTGCAATCCCTCGGTGCGGCAGTTTGAAGAATATCGTGAATACCTCGGGAATAGAGGCGAGTACTTTTGACGAAATGATCATCGCGACGCAGCTAATTCACTCAAGAGCCGGCGAGTCAGGAATCGGTGTGGTGATGGGGTAGATGCATCTGGATGCGCAAGAACAGGGGGATGTACGCACGTTCAGCGGCATCATCACACCCTCATCATTGACATGCCAACTCATTACCACGATCTTCTCCCCTTTGGTACTTTTTATTTGGTTGATACGAGACCATGGCTACCAAGTGGGTGTTTTGGATGCGCGTACGCGTACATCCAGGGAGGAGGTCCGCTGGACGGGTTGCATCAAGGGACTTGGCCGGGCCTAAGGGGAATACCTACGACACCGCGACCCGCCCATGACGCTTTTCAGGCCCTTGTTTCCGTAGGATAGTAATTTGGGAGCTGCGTCAGTTGTCGGCAGCTTCCCAACGCCAGAGGTGGGTACTCGATGTGCCCTGCAGGCCAAGTGTGATGGGAGAATGCTTCGGATTCCGCGACGGCAAAGCCGTCGGGAGATAGATCCACTACCAGGAGGAGTAATTTTACTATTGCCTTCGAGCTCGCCCAGCGCGCTTGCATTGAGGCCCGTGGAAATGTCTCGTTCAAGATGCACGCCCTCTAGGCCGGAACGGTTCAAGGCTCAAACCGAGGCGAGCCCTTTGCACAGCCGTTGCTGGACGATCAACGAACAAAACGGGCAATCCGCTGACTCGCAAGCAAAGGGCCCCGTAAGGCGTGCCAAGACGGCCGCGATGTCATGGGCCTGCCGCGTGCCATGCGGTCCCCCTCAACGGCTTCGGTTCGGCATGTTGCCCGGAACAAGACGAGCGCCATCTCATTCACCGCGGTGCCCCAGAATCCCAGATGGGGCAGTTGGAGCTGGCACGACGTTTGGAGCAGGCCAGCCCACAGGGCCGACCCGCTTCTTGACCCGACCAGTTTCCGGCAGGGCGAGCTGGGAGCCCCCCCAGTCCGACCCGCCGTCGAGAGTCAAGACGGGCTTAGTGCGGCGCCGGGCTTGCGTCGCCCTGGGGCCACGGATCTCTTGCACTCTTGCACAGCCTCACCCGCTGTCGTGGGTGGCACGCGCGGTCGCGTGGGGGACGGGTGAAGAAAGCCAAAGTCTAAGTCGTCGAAAGGGACCCGGGAGACAAATATAGCTAGCCCGCTGGGGAAGAACCACAAAGGGAACATGAGAACGCGCGGCAGCACTAACACCGTGGTGGTTGGTCCCCAGTCTCGCAGGGTGCAGCCGCCCAGCCGTCAACATCGGGTGCGGTCACAAATGCCAAGCTAACGACGACCACGGCCGGGGTCGCGTGGGAATCATTGGTTCCTCCGCCTGCGGGAGTGCGTCACGGCCCTGGATTTCTTGAACCCAACTTCGTATCCACACGCGGCGGCTTGCTTACCAGCCACTTGCGCCAGGACCTCACATGCGGCGGGGTGAGGAAGGGAGCGACGGGGTAACTAACAAAGGAGAATGCAGGGCCGTGCCTCAATATCGGAGCTCGTCCGGCGGGACTTGGGTAGGGTTTGGACAGAGCAGGCGTGTTGCTGCTTGGGCCACTCATATCCCCGAATGGGGCAAACGTTGCGGCTGAGAGGTGATGCACATTGCGATGCCGGTGTGTAGAAGGGGGAGGCGTCTCGCTTGTGCAAGTGCAGGTACGAGGGGCCGGAGGGCACGAGATTGAAGATGATGCAGATTTCCAGGGCTGTGTTGACTCGCCAGTTATGCAATCTCAAGCCGTATCGTACGTTCGACAGTGCGCGAATCAAGCAGACACAAGTACACCATGCGTCCCCGTCATCCCAACCAACAACACGGAACTCCCACGCCCTGCTTTTGGAATCAGTGGTCGCCCTTGAACTGTGCCCCCGACTCGGCAGGAGCTTTCTTTCTCTTCTTGTTAGTTATGCTTTTGTTTGTTCTGCCCCCAGTTCCTCTCACCCCCGCCTCGCATCGGCGGGCAGACTTGCTGCCGTCCTTGATGAATAACGACTCGGCAACCCAACGAGAACATTAAACGGACTCACCATGGGCTCTTGCATGGGGGGCGTTTCGAAGAGAGCGGTCGTTGTTCTGATCATTCTTCTTCTTGCTTTTATTACTATTAAGCGTCTCAGTTCCGCAGACGACTTTGCTCTAGAGGGGCATTTATCTGAGTCGATAAACATCCTCGACGCATGCAGCGTCGATACCTCCCACGCAGCCGCCGGGGCCATTTCACAACAGAACCCGATAATACCCAACATAATACATCAAGTATGGAGGTCGAACGATACCAGCACATACTCTACAGTTCTCGACGCATCCCGCGACAGCTGGGTGGCCATGTTCGAGCCTCTCAACTACACTATCAAACTATGGACAGATGACGATATCGCCACACTGGTCAAGACCAAGTACTCGTGGCTACAGTCGACCTTCGAGGGCTACCCGCAAAACATCCAACGCGCGGACATTGCAAGGCTTCTCGTCGTCCACGCTGAGGGAGGCATCTACGCAGACCTCGATGTCTACCCGACGTCGAGCGAGCAAATACACTGTCTGCAGCAGCGCGGACTCCAAGCCATATTCGCGCCCACAGGTGGCACGGCAGGGCTGAGCAACCACTTCTTCATGGCCTCACGCGGGTCCGCCTTCCTGCAGTGGGCGCTCTACGAGGCCAAACGACGCGGCGGGGCGTCCTCGCGGCGCATCTTCCTACCGTACCTCCAGGTTTTCTGGTCCACGGGCCCCTTGATGCTGACTGCGGCCTTTCGCAAGTACGCCTGGTTGTACGGTACGCTACGCCACGACCTGGGGCTGTTGGATGAGAGATATGTGCGTGTTGCGGTGCAACACGCTGCTGGGCGATCGTGGCACGGGTCGGACGGCCACGCCCTCAACTACATTGCAGATCATTTTCGGGCAGATCTGCTCATCATGGGCGCCGCATTTATGGTTACGTTGCTGGGCCTGCTGTACGTGGTGAGGAGGCATTGCGCCAGGGGCGCGGCGATAACCGCCTACTACCGGTCATTACGTGGGACGAGCATCAGCAAAGACGTATATTGACGCTCGCTGTTAGATCTAGGCTGCTTTGGCATGATTGATACCCTACTATTTGGTGCATACACGGTTGATAAGTACAAAGCAAGGCTGTTAAGAATACAACATGAAGTAATACCAGACATCTACGCAGCGCGGAAAGGGGCCAACCACGTCTGCTCTCCTCTAACGCACGAAGAGCGCGAAATAATGCGACGACTTGTGCGATGAGCTGTCGGGCGTGACCGAGGTAGTCACATCTCTCGTCCCACCAAGCAATGTAGATGGATTAGGCACGGCGGTCCATGTGATTATTCGCCCGGTTGTCACCCATCCCGACCAGGGACTCGGCTTAGGTTTCCGCTCTCAACCGCCTCTACTAAGACACTCTACGTTGCCTTATTTATTTTGGTCTGATATGCTCCATGACTGGACCATCCTATTGATAGTGCTCGAGGCGTTACTTGCTGCTCAAGGGCAGTCGGCACTGGGTTGCCGGAATACCAGCGTTGGACATCGCGAGTTGCAAGTCGGATCGCCCAATATCTCATTGTCAATGGACACTGCCTAGTGGTGGTCTCCGTGGCTACGTTATTTTGGGCATCGGAACTCTACAGGCATTGCTCTGGCGGCCACAGCGAAGCAACATATGGATTCTATGACGTCCTCCCATACGCAGCTGTGGCACTGCTCCTCGTGGGATTGGGAGCCAGGTGTTGATGAGCTGACATTTCCGGCCCGATGCTGGGACTCGCTGCTCAGCCTTTAACCCACGGTCCGGCTTCACGATCCTTTCCCATTCTTCCTGGTCTGTTCCGGCATTATACAAGCGGCACTTCCTTCAGCAACTCCCGGGCAAATACATCGCTGACTCTGACATTTCTGGACTAGATACGGGCATTTGCAAGCCATGTAGCGCGGAGAGGAACCATATGCTGACTAGCTTTGCTTATCTGTACTTTCCTGGTTCTGTGCCGATGCTGTCATTGTTCAATGTATCACAAATGGGCGGCCATCGGTTCCCAACCACGCTACATCTTAGGATTGGTTTCCTGCCTTGACGAGTCTTTCGGTGCACCTGATGCTGTCGAAGTGTAAATCCTGACCCCAGGAATATTTCCCCCGCTCAAGTTTGCACGAATGGAGCGTCTTCAACCATATCGCTAGGGCCTGCGGGGTCCATCCCTCATCCTTGGCCTGCCCGTAGACGTTCCTCAACAGCCGCGTGCCAATGTGCGTAGCAAGCTCATGCCACTGCTTGCTTTCAATCCTTGGTGGTGGTGGTGGAGCCTGTTCGCTATTTTGTTAGCCAGATGGTCATGGTTCATCCAGAGCTGGTGGTTACGACCAGTGACGTACTGCCACAAATTTGGTGGTGCTTCGAGACTCAACGGTGCGTCCAGGCACGGTCTGCACAGTGGCGAGACTTGACCCAACGGCAAGAAAGCCAGCACAGACGCCAATTATAGAACCGAAAGCCTTCATGATTTTCCTGATTTGGTGGTGAACTTTGATTGTATTGCCACGGTAAAGTGTTATGTGCTGTTGGATTAGCCTCCGGGAGAAGCCATGGAGGCGACGCCACTGGTTCTTATAGAGGGCTGTCCGTCTTTTGCCCCAGTCTTAAGGCATCAAGTAGCATGGTGAAAGGTTTGGCGTGCGATATCATCTAACCGGTGCTCGCATAAAGCGTGGGCCTGACTAGCATGAAGAAATCGGGCAGGGCAGCGAGGATTGACCAGCTCCGCCAGCACCTCACTCCAGCCCTCTCCCTTTCGACCACTAACACTACGGCCGGTACAAGACAATACGATTCCGCTCAGCTGAAAACTATAGTATATGCCCCAGGTGGTTACGTTACATATAGAATCAATGATTCCGTGTCCATGTAGCATCCAAACTTGGCAGTCCCGGACTACAGCCGCATAAACATACACGCAGATGGATACGCAGCCCCATGCTCGCCCAACATACCTGCTGACCGCTAGTATGACGACAAGCTATCCGTAACCTAAGGTTGTGAACGGGTATCGAATATGTGCTTCGATTGTTACCTGGATCTAGCATCGCCCAGCTCACTGATCAGCCAATTTGATGGACCACACAGCCTGCATGTGATCACTATCTACGCCCAATGTCGAGTGGTTGGCCTAGAACCCCGGAGGACTTTTTTGCATTTGAGGCCATAGCAAGCTGCGTAATATCTACCGTGTATGAAGCCAACTGACCCTGGCTCCTTGGCTGGTCGGATTGTGCGTGTTGCTCATGCGCTCATGTCACGGGGGGCTGTCTTCAAACATCCCTGTGGGATGGATGCAGTTGAGAACATGACTATAGCAATATGGCTTTTACTGGCTTTTATTGTCAGACTAGCCCAATCATGAATTTGGCTGGTGAGTTCATGCTTTCCCGCGCAAATGTGAGATTTCACGAATGCGACTGGAGGCGTCTGAGCTCACCGCCTAAACATTGCAAGTCGTGAGAAGAGTTGGGGCATGAGACTCTCAGTTTAAGGCCTTGATGGCAGTCCAAGCGACGCCTTTGAACAATGCTCCATCGTTCCACGCAAGGCCGGTATTGGCAACCAGGTTGCCTCAACATGAACTCCAGCCGCTGGAGTGTCCAACCCTCGGCACGGCCCTGGCTAGCATTGGGCTGCCCCAATGCGAAGTACACGTAGCATCCCTGACCTACATCGTCAGCCAGACAAACTTGCGCAGTGCAAGAGAACTTTCGAAGCCAAAGCTCCACTCGGCGCCAGCAAGGTGCGCGGCGAGGCCCAGATACCTCTTGAGCTCACTATCTAGACCACGAGTAATAAAGCGTGCAGGGCGATTCAAGCGAAAATAGGCGCGCTTTGCACAGGATTCATTTTGAACGCGCCAGTTTGCGCAGGTTGAAAATGCATGACTGGCTGCGGAGCATTCATGTTCTCCGGCACTACTCATCCTTTCGTCATCGCTCGACTGCCCAGCATCCAAGACATGCAAATAGATTGTACTACAAAGGTGTCTCATGACCATTAGTCAGCGTAATCGGGGAACTTCTCCCTCAAAGCGCGCTGTATGTCTCGATGGCACTCCTCCTTATTGTACTGCTCCAGATTTGGCCAACCGTGTAGGCGATAGATACTTTGCACCATAGCCAACATCGCAGATCTCTCGTCGTCTTTACAAGGATATATATCTTGTGGAAGGTTCCACCTTGTGGGAGTTTATCGGAACAAAGTGAAGTTGCCGATAATGGTCTTCAGGACCTCAAAACAATCGGGAATACTCCAGCATGCCCCGTCGCTGCGCCAGTCGACCTCGCCTTCTGCCGCATAATCCTCTGGATTGTCAAGGATTTGTTCCCTTGCAGTGTCTTCCTGAAGCTCACCCTGACATCCGACCCCGTAGACGACGCCCAGTTCTGTGTCAAGCAAGCATCACTGGCTCACCTTCTGTAAGGCCCACAACAGTAGATGGCACGTTTTGGTAGTTGGCGATGCCCTCCGCATCAACCTTCCAGTCCTCGTCTCCTTGTTGTACACCGCATTTGCCGACCCAAGTCCAGTCCAAGAATGTGCTATAGGGGGCACTCTGGATCTCCGTATTGACTCGTCTATAGGGTATGTGACGGAGTAACTCGATTACGTCGTTTGACTTGCCCAATCCTCGTAGGCTTGCTGCTGTGATTGTCGGCCAGCCGTCTGGAGGAGGCCAGATGAAGGCCGACTCGTCAGCATACATTTTTATGAGGAAGTTATAGTAGTCGTGGATCAAGGCGATGCATTCGCCCTGCGAGTATTTGACGTCTCGGAGCCAAGGCATTTTGATGGCCTATATGGCGTTCAAGGGTGAAAGGGGAAAGGCGAGGAATCCTAGTAAATCATTGTAAAGATTGCTTAAATGTCGCTGCGCCGGGAAAACAGTCCACCTGAAGGAAAACATGAGTACTGTTCCGTTATGGCCTGCTCCCTAATTTTCGAGAATTGCCGCAAAGCGCAAATGGATGGGTCCAGGTAAATGTCGATTAGGTAAGAGAACGTTACACGCAAGGATCCAATGTTGCCACGGGGTGCCGCGCCGTCTTGCAGGCGTGGGTACCCGTGCTTGTATCAGCTTACATGCTGGCTATCGACGCCATACAGCCGACATCAAAATCGTACCGTATCCGCTGTACTAGAAGCCTCACTAGAAGCCTCGGTTAAGAGCGTTGCATTGTGATCTTGTTTCTGTAGTCGCTGCACGAGGTCGAACAAAGTGAACCGACGTTGAATGGAGTGGCGGCAGGATGAATCGGGACCCGTGGCTCACAAGCATTCACAAGCATCGTGATATCTACCTTTTTACTCTCTCGGAACTACGGATATGGCCATGCCAAGGCCTGCTTTAGCGTCGCAACAACCACACATAGGATGCCGCGACTGAAGCCGGTCTGTGTGCCTGCGGCAATGTTGATGGCGAGGTGGAGCTCTACTCATAAGTACAGCTCAGTCTTTTCCATATTTGGCCGCTGAACGACTGTACATATAAGCACAGCTCACTCGCCGCCTATTTGTAGGCGCTTATACCTACTGCTCTTCGTAACGGGACTAAAAGCATAAGCGATGGTTAACCAACCAACAACTACTTCGTAGACAAACACCAATCGGGCTTCATTCCTGTTCATCTATATGAGTGGTGCAGCTCACTATGGGCGGGCAGTGCGTCCCTTTTTACGATCCACGGCACAGCGCTACCACCCCGGGCCTCACAGCTGCTTCCAAAGCACCCGGCACCCGGAGTGATCGACCACCCCGGGCCCGTGACCCGCCCGGCCCGCTCTTTCGGCCGTGAGCAGGGTGCTCCGCCTGCCCCACTCGGCGCCGGCCGGGCGTACCGGGGATGCGATGGGGCGGTGCGGCGTGATTGGCCATGAGTCTGCATGATCCAGAATGACTCATTTTGGCTCATGCTCGCTCACTCTGAGCAGCACGGCTCGGGACAGTGTCAACAGCCCAAGTCGTGCACAGTGTTTGGGGTCCGCTCTCTTCTCGAGGTCTGCTCCAGCCCTTCGGCCCGGCTGCGACCCGCCTGGTAGACGCAAAGCGGAGGGGCCCGAGGCGGGCGGGACCACAGCCTCAACGGAGCCCAGTTCCAACGCCGACTATACATTGCAAGGTACGAGACTCCTCGTTTGAACAAGTCGGGAGGTCGCTGCCTCTTTATCCTACTCGCGGCAGGCCAAGTCCGAACCAAATGCGCGCCATCGGGCACTGTCCCGTGTTGCCCACTCCGGACATGGTTGAGTGGTCCGTCCCTGAAGGATGCTTGTAAGCCCCATGGGGAAGACCACAGCGACATCACCATGATTCATCCTCGCTCACTCTGGCGATGCCATACTGAGATAGTGAAGGCAAGCATGCCATCCTGCGGCCCCCTGTCCTTCAACTCCGCAGACCCAATATTCGCGGCCTTTTGCTCGGGTCCGTGAAGCGTGGGTAGCGGTACGTGATGACGAAAGGAGCAATGATGACGGACGTCTCGTGAAAACGGGCCGGGATATGTGCTTGAATGCGGGCGACGTGATTGCCGGCAAATGTCAACGGTCGAGTGGACGGACAAGGTCCAGTCCTGACATGACGGTAGAATGAGGGGGTGCTGGTGGTACAGGGCTGCGGAGCGACGTCAGCTCTGTAGATATATAAGTCATCTCGCGAAGTATTCTTGCACGTAAAAGTATAGTAGCAACAATGAATGTGTATTGCGACTTGCAAGACTACCGGATGACTGAAGCAGCATGCGCAGAGCTACTTCAGCTCGAGTCTATACAGTGACTCGATGCTCCGTGATCCTGCCTCCTGAAGGTCTGAGGTCTCCATTGTAAGCACAATCCCCTACATCCCCAAGCGCCGCTCAAAGAGCATCGAGCCCGGCATACACGGGCCCCCCGGCAGCGGTGATTAAAGAAACGGAATTTGATGATCAATGCAATGAATTATCACGCAATCAAAGGAAGAGAATCGACATCGTCTGAGCAGCCTCAACATAAAGACTTTGCTTTGCCTGCACTCGAGACAATGGCATGTGCTAACACCGAGTACATGGCAGATTTACTGAATAAACCGAAGGCATGGGACACAAAAGGGAACGGGCTTTAGGGCGAAATGTTTGACAGAAGAAAGACTGTAAATGACTCAAATGACTGCCAAACTGGCAAACAAAACACGCTATCATTGCTTTTGCTTTACAAATTCCTCTGTTACTTCCGAGCCAGCATCTCACGTAACGCTTCCACCTCGGCTTCACGCCTCGCTAGCTGCAGCTTCAGCTCGTCCCGTTCGCCCGTCACTTCGCCGAGGGCCTGCTCGAGATCCGAGATGCGGTCGAGACGCTTCTGGCGATACTTACGGGCAGCCATGGTGTTGCGCTGTCGCTTGAGGACAGTCTCGGCGTCCTCCTCGGCGGGAGGAGAGTGCGACTGCTTGCGCTTGTTGGAGCCGGTGCTGGAGGGGGAAAGGGGGAGGCCGCTTTGCGGCTGCTGGTGAGAATATGTGCGAGATGGGGCATGGACGGAAGATGCTGGTGTGGCGGAAGATGAAGAGGAGTCGACGGCGATGGTGGCCGCGTCAGGTGCTTGTGCGAAATATGGCTGGTGATTCGCGCGGGTCGTGGTGGTTCTGCTGGTGGGGTTGATGTGATCCTGCGGGTGGAGGGCGCGACGGTGGGAGATGCTGTGGTGCTGCAGGCCAGTGGAGGTGCCCAGGAAGGCATTCTGGTGGCTGCCGTGGGCAAACATGTCGTGGTGATGTTGAGAGTGTCCATCACCTGGGGAGCCTGTAAGCGGCTGCCCACGGGCATATATAGCCGAGGAGGGCTTACCACTCGGCTCCAAGCCATGACTGTGCACCGCGCCGAAGAGCCCCATGGCAGCCATATCCTGTTCGTCTACGGCAAAAGGCCCGTCTGTCGGGCTCAAGCCTAGGATGTCCTGGATGAGCTGCTCCTCGGGTGACGACTGGAGCGAGGCGCTGTTGGAGTTGGGCGCCGAGTCGAAGAAGTCGAGGGGGCTGAGCTGGAAGAGGCTGTTGTTGTCGGGGTGCTGCTCCGCGAAGAGTTCCGGAGCAACGGCTGCGGCGTCTTCCAACGGCCAGAGGGATGCGGTAGAGACGGAGGAATCGAGGTTGAGTGAAGCAGGATCGACGGCGTCCTCCCCCAGGTCGGACGGGAGAAACAGGGACCACCACGGCGGTTGACTACCAGGGTGGTTCTGGGATCTTTCGCTGCTGCGGCCTGAAGAAGCCCACGGCCTGCTGACGAGCTGCGACTGCGGTGTTGTCTGCGGTCGCGTCCATTGGCTCAAGTTACAGCGCCTCTCCCTAGATCTGGAGAGGCTGGTGCGTCTTCTCCTTTAGATGGAGGACGAGGGGTTTGAGGATGGGGCAAGAGACGGATAAAAAGCCCGTTCTCTTGGTGGGCGATGAAGTCGATGGGCCGCTTCGTGACTGAAGCTGGTGATGATGGAAGAGAAGAGAAGCGTTCCAAGGGAATCGGCATCTGTCCTTTTTAAGCAGGAGAGGTCGTCAGCGGGGCGAGCCCGGCCGAAAACTGTCGCACTGTGGACGACTTCTCGGTCCCAGTTTTTCGCTCCCGCGCTGCGGCGTCTTGTCTTTCCCCCAACCCCTGTTGCAACCCACCAGTGCCTCACCCGCTGCAGGTATGAGTCACAGCCCGCGACGGCGCGAATTGGCTCTGTTTCGCGCCGCAATGGGCATGCTTTCTTTCTCGAATTCGCGATTCTGACAGTCGTAATTGGCTCAATGGGACGTTGTTTTCTGGGGCAGGTCTCGCAGACTGGCGTTGCTCACCGCGCACAGAGTTCTTTGGTGGATGTCGGCGTGTCCGCTCTGCTGTCAAGCCGGAGAGCCGTTGTCTGCTAGACTCGTGCCAGGGGCTCGCTCGGAATGGCCCCCACGGATCTGAGCCTGGCGGCGCAGCTGGTGCGGTCAGTCGTCAACGTCCGAGATGATCACCGCCTTGCAGAGCGCCCGGTATCCCTTAATCCAGTAAGTGTGAAGCTTGTGTAGATTCGAGAAGGGTGATCCCAGAAGCGAATCTCGTTGGCGCTTATTAGCCAAGACAGCAAGACAGCCTCTTGGACGCGGCGCCGTTCAGCCTGAGCCGCGGCATGTGCCAGACTGGGTACATGCCTCACCGTTCTTCTTGTCTGCTGCAACGGACAGTGGGGACGGCAAGACAAGACCCCATTGTGTTCAATGCGGTAGCCCTGAGTTGTGGGTGATTATCTGCACTCTATCGCAGGTCATGGGCATCGCCCTCAGGCCCAGAGTTCATAGTCACTGTCCTCCAATTCGCAACGCGAGGCATCTCATGACGCTCGTTACATCGCCTCTCGCCGTGGATCCTGCACCCGAGCCAGTTCCAGCATCAGCCTATAAACATACACAGCCCGATCCTCCGCCCGCAAAGCGCGCCGCGCCCACGCCCGTCCCGCGTCTGCAACCGCCCTCGCCCTCTTCCGCCCCGTCGCACTGCCCGTCAGCCAGTTCACCAGCTCGGGGAGCTCCTCCATGCCCAGGCTCACGGGGACGTAGTGCACCCACGCGGCGAGGCGCTCGTCGTGCCACTCGCGCAGCAGTGTCTGCTTCAGCGGCGCGGACCGCGACGCCAGCAGCTTGCCGAACCGCCCGCTGATGCCGTTGCCGTCAGTGTCGAAGGCGAGGCGCGACCGCAGCGCTGCGTCCTTGTCCGCCCACGGCCGCCCCCGGAAGTAGCTGCGCTGCGCGCCGCACGCGGGCCCGTCGCATTGGAAGATGCGCGTGAAAGCCACGTCCCACAACCGGCTGTTGAGAAACGACGATGCCACGCGCCGTACTGCCCCGTTGGCACCTTCGCGGAGGTACCAGTGTGTCTCGCTTTCGCTGCCGAGGCCCTGCGCCAGTGCCACGAACCGTTGCCGATGGAACGACTTCCATAAATTATAGGCGCCCATGGCGTACCCGCCCGTCGTAGAACCCGCCCAGTATAGGTTGTTGTGTTTTCTTTCCCACGAGACGTCTCGCGACTCGTTGTATAGGAACTCGCTCTCATTGTATGCAGGACTTGGAAAGAGCACGTCGCCCATGGTCGATAGCGCCCCCGTGGAAAGTACCGGCACCGTTCCGCGTATCAGAGTAAAAGACGTCGGGCTCTCGAGCATGCCATGCATGTGGCCATATCCTTGCCGACAAAGATCCTTATCCCTGCGCGCGTTCGTCACAAACGGCATGCCGGCCGTGTCGAGTTGCTCTTTCCTGACTTCCTGCAAAGCCATCCCCCGTTCCTGCGAGGTCCTCAGCTGTTCCTGTGGGCAGTTCTCAATAAGATCGTGCAAAGCCGAATCGTGTCCGAAGCGCCTCACTTTAATCCGCTCGTCTCCGGTAAACATTTTAGGGTTCGGCAGCATGACACGCGGCTCATCTAGGTGGTTGGCCAGAAATTGGATGTCTGGGATCGATTCTCGCACATTGACACCCCCAAGCACAAGACTCAGCGACTCTCCGATATGCCTGTCAAACGAACGATGATCATTGCGACATGTGGTGCTGCCAGTAGTTCCTTGGAACTCGCACGACCACAAGTTTATGTCGTCGGCGGCGACGGCTTCCCGCATCGCTTCCCGGACCCTTCGTCCACTCAGTTTAAGAAAAGGCGCGATGGCCTCGTGTATCATGTCGAACTCGTCGATAATTGCTGAGTTATGGGCGATCGCATAGTTGAACCATGACTCGAAGCCTGGGGGCGGGCTCAACCCATAGCGGTGGCGATATTCTTTCTCTGCGGCAGTGTAGTTACGCGATTGTCGCTCAAGCATCGCTTCGAATCTTGCCGTCGCCGTGCGAGCAAGGCCCTCAACGGGATGATGGGCACCTGGCAGGAACACAGTCGACATGTAGATGTCGTACACGTTGGCCAGAAAGGGCCAGATCGGGACCAATGCCAACGCCCACAAGACGCCAGTCTTCTTGGCATTCTTTGGGAGCAGGCGAGTTGTTTGTGCCAACGATAGGACTGAGGCCACGACGTGTCGCGAAGCATAGATGTCGGAAATCTGGATGTATGGATTTCGAGAGGCCGCGATCGAGAAGGTGCCGATGGTCGAAGCAATGGTCCACGAAGAGTACCTGGTCTTGCAGTTTTCTCAAGTCAGCACAAGGGGAGCTTCTTTGGATTTGGGACGCCGCATCATACCGATTTAAAGATGAGGAGCCAAGCCAATGCCTTGAAGAAACCAACGACTGCCGTTCGCGCCCAGGAGTCATTCGGTGCGTGGAACCCGAATGTTCGAATCAAGAGTGCGACGACCAAGGCTGGCACAATTCGAAATGCCCACGAATATGCCACCTCTTCGATATCGACACCGTCAGCTGGGTCAGGATCCTCGAACTCTCCACGCCCCTCTTCGTTTATCGTGCTGGCGGTGGCCTGTGGCGTTGAAAGAGCTAGATACGACGCGTAGAGTATGCCCACAACACCAACGCACACCACAAAGGATATAACGCTTGTTCCATGAGAGCGTGCGAGGGCGAAGCAAGAAAACGCAGCCACCAATGCGCTTGTCGGTAGGGAGAGCAGGCTGAGCAAGGGCGGAGACTCGGTCTTGTCGAGATTGCTCAAGTGCGGAATTCGGGCAAGGAGAAGGGGCGTCAGGGCGGGCTGGACACAGTCAAGTTGGCGTCAGCGACGAAGGCTTCATGTCCGAAGGAGAGAATTTGCATACGAAGAGAACGACAATGTGTTCCTCGGAGCGGTACCAGGTCGCGGCGGTGAGGGCCAGAGCAAACAGCAAGGCCGTCTTCGGACGGTTCGACGTTGGGATCGAGGGTTTGGCAGCAGCAAACCTCGAACGCGGCTCGTCGGTGATACCAAACTGGCGAAAGAACTTAACCAGAAGGGGGAGTGCAGTCCACGCAAGGACTTCAGAAGACAGCTCGACGTCTCGCGTGGCCAGCCGTTGCGCAACAGCGCCGCACAAGAGCGCCGCTCCCGTCACGGCGACCGAACGCGAGGCTCGCGGATGCTTATCCATGGGCGAGCACACGCGGCGGGTGCAGCCGCCCACGAGCTGTCGGCGAAAACCCAGTCGTGGAAGGAGCAAGGGACATGAACGCGGGAAGGCTTGCGCCTCGACGGACGGATGTGACGCGGGACAGGTGCTCGCCGGCCCATTCTTGGCTGTGTAACAGCACATTCACAGGAAGCGAGACGGAACGGCGGGGGCATAATCCTCCTACTACGCGCAGCATGGCATGGCCAACTGCTGTAATGCAACCAACTCTATCCAAGGGTACGAATGTGCCAGCATCCATCCAGGGCAAGCGTGCGTTTGATTCGCACTTGCTGGGCGCAATGTGTTGGTCACCCCCTGGTGCGGTGGCGCTCGCCCAACAGCAGAGACGAGCAACACCATCGCAATGACGGGTCGTTGTCGGCGGTTGCCCCTGACGGGTCCTAACGGCACGCGGGGCGAGCATTACATGGGTCCTCTGCCCACCACGGGCATCGGGCATGACAACGACGGTGGCAGTCGGGCATACCCGGTGTTGATCATGTTTATGCGTCGTTGCGGATGAAGAACCGTGGCTGAGCGGCCCGACAGGCCTTGTTCGGTTGACCCTTGTCCCTCTGTGGCTGAGCCGTCTCTGATCTAAGTTACTTTGTACTCCATCCCTGCTCAAACATCATCCTTTCCGTCTCAAGACTCGCCGACCACTCGCGAATTGCAGCCGCGTTTTAAAAGCGGCTCTTTGCAGCGGCAACGGAGGGTGTGTCTGTTGTGCCTGCGAGACGCGCACGTGTCGCAAGTGCGAAAAGTCACAGAGATGAGTCTGTACAGTGCTGCTGCCCGTGACGTTAAAACGCCGCTGCATTGGGGCGTTGTTGGTTCCGCGTACAGGCACCGGTTGGCTCCCCACAGGCACTTTCGCCTCGGACCTCAAACTCAACCCATGTGTAGCATACGCAGCGCTTCCTAATCCGTCAATAAAAGGTACCATGTGAGGCTTCGAATGGGACTGAGCACTACCGACATCAGCAAGTAGGTATTGTGGCGGGCCGCTCTTTGCGACCCGGGCGAGGGCTACATCAATGACGCGGTCCACGAGCGCCTTTATCGCTCACAATCCCTCGTTCTCGTGGCCAACGTGTAATAATGAGAGGTCCGCGAGAGATCCAGAACGCCGGGGTCCAACATGACATGTAAGACCTAATTTCGTCGCTTGATCGCCCGATCGCGGGGCCACATGGATTTGCGGCCCAGGTCTTGCTATGAAGTAAGGATCATTCAGTCGACACGCGTGAGGCCGTTGCAGGGGTCTGAAGCCAAACACCATCGTCGCCTGCCAATCACGTTTGGCCAGCCGATGAAAGTGCCGATGATAAGATGGCTTGCGGTGCAAGAACTTCGGACCCGCGCGGCTGCACTCCACGCGCTGGGGTAGTTGGCTCTGTTCCAGTCAGTTTCTGGTTATCTGGAGAGAAGACATTGAGCGTATTGTATACTTGTCATGGTGTATTTTAAATACATCCAAGGGCGCGCCCTGGAATTCCTACTTCTTTCCATTCGCGGGTGTCCAGCTCATCTTAGTATCCGCGTATTCAACGAGACGAAGGATTCGTCCCAAAGCGACCGTCGATGGCGCTAGAATACCAATTACGCGGCATTCACTATATGCTCAGCTCTAGTGTCAACTAGTATGTGCAGCGACACTATCTTCCCCATTTCGCGATAGCTGGACAGATCTACTGGACATTCCGCGCTTTGGAGTGGAAGCCAACGTACTGGTGGCCCGTGAGACGTCAGGCCCAGTTTACCATGCGCGGCGAGTTCGTTGGGGGCCCCGTGACGAGGTGCTTGAAACCCAGGGCGTCTGAAGTCTGCAACGATATGTACTCGCGCTGGGCGCAAGGATCGCGCGCTGGTAGCACGCGGAGAGCGAGATGATGACTCGCAGGCGCATGATGTCATTGAGTAGGGCACTGTGATGTTTCCCCGGCCGAGCATTGCACCGTTATACGTAACTTATTACAAATTGCAAGTCAAGCTCCATCCTGGTCCTCGAGGCGGGGAGTAACTCATGTCCGCCTCGGTCATTCGAGATGGGCTTATGTTCGCGTCGCCGCGGTCACCATTGGCTTTGACGAAGCCGGAGCACACTATGGAGTATGTGGTTTCGCTGACCTGGCGAGAAAATGCTTGTCGACATGGAAAAAGACGTACTGCTGGACCAGGTATCGCCGCTCGCCCTGCAAGTCCGGCGTCGAGGATGCTCGCCGTGAGGAGTAGGGCCACGTCCGGCATCGGAGCCTCTGGTCAAGGCACACGGGCATCGGTAATGCTCCCGGTCTGCTGATGCCAACGAAAGAGGAGGTCGCACATGTTCTCCCGCACGGAAAGGATCGCAGACGTATCCGAGCAGACACACGAAGCTTCGACATCGCCAACCGCTCCCCTCACTGCGCTCCCCTCGCTCCCGGATCCTAGCCACTCCGGGGCTCCTCACTCCGAACAACAAAACGTGTTCCGCCGACTCGGAAACTCGGCGAGATCTATTCACGTCACCGCCTAATGGCATCCCCATATCTCGCTGGCGCCCCCATGTGACCAGCTGAGCCACCGTGCAGGCCACGGCCGCAGCTGAGGTATAAGTGCGCCGGTCGTTCCGGGGTAGGCGACTTCAAACCGCCACGCCCACGGCCCTAGCAGCAAGCACACCAGTCGACGATGATGAAGCTGCGGGCGTTTATTTTCGTTTTCATGATGCTGATGCTCGGCGGCGCAGAGGCCTGCAAGTGTATGATGGGCGACACGCCGATGCACGTCGAAACGCGATACTGCTGCGTCGAGGTCGGCGGGTTCCCTCGCGGCCACGACTGTCCCGCCGGCACGATATCCAAACACCTCTCGGCTTTTTCAGATTGCTGCAAGTCAATGGAGAGGGGCTTCAAGTCGGACTGCAGGTGCCCAAAGGGCTGCTAGTGATGGACAGCGACAACGGGACGAGACACGAATCGAGAACCACTCGACAGCAATTCGTCGTCATGCTACAGTGGTTTGCGCGGGATGGATACAGACCTCGCATGGGTCTCTGCCGCTCGCCGAGCATCGCGCCCTGCGTTTCGCCACAGACTGTTGAGATGCTCTTGCATTGCAGAAGGTGTACTCCGCCTCCAAGACACCAAAAGTATCCTGTTACGGCTTCCGGACAGGAGGGTGGGCTTTAGCAACTGCAAGTCTGAATGGCGGCCTACGGCGACGATGCGAACTGCATGTGCCCGCGACAGTATCTTCGATCAGCACGGCTGAGAGGGGTTCAATCATGGCGCTTGCTCGGCACGGGATGCAAGGCCAGAGACGAGCGGGGCGTTGATTACAATTGCAGTCCTCGCCTCTGCTCGTTCCACGCTGCTGCATTCTTGGCCGAGGTCCTCTCTGGCATACCTTCACCAGTCAGGGATCCCGCGCCTCGATGCCGAAGCGCGCCGCAAGTCAATTTTCGACACTGATCGCGAAGGAAGCCCGATTTCGGGTTCAGAACTTGCGGCGACACAAGATCTTCCAACAAGATGTACACTCCTCGTGTGAAGGCGGCCAATGGGGAGGGGATGGCCTTGTTCGCGACACGCGCGGGGCTCTACGCGGGACCAGGAGATCATGAGCCGATTCAGTCCCTTGCAGCAGATGACAGGTGCTTTGGCTGCGCGTGGAGTGCGGGTTCCCACGGACGCACTAGCTGCATTGCGACAGAATAAGTGATGCGTCATAAGAAACGCGTCGGATGGGCGATTGCCTTGGTCCAGGAGTCGACTAGCCTGTGCCCTGCCCATTCGGCTGGCATTGAGCTCTCGTCTCCATCTCATCCAGAGCCGATCAAGAGCTCGCCTTATACCAGTTTGATACATATTGCCAGAGCCAGCATGGCCTACTATTATCGCACTTCATTCTCCCTGAACTGCCTTTTGTCCTCATGTTCTCGATCCCGTCGGCGATTAGGCTTCTATTCTGCAAGGCGCGAATGCCCAACCGGCATGGTGTGACCACCAGCACGATGCAGGCGATTGCCCTTTCGATCCTCGCGCAGCCGCCGCTTAGGACAATTCGTGTGCATGCCTGCAATGTTGTCGTTCATGTCGTGTCTTGGGGGATGACAACAGCCGCATGTCATGTAGCACCAGGGCAGTTGAGTGGCAGATGCTGCCAGCGCTCTCATCCGTCGTAGCCTGGCATCTGCTGCTGCTGCTGCTGCTGCAATCATGCGAGCCCGGAGTGAAAGTAGGAGGGCTGCGCTATCAAGACATTCGCGAACCCACCCAAGTTGGGGCAAGCAAAAAACAGAGGACCTGTGTCCGTCAGACAGCGACTTGACATCCTGGCGACCTCATATTCGCGGCTCGCCCTTCGCGCCTCAGCGTTGTGCTTTTACTTCAACGCAGTCCCATCGCAAGCACGCGTCTCACGCAGTCGAAATGAAGCTCAATCCCTCGTTTGCCCTAGTTATCGGCACTTGCTGCACTACTGTCACCGGCTGTCATTGTTTCTCGAGCGTCGGAATCAACACTGAGGCTACAAAGGCCTGCTGCCGAGAGGCTGGACAGGAACCAAGCGGTCATGAATGCATGTTCGGCATCGGTTACGGCGACGAGATATTTAGCAACTGCTGCCGCAGCTATGGATGTCGAATGGACTGTCGCTGCCCCATAGGCTGCGACTGAAGCAGCGCGTAGCATGGGGCACGATGAAGGACACAGGGCCAGCCGGTGCTGCCTGACTGGGGTTATAGGAGACTCGACGCGTCTAGTCAGGTTGTCTACGTGGCAGATCTTTGAGATCGCGGAAGGATTAATCCCCTCAGTACTTGGTGTAGTCTCGAGCGATTGCGTCTGGTGCTCTTTTCTCAATTCTGACTACAACGACTCTCTCGGAACTTATGGCTGGACGTGGAAGCAAATGTTGTCTCCTTCGGGTTTGTCGAGCAAAGAGAAGGAAGATCGGCACGCCAGATAATATATTGTTGGCAAAGCACGGGGTGAAGCTGCCTGCAAACAGAGGTTGCCGGCACGCATGCATCTCGCCGGCACCTTGTCGGGGTCAAGTCTCGCCAAAGCCGACGGCAACGGGATCTGCCCTTGCGGCTCCTACGGTGCCCTCAACAGCTTTTGCCTCCCGACCACGGATAACTGTACTCCATACAAGCGCAAAGCATTGATGAAAGCCGTACCTGAGGAACAAAGCTCAGCCGCGAGTATGCATGTGTCTACCCGGTCTAACGCTTGTCGCGCCATCAACCGTCTTGAGGCGATCGCCCGCTTCGTCGATGGCCCCGTTCAACTGCCCGCTGACGTCTCTCTCTGTCACGATCATGCCGTCCCTCGACTGGAGTCTCACCACCCTAATCTCCATTAATGACCCCTTCCCGCCCGGCTCATTCTCGCGATGCGTGAGACTCCGTCAGACGATCGTTGCCGCAAGCCGTGTCCGTTTCTTTCTTTACCCGGCCACACACAGGCGGGCAGGTCTCATCACGTCAACGCTGGGCCTGGTCACGGCCATCCACCCAGCTCCAGTCGTCCATGGGCCATCACAAGACAAGGCCGATTATGACAGCGTAGTAGCTCCATAACAGAATCCGCTCACCACGCTACGCATCTGTCAGTGTAACTGTTAGCAATTCACCTTTGTTTCTCGAATCTCGGAAAACAATGGGGGGCCGGCTGTGCCAAACCACACTGCCAACTAGCCCCCCCTGTCCGCCAGCCGCGTTGCCTGCCCCGAGCTCGACGGCCCAGCCGCCAGCCGGCTTCTCTGGTGTTCCCGGCAGGCAACTCGCCACAACGCCAACACCAACACCAAACAACCGCCCAACGCAGCCAGTCACAGGGCAAAGGGCACGGCGCAGCTCTGGGCTCCTCCTCCCTCCTGACCCCCCGAGACACGCACCGCCTCAGGGTCGAGCCCGCTCTCTTTTCTCTCCTCAACGGAGACTATTTTCCCTCGGGCACCATTTACCATCATTATTGCTTTTTTGTGTGGCGGCTGAAGGCCAAGTGTCGGCTCAAGCGGAGACGGGGAAATGGGCATGATTCTTGGTACTCTTATGACTGGGGCGGCTCATCCAGCAACCGTACGACGACTGGACTGCCATGGAAAGTATAACTAACAGTCCCCCTCCACCCCCAGGCTGCCGTACCCAACCCTGAAACTCCGAATGTTCGCTTCTCGCACATCATCTTTTATGCAAACCCTGCTCGACGCCTAACGTATGTCCTCGCCCTATATCCCAGCGGCGGGCGTCTCCTCCTTCGCCATGCATCCTACGTACAGATTGCCGACATGATGTCCAAAAGACCCTGCGAGCCCTCGATCACACAGGGCTCACCGACTTCCGACTTCGACTTCGACCTCGACTTCGACTCCGATCTCGACTCCGCGCCCGACTTGAACCTCGAATGCGAACTTGACAACGCTTCCAATCATCACCGCCCCGTCCACCGCCGTTCGAGATAGCGCAGCGGCACGTACACCAGCGCGGCCAGCACAAAGGCCACCTCGAAGCCAATGTCGCCCGTCGTCTCGGCGATCGGCCCCGTCCACCACACCTGGTCCATGCACGGCACCACGAGCCCGAAGCACGCGATGCCCGCCGTGATGGCCGCCGCGCCCCAGGGCAGCCGCGACGCGTCGCTCCAGATCGAGGCGTCGTACGCCACGGCGTACGGCAGCCGCCGGCGGAACGCGAGGTGCTCGGCGCCCACGATGCCCACAAACGCGGCCGACCAGTACCCGATGAGGGCGACAAAGTTTTCGAGGTTGAGGAAGAAGTCGTCGACGGCGGTGATGGCCACGGGGATGACGATGGCCGTGATGATGATGCTGAAGACGTACCGCGGCACGCGCGCCAGCCACGGCACCAGCGTCTGGAAGTTGAGCGTGATGGCGTAAAAGGTGCCGCACGTGTTGCCCAGCAGCGTCAGCGACAGCACCACGACGACAAACTTGCCGAAGCCGCCTGCGCTGGCCAGCATGCCCGCCAGCGCGCCGCCCACGAGGTTCTCGTCGTACCGCCGCTCCCAGTCCGGGTTGTTGGGGATGGCGCCCGCGACGGCCGCGCCGAGCGTCATGAGCAGCACCGTCGGGATCAACAGGCCCCAGTACGTGTAGTGGAAGACGCGCCAGCCCGGCACGCGCGGGTCAAAGTACGTCGTCAGGTCGCTCGCGATGGCCGCCCACGGGATCTGGTAGCTGGCGACAATCATGCCAAAGTTGAGCACCTGGCGCGCCGAGGGCGACTCGGCGGGCTCCGTCTGGCGCGTGAGGCCGGAGCCACCGACGCCGGCCGTGATGGTGATGGCGATGAGCGCCACGGCGAAGGCGTACGTTTCGAAGATGTGCAGCACCTTGAAGCCGGCAAACGAGACGAGCAGCGACAGCAGCGCGATGATGATGATGCCCGCGTTGGGCGTCAGGTCGCCCTCGGACACGGCCGCGAGGCACTGGCCGCCGACGACGCAGATGATGACGGTGAAGCCGGTCAGGGTCGCGAGGTTGAGCAGCACGGGTATCGACACGATGTATCGGCTATTGCAGCACCATAATCAGCTTCCATGTCGCCTCTCGAGATCCAGCGACTACCGAGGAAATACGCACCCGAAGCTATACCGCGCCTGAATCATCTGGCGCATGCCCGTCTTGGGCCCCAGCACGGCCAGGGCCCCCGGCGCCAGCGTCGACAGCAGGGAGAAGAAGAGAATGACGAGCGACGAGTCTCGCAGGCTCAGGCCATAGACGGCCGGGCCCAGCATGCCAAAGGTGATGCCGAGGATGTTGGAGTTGATGGAGAACCAGACGGTGAAGATGTTGAAGAAGCGCGTGTTGGTGCGCTGGTCGAGCGGCAACGGGTGGATGCCGTTCTCCTCGACCCGCCCCATGCGCAGCACCTTGTGTATCAGCGAGGGCGACGATGTCGACGACGTCGAGGAGGCGTCGTCGCCGGGCGCCCGGAGGGGAGGCTGGTGGTGATGGCCCCCGAGACGCTTCTCGGCGGCGGCGTCGTCCGGCGGCAGGCCGTGCTCGGCGTCGGCGGCCATTGTCGTGTGGTCGTCGCGGTCCGGACGCGGTCGTCGACGGGGCAGTAGAGGAGGGCTCTGCGATGCAGAGCGCGGGAGGATGGCGGCGGCTGGAGCAAGAGGAAGAGCGACGAAAGACGTAGGCACGCCGCCGGCGACGATGAGGATTCGACTCAGCGCTCCGTAGGCGCCCCGGGCAGTCGCTGGGATCCGATGGTGGAGTGCCCGCGGGTGCGCCCTTGCGCTGTACCGCCACCCACTACCACCCAGCCTTGCAGCGCTGCACCACCCAACCCGCGCCGCCGCTTGGCGACGGTGGAGCACTGACCACTGCAAGAAATGTTTCTGCAGCGCTGCGGCCGTCGGGCGACGCCAGTCCAGCGCCAATGCGACCCGTAGACTCGCTGCAACGGTGGCGCCGGCCACTCGCTACAGGCGAACCGTCCAGGGCTCTCGGCAGCCCCTCCAGGTGACCCAGTCACCGCTGTAGCACTCTCTGGACCCTCCTTGCATCCCACCCAAGCCACCCTCCTGCAGAAGAAAATCTCATCAATTGGGAATCGTCGCCGCCGCTGGGCTTCCGTCGAGCAGGTCCGTGCGTCCTACTCCTTCTGTCGGCTACCGGTCGCCCGCAGCCGGCCTTAGCCGCCCCATGTTCGTCCGTTATCGCACTCGCGTATATTTTTCATCTCGAGTCATTGCTACCCTACGCTGGCTGGACACACAATGTGACGAGCACATGACGCTGGACTGGCTCGCTGGTCTGTATCATGCTCTCTGATAGCCATGTTGCACGGTCGTATTACGATACATCCCGTGTCTGCTCAATCCCCATGCTGCCGTTCGCGGCTGCAGCACTGCCTCAAGTTTGGTTGCTAGGATCCAACTGCGACTTCATCGCGTCGTACGAGCCATCAGGGAACAGATAAAAGCAGATTACCAATGCCTGTAATCAGACCAAAAACGGTTCATGATCCGTGTCCATCTTAGAGTACTAAAGGGCCTGTATCTCTTAGTGGTCTGATCTTCTGCTATCATGTCGCATTCGCATCGCGTCCTTGCGTCTATTAAGGCTGCACAAGGAAACTCTCTGCCATCTAGTCCCATGTCCCGGCCAGGGTCTGTGATCCTGAAACATATCCTGGCGTCCTGCAGGTCGTATGGTATGATGAGGAGTATTTTGACTTGTCTTCCCTCCGTCACGACTCAATGCTGCCCGTACTTCGTGTCCGCTGCGAATCGAGTGAGGCGCAATCTGCATATCTGCAAGGTCGCAGTCGCCAACTTCATCAACTTGCCAGAGCTTCACGCCGGGCCTGCTGCCTTGCCCCGGAAAAACACAGACAGCCCGCCCATCAGCGCCCCCAGCATCTCGCTGTCCGTCGAGGCGCCTGCGGCCCCCATGCCCTCCCGGATCCACCCCGGCAGCTTCGCCCGGATCCGCTCCGTGCCGTACCGCCGGTCTGCCAGCACAATCGCCGCGTAGTCGCCCCGGTGCCGGATCGCCCGCCCGATGCTCTGGTTCACCGCCCTCATGCACGCATTTTCGTAGAAGTCTCGTGCCGCCGCCTTGGCCCGCAACGTCGCCTCCTCCCGGCTCAGCGCCTGGCGTCGACCTTGCCCGTCGGAATGCGTCGTCGTTGTCGTTGCCTCTGCTGTTCCTGTACTGTCCGACGATGCCATGAGCGCCGCCAGTGTCGTTGTCTCAATGTACTCCATCTTGGCCTTCCACTCGGGTGATGCTGCGTTCGGATATGGCAGTCCGACCACCACGACGCAGCGCCCCAGTCGGTCCGAGAAGTTGATGCCCTCGGACATCTTGCCGCCGACGACGCTCAGCAGTAGCGCCCCTCGTCCTGTAGCAGCTCGTGGCTTGTGCTTGTCTCCATCGTCGGCCTGCGTGCTGGGTCCCAAAATCGATTCCGAATATTGTCGTAGCACCTCGTCGCTCGACCCCCCTCGCGTCTCCTGAAAGACTGCTTTGCGCGCTTGCAGCCGATCCCAGATCGTCGCGGCCTTGTCTCCTTTCTGTTCTCGCCACGCCTTCACGACTTCGTCCAGGTATCCGTAGCTGGGGAAGAACATAACCACGCCGTCCGGCACCACCGCGCACATATTGAGCACCGCAAGCCCCAGCTGCTCCATGAGCGCCTTGTCCCCTCGCCGCTGGAAGCTAAACTCGAACGGCGCTCCTCCCGGCCGTGTCCCTGCCAGCACGCGCACGCACAAGTTCTCCCGCGGTATGACGTGCCCGCAACTCAGCGTCGTGACCTTGGGCGCTGCCAGCGTAGGGAACAGGTGGTTGCGATAGTCGTCAAACGGCGACATGGTACCTCCGGCGAGGATTACGGCGCGGGCGCTCGATGCGATCGACGAGAAGGCGTGTGTCGGTGACAGCAGGAGATACGAGAGCTGCACGTCGCCGCCTGCTTTCTGGTAAAAGATGCGTCCCTCGGAGCTGGGGTTGGTGAGGGCCACGAGAAACGACACCAGCGAGTGCAGGACAGGCGAGCTGGCCTTGGAGAGTGTCGCCTTGCCGCCATCCTCTTGCGCCTCCACGTGGGCCGCGTAGCCTTCAATCTTGTACGCCAGCTTCGATTCTTGGATGTATTGGATCAGCTCGTACATGTTGATCTGATCGATGCCCTTGCGCCGAGTCAAGTCGTTGGGGTCGACGATGCCGTGCTCTTGCTGTGTCTGATTAGTATAGTCGACAACGGATCAATACAGAGCGATCGCGCTCACCTTGAAGCTCTTCGCGCTCTCCATCCACTCGCTCAACCCATCAATTACTCGCCCGACTCGTCCTACATTCACCCGGTTCTCGCCTTTGAGCTTCTTGCCGAACCGCTTCACATACACACCCAACATGCCACGTCCCTTGCGCAAGTCGCTCAGTTTCAGCTCCGCCGCATGGACGTTGGCCACGGCGTCCATGATGTTGTGCGCCTCATCGATGATCACCACGTTGCCCTCCAACTTGATTCCTAACGCGTCCCGCGCGCTCTTCTGGAGGAGCAGTGGGTAGGGTAGCGTGATGATCTCCGCCCCAGGCAGCGCCGCGCGCGAGGCGTAGTATGGGCAAACAGCCAGCGACTTGCCCAGCTGATGCAGGTCCTCAATGTCTGGCAGCGTAGCCAGCGCCGTGTCGCGAAATTGATGCGTCTGGCTGAGGAGCTCCTCCCTGGGGACGTAGTCGCATTTCTTGCCGCCCTTGTTCTGCTGTAGCTCCGCGCAGCGGTCGTTGATGGCTTGCACCGAGCCCAGGCGTGATACCGAAGGGTTGATGCAGAGCCGCTGCCTTGACGAGAGGGGAAGCAGCTTGACCGCTTCCGATGCATTCTGCTGGTCTTTAGCTACGGATGACGGCAGCGATGGCGGGAACGACGGCCGACGCAGCTCCGTGATGAACTGCGACAGCTGCGAATGCGTCCTGGACGTGTAGTAGATCTACGAGGGTGTTACCATGTCGTCTTGCAGTCACCGAGCGAGCCTCGCACCTTGATCTCTTCCTCTAAAACGTCGTCATCCTCATCGCGCTTCTTGGGTGCGCCGAGGCCCATTCTTTCCAGGACCTCGCGCGACTCCTTGCTGAGCCCAGAGAGGGCATCCCGGGGGGCCGAGCCGCTACCGTCCCGGTCGTCGAGGAGCCATTCGGCGTCCTCGTCTTCTACGCTCTGTCGACCAGCTCCAGATGCCTGACGTTCGTCAATGCGGCGTCGTTTGCTGGCCCGATCTTCTCGTGCCCTCTCCTTGAGACGAATGTCCTCCAGGCGCTTCTCCCGGTCCTCCCAGCGGCGGACGAGCTCGTCTCTCTTGCGCCGCAGGAGCTGGTCGATTAGCCACTGTGGCTCGTCCTTGTACGCCTCGCCGGCGTCTCGCAGCGCCGCTTCATGGCTGGTGGACTTGTAGTTCCGTAACCAGGTCAACGAGGCGCAGATCAGCGAGAGGGATTTGCCCTAAATTCTGTCAGCAACCTCCGGCGTCTATACACGGAGATGCACAGAGTCATTTATTCGCAACTTCCGCTCTCACATACCGTGCCAGTCGGGCTTTCCAGGATGCCGACCTGCCCGCCACCCACGTCGAGGACCCCGTAAACTGCCCTCATAAACTGCTCCTGAACATCGTATGGGGTATAAGGGTGGTGAAAGTCCAGCTCTCCGATCTGCCGCGTGGTGTCATCCACGCCATCGGTGTCATCCATAGTCGTGCATGTTCACGCGTTCCACGCATCAACACCCCGTGTTTGCACGATGAGTTCACCAGACAGGTCATTGGTGTTTCGCCCCGACGCGGTGGGGCAGGCCCGAGGGGTTCACCGCGGTGAGGCCACGAAGTCACCTGACTCCACCCAGCCCCACCAGCGCACCGTCCAGACTCGCACTTCCCACATTAGGGCTGTGCTGCCCTCTCGCCTAACAATTTTCCGTTCCGAGCGTGCCCCAAGCCCCAGTAGGCGCAAAATCATAACCACCCACCTCATCGTCCGTCTTTGACGCAAAACAACGGAAAAGCGACAACCACCGCAGCCGTCGCCATGCCTACCCGAACCTCGAAGACCCGCAAGCAGTACGTTATATCCCGTGGACGAGCTGCATTACGAACGAATTGCCAGCGTCGATTGGCGTTTTTCCCGCCGTCGGTCGTCTGGCGGCGTTGGCAGCAAATCTCGAACTCGCCGTCTGTCCGCGAGGGCATCATGGGCTAACATTTTTCACTCACAGCCGCGGCCACGTCTCGCACGGCCACGGTCGCATCGGCAAGCACCGCAAGCACCCCGGTGGTCGTGGTCTGGCTGGTGGTCAGCACCACCACCGTACCAACATGGACAAGGTTCGAGCGAACGACGAGCAAACGAGATCGAGGAACGACGATGGCTGACTCTGGCGAAACAGTACCACCCTGGTTACTTCGGTAAGGTTGGTATGCGGTACTTCCACAAGCAGCAGAACCACTTCTGGAAGCCCGTCATCAACCTGGACAAGGTACATACATATTCCTCCAAACTCTCGCGAGCGATGGTCGAGTCGATTGGAAGAAGCGACGGGCGAGGTTGGACATGAAGGGCCACGGCGCCGATGCCGTTCAACCCGTCGCATTCGACTATTGCATTCGGCCTTCGCATTCGCAGAGAAGCATTTTGACGAACCAACATGTACTGACTGGCTCTCCAGCTGTGGTCCCTCGTCCCGACCGAGACCCGTGAGGCCTACGTCGCCGGCCAGAAGAAGGACACCGTCCCTGTCCTCGACCTCCTGCCCCTCGGCTACTCTAAGGTCCTCGGCAAGGGCCGCCTGCCCGAAGTCCCCCTGGTCGTCCGCGCGAGATGGGTCAGCAAGCTGGCGGAGAAGAAGATCACGGAGGCCGGTGGCGTCGTCGAGCTGGTTGCGTAAATTCTTTTCCCCCACAAAGGAAAAAATAGACGCGTGTAACGAGTGCATCAACAAGTCGGAGCCAAAAGCATGAAAACATTTTTGACAACCAAGCTGTTGAGAGCGCGGCACCGAGAAGACGGCGACGATGAACCAGGAGACGGAGTCGGGGACTTTTTCTATTGCTTGCGGGGAAACAATTGGGAGCCGGGTTTTTCTCAACGGGCGGGGAAAAAGGCAGCGGAGGAGACATCGTCGTCTCCCTCTGCTCCTCCCCATTCCGCGTATACACCCGCCAAAAGGCGTGCACTGGCAGGGGATGGGGGTCCGGTCGGTTTCGAGCATTGCATCAGGGACTCTTGAGACGGGAGTTTTGACGAATAAAATCATTTTCGCCCATATCCAGTCGTTACTGAGGTTGTGTCCTGTGACGTCGTTGGATGCTCCCTCCATGTGTCACGCGCGATATGTTGCATGCCATGGCAGTGTCTACGGCGTCACGTCGAGCCCAGACCACAAGGTGTTGGTCAAATCATCGCTACATTGCATTGCACTCCATCTAGTGCTAACGTGTGGTATCATATGGCCTCTGCCAAACGGCCCCTTTGCCCTGGCTCCTTTGTCCTAGCACTTGCTTCCTGTCCGCGTTGTACTCGTCGAACCCGACAAGGTCATGTGCGAGGCCGAAGCCCCATCTGCTCCTCCAAAACGGCGTGCAGCTGGTCCGACCGCTCCTTATAGGCAAGGTCCGCCTCGGACAAGACCAGAAAATCGTGCTCAAGCGCCTCGGCGGCCGTGATGCGGCGCGAAGGATCCAGCTCCATGCACTGCTCGAGGAAGCGGACGGCGAGGCGCTCGTGCCTCGTCAAGGGCTTGTCCTCGCCGCGGCAGGTGCTCCAGAGGATGATCTTCTCCATGGTGAAGCCCTGGGTGCCAATAGTGGGGATCGTCGTCTCGAAAACGCAGCCGTGGAGCAGGCCAGCCGCCTTCATGCGCTTGGCGCCAAAGATGGTGGCAATCTCGATCATGGCCTCGACGTCGTCGGCCGAGTTGAAGAAGGGGAACCGCTTCGACAGGATGGTGAGGAGGATGACGCCGACGGACCAGATGTCAATGGCCGTGGACTGCTCGGTGCACTTGAAGAGCACTTCAGGCGCGCGGAAGCCTCTGGTGCCGGCGCGGTTGGCTCGGCGGGAAGGGCGCGTGTCCGTCTTGGGATATCCCGGCTGGGCGCCGCCGGCAGCCGTGCCCGTCATCTGGGCCCAGGCGGATGCGCCCTGGCGCTGCTTGCGGACCTCGCGAGGCTCGTGGCACAGGCAGGGCTTGCAGTCGGAGCCCTCGCGCTCGGCGAGGCCAAAGTCAACGAGGACTCCATGCTGGGTGGTGGGGTCGTAGAGGAAGTTGGTGGGCTTGATGTCGCGGTGGAGGATGCGATGGGCGTGGACGCTGCGCAGGGCGGTGAAGAGCGAGCGCAGGTAGATGACGATGTCCGGGATGGTCATGTCGCGGAAGTAGGAGCGGAAGTCGCCGTGGCGGAAGTAGGGGAGGATGGCGACGACCTGGTCTGTCTCGCGGAAGGCGGTGATGAGCGGGCAGACCGAGGGGCATCGGCGGAGGTCGTGGAGCAGCTCGAGCTCGTTGAGGATGCGCGCAGGGCTCGACGTCACGTAGATCTTCTTGATGGCGACGTATCGCGGGCGCTTCGGCCGCCGTGGAGGGGAGGAGGCTTGCCGCCGTTGGTGGTTTTGTTGTTGCTGCTGGCGCTTGAGCGGCGGGGGCGTCCACTTGGACGCGTCGTCCTCGAGGTCCCAGCTGTTATCGTAGCGACCGTAGTCGAGGTCCTCGGCCTTGAAGACTGTGGAAAAGGTCCCTGCTGGTTGCTTAGCATGGCGTTACGACACAAAGAGAGTCTCTGCAAGGGAACACACCCTCGCCGATGCGTTTTATCAGGCGGTACTTGTCCCGGAAGCCGGGAAAGTCCTCGGTCAGCTTGTCCATGTCGGCCTGGACACTGCTCTCAATTTGCTCCTCGTCTGAAGCCTCGTCATCGTCGTCATCTTCCTCCTCTTGGTCTTGGTCCAGCCCCTCGTCGTCCTCGTCTTCCGGCTGGGCGCTCTCGGTGGCTTGTTGTGCGGCGTTGTCGTCGTCCTCCATGACCTCTGTCTCCTCTGTTCGGACGTCGACGGGCGGGATGGGCTGCTGGAACATGCCCTCAAAGGATACGGACGCCATGGTGGGCGGCGCGTGTGCGAGGAGTGTTGTTGTCGCCGCCCTTTGGTCGGTTTTCAGCTTTCGAACAATGCCTCTGGTCGTGTCGTCCCCTTCAATAACAGACAGGCTATGCAACGAAACGCCAGAGAATGCAATGCAATGCAATGCTCAAGGATGCAACCAGACCAATGCAAAACAGGGAGAGAAATGTCGTGCAGGGAGGATCCCGTTCCGCCTCTGGGTTCGTCTATGGAGGGGTTGCCCGGCGTGGTATGTAATGTGTGAGGACGGTGGTGGTGGTGGGTGCAGGCGCAGGGATGGGCCGTTTGCGCGACGGTCCGCCCGGCGAGACGCGCCTGAGTTAGTGAGCTGCCTCCACTAAGAAAAATGGTGGTGCAGCGGGCGCACTTGGTGGGGTCAATGGACCGCGTCAGGCCCTGGACCGCCCGCCCGGGCGCCCGCCATTGGCGCTTTCGCACCATCTAAACAAAACAAAAACATCGGTTGCTGAGGGACGCACGCCGCTGTCTCCCATCACCACCTCCACCACAATCGGCATCACAGCCAGCATCAACACCGCAACCACGCGCAGACCCGTGTCTCAGTCGCATCGCGAGACGACTCGGACAGCGGCGACACCACTTTTTCTCGCGACAAGCTCGAGTGCTCACTGCGCAGCCGTCTCCCGCACAGAGCGACAACCACTTCACGCAGCCCCCCGCGCGTCTCGCGCGCCCCGTCGCCCGCCATGGCGACAATCAACTTCGACATCAACGATGCGCTCAAGCACTACATGTCGGATCCGACCACGATCCCGACGCCAGAGGCCGACGGCGCGCTTTTCGACTGCGAAAACGACCCCGAGGCCCTCACCAACCCCGTCATCAACCCCATCCTCAACCCCATTGTCGATGCCGTCGCCGACAACCCCGACGCCATCATGCGCGCGTCCAACATGGACTCGCTGCAGTTCCTTCTCAAGTATGCCCCCAGCAGACCCTCTGCCTTGAGGTTTCCCTGTCTAACCCCCGATTCCCGCAGATACACGCAGTTCCTGCCGACGCACGCTCTCAGCAAGGTCTTCGATCTGGTCATGAGCGGCCTCAGCGCAGAGACCGACACCATCCACAACGACATCGACTCGCCCGACGAGCAGGATGCTGTTCCCCACCATAAGCAGCTGCTCGAGATCTATGGCTTCCTCCTCCAGTGGACGATCGCCGCCGTCGAGACAAAGGCCGCCGAGAAGTCGTCTGCTGCGCCCGCGGCCAGAGGTCGTGGCAAGCCCAAGAAGGGTACCACCAGGGATGACTCCTGGGACTCCGCGACACAGCTTCAGTCGGCGCTCGACATCATGTGCAAGGTGCTGAAGCTGAAGCTGTCCAAGATCTTCCTCACGACCAGCGAGAGAGACACCTTCGTCGGCCTGCTCACCCGGCCCGTCTACATGATCCTCGAGAGCGAGCAGCGCACCAAGGCGACGCTCATCAGGATGCACTGCTTCAAGGTGCTTTGCATGGCCGTCAAACACCACGGTCATGGATACGCCGCGCAGATCAACGTGATCCAGAACCTCACGTACTTTGAGCACCTCTCCGAGCCCATGGCCGAGTTCATGCACATTCTCGCCGAGACCTACGACTACCCGCAGCTGGCCGACGAAGTCCTGCGCGAACTCAGTAACAAGGAGTTCAACTCCAATGACACGCGCGGGCCCAAGTCGGTCTCGGCCTTTATCGCTAAGCTATCGGAGCTGGCTCCCAGGCTGGTAATCAAGCAAATGACAATGCTGGCGAAGCAACTCGACAGCGAGTCGTATACGCTTCGCTGCGCCCTCATCGAAGTCTGCGGCAACATGATTGCCCACCTCAGCAAGCAAGATGAGCGCAGCGAGAATCACAAATCGCAGCTCAATGCCTTCTTCGACGTCCTCGAGGAGCGCTTCCTCGACATCAACCCCTACTGCCGCTGCAGGACGCTGCAGGTCTACGCGAAGCTGTGCGACCTCGAACAAAAGTTCCCCAAACGGCGGCAGAAGGCGGCCGAGCTGGCGTGCCGCAGCCTCGAAGACAAGAGCAGCAATGTGCGCAGGAACGCCATCAAGCTTCTTGGCTCACTCATCAAGACCCATCCCTTCACCGTCATGCACGGCGCCCAACTATCTCGAAAGGAGTGGCAGGATCGCCACGACAAGGTCGAGGAGGAGCTCAACGCGCTGAAGCCGCCGCCTGGGATGCCCGGGTTCGGCGAGGACAAGGCCAACACCACCGTCGATAACGGGCTGATCGATGACGCGACCCAGATTGCCTCGCCCGAAAAGCCGAAGCCCATGAGCGACGAGGATAAGATCGCCGCCATCAAGAAGGCACAAGAAGAGGCAGCTACAAGCGAGGCCATCGAGAAGCTCACCCTCACCCGGCGGTATTACAACGAAGCGCTCAAATTCATCGACGTGCTTCACGACGCGACGGGTATCGTGTGCCAACTGCTCGGATCGAGGAACAAGAGCGAGGTGATTGAGGCTATCGACTACTTCGAGATTGGCGACGCCTACAACATCGAGCAGAACAAGGTCGGCATCAGGCGCATGCTGCGTCTCATCTGGACCAAGGGCAATAGCGACGAGGGCAAGGGCGTGCAGACTCACCTAATTGAGTGCTACCGAAGGCTATTCTTCGAGGCACCCGATACCTTCAGCCCCAATGATGCCGCCATCTATGTTGCGCGCAACATGATCAGTCTCACCTTTGGCGCGACACCCGCCGAGCTGACGTCGCTCGAGCAGCTGCTCGCCACTATGATGAAGGCGGGGATCATCCCTGAGGCGGTCGTGTCGAAGTTGTGGCAGGTCTACGGGGTCCAGAGGCGCGAGATGTCCAAGACGCAGCGACGCGGGGCCATCATCGTGCTGGGTATGCTAGCGACAGCCAGCCCCGAGATTGTGGTGGGCGAGATTGAGACGATGCTACGCACAGGTCTCGGGGGCCACGGCCGCAGCGATCTCCAGCTGGCCAAGTATACGTGCATCGCGCTGAGGAGGATCAACCCTCAGGGCCGGCAAGCCAAGGAGTCGACGGCCAAGTTCGCGCGCCTGCCCAACGACCATGCCGTCTGCGTCCGCCTGGCAGCTATCACCGAGGTGCCGTCGGACAGCAAGGAATGGTATGGTGTTGCCGAGCAGGCCATCAACGCCATTTACGCTGTCGCGAAGCACCCGGACACCCTATGCTCAGGCATTATCCGCCGCAAGACTCGCCAGGTGTTTGGCAACTCGGGCTCGCGATCATCGTCTCGCCCGACGACGAGCGACGAGACACAAGCCATGACGCAGGCGATGACGCAGGCCATCGACGTCGCGGATCCCACGGTGACGCAGATGCCGCAGTCGCAGGCGCAGACGCCGCCAAAGAAGCGCGACAATGCCATTGCGCTGTCGCAGCTGCTCTTCATCGTTGGCCACGTAGCCATCAAGCAGATTGTGCACCTCGAGCTGTGCGAGCTCGACTTTAAGCGGCGGAAGCAGGAGAAGGAGAAGCAGGCCAGCCAGAAGACGGACAAGGAGAAGGAGGACGCGGACGAGTTGGACCTCATCGGCGGCACGACCGAGGACGACTTCACCGAGGCCATGGCGCACATCCGGGAGCGCGAGCTGCTGTACGGGCCCAACTCGTTGCTGGCGCTGTTCGGGCCGCTCGTGTCGGAGATTTGCGCCAACAACAACATCTACGCGGACAAGGGCTTGCAGGCGGCGTCGACTCTGTGCCTGGCAAAGCTCATGTGCGTGTCGTCGGAGTACTGCGAAACGAACCTGCCGCTGCTCATCACCATCATGGAGCGGTCGCCCGACGCGACAGTGCGGTCCAACGCGGTGATTGCGCTGGGCGACATGGCGGTGTGCTTCAACCACCTGATTGACGAGAACACGGACTTCTTGTACCGGCGACTGGCGGACGACGACGCGTCGGTCAAGCGGACGTGCCTGATGACGCTGACGTTCCTGATCCTGGCGGGGCAGGTCAAGGTCAAGGGGCAGCTGGGCGAGATGGCCAAGTGCCTCGAGGACGAGGACCGGCGCATCGCGGACCTGGCGCGCATGTTCTTCACGGAGCTCAGCACCAAGGACAACGCCGTGTACAACCATTTCGTGGACATGTTCAGCCTGCTGAGCGCGGGTGGGCGGATGGACGAGGAGAGCTTCCGGCGCATCATCCGGTTCCTGCTCGGGTTTGTCGAAAAGGTGAGCATTCCTTCACCGGGTAGACACGATGAGGCTATTGAGGGTACATGGCTAATCATCTGCAAACAGGACAAGCACGCGAAGCAGCTGGCGGAGAAGCTGGCGGCGCGGTTGGCGCGGTGCGAGACGGAGCGGCAGTGGAATGACGTGGCGTTTGCGCTGGGGCTGCTGCCGCACAAGAACGAGGAGATTTCCAAGACGGTGTCGGAGGGGTTCAAGGTGGTGCAGGCGGCGGCGTAGTGAGGCGGAGGGGCTTGTGTGCGTGTGTATACGATGTGTACTTGTTTATATATATGACGAGGGAGCATCTGGGAGAGCTCTGGCGCTGGAAGGTCTTGGGCTACTGCGCCTGTATGATGATTTAATGAACGATATTTTGAAAATCCTGACGACTGAACTTGTGCGGTTTAGGGCAGGGTGTGTTTAGTCAGGTTTGTCTGTTGTTGTGGCTGTCAAAGAAGTGAGGCCGGAATTGCTACCTGACGATGCTGCTTGGAGGAGTCGCGAGTGCTGTTCTGGTCAAGGACACCGCCCACAACGAATCGACGTCTACAGAGGATAGAATGCAGTCACGTTGTGGATCGTATATTTCTTTTCTACGTAGTTAATCGACGCGCGCTCTTCCCATCCGCCGTTCTGGCTGTCATCTGTCAAAATCATGCAGTGCAGGGTAGGCAGATGTGAGTCGCCGTGGACGCGGCAAATGAGAATCTGCCAATGATGACGACGGGACTGGGGCCACCTCTGGGCGGGACGGGCAGCTGATGGTGGTGGTGGTTTGGTGGTGCTATGCAGGCGCTGCAGGGGGGCGTCGGGCAGGCGGGAGGCGTGGGCGTCACTTGCAGGCCCCGAGTACAAAAGGACGGGGTGCTCCCCAGGCGCTGGATCCGTCCAAGAGCTCCGATTGAGAGGAGAGCTCAGCAATCTGCCGCACCCCATTGGCTGCCGCGCGCGACGCCACATCTTTACCGCCGTTACCGATACAGCGCTGTACGTCGATTGTACTCGTACCTGCTGCTCCTCTTGCGACGACACGGCCGTGCACAGGGTCGTGGCTCTCGAATTGAAAACGGGCGTCAACGGCCGCCCATTGCATCATCGTCCGTTTTGGAACCTTGCCCAGCAGGCGCCACGCACACCGCGAGCCTTACCGGCCCCTCACCGAGCGCCGACCAATCATACAGACTGGCGCATCAGCAGCTGCGCCAGGCCTAGCCATCTAGCCTACCGCCTCTGCCACGTGACCTGCCTGCGCATCAGGCTCAGCGGCGGAGCCTTGGAAGCTTGGGCCACCAGAAACGCCCGCTAGAGGTCCCCCCCAATTCTCCGCTCAGCTCAACAGCTAGGGTACGTTTGAGGGTACTTGGTACTTGGTTGCTCTGGCCGCGCTCGTCTTTGTACCGCTTGCGGGCACCTGCGTCACGTCGACGTCCGCGATTCGCATCAACAGCCACCACAACACCGGCGAGCAAGCACGCATCAGCACGCATCGCAAACCCACGTCGCGCACAGTTTTGTTTACCTCCGAGATCGCGAGCGACGACCCCGGTCGCGCCTGTTTGCTACACCGGCGCCCATTGCGCAGAAAAGCAGCGGCGCCAGCGAGATCGAACCTTGCTTCCACGCGGCGCCATTCACGAGTGCGACTGGCAAAAGCGCTTTTCGTTCCCCCCCTCCACGCGGCGTTTGCACCGCTTCACAGCACACAATTCCGGCCGCCCGCAGTATCCGACGCGAGGCGGAAGGCCATGGGCTTGGCTCGAGCTGTCGCCCTGAGAAGGACCGAGACTGGGGACGGCTGCTTCTAGGTGTGCGCGCGCCCTCCCTCCACCCCTCATCGCGAGACTGCCCATCCCGTCACAGGGTGAAAAGAAAGGGACCAATCCACTGACCGAAGATGGCAGCGCAGTTCGAGAGGACGAGACTGCTACACGCCGCCGATACATCTCCAACCAGCCGGCGACATGTACGACAAGGTCGTGTCGCTGGGCTCCCGCCTGCACTACCCCATCACCATCACCAAGCTGCTCAAGTCGCCCGGCGACAGCATCAAGAAGCAGGAAAACATCATCGAGTACAAGTTCACGTGGCGGCGCCGCGTCGGCGACGACGAGTGGACCGATGAGACGACGTACACCGAGTTCGACAGCCCCGCCGAGGGCCGCCTCAAGGACTGGCGCATCCGCGAGGGCCAGGTCATCGGCGCCGACATGCCGTGCATGACGGTCGAGGAGGCCTGCGGCCACGAGGTCCAGATCCAGGGCCTCTGCAGCCTCTGCGGCGCCGACATGACCGAGGTCAACTGGGCCAGCGAGGAAAAGGACACGGACCGCGCCATGATCAACATGACGCACGACCAGACGGGCCTCATGGTCAGCGAGTCCGTCGCCACAAAGGCCGAGCACGACGCCCAGCGCCGCCTGCTGCGCCAGCGCAAGCTCAGCCTCGTCGTCGACCTCGACCAGACCATCATCCACGCCTGCATCGAGCCCACCGTCGGCGAGTGGCAGCGCGACCCCACCAACCCCAACCACGAGGCCGTCCGCGACGTCCAGAGCTTCCAGCTCAACGACGACGGCCCCCGCGGCCTCGCCAGCGGCTGCACCTACTACATCAAGCTGCGCCCGGGCCTGCGCTCCTTTCTCGAGGAGGTGGCCAAGATGTACGAGCTGCACGTCTACACCATGGGCACCCGCGCCTACGCCCTCAACATTGCCCGCATCGTCGACCCGGACCGCAAGCTCTTTGGCAACCGCGTCATCAGCCGCGACGAGAACGGCAGCATCACCTCCAAGAGCCTGCAGCGCCTCTTTCCCGTCAGCACAAACATGGTGGTCATCATCGACGACCGCGCCGACGTCTGGCCCCGCAACCGGCCCAACCTCATCAAGGTCGTCCCCTACGACTTTTTCAAGGGCATCGGCGACATCAACTCGAGCTTCTTGCCCAAGCGCACCGATATTCTGCCCGCGCCGCCGCAGCCGCAGTCAAACGGCTCAGCGGAGACGCCCGAGGCGGCGGCTGCGGCTCCTTCGGGCGCCAAGGCATCGCCCCTCGAGGAACTGGCCCGTATGGGCGGCGGCGACGACGAGACGCAGCTCAAGATACAGGCCGAGGAGCAGGAAAAGTCGTTGGAGAAACAGCTCAAAGATCGACCGCTGCTGCACATGCAGGAGGAGCTGGACAAGGAGGACGAGGCGTCACAGGACGGCGAGGCAGGCGATGCGACGGTCACGCACCACCGCCAACACCTACTCAACGACGACGACGAGGAGCTTATGGCGCTGCAAGATCACCTGACAGACCTGCACTCATCCTTTTACGAGACGTACGACCGGAGGCGAGATGACCGCAAGCAGTCGGAGCCGACGCACCCGCCGGGGCATAACAAGCGCCGGAAATCGTCGGTCGACGACGGAGTCGATTTGTCCATGGTGCCCGATATTGGCGACATCCTGGACGAGCTCAAGTCCAACGTGCTGTCGGGCCTAGTTATCGTGCTGTCCGGACTGGTGCCGCTAGGCGTCAACGTGGAGGACTCGGAGATTGGGATGCAGGCGCAGAGCTTCGGCGCGCAGGTCCTGGACACCGTATCACGGCGCGTGACCCATTTGGTCGTCTCGACGTCGCGGCCGCGCACGAGGAAAGTGCAGCAGGCTGCCAGGATTTCGAGCATAAAGATTGTCAACCAGAATTGGTTGACGGATTGCCTGAGTCAATGGCGCCGGCTAGATGAGAGCCCGTACTACATGGACATTCTGGACTCAGACCGCGGAGCCAGCGGCGGCGGTGGCGGCGGCGGCGAGGACGACACGACCGAAGTCACGTCGGAGGCCGAGAACGAGGAGGCGGCCGAGGCGCGGGACCTCAAGGACTTTGACTGGGCCACGGCCGACAAGGACTTGGAAGAGTTCCTCGACGAAGATGACGACGGTGACGACGACGAGGATGACGACGGAAACGAGGACGGCGAGACAGAAGACGGGTCCGAGAGCGGAGCCGACGCGGAGGACGGCAACGAGACGGACGCGTCGCGAAGGGCGAGCGGCAAGAAGCGCAAGAAGGGAGCCGACGGGGAGGAGTCGGACGGGGACGGGGGCTCGAACGTCGCCGGGGAGAGCGTGCTGGCCAAGAAGCAGCGTCTGTCGCGCAGCCGCGGCACGTCGGCGCTGCGGTCGGTGCGGACGCCCAACGGCAGCGGAGTCGGCGGCGCCGGCGGCGAGGCTGACCAGGACAGCAGCCTGCCGACGCCGGTGCAGACGGGCGACGACGGAGCCTCACAGGGGACCAACAGCAACAAGAACTGGGACGACCAGGCCGACTTTGACGAGGACGCGCTGGAGCGGGAGCTGCTGGCGGAGCTGGAGGCGGCCGAAGCATGACCCTGCCCGGCTCCTCGCTCTGCGCTATGCGTCGAGGCCTGGCGCTCTGCGCTTTCTTGCGTGCGTTATGTATGCCTACGTTTTGCTTGCTTGCTTGCTTGCGATTGGCATGGCGACCGGTGTTGTTGGCCCTCTCTCTTCGCCACCTCCATTCTTATATCTAGAGCGCGCGTGCGTCTCACACACCATGACGACGACGTTGGGGTGGCAGGACACGGGAAGGCGGAGGAGTCATACCAGGAAGGGGCAGAGGAGAGGCGGGAGCAGAGGCGGCGGATATGGAGGCGCGGCGGGAGTCTTTATCTGCTCACTGTCAACTTGGGGAAGCTGCTGCGTCTGGGACCTTTTTTTCTTCTCTCTGGCTGTCATCTGTGTTGTTTTATTGTACGGAGTCAATGTATACCCCCGCGCTTGTGGTGGCCTGGGTTGGATGGACAAGAAAGCTGGAAGAAGGAAGGGCTGAATGGTGCTCTCCCGGCGTACGTGCGTGCGTGCGTGCGTGCGTGCTTGATGTGATGTGATGTGATGTGATGCCTACCTACCCAGATACATCGATGATAAGCACGCACGCACCAGACGTTGTACAAGGGGCTAAGCCGAAGCGACGACTGTTGTAAACGATGACAACAGTCTTTGTGCTGCCATGACGCCATCCCTTTGCCTAGCTGTCATCACGTTGTGACCACTCATGGACTGCTTCTTGGAGATGCCCACGAGTGCGTTGATGTTTGGGAGACGCCCGTGTCGGAGATGTGATGGATGGATGGACGATGGATGGCTGGCCCGTTCGGCCGCTCGCCGAGAGGACGACGTGAGTGATGAATGCCAAGGCTCTAGCATGCAAGTTCGTTACCTAGGGAGCATTTTGCGGGCCACCTCATCACGGGAACTTGTGTAGTGTAACCTACATGATTATACCTAACTACGTCAAGGGGGCGCGGCGGCGTGTGTATCGACTTTTATCTGTTCGCAACTCGAGTAGATTCCGAACTACGGGTACCCACAGGGGCGCGAACAGGGCAAGCGACGCGCATTCATCTGGTCCGTCGTCTCATCTGGTCGTCGCTTTGCATTGTCGTTGGAGCCCAGCCTTCTTTGGCGTCGACACATCGCTATAGTCGCCGCGGCGGCGCTTCCTTCCACGATGGGAGGAGTCTGTCAACCATAGCAGGCAGAAAGGTGGCGCGACGCCTCATTGCGCAGCAATCCTACACAGTCTTCGACATTGACCTAGCCTGCAACATGCTGCAGTCTTATCGAGACGGCCATGTTGAAGTGGCAGCGGGGGAGACGCGGCCAGGCAGCTCGCAGGCGCATGTGGTGTCTTCGCCGGTGGCGTGTGGCGTTGCGGGTGCCATCGTTGCCGTTGCCGTTCTCGCGGTGAGGGGCGGCGCGCGATCTGAGGTTGTCAGGTCGAGGCGCTGGATGGATAACGATTCCTTCAAGAGGGAGTGGCCGGAGCAGTGGAGGCGGGCTCGAGTCGTGACGGTTTGGGATGTTGTGTTATTGCACGTGTCATACGTGGTGAGAGGCATGTGCCTGGGACTCTTCATTTGGAAAGTCGCAGAGATTGTAATGCGATGATGGGCGTGGCTTGTACTATTGGGAAGTGTTGAGATGTGGCAGAGGTCGTGATGGCCTCGGTTCTCAAAGCATGACTGACTCTCAGACGGCGACCCATAGCTACATGAACTAATCATAGAATTTGCCCGGGTTGGCAACGCTACTCGACTCGACAAGCCCAACATGGCCAACATCAAACTCGACAGCCGAGTCACCCACCAGGCCAGGAAGTCGGGACAGCTTGTTACACTGGTCAAACGGCGCCACGCTCGAAAACCCCGGCGCGCCACGAAGCTCGTCCGCGAGATCCGCCCCGAAGCGAAACAAGCTATACCCGTCCAGCGTCGCGGACCAGCGACGGCGGAACCCGTACCCCAGCCCGAGAGCTAGACACCCCGCGGCCCAGACGAGGAACAGGACGGCAGCCACCTCCGCGGGCACGCGTCCCCGCTCCAGGATCTTGCCGCGCTGCGTCGCCGTCAGGTTCGGGTCGAGGCGCGCCCCGTCCATGGTCCCGACGCCGTCGTACATGAGCTGCAGCGCGTCGACGGCATGCGCCCTCATGACGGCCTCGAGGAGCGTCTTGGGCTGCACGAAGTTTCGGTACGCCACCGAGTTGGAGTAGGCCAGCGGCGGGGGCGCGTTCACCGAGGTGAAGAGCTCGAGGTACCGGCCCGCGAGGATGTGGGCTGCCGCGGCGCCGAAGCGGAACGTCTCCATCTCCATGGTGCTGCGGTTGAACAGGGGCGCTGGGGATGGCTCGAAGGAGGTGAACTCGCTCCGCTTCACGTCCAGACTGGCTTCCCCTGGGCTCGAGACGCGGCGACACCGAACGCCAATTGGCTCTGCAAGGGACCGAATTGTCCTTCCAATCTCGGAGACATTTGCATAGCTCTCAATGTTGTCGTTGCTCGGGCCGCTCGCCAGGTCGTGTCCCCAAGCGAAGAATGTGCGGTTCATCGCATACTTGCCGTCAGGCTGCCGAACAAAGGGATGGCCCATCCCGGCGATGGACGGGCGTGTCGAGTCATTAAACGCAATCATCTCGTCGGCCTCAGAATAGGAAGCATTAAGTCGAACCTGCCACAAAGCATATTCCAAAATGTCGGCCTCTCCGCTTGCGGTGCTCTCCTGGTCTGCGAAAGGGTATTCGGTACCATCGTAGCCCAGCACGGGGCGCCTGCTCAGCCCCATTTCTGCGTACGCCCACAAGTTCCGTCCGGTTTCAAGACCTATGGTAAGGTTGAAGACATTGATGGACGAGTTGGAAGCGCTAGAGACGGAGAGCTCGAGTGTTTTCTGCCCGGCGGTCTGTGCGAAGGCGCGGAGGCCGTCCATGACCTTTGTCGCAGAGGAGGACTTTTGGTGCAGTATGGTGAACTCGGATGCGGACTCGACGACGGAGCAGTTGTACCCTACCAGCAGGCCCCATGTCCTCCCTCCTACGGGAGTCTCTGCCTGGGGAGCGAGGAAGAGTCCAGGAATCTGACCCTCGGCGGGAAGAGAGTTGGGAAAAGAGGCGAGAGACACGTACTGGTCGCGGGGAACATACGGGGGCGTGTACACCAAGCCGATGCCTGGGAGCCGGGCTGGTAGTCCGTTGGCCCAAGCTGCGATTCCTCGGTTGACAGTCTGGTAGGGCTTCCGCAGGTTGAAGTCGGCCCAGGTCCGGCCGACGACCGTTGCTGGCGTCTTTACAGGAACCCAGCCGTCGGCCAGCTCCATGGTCAGCCCGGACAACGGGAACGCAGCAAAGGGCATGACACTGAGGAGGGCGAGCGCGTGCCATAACCGCCCAGGAGCGTTTTCCCGCAGCACGTTCCAAAGACGGGCGCGCCATCCCCCGGGTCCGCTCCAGGTGGCGCCGCTGTGCATCAGGACGACCATGGCGCTGCGCGCCTTCCAGAAGGGAGCCTGAAGCATGGCCGCCTCGACTCCCAACAGGCCGTGACGAGAGATATCCAGGCCGAAGACGCCAATGAGGAACCACATGTAGTAGATCCAAACTTGATCAAACGCCGCATACTTGGCTGGGCTGCTTTCTCGCAAGCAGTATAGCCAGATCCACAGGTAGAAGGCTGTGATGGCCACGGGGACCAGTACCACGACCGCTGTGCGCATCCAAAAGTATGCTAGCCGATGTCCTGGGCCGCTGGGCCTTGCTGGGCCATGGCTCAATGGTTCTCCCACGGCAATTTCGCTGCGCTTTGTGCTGCTACTCGGGGTAGTTGTAGCCGCCGGCGAGCGACTTTGGAGGAATGGCTCCGATACATCTTGTCCGGGGGCCGTCGTCGCCATGGCCGGGGAAGCATTGGCATCCCAATGGCCCATCGTTCGAGTTGCAAGGTGACTGCGTGGCTGCGGGAGCCCTATTCACCCTATGTCAGAGATTCTCACCGGGGTACGTCAAAGCTTTGCGCTCGAGACGCAGGAAGCTCATGATGACGAGAACGAGAGACACAGAACGTAAGTTAAAATATAACTGTAAAGGAAAATGCACGTAAGATAAGTCGCGCTGATCCTCTCAGCTGGTGCTACTCCCTGCTCGGCGCTTGCTCTTTCTGGCACCTCACATGCAGCACAGGGCTGCCGTGGGGGCCTCGGGCTCAACTCAAAGGGTGGCGTATTATAGCCTCAGAAGATTGGCATGTATGTAGTTACCCCAGTGCGGGAGCCAGGGCTCGGCGCCACGAGTGTGCCCCCGACAGACAGTTATTTTGCTGTGTTGTGATCGAGTTCATGCATGTCTTGCTTTTCGTCTTCACGGGGCTGACAAGGCTGCTGGGGTGCGCGCGTTCAGCGCGGCAGCTGAGAAATTTCTAGGATCAATTAGTCGATAACACAACCTGCAGGCCGGGCAGAAAGTAAGTTGCTGTCCGACTTTGGTCTTTTGAGGAGCTAGATAAAGAGGCCCAGCTTTCTATGCAGGGGGCACGACGGAACCATGTTCTGGTAAGTGTCGCGGGCGCTTCGACAGCAAGAGCAGCCCGGCATCTCCCGTCCGGCTAAGTATGCATGACCCTAAGTCTTATCTGACAACGTGCTCTCACACAGAGAGCACTTGAGGGATAGGGGTTAGCCCGCCCTATTCAGGGCGCGGCTGGACCCTCTCTGATCCCAACAGTAAGAGGGCCAATGTGATCAAATGAGTGTCATATCATGAAGTTGGTGGAAAGAAAGAAGAACAGCACCGACAGCGCGGGGGAGCGCATCATCGGCGTGGCGAACGGCGCAGTGAGCTTGCCCTAGGTGTGTTGCCAACAATTGGACATGATCTTGATGACATACACGCCCAATGCCTGGGCGTCATGGACGCCCGCCCTCCACACCGAGCCAAGGCAGGACGGGGATCCGTGTTCGGGTTGCGACACTATCCCGCACTAGCGGCGCAATGCGTAGATTCGACCTTTTCGCGATACTAGCGGATCGGAGCCTAACCCGGCGCTATAAAGCCCTCAGCGGCACTCGACGACTTTGTCGGCTCGAGCGGGCGTCGCGGACGACGCTTGACGGGACGATGAGACGCAAAGGATTGCGGGCGGCTTAATTGCTTCGCCGGGCAGCGTAGCGAACGAAGCTCGATGGCTTTACGGCCCCGCCGTGATTGGCGTCGCCTTATCCCGGCCGTTTGGGATGCGTATAAGATGAGCATGGCCCAGCTGCCTGGGGGCGGACGAAGATAGATACGCGGGTTCAGTTTTAGTTGGCCAACGTTTCGAAGTATACGGCCTGTCTGCGCGGAGCACTTTGCCGTCTCCATCCTCAGCCTAGGACAAACCGTCAGACGGACGTGTGCAAAGCTACGACAAGCAACTACCCCCTGACCACGGCCGTTAGGGCGACGCCAACGATCTCTCACGTCATGTCATTCCGTGGCTTCGATCCGACGCGAGACGTGCCCAGTCTCGAGGGCAAGGCTGTGCTCGTCACGGGCGGTACGTCAGGACTGGGGCGGGAGACAGTGCTGGAGCTGGCGCGCCACAGACCGGGGCACGTCTTCTTCACGGGCCGGAACCGCGAGGCGGCGAGGTCGCTCATCGAAGAGTGCGCGCCGCATTTGCTGCCTGTGGCTCTCGATGGTGGCGATAATGAAGGTGAGACGGAACCGGAGAACGGCGACAGAACAAGCAACGGTCGAGGCCACATCAGCTTCATCGAGTGTGACCACGCCTCCCTGACGAGCATTGCTGCCGCAGCCGAGACCATCCTCACGCTCACCCTTCGCCTCGACATCTTCGTCGCCAACGCCGGCATCATGGCCACGCCGCCAGGCCTCACCGCCGACGGCCTCGAGGTGCAGTTCGGCACCAACCACGTCGGCAACGCGGCGCTGCTGCTACGCCTCCTGCCGCTCATGCTGCGCACCGCATCCATCCCCGGCGCCGACGTGCGCTTCGTGAGCGTCACGTCACTGGGATACTTTGCGCACCCGGCGCGGGGCATCGACTTCGCGGCGCTGACGACGCCCGACGGGGGCACCGGGGGCCGCCCCGGGGGAGCATGGACGCGGTACGGGCAGAGCAAGCTGGCCAACATCCTGCTGGCGGGGGAGCTGCGGCGGCGGTACGGCGGGCGCATCGCCAGCGTGGCGGTGCATCCCGGGACGGTGCGCACGGAGCTTGTGTCTCGGCTGGGCTTCTGGAATAGGATGCTCGTGTACGTGACGAACCCGCGGGGGTTGCTGAGCCCTCGCGAGGGGAGCTACGGTATCGTGTGGGCGGCGGCGGCGGCGGACGTGCGGGACAAGCTGGCGGCTGCGACGGAGGGAGCCGGTGGCGGATCGAAGGGGAGGGGGGCGTTCTTCGGGCCCGTGGGCGTGCCGGACGCGGGTGATGCCAAGTGCTGGGACGAGGAGCTGGCGCGGGAGCTGTGGGAATGGACGGAACGAACAGTCGGGGTCGAGTCGCCGCCAGCGTGAGGGTATACGGTTGTGATCGGTGCGTGGTGCGGTGTCGTGCTGTCTGAGCTAGGAGTCGTGGGAAATAGTCGCATGTTAGACGTCAGTAATGTGCTTCCTGCTCGCGTCAGTATACAGGAACGGCGCCAAAGTAGACAACAAAGTAGTTCAATGATTCTTTTGCCGCACGACCATGTCGATGCATCCCGGCGTTGATACATATGTACACAGATCCGCCTCCTCTCGTTCCCGTCCGTCCGTCTAGTCCTTTGTCGGCGCGGGGGCAACGACATATGTCGGCCGAACAAACCTGGACGTCACGGTCAGCGTGCATGATTCAGAGGAGCAGGCAAGGTCCATCAGCATGTGATGGGGGCATCCAAGAAACTCACCGGTCGTTGTGGTACACCTTGGCGTTGTCGCCCATGAGCTCCTTCTCGCGCTTCTGGTCGGCCCAGTAGCGGCGCACCTGGTCGCGGTCCTCCTCGGCCTGCAGGAGGGGGATGAGGTGGATGCGCGCCCACATCTTTTCGCGCGCGAGCTCACTGTCGGGAACATCTGTCAGCGTCGTGGCCGGACCGGGGCGAGGGGAATAGGGAAACGGGAGACGTACTTGGCCTCGCGGATGCCGCCGACGAGCTTGTACCAGCCGTAGCCCATGATGGCGCCCATGCCGAGGAGGAGGATCCCGGGCCGGAAGCCTTTGGCGGGGAGGTTTCGCTGCCGAGAGTTAGCATTGCGTCGAGAGAGTATATGTATCGCGGTTGATGTCCAAATTCCATGCTGATGCAGCATTGCTCTGTCCGCGCCGGCCACGTCTCTCGTGGCCGCAGCCCGAGATGATCGCCATGGCCAGACGCTCAGCTGCTCATGGAATGACTATCTCAACCCGAAGCCTCCACGCACCTTGTACTGGACGGGCTCGTACCCGCCCTTGGGGGGCATGTCCTGGACCATGGTGGGCGGTGGTCGTCGCTCGCGGGCGCTCGGTTCTCGGGCGGTGTCGGTCTGGCTCGGCGCTCGCGCAATGGAAGTTGCTGCCCGTCGCCGTATCGGGGCAATTGATGGGTGCAGCGGGCGTCCCGGGAGGAGGTGATGTCGCTGTTGGCGTCGAGTGACGAGGCGTTGTTTTTTGGCGAGGCCACTGGTGAGGGCATGCAGAGACGGGCGGCAGAACGGGCACGGTGAGATTACGTAAGTGAACCTCGGTGAGTCTGAGTTCACCGAACTCACCGCGGTGTGTGGCCAATGGAGTGTGTTCTCTTTCCAAGCATCGCGGGCGAGGGGAAGTTGCCTACCCTGCAGATGGTTGTCCCAATTCGTGCCCCAATTTCGGCGCATCTTGGCGACGCATGACATGCCAAGCCCTTGACAGCCGGTACCAGGGCACAGCAATGAGCGGGTGCGGCTGCGGTAGGCGTGCCGATGCATGCTCGAACTTCGGAGGCATCGTCGGTCCGACCGCCCTGACCATTTACGCCTGGGCTGCCGGGCCTTGATTCTCGAACGAGTCTTTGACGCATCCTCGTCCAGCATTGTGTTGCTGCATACAACCTTGTCTTCTGCCCCGACAATGAGTTCGGCAGCAAGCCCTTGGAATGAATTGAACGCCTCGTCTGGCACTGGCTCGTAAGGCTGATCTCGCAGCCCGCCGTGACGCCACCCACAGCCGCCACCGCCAAGTCCAGGGCGGAGGATGGGCAGGGCCCAAGCGCAAGCAGGCCCGTTGAAGAGATGCTCGGGGCCTCGGGCCATGTCGCATTCGGTCAATATCGTGCGACCGACGACGGCTTCGAGACGCGCCGTGGTCAAGGCAAGGCAAGGCAAGGCAGTGACGCACGCATCTTCGACGAGGAATTCGCGGATGTGCCTTTGGTTGGTGCACAAGCTCACAGTGGGTGGACGACTCCTTGCCGGGGAGACGTTGCACTCAGGGCGAGATCAGCCACGGCATATCAGATTCCGGCGCGACATGGAACCTGGTCGAGTGCAACGGCAGGGTCATCCTGCCGGCACTTGCAGGGCCAGCTGCTGTGCGCGGCTGGCACGCTGGCTCCTGATCGCCGCCTTGAAGAATGGATTCTATCGTGGCTGGCGGATCAATCAATTGTCAGTGCGCGCAGAGGACTTCTTTGCTCAACTCTAGGCAAGGACAAGGCGACACCTTGATGAGGCGAGACCAGGACCAAGGGTTGACGGAGCGCAACGGCGGGGAGCGGCATTGGCTTCATGCTGCTCGATGTGGGCATTACGAGAGACAATTCGTTCCCCGCATCATCCGAACAGGTTCGAACCGGCTCCCCGCACGGCGGCCACAGTCAAGACAGGACGGTGAGCCACGTTGTGGCCGGGGGGATCAGTGTCTGCATGTCTCACTCATCATCGACTCATCAACGCGCGACTGAGATTCGCTGTTGCCCGCCCGTCGGACCAACCTTGGAACCTCTGCGGCCTCGCGCGCATGGTTCTTTGTCAATGGATGCCACGATTGAACGAGTACGGTACCCGTCTTTTCTCGTTCTATCCGCCGCTCTCGAGAGTCGAGACTGAGTAAACCCCCCCCAGGCGGGTGAGGATCTTTTGCGCAGGGCGGCCCCCAAAAGAGACTGCTGCCCGCGCGTCGACAGAACAGGAAAGACGGACGACGCACGACGTTGCGCTAAATTCATTAATCGTCAGGCACGCTGCGTCCACGACTCGCTGGGCGGGACGGCGTGCGGGTGGCAATGAGGCGCCGGCTAGCGCTGCACATCGCTCTGTAACTCTGATCCTGGGGCTGAGCCTCATCTCATCTCACCGAGTTGGGGGCAGTCTGGAGCAGCCTGGGGCCTTTTATCCGCCTCCCTGCTGCTCAGACCTGTCTGCTTCATGAGATGTCGAGACCATGGCGCCCGCCCGGACGTGGGCCGTTCGCAGCCCGTGTCACCACCACCAAGTCCGCTGAGATAAACCAGCTCCCCAGTACGACGTGCCACTGCGGACCGTATTCGTCTCGCTAGCCTCCCAATATCCTTCTCGCATCATGCCCGCTCGAGTCCCACATTCAACGCCCTCGGGGCCGCTGCCGAGGCCGGGGGCCAGGGGCCGGCCCCCCCAAGGCCCCCCGATCGCCCAACAGACCTGCCGCTTCGAGAAGGTCGCGGCCATAGCATCGCAGGAGTTCCTGGTCCGCAGCATGGCAGCGCGCACGCACCGCAGCCGATGTCGCCTTTCCATCCCGCCGCCGCGCCCGGCGAGCCTGGCCTGACGGCATGCGCTTGTCGTGCTGGCGATCCCTATGCAGAAGGTGCGCCGCGCCATGGTCGACAAAAGATCCTCGCCCCGAGCAGCCGCGACCATGGCGACCATGGCTGTGCAGGCGCAAACGGACCTGGCCTGCCCCGGGCTTGGTGTTATCGCTGGAGATGTGAGGTCGTGCGAGGCGCGTCATGGGAGGAGCAGCCGTGCCTGGCCCGGTGCTTCTCGGGCCATTCCGACTACTTAACTGACGGCGACGCCTCTCACGCTGTCCCTTGGCGATCCTGTCTCTCTGTCGGTCTATCCTATCCGTCAGCTTGCCTTGCCGTCGGTAGGTGTCGTGTGTTGACTGTATACTTATCGAGAGCCTCGTTCTTTGGCCTCCCCTGTCTCTGGTACGCGTGAAGCCTGCAGCGCTTCCAGTCACTCACTCGCTCACCTTCGGGGACCTCTCGACTTGGCTCTGCTCACGATGCGCAACGGCGTCATTGCCGCGGCCCTCCTGGCCGGCGCGGCCGACTTCGCCGCCGCCGCCCCGGGCAACGGCTGCAACGCGGACAACTGTCTGCGTGCCCTCCGCGCGACGCAGATTCCCGGCCGTCTGGAGAGCGCCCGGGCCTTCTGCGCGTCTTACACGGCGGTGCCCTCGCCCACGGGCGTCGCGGTGCCTTCGTACGCGGCCGATGCCTGCAAGAAGAACCAGAACGCCGACCAGCCAGCTCGTCTGTCGAGCGCCTGCGCCTGCATTGCGCCCGCGACAACGACGACGGCGACGCCTACTACGACGCCTACCACGACGCCTACCACGTCGCCCACGGCCAATGCCTGCGCCCAGGTGAGCGCGTCGTGGGCCTCGCAGAAGAAGACCACTGGTGAGCACGCCGACTCGTCCACTGATATGCTATGCACGCTGACCACGGCTGCCTTTAAGCGACCCCGACGGTGGCCGCCACGCTCGCCCACGAGTGCCTGGAATCGGTCCCTCTTGGCAAGGACGCCGCCATCAAGCTCGTCGATTCCCTCGTGCCTTATCTCGAGTGGCAGAGCGACGCCGCCTACAAGAAGGACCCCCCCAAGGACTACTTCTATCCTGGCTTCGATCTGTTTGCCAACCTGGCCAAGGTCAAGGCCAACCTGCAGGCCGACAAGTACAAGAGCGAGTACGCCTTCCAAGCCGACTTGTACGAGACCGTCTTTGGCCCCGGACACGACGGCCACTACGTCTTCTACCCTGATGCCCTGACCAAGGTCCTCAAGTGGCGCCGAGACCGCTCTCTCGTGTCTGTCAGCGAGGACGGCAAGTCCCTGCCCGTCATCAAGCTGTACGGTAGGTTACCTCAACCAGCCCAGTGCCAACCCCGGATTGTCCAGTGCTGACATCGAGCGCAGAGGATGTTGTCAAGGACCCCAAGACGGCTCGTGTCGTCAGCAAGATCAACGGCATCGAGGCCAGCAAGTATGTCGAGGACACCATCGTCAAAGCTACGTACAACCAGGATGTCGACTCGGCGTACAACTCCATGTTCTACTCGAAGGCTATTAGCGCGACGAACAACCTTTCCGGGTACTTCCAGAGCGGCGGCCGAATCGGCGTCATCTACCAGGGCGCCAACACGACCATCACCTTTGCTGATGGCGAGGACCTGACGCTCGAGAACAAGGCCAACGTTATCGGCGACATGACCGGCGTCACTGACGGCCCCTCCTTCTACAAGAAGTTCTGCACCCCCCAGCCTGCGCAAAAAGCCGCTAAGAAGGCTGCCGCCGTGGCAAAGCAGCTTCCCGGCTACCCCAAGCCTGTCATCTCGACGACCGATGGCGTCGTGAGCGGATACTACCTCACTGGCGAGGGCCTGGAGCATGTGGCTGTCATCGTGTTGACTAGCTTCGAGCCCCGCAGCCCGGCCGAGTTCCAGGCCGTGACTCAGGACTTCCTCGAAGAGGCCAAGGCAGCTGGCAAGACCAAGCTCGTCGTCGACTTCCAGGTCAACGGTGGAGGCTACATCCTGCTCGGCTACGACTTCTTCCGCCAGCTGTTCCCCCAGGTTCAGGAGGACGGCTACAGCCGCTGGAAGGAGAACGGCGGCTTCAACGCCATGTCGCGCATCTTCAGCGATGCCGTCAAGGACCTTGACCCGGCCAACAGCGCAGACGGAGCCCTCATCAACCTCTACGAGTCGTGGTTCAACTACCGCTACGACCTCAACCTCACGCTGGACAAGTTCTCCACGTTTGAGGACAAGTTCGCGCCCCAGGTCCACAAGGACACGCCCTACACTTCCCTCATGCGCTGGAACCTCAATGATCCCCTGACCACGGTCAACGCTACCTTCGGCATGGGCATCGAGATCTCGGGATACGGCACCCGCAAGAACTTGACGCAGCACTTCAAGGCAGAGGACATCGTGCTTCTTTACGACGGCGTCTGCGCCTCCACCTGCACCTTGGCCTCGGAGATGCTCCGTATCCAGGGTGGCGTCAAGTCAGTTGCCTTTGGCGGTCGCCCGCGCGAGGGCCCCATCCAGGGTGTTGGCGGCGTCAAGGGCTCCCAGGTCCTACAGTTCAGCAACATCCTTGACTACGCCCAACAGGCTGCTGAGCTCACCAAGGACCCCAAGCAGCTGGCCGAGCTCAATCGCTACACGGATCTTCCCCTGCAGCGCTCCTCGGCCGCCGCCGTCAACGTCCGCGACCAGATCCTGCGCGACAACGTCAACGACGGCCTGCCCGCGCAGTTCGTCGCCGAGAACGCCGACTGCCGTCTGTACTGGACCGCCCCTATGATCTCGGACGTGAGCGAGATTTGGAAGGCGGCCGCCAACTCTGCCTTCAACGGTGCCAAGTGCGCCAACGGCGGCATCAAGGCGTCCAAGAGGAGTGCGACGGCGCCCGCGCCCGCAGTCCTCGTGCCTCGCGCCCGCCTGTCGGCGAGCGTGGACACGACGCCTGTTGAGCACTCGGAGGAGTGGCTCGCCGTGCACCAGCAGAAGGCCATCGAGTAGTCTAGCTGTATGCTAGTATAATAGCGTTAGAAAGCAGAATTATTCCATTGTTACCGAGACGACCCCGAGTGTGCCCAACGGTGACATGCCCGCTGCGACCTGAGCCGGTCAGCCAGCTGAGGCTCTCACCGACCTCACATTGCACCGATCAAGGCTTGTTCAGGAGACGCGTAGATGCGCTCCGCCCTCGGTGAAAGCCTCGCTGTGCTGTTGGAGATCCGACGGCGTGGGTTGCATGGCACTCGCTGACGCGTTCGCATAGCTGGATTCAGTCCTCCAATGGTGGTGAGATTCCGTGGCGACACTTCCCGGGTCGGATGACCCAAAGCGTCGACCTCTACCAACAAGTGCCGCCCGGGAGGCCAGCAAACCTGCGCGTGTGTTGGGCGGGAGCCTGGTTGCACCCGCAACTCCGCTCTTTGTGTCACCGTCAGCCTTTGCCCCGAGGCTGTTTTGTACATACGTACATTCAGCCGCATGAGGGGAGTCAGCGAGCATGGGTGCCCGACAGCGATGGAGGACGAAGGTCCGTCGACGTGGGGAGAATAGTATTGATGGCAGTGGCGGTTGAGGATGCGTGAGGAGAGAGAGTGTGTGAGATGATGATGAATATATAAACATTGGGATTGAGACTTGGGAGCATCGCGGCTGACACTCGTCCAGACGCTTTCGATAAAGAACAGTCCGTACTGATCTTCAAAGCAGGACAGCCTTAGGTTCGTCTCGTCAACACCATACTGTCTACGCACTCCAGATACGCGAGTCCACGCTTCACCTCAGGCCTGGCTTTACGTGCCGGTAAATGTACATCCATGCGTGGCGAGACATCAACGCCAGCAAGCAATGTGCCAAGAGCTCATCTCGCCGACGCGGTACACGCGGTGCGGGCGGCAGTGCGACACGCTGTCCTCGTACGTCAAGACGGAGGGCTGCGTCGTGTTCGAGCGGACGAGGAGGGCGTGCGCGAGCCCGAGGAAGGAGTACCTCGCGATGAGCACGAAGAGGCAGAAATGCCCTCGACACAGATGAAAGGGCCTGCGACCCTGCTGCGGCGTCGTACTGACCCACGGCCAGCGAACGAGTCCCGACCTCTGCGCGGATGGGGAGCGAACGTTCATTGAACATGAGTGTGCCTGGACCACGAGTGGTGTCACTGAACGAGTGCCGCTGCTGAAGTCGACTCTCTAGCCGCCGGGCTAAGCATTTCGTCCCAATTCGAAGGTCCAAAGGTTGCGACGCCGTTTCGCTGAAAGGGCGGCTGGCCTGGGGGTCAACGTGAACAAAGCCCCTCAAGTGTTCACGGTCGATGCGATGACCACCTCGACGATACGCCAACACAGAGCACGAACACACGACGAAAACGTATAAAAGATGGGCTTCAAATGAGCCTGGTCGAGGAAACGCGATATATAAAAAGTCGTCGGTCCAGTCTTGGCCGGTCGACACAAGTCGACAACATAACCGCGCGGTCCTCACGTCAGGCATCACCACCAATATCGCTGACACTGACCTCATTTACACCGACATACTCACTCAAAGCGACCATGCGCCTTTCTTTTCTTTATATCGCAGCCCTGGCCGCACTGGCCATTGGCAAAGCAAATGCAACCTCCTCATTGAGAGACATGAAGAGGGCATCCATCGACATGCACAGGAAGGCGGTGGTCTGGAGCGGCAAGCACGTCGCCACGCCCATCCGCCGACAGTCGCGCCAGCTATCCAGGGCGTTCAACGCCGCCGCATCGACGGCGAAGACAGATTTTGTCCGCGCGGCCAACAACGGGGACGTCGCGACCACCATATCGCTCGAGGTTGTCCGGAGCCTGGCCCGAGAGGTCAAGGACGTTGTCATGATCCTCAAATACATCAAGGAGGTGGTGGCCCAGATTCCTGCATCCAGCAAGCACGCCAGTGTGAGCCTGCTGAAAAACCTGAAGGCTCATGCCAACATGAAGGCCCTGGGTAAGAAATGCGATTCCCAGGACGAGGAGCACGGAAAAGAGAAAGAGGAACAATCAGGAGCGAAGGCTGACGACCCGCAAACAAGGCCGGAGCATTCGAAAACGAGTGAAGCGCGTACGGAAGCGAGTGCGGAAGCTCCGCAAACGAACCTGGGCACGAGCTCGGACCGCTACACTACGGGTTCGAGCTGCTCTATGGAGACCTCGAGCCACCTGGAAGAACTGGCTGCGCCTTTGAAGAAGGCAGATGATAGTTTGCGGAAGAGGAGACGCCTTGTCTTGAGGCACAAGCTTGATCATTTGAAGGAGAAGAGTGGTGGTTCTGTCAAGGGAAATGCCGCGCTTTGAGAGAGATTGACGATGGGGTCGGCACGCCAGTCGCGTAGACGAGACCTTTGCGTTGAGTTTTGGAAAGAGCTCACTGCGAGCATTCACGGAGCTAAGCGAAATAAAACCCATTGTCGCAATGTTGATGCCTTTGGGAGCAATCTGTCCGCTGAGTACGGGTGGTTGAAACACTGATCTCGTCAATCCTGCGTCGTGTGCCTTGTGCTGTGTTTCGCGAGTCAAGATTACGGCCCAGTGATTGATCTATGTGAATCGAAGAGTGGCCCTGCGCACTCCATACGTTGCAGCTCCGTAGGAACTTGAGGTTGACAATACAGTCTACGTACGATATTCCCTTCTCCAAACCTTGAGCGGCATTGCCCCCAAGATGTGATTCATCGTCTCTAGCCTCTGCAGCTCGAACCCCTCCACCATGGCAAACTCGTAGCGATGCAGCAGTGATGCCAGCAGCACCACTTGCTCAAGGTAGGAAATGTTTCGGCCAATGCAACCTCTTGCGCCGGCGGAGAAGGTTATAAATGATGACTGGAGTGCCCTGCCGCTTTCACCCAGGAATCGCTCGGGCAGGAACTGCTCCGCATTGGGGAACACGGTCTCATCGCGGTGAGCTACCAGGGCGGATATACTCACGGTGGTGTTTCCCGGAACATAACGCCCCATGATGGTCATGCCCTCTGGAGGTGTCTTCCGTGGCAGCCCCTGCGGGGTGGGTGGGAAGAGCCGTAAAGACTCGTCGAGACAGGCGCGCAGGTAGGGCAGGTGCTTCACTTTGTCGTATGGCGCGATTCTCTCCTCTGGTTCCAGCGTGGCGTCGAGTTCCTCGCGGAGCAGGCGCATGGCGCGCGGGTTCCGCAGCAGCTGGTACAGGACGTTGGTGATGGCAATGGCCGTGGTGACGCTCCCCGCGTTCATCATGATGTTGATCTCGGCAAAGATCTCACCCCACTCGAGGCCATGCGGCGTGCCGTTCTTGTCCTCCATGAGCGCCTGAAAGAAGTCGTCGAGCTTCTCGCCGGCGCGGTAGCGCTCGAGCCGCTGGTTCGCGCGTCGCAGCACGATTGCCTCCCAGCCGACGCCCGACTCCGACATTTTCCTGTAGAAGGGAATGACGTTGGAGATCTTGTCGAGAATCTTGTAGTAGTCGTAGCTCCACAGGAGGAGGGACTGTTTACGCGCCGCGGGGTAGAGGCACTCGCGGAGGCCGACCTCGAATGTCGTCCCGTCAGGTCTTTGCGCGACCACCCGGTCGTGCCCCTGATCGAGCAGACTGAGGTGTTCGGAGAGGCCAATGTCCGCAATGGCATCGAGCGAAAAGAAATTGATCCAAGCGCGAAAGTCGACCAGCGACTCCTTTGGATCAGCGTAGCTCTGACCCTTGGGCAGCGGCGCGGAACAGCGCTTGTCAATCTGAGCCAGCATCCGGTCAACTTTGTCCGCCACCTTGTGCTCCCAGCGTTCCAAGTTCTTGAGGGCATATGCCGACGACAAGACCTTGCGCTTTCTTGCATGTTCGGCCTTGTCGATTACGTCGGCGAGGTGATAATGCGTGCCAGCAGTGAGGATATAGGCCTCTTCCTTCACGCAGGGGGTCCCGTGGCCATAAATGTCCTTGATGGCCTGCACGCTGCCAAATGAGAGGCTGTTTGGTCCTGTGCGCAAGACTGGCTCCTTTTTGTGTAGTTTGGCCAGATGTGTTGAGCGGTTGCCACCATGCGCCAGGATCATGAATGGCAGATTCGACATGCCCGAAAAGGTGGACATGGTGGGGAACTTTCGCAAGCCTGGGCCGTGTTACTTTGAGGTTCTACTCATTTGCTTTCGGAGAGTGCCTACCTTTGGCATCGCGAAGGTAATGGGCAAAAGGGTACACGAAGAAGAACGCGACTGCGCACGCGGCAAGCAAGTGCGCGTAAGGCACGGAACCGAGCTCGACGTGAAGAGCAGGCATATTAGCAAGGTACACAGCTACTTCGTATGGACTCGTGAAGCAATTGAGTGCTCATACGCTCTCTTCATGCGTGCAAAGACGTTTCGCCTAAGCATGTTTTATACAGCCAACACGCCTGGCATCGCCAATGGGCTAGTCAGTGTAAGACCGGCGCGCCGCATTCATCAAGCATCGTCACTGGAGATACTACTTGCACAAGATCTCGGGATGCCAGTCGCTCATGCCAGCCCCTCCACGGCACTTGCTGCGCCGCTGACCCTCCACTAGTTCCAAGGCTCCTCCGCGGCGGGGTGGCTGTCTCGGAAAGTTTTGCCCTTTCAGACGCAGCGGGAAGAACTCCAGCCCACCAAGAGGCAACCAGGGGACGATCTCCGGCACACCACGAGGGCGACCCCGGCTTACCCCACCCCGACGTCGGGGTTTCCCCAACTGCCCGTTCAGGCTATCAACACACAGGCCCCAGCTCTCCACTGAAGGTCAACTTGCCCTTTCCAACTGTGACGGCAAAATTGCACGGACTGATATGCCTTCCAGAAGAAAGCGCGTGCCAGGCTGTGAGGTATAGTATCAGTATCTTGCATGGACTAGCAATTGATGTCTGACGTCTCTAGAATTGCCGAGAAAGGTAGGTGCAACGTCAGAACGCAGCACAGGCGGGGACTGACTGCGATATTGATCCGCCGGGATAGACACCTGAAGTGTAAGTTGCAATTGCCCCTGTTTCCGTAGGCGTGAGACTCACGCTTTGGACTAGGCGACGGAAAGCTACCTTGTTCGAGATGTGTCAAGAAATCCTGGAGATGTAACCGCCCCGTTCGGTTCCGTCTCGTCAATGGCTCAGACCCTTTGTTGTAAGCCGTGCTCGTCGAGGTGACAGCCCTCCTCCCAAAACTAGGACGCTGATACATGAACTTTTGCTAGCGGTGACTCGACGGAGTTTCCATTCTCGCCGCATCAAACGTGGTTCAAGACGCAGCGCCAGCAGATAGAGTTCATCGACCAGACCCTAGAGGTTGCGAGGTCGTATGATGACGGCCAGGACGACGACATCGTTGCAGCTAATCACGACGTCCTCCAAATAGATGTAGCAGAAGAGACGGATGAGCTGCCAGCTGTGGACCGAGCGCTGAACACAAGTACCAGGCAAGGTCTAAGCGACACCGTGCCGGCACTTCTGGCGGAACGACCATGGGATGAATGCACCCATCCAAGGGAACCAGAGTACGGCTTGTGGGGTAGGCAAGGGGCCTTGCCGATGCCCGTTGAAGATGACTCGGCAATTCGTTATGCAAACCCTTCCACCAGGCACTACGAAGATTTGGTGGATACAAGGGCCGAAGCGGAACTCATCCACCACTTTATCGATGAGCTGGGGCCTTCCTTGGATCCATGGGATGAGTCCAGGCGGTTTGCGGCAGATTTAGTAGAAGATGCCACTTCATGTCCAGAATTGATGGATGCGATAATTGGGGCGGCCGCGGCTCATTCACTACACGGGACGCTGGATCGCGATCCGCTACCAGAGTGGCCGAGTGTCAAAACGCGAAGCAAAGGCCAGGATTCGGTGAGGAGCAACTCATCCGTGGCCTTGCTGCACCGTACTATTGAGAACTTGAACGGTGCGTTTGCTTTCTGCTTCCACGATCATATGCTAAGCAACGAATAGGCTTGGTCTCGGAGGTGAACGGCAGCAACTTGGTACGCGTTATCTGGTCTGCGCCCGTGACCAGTCCCCAGACGACCGCGGAGCCGGGATCCATTGACGACAAGGTCCTCTGGGCTGGCCTGTGGCAGGAACTATACATCTCCGTAATGCACCAAGCGCCGTTGTCCTCAGACGTCGACGTCCACACCATGCATAAGCTTACGCAGGGCGCCGATGACCGTACGTGGACTAACAGGATGCTCCTTCACCTCGCCGATGCCGTTACATATTGCCATGCCGAGGAGCGCAGCACCGCGACCTACGACCGCCTGGCAAGCTACTCGTCCACGTGGATGGAGGCGAGGCCGCCGTCCTTTGACCCGGTGTACGTACGGGCGTCTCCGGGCACGATGTTTCCCGAAATCTGGCTTTTGAACAACGTAGTTGCTGCTGGGCTGCAGTACTACCACCTGGTGAAGATTCTTCTTCTCGCGCACAACCCGAGGGTGCCGCTGTTGGGGGCCGCTCAAAGGTCTGCCAAGGAGCGCGGGGATGTACGTCAATCGCTCTTCCAGGCTTGCTTAATAAACTGATCGTCAACAGGCACTCATCCGAGAGGATGTCAGAACCATCTGCGGAATTGCAGAGTCAATGGATGGAGTTCATCCTGCGCATTTGTGAGGACAAAGGGAGTCATCCTCGATCCTGTGATCGCACTGCTGACATGCGGCATCTCAGGGTCGCTTGCATGGCGATTTCGCTGGTCGGAGATCGATTCACAGAGCGAGAGGAACAGGCTGTCCTTCTGCACATGTTGACGAAGACAAGAGACAAATTTGGATGGTCCACGTCATTTACGTACGTACGCGCTCTGAAGAACGACGCAATTTGCTAAACGCCAACAGGATTCGCTATCTTCAAGAGGCTTGGGGCTGGGCCTGACATGACACGATATAATAGAGTATTGAAGCAGTATCTCTCGGTCCCTAGCCCCAGACGTCTTCCTGCCACTTTCTTGTGCGCTTCATACTCGCTACCCAGTCCTGAACCTGGCGCTCATCCATTCCTCTGTGGTGGCCCATAGATTGACCCAGTGTCCTACCGGCATCTCTTGCCATGCTGGCTCTGCCGCAAATGTATATCGAGCCCTCACTGTCCACAAGGCGACAGATTTCGGTCTCATGCGCAGCCATTTTGTCCTGTATATATGTCCTCTCGGTCTGATGAAGCCGAGAAAATGCCACGATAATCTGTAGCTTTCCGCACAATGCTGCCTGCATTTCCGCTAGCTCCGCGCGGTAGATGCAGTCTTCGTCTGGGTGTCGGCAGCCGAAGAAAAGCAGCATGTCGCCGACCTGCCTCCCCATGGACTGTAGGCGACACCTCTCAGCGATGAATGCGCGGAAGGGAGCAAGTCCGGTACCGGCCGCGAGCATGATCAGTGGGCATGAGGGCTGCGTGGGGAGCTTGAACGTCGAGCGGCGAATGTGCGCGAACACCTTGGCCTCTTTCAGAACGTCGGAAGGGCCCGGCAGATGGTACGAGAGCCCTGGAGCTGGCGAAGGACTGATGGTAACCTCATGGTGTGCGTGAGACTTGGCTAGCAGGTAGTTTGTCGTGATTCCAGGCACTGTCTGCTCTTCATCGCCGAGCGCCGTGTTCGAAACGAGCGCAGTGATCGACACAGACCGGGGAGACAGAACACTCGAGGATGAAATCGAGTAATACCGAGGTCGCGTTTCTGGCAGATTCTCCAGAATAAATGCCAGCGGCACGCCGGACCAGACCAGATCGCTGTCCCCAAGAGCGCGCTCGAGTAATCTGCCCAGAGTAACATAGTTTCGCTCCAGGAACTGCGAGTACAAGTCCCTAGAGGCGCATAGCTCAAGGACCCAGGACCTGGCTTCTGGAGAGGGCGCAAATTCGGCAACGGCGCGAGCCAGTTCGCGGGAAACTGGGGCACAAATCTCGACGTAGTACCGAAAAAGAGCACCGACGGTCGTAGGAGTTGGGAGTTGAACTTTGACTGCTGGGTCGAGAGCGCTAATTGAAAGAGGCGTGTCTCTGTCGCCAGCCAAGCCAAGCACCCGAAAGAGGCGGTCAACCTCCTGATCGGGGTTGACAGGCCAGACACCGACGTGATCCCCAGTCTTGTAGACTAGCTCAGGGTGCTCGGAAATGTCAATCTCAAGATGGAGGCAGTTTCGCTTTGAGTTCGTGAATAGTTCACGCACGTGCTTGATGGCTAGTGCTTGCGTCTTGGAGGTAGAGCCCTTGCCTCGCGGTTGAGCTGGCTCGCCATGGTGCAGGTCGATGGGCTCCATGGACGTGTCGTAGACGACGGAGACCATGGGCTCGTACTTTTGCTCTTGCTCTTTGATCCCAAGGCCGCTTACAAGAAACGCGAAAAAATGTTCTTTCCATCGGCAAAAGTCTTCCTCCGTGTCGCCGTTTGCATCGTCGGCTTTCTCTACCGGTAGGAGGCGCTGAGCGCCGGCCTCTTGAAGAGCGCTGTCAATGAAATCGACTACTCGATTGAAGTGCAGGTAGTTACTGTTGCCGAGGCCAAAGGCGGCGTAGCGCAGAGAGGACAGCGACGAAGGAGATGCTGTCTTGGTAACCCAGTCCCAGAACTGGTTGGCGTTGTCGCTTGGGTCGCCTTCACCATAAGTCGCAAGGATAAAGACGGCAAGCTTGTCTTCGTTGATGGAAGAGATGGTCTCCGGGTCAAAGTCTGAGAGGTCGGCTGGCATTGTAGCCAGGCCAAATCTTTGGGAAAGCTCTCTGGCGAGCCGCTTCGCAAAGGACTCGGCAGTGCCAGACTGCGAACCCCAAAAGACGACGACTTTTTTACCCTGTGCCCTGGTCAGTTTCGGGAGTCTAACAACACCAATCGTCGAGCGACTCACCAGCTCCTCGAGTCGCTGGGCAATGTTGCGTGTCGCGCGGGTGGCCGACCGTGTCGCAGCGTCCTGATCTTGCGGCCTCTCATACCAAATGTGCCTGTAAGGGCTTGGATTGTTCCAAGTGTACTCCGGGAAGAGGTAAGCACCTGCCATGGCCGCCATGATAACAAGGGCCACCATGTCGCCCACGGTGGCCGGCGCCAGCTTCGCCAGCAGCAACGTCATGTCATGAAGACCGTCCTTTGGTAACGAAGCCATGATTGAAGAGTGTTTTGATTGAACGCAAATGCTATTTCTTTACACCAAAGACTACCAAACATGATCTGAACTGAGGAGATGATATACCGATACATTCTCTTTGCCGTAGGGGCGAGAAATCGCGGAGTCCAGATCGTGGAGTCGACTCCGACCGATCGCCAGAACTTGCCGGATCTGGGCTGCTGCCACACCAGATGTGCGTCGCCGCCGAAATCTGCCTCGTTAGGACCGCACGACCACCTGCGCAAAAGCTGCAACACTGGGCGAGCAGGGTCCAGTGCTGGGCTGGGCTGCACATTTCCTGCACCACTTGCGCCTGGGGACGTTATTTTCCTGCATGTGGTCGTTACACTTAGACGCAAGTGGCTTTGGACGCCGAACGATAATTCTAGGCTGACCACTCCGCACTCAGCTTCTCTGTGAGCTTTTGTATCCTCCAGCCAGTCTTCTTTGACACCCCTCGCAGGAACTCGAGCACCGCCTCCCGCTCCTTGTCCTCTGCATTGCGCAAAAGACAGCCACCTTTGTCGATCGGTTAGTGATGCGGCGCGGCTGTCAATCGGGCCTTCGCAACTACTTACAAGTATGGAGCGCATGATGCGCAGTGAAAGACGCGGTCATCACCTTTGGGTTGCTCACGGCCAGGCCAATAAACGCACGTAGATCGGAGAGAGCACAGCCCTGCCAGTTATCGCGTCAGTCATTTACTGAGGTTTCGCGAAGAGACGTTTACCTCTGCTGTAGATCGGGTACTGAATGCATGGAGGCTTGGGTGCCAATGCCGCGGGTCAAAAACATGTAAGAGAAGGCGCGCGAGGTAGAAGTGCTGGTAGCCAAGCACTGCGCATGCTCACCGTCAGTGCTGCGTCTTCATGCAGAGAGATGGTTCATACCGTGCGCCGGTCTTGTTAGTAAAATAAGGGGAAACGCGCGGCCTGGTTCCTTTGCCGACACATTCTCGACATAGTACGGGCGAAACCTCCCCGGCACAGACTCCTCCCATCTGGTGGCATCATTGTACAGCTCAGTCCACTCTTTGAGAGTCGGTTGGCGAGTCGAGCACACTGTAGAGGCCAACACCTGGCTGCACAACAGGACAGCACGGTTCGCGATTGATCCGTCGTCCGCCTCTAAAAAGGCGCTCGAATTGCGATAGTGTGCAAGGTCCATGTTGACGGGCGCGCAATTAGCAAACGACACGTAGAGATTCTGCCGCAGGACGATCCAACTTGCCGCCTCACCGAGTCCGCCCTGGGCCGCGAAGCTCGACGCCGCATCCAGGATCCTGGCGCTGCCGAGGAGGTGGGTGCCTAGGTCAACGTCTGCGCAAGAGACCATTAGCCGACACGGCTTTTGCACATACACAAATGGTTTCGACATCCATACCCGAGAACTCCTCGTAGAGACGCAACAACACAATACTTGCAAGTGTGTTCTCATGGACCGACTGGACCGGGTCGTTCAACAAGTCAATCAGTATTGTGATGGCCTGCGAGTAGTACGCTTCACAGGCCGGGTCCAGAGTACCCATCTTGCAGCTCAATTGGCGCGAAGAAAAGGCAAGCAAAGAGAATGCCAGCAACGGGAAATGGCACACCCGCTTCGGCACTTCGGTGGCGAAGTGCCGCTTGGGGTCGCATATGTCAACCTAACGGTTGAATGTAAGCTCACATGCCCTCGGGAGTGGAGGCGTGACCGCATAAATCGAGGTCTCACCCATGGAGATAGGTCGTGGATAAAGTGCATCAGGTACTGTGCGGCCTTGGGGTCCTTGAAGGGGAACTGCAGGACTCCATGGCCCTGTCCAGGGGATCGGGCAGCCTGAACATGGTGAGACCACTTTGTGAGGCTTTGCGCATGTAGTCAGTCAGCCAGCAGCGCCTTTCAGAGCACACCGGGACTGAGAACGAACAGCCCAGTCTGGATTCGCTTGATCGGTGGACCTACTCATCCTCAACATCACTACCGTCCGTGCGGTCCTTGCCGGTCATGATGGGCGACAGAAGCGAAGGCGGTAACCGAGACCATAGCTGATCAGAGCCCATGGCAGCGAACACGGACCCAAAGACTTATGCACTTGGCTCGTGTAGATGAAGACAGTGGGGCGTGTCGTCAACGCCTGAACGCTGGTGGCCCGCGATCGCCAACGGCTGACCACGATGTCGGCACGATTTGCTCCTCAGGCTCCAGATGGGAAGTAACAGAGCCCTCGGACAATATTGCCTCGAGGAACCTGCTGGGAAAGTCTCCGCATTCGCCGCGGTGATCCCCCCGCATCTGCGACTGCCGGTCGGCGCAGCCCCCAACGGTCCAGAACTCCACCCCCGGATTGCGCCTCCTGCAGCGCGGGGTTAGCCCCAAGCCAGATCATCCCCGCTACATCGCTGACTGGGTTCCTGGCCAGCGTGTAAGCGTTCACCCGTTGGTCTCTCACACAGGGGCGGCAACCTGGGGTAAGCCATGCCGGTGTGGTGCTCGGTGACGTCCTCAGGACAAGACCAAGGTATCGCCAACGAAGCGTCCGGTCCGAGCCAGTTGCCGCTTGTCAATATATAATCACGAGCTGCTTCCTCTGTGGAGAATGACACTAGGTGCCGTGGGACCTTCCAAGATCAGGCCTCAAACCACCTACTCTCTTGCGTCTCGTCTCAGTACCTGAACCGCCATGGCTGCTCCGTCATCGGATGAAGCGTCGCAAACGCATGCGGATCAAAAGGACATGCTGGACAAGGTAAACACGTTCAATGGCAGCACAAATCACTTAGAGGACCTCAATGAGGGGGCCTATGACGACTCGATTGAAGACACCGCGCCCTCGCGAGCAGTATGGCTAATCACCTTTACCGTGGCCATGGGTGGCTTCCTTTTCGGTGAGTTAGACACACGATGGGCCTGCGAGGCACACCTTGAGCCCTACTGACGGACTCAGGTTACGACACGGGATATGTATCCGCCGTGTTAGTAACTATAGGCGCCGACCTCGGCCACAAGCTCTCGTCCAAGGAGCAAGAGCTCATTACCTCCCTGACATCCGGCGGGGCCCTTATCGGGGCCTTGATTGCCGGTCTCCCTGCCGACAAGTATGGCCGCAAGCTTGGCATCTATATCGGGTGCGCGCTGTTTCTCGCCGGGTCGATCATCCAGGCTGCTGCGTTTAATGTTGCGCAAATGGCCGTCGGTCGCTTTATCGTTGGGCTGGGCGTTGGCTCAGCGGCCATGATAGTGGTGCGTGCGGCCCATGTCTCCATAACCTCGTTTTTGATCACGCAGTTGAACATAGCTGACCAGTGTTGCATCTAGCCCCTGTACATCGGCGAAATTGCCCCTGCAAAGTACCGCGGCCGGATGATTGCGTTTGACAATATGAGCGTAACACTGGGCCAGCTCGTTTCCTACGGTCTCGGCGCCGCCTTCACGGATGTGTCTCACGGCTGGCGATACATGGTTGCTGTGGGAGGTGTTCCTCCGATTGTTCTGGCGGCGCTTCTGCCGTTTTGCCCAGAATCCCCTAGGCAGCTTATTGCTCATGGGCACATGGATGAAGCGAACCGCGTAATCGCAAAAGTGTATCCGTACGCCACCGACGAGCAGGTCAAGGCCAAGACGAACCACATTCTATGCACGATTCGTGCCGAAAACATGGCCGAGAAGAGTCTTTGGTGGCAATTCAAACAGCTCCACTGCGTGCCGTCCAACTTGAGAGCGCTGACCGCGTGCTGCGGCGCAATGGCCAGTGAGTGGGACCTTCTGCGACGTTTCCCTGGCATGGCTGACAAGTGGACAGTTTCACAGCTTGGAGGCTTCAATACTCTGATGTATTATTCCGGCACGTTGTTCGCCCTGGTTGGCTTCGACAAACCGACCTTGGTTTCGCTGGTCGTTGGGGCCACTAACTTTGTCTTTACACTATTCAATATGTTCATCATCGACAAGGTGGGCAGGCGCAGAATCCTGAACTGCACCGTCATTGGTATGGTAAGTAAAAGTCCAGCAGGCCTGATTGCAGCAGGACCGATCCCCACTAACTCTGACCAGTCGCTCAGCATGGCTCTTACGGCCGTTGCATTCCACTTCATCCCGGTCTCGAAGGACCTCGTACTCGAAGCAAAGTCCGTAAACTGGGCCGGGACTCTGGTGCTTGCCATGATCATCGTCTATATCGGGTTCTATGCCAGCGGCGTTGCGACTATTGGGTGGGTCGGCACAGAGCTTCTCCCAACTGAAGTGCGCGCTCTGGGGACCACGATGAACACCATCACTTGCTGGGGTTGCAACCTCATCATTGCGTCTACCTTTTTGTCGATGATGAAGGGTCTCACACCAACTGGCGCATTCGGCTTCTATGCAGGCATCTGCTTCCTTGGTTGGGTGTTTCTTCTCTGCTGCTATCCCGAAGTCAAGGGGCTGGCACTTGAGGATGTCAGGCAGGTGTTTGCGGGCGGCTTCGGCGTTCGGAAAGCTGCAGGCATGCAGAAGGCGCTCAAGGCTGCTCGCAAGCAGGCAATTGTCTGAGAAGTGTAGCCATACACGTTGAAAGAAGATTTCTTGCTCATGTGTATTGTGAATAGGAATCTCTGAAGAGGCCGGAGAGATATCCGATTTTGCGATCAATCGATGATCCATTAGCAGTGTTTCCCCCCCTTTCGAGCGGGACTCGTTACAGCGCGCACGTACAGCGACGGGGTGTGGGAGCTCAGTGAACGAACGAACATCTGGTGCCAGCGCGGCTGGCTCGCCCTCGGGGAATCATTTTGTAAAGGTTGCTACAGAGCACTACTTGGCGCAATTGGAACAAACACCATTGCGACTAAGAAATGCTTCAAGTAATAAAATATCCAGCCCAAACGTCTATATGTCAATTTGCCCTGCACCTGACATTATGATTGCACATCGTCGGTGTCCCAGGTTGCCCAGCATGGAATCGTAGTGAGAGCCTAACAACCCGCGCGGGGCAGTGGTACAGGCTGATTAGGTCGGCCGAAATCGCAGTCTCAGCGTCGTCTGCGACTCTGGCGCGCCTTCCAGGGGCGGCTGGCGAGCTCCCCATGCTCCTCCACCTCCAGCTCCCTGAGGCTGAACCCCAGGGCCAAGTAAATGACCACAACCACAAACTCCTCGGCGACGGCCATGCCAGCATGTACCGCGACGCTGCCCGAAACGATGGAGAAAAGGTGATTGTGAACAAAGGTAGCAAGGGCCGAGTACAGCAGTCGTACGAAAATGAAAGGCCAGGCAATAACCACGGCCATTGGCACACGACGTTCTTGGATCGGCACCGCGGTCCGGTAACCGTATGTCAGGAACAAAATGACTGACAGGCCAGCAAAGGCGACAAAGTAGAGAGCGATGCCTGCCTTGGCCGTGCCCGCGGGCTCGATCTGTCCATTGTCCGAAGACGAGCCGCTTGTGCCGCCGACGATGCTGAGAATTAGCCCCAGGCTGATGAGGAGCTGAACTAGCCGGAATTGCTTCATGTTGAACGGGCTAGAGCCCTTGGAGTTGATGCAGTCGACCCTGTTCGCCATTCAATGTCAGCTCCTTCTAGTCTCATGCAAACTATGGCCGGGCTTATCTCACAGTCTCGACAACATTCCCAGGGTCGCAAAGAGAAGCGGGGACAAGCCAATTGAGTCGATAATAAGCGTTGCGCGCAGCAGCCCCTCGGATTTGCTGCTGTACGTCACGAGCTGACATATGGCTCCCGTGATGCGCACGACGCAGAGTATGAGCGTGTAGAGCCATCCCGACGCCCGATGCCAGCCATGTCGCGAGCAGACGATGAATGCAAAAACGACCGCGGGAACGTAGACGATTAGCTCCGCAATGGAGAGATAGCCTTGATCGCCAAGCACCATGTCGGCTCAAATTTCGGCGGTTAGATTCAGCGGTTAGCTTCGAAAATCGTTGCGTATGACGCGGCGATTTCGAGATGTCGATCTTGAGGCCTGGCAGCGCAGTCGAAAGGGCAATGGGGCACGAAGCAATGCGGACTCCAAGTTCAACGAGAACAGACAATTCCATCTTTATATTCATTTATAAACGCGGCAGATCGATGAATGGCACCTGCTCTTTCTTTACCATCGCGAAACGTTTGCCCGATACGTGCATCTTTCCCGTTGCTGTTTGACGCGTTTGACGTGCCTGAGTGTATCCGCCTCCAGTTCACTGAACTGGCGGTAGCCCATTTCGTACAGGCATTTCGGGGCCAGCAAGGGACAGGGGAAAATTGCTGCCGCCCGTAGGGCTGGTGAGACTCACACGGCACCGGCACGAAATGCCGTCCACCTGTCCATCTCAGTGTCGACAAGGCGCGGTCCACACAAGGCATCTCCATTCCTCCGTCGACAATTGGTGGATTGGAGATGTTGCCGACGTCGGCAGCTCCGAGCCGTGACGTCTCACAGCTGCGCCACCAGTAAAATGTACGCTGAAGCTTCGCCCGCGTCAGCAAGCCCACGAAGGACCCTTGCCGTGACCATGCCATTTCTGGCGAGCATTTCGGCGCTAAATCTCAGGGTTCCGCAACGCATCTGACGCTCCGGACCGGGCTCGCTTTCCACAACATGGATGTATCTTCATCGCTGATGCTGCGCGGCATCCTTTCCCAATATACATAGAGCAAAGTACTGTCGGTTAAGCGATTCAAGTCGCCCTTACGGTTTGCAACAACGAAGAGTATACTGCGTACGAACAGCAAACATGGTGTTCAGTGGCCGCCCCTCTACGGCTTGCTTCTCTTGTCGACGGAGACGGCTGAAGGTGAGATACCAAAATACCCGCTCAAGCCATCCACTAGGACTCAAGTCGACGGTCCTAGAACAATGATGAGACTTTATTCACTTATTCAAGCAACCAAAGCTTGGAATAGAGGTCCGCATGACGCTAACAAACGCACTCTCCGCAGTGTGACCGCATACAATCGGGTTGCACTCAATGCCTCCGCAAGGCCATAACGTGTCCCGGATATGGTGACCCATCCGAGATCCGCATCAGGGACGAGACGAGCCGCGTCATGACCAAAGCACATGCGGCTCCGCGGACCAAGAAGTCGCGCTCCTCGACCCCGGAATACCGCGCCGATGGCGCAAAGCACGAGCCCAAAGGAGCCTGCAAGCTGCGCAACCTCCCAATCCACTCGATCCCCCAAGCCGTGTGCGATGCTGCCGTGGCGTACTTTATGACGTCGTACATCGTTGCCACACCGTTTGAGGCGTACCTCCCCGGATTTTTCATCTCAGAGTGTTTCCACGACAACCCCTGTACGTTGGCCGTCTCCGCCACCGCGCTGGCGACGTTCGCTCGTCGGGTTAGGTGTGATACGTACCTGGAGACGGCTCGACGGAACTATTCGTTGGCTTTAGTCCGTACCAATGAGGCACTTGCAGATCCATCGGCCTCATTGTTGGACAGTACTCTTGCGGCAGTACTTCTGTTAGGTCTGTTTGAGGCTGTTGTGTTTCAAGGCGGACAGGCTCCGACAAATTGGACGGCACATACCTTTGGCGCAATGCAGCTGTTGCGACTCAGAGGCAAGGGGCAGTTCAAATCTCCAGTCTCCCAAAAGCTGTACGCTCAAGCAAGCAACAACATCAAGACCAGCTGCATTCAAAAGTCGGTACCGCTCCCAGCCGATTTCGTCGCCTTCAACAAGGAGGTCGGTGGGTTGCTGGATCCTGCTGATCCGGCGATTCAGCTGGCGCCGGTCGTGGACAGGGTGGCGCACATCAAGGCCCAAAGCCTAGTCAAAGCAGACGCAAAGCTGGTTCGAGAAGCCTGGCTGCTGGATTGTGAGATCGCAGACTTTGGTCGAAAGTTATCGGCCAAGATGCAGTATACAACCCACGAAGACTTGCCACCGATTACAGGAGCATGGCTTGACTTTGCTCACGAGTATCCCAACTTGCGTGCGGCGAAGGTCTGGAACGCGCTCCGCTTGCTACGGCAGTTCCTCGTCAGCTTCATATCCAATGTGGCGTCTGAGGAGGTAGATCGGGACGAGGCAAGCTTTGCTTCAACTAACCTTGCGTCTCTCGACAACACCAGTTGGAAGGCCTTGAGCCGGTATGCTATGGACAACATGGACGACATTTCCGCGCAGATCCTCGCCAGTGTACCGAGTTTTCTGGAGAGTTGTCCAACAGAGAGGCGATTCTTCCCAGCCGCGAGGAGCCTCGTCTGGCCACTCAGCATCATAGAGACGAGCTCAATATGCTCTGAGCCGTATCGCGTGATGGCCGCCGCTTATTTGCAAGAGTTGGCCCGCGACTTGAACATGCCGCAAGCAGTGCGTCCGGATCGAGACCCGGGCTGCGAGGACGACTGGTAAGTGGGCTGCGCGTCAAGTTGCATGAGTCTCGACTAACCGTGGCACAGGTTGCACCTATTTCACCTGGGATAATTCACGGTTCATGGGATGCGGCGGGCGGATTGACGACAGAGTCTTTAATGTTTTATCCCCAGGCGATGTTTGTCGATACCCTAGCAACGTGACAAAAGTTCATTTATAGAGCATGATGTACCCGATCGATACATGTAAGCATCCATGTTCGTCAGGTTCGCACCGCCGTTGTCTGTTCAGCGTCCTTGCCGCATCTTAGTTGGACCATTTATAACTTGGATCCCTCAAGACGTCTTCCGGTCTCATCGAAACGGATTTGCTTCCCGGTAACCAGAGCCTCCTGCAGCGCCGCTCCGATCTCCACGGCCCTGACGGCGTTGCTGAGCTTCATAGGCAGGGTCCTGTTGTCGAGGCACGCCTCGGTGAATTCGTTTGACTCCTGCACGAATGCCATCTCGAAGCGGCCATAGTAGTCGTGCGGCACCTCGCGCGTTATGCCGCCAGCGTGGAAATGGTTCACGAGGTTGATCTGTGGATTGCCGTTGATGGAGAGCTTCCCCTCAGTTCCGATGACCTCAGTCGTGTCCTCCTGGCCGTGCGCCATCATGCGAGAGCAGTAGTAGTATGCAATCTTGCCGCCCCAAAACTCGACGATGCCGACCGCGTTATCAAAGTCGTTGTGCTTGGCTAGGTCAGGCTGAACCGCGCGGATCCCGTACGCCGACACCGACTTGGGCATGATGTGGTCACCGAAGAACCAAAGCGTCAAGTCAATGTCATGAATCGACATGTCGACAAAGACGCCGCCGGACCAGGCAGCGTACTCGACAAAGAAGCCCGAGGGATCGTGCTTATCGCAAGTCTGACTGCGGATGATGGATGGTCGTCCAATGAGTCCGCGCTCCATCTTGCTGTGTGCGTCTCGATACGAGGCATCGAATCGGCGAGAGAAGCCGCACATGACTTTTAGGTGCGGTCTCTTCCTGGCCTCGGCGACTACATCGCGACACTGTCCGGGCGTTAGCAAAATAAAGACGGTGCCGGGTCGAAAAATGAGCACTCACCACATTGATGTTGGTGGACAAGGGCTTCTCGCACAGAACGTGCAGGTCTTTGCGCATCGCCTGGATGGCCTCTTCGGCGTGAACAGAAGTCGCAGTGCCGATTACTACGGCATTGAGCCCGGGGTGCTCCAACATCTTCTGGTAGTCGTCGTACAGAGTCACGCCATAGGGCTCGAGGTTGAGCTTGCCCCAGGCGAGCTCCTCTTGGTCCGGCGAAAAGGCAGCAACGAGTTCTGCGCGGGGCGTCCGATTGAGGAAGTTGAGGGCATGTCGCTTGCCCATGCGACCGAGTCCGGCGGCGGCAATCTTGAGCTTCTTGGTCATGACAGGCGACTTAGAGACAGGGGCAATTGTTTACAATGGCGTGTGAGAGGAACCCCAAGAATGATGGAACAGCCCAAGCAGTTATCTGGTATGACCGCCGGCTTTTATGTAGACAGACGCCCTTGGGCCGGACTCGCAACCGCCGATCTTCGCATCGTGACTCTCTGCAGGTTACACCGTGAAGTTGTTCGGTAGAGGAAAGACGCTCTGCGAGGCCACGCCTGGAAAATGCAGTCCCGCCCGCTTCAAGACTCCCGGTCGCCGAGAATTGCCATTGGGGGTTCGTTGGGGGAGACTTCAGGCGGAGGGGTAAGACTCCAGGCCTGCGGAGCCGGCGCGGGGAGACAAGCCAGGAAATAAATTCCGACGAACACAGATTGCCACATTGGGCAGACCCGGCAGAAAAAGCTCGTTGAGTCGATTGAATTGGTCATGTGCCACCGAATCGGGGGTGCCCGACGGGTCGCGACTGCGCCGTTCGTTCTCAGATCCGGTGTGCTTTGAAGTCGCTGGTTGACCGCCTGAATCTACCTAGAAGGAGCAGCTCAGCGCCAAACCTCAGGGCAGTCATCAGCCGCAGTGACCAGCAGGCAAGCTGATCGCCTTGACCTCAATTTCTACGGCGCTGACGGATGCCCGACAGGTTCTCGGAACATTGACAGCCAAAGAGACGCGGCCCAAATGATGCATACAAGTAACCTCAGCGTGCCACCTTAATAAGTCACTGCCACGATACCAAATTGCGTTCGACACCGTCCCGTTGTGGTAAGGGAATCTCATCTGGTCCAATGGGCGCTGTGCGGAGCTGGACAGGCAGGGGTGTGGGAACAAGGTTGTTCGCGCCGAGAGTGGATCGTGACACAGCCAAGACACGGCTCGGATTCTAGACCCCATCCCATCCTTGAGGTCCTAGCTGTCTGCGGGCCACGGCCGGATGCTGCCAGGGATTTGTCGTGACGTCAAGACAGGAGGACTGCTGCTCGACATCTTGACACTTAGGCAGTCAAACCTGGGGGAGGGTTCTTTGCAGACCTTAGTACAAATCTGGTGCATCAGAACTCGTTGTGAATCAGCGTGGACACCACAAAAACAAGTTACAAGGGGTCATATTCCCAAGCAGGAAGCCGGAACGGCTACAAGCACGCCAGAAGGTGCGCGCGGGGAACGGTGTCCTGCCGATGCGGACATGTCTGACCAGAAACCGGCACGCAGACTCGCGCGAGGCAGCGCGGATGGACGTGTTAGAGCACGAAGCCTACGCTACATGTATGATCCAGTCACGAATCGGTAACCAATGACAACAATTGTACTCATAGACGGCTCGCTTGCAATCGCTGCAGACACGGTTTACCCCTGTCCATACTAACGCAATAGTCCATGCTACCGCAAGCTAGCTTCATCACACTGTCGCATGACGCGGAGAACCAGGAACAAGAAGAAAGGCCTCGGTATCTGGTATGACGTAGGCGGGGCTATGGGAAAGACACTCAAACAACAGAAGAGTACACGATCCGAATCCCGACATTGGGAATTTCCTCTCTCAGTCATTTCCCTGAGCTCCCGCCGCTTTACCCTGCGTAGCGCCTGAGCAGCCTGAGTAGCGCCTGAGTAGTGCCTGAGTAGCGCCTGAGCTCGCCACCTGAGCCGCCCTCCATGTGTTGGCATCGGGTGGAGCCGATTGGGCGATAAGTGTGCAAATGGATCTGCTCACCCCGCCAGATGCCCTCGCAGAGTATTGACTGACGGCAATGTCGTCCAGTCTGGTTGTCGTGGCATGCGCGCACCTTCTCGTTGCGTCATCAAGGCGGAGAATGCATGCTCTACACCATGCACCAGCTTTACTTCTGCAGTGAGGCACTAGTTGCCAGCTATTTGCCTCGGCTCACGCCCCTGACCACAAAGCGGGTCGTACCGTTCCCTAGGTTCCATCACACATTTCGCAGGACCTTAGCGCCAGCTCAACAATTGGATAGAGTCGTTGACGCCCTGCCATTTTTGCTGTAGTTTAGTTCTGTTTAGTCCGGCAAACTTTCAGGTCCGTCTCTTGTGCCAAACAGGGCGTCTGAAGCTCTCCATGGCGTCGAGGACGGCCTCCGCCACTGAAGGTGGAGCCCCAACGCTGACGTCGGGCGCTGTCACTGGGGCAACCAATCATATGCCAGCGAGGGGGCCAACATGAGACACCTCGATAGCCTTTCATTGGTTGCAAATTTGAGACTTAGCTGGCAAGTGTAGCTTGGCAGGCGGCCGACACGTTTCCCGGCAAGAAGGTAAAGTGACAAGGTTCGGCAGGTTGCGACAGGGTGCCGGGACCACCAACATTCCCAAGTCCCGCCAATTCCCGCTATGCTAGGCAGAAAGGAGGGCGGCATGATCCCACTGGATCATTAGGAGCGAAAGGAACAGCGCTTCCTGCCACGTCTCTGGCCACCCAGTACCGAGTTACCGATGCACATATCACTCGACCAGTGCAAGATTGCCTGCCTTACACCCATGAGTAGGTTTGTGACGTTTTCTTTTCCGTCCCTTCTCGCCAGAAGAATCCAGAGCACAAGGCCATCAGTCCGTCCTGCCCCGGGCGATCTCTATATCCGGCGATTTTCGGGACGTCCACCCTGTTGAGTCTCTACCATCATGGTCCGATGGTCGTCATGTGTCGGCCCAGCTATACCTCCCGGCACCGCAAGCATGTCCAGCAGGAGTTGCAAGCAGGGTTCACCGCGACTACTGCGCACGGCGGCACATCGACAACTCTCGCCTGGGGGATCGCAGCGTTGCACTTACGTATCTCAGTCCCCGTTTCCTGCAATGTAATGGCTAGCAAGCCCGGGGGCAAATGAAAACAGAGCCTGCATGTCAATGACGAGGTTATCGAGCTTAAGCTCACTCCTGTGTGGCGGACCGTTGTGACTTGACTGACTAGGCGTCCAAACAGTACGTCCCTGTTAGCCTCTCACCATACAAATCGTACGATCTTGGGGTATGGCTGAAGACTCCCTGATTTATGGACATGAAAAACACAATACGGAAGACCTCAACAGCGTTGACCACGCGCCGTAGCGCCAAAGGGCTACATGTCTGCAGTGCCGCCCCACAGTCTCTAAAGCGCATTTTCTACTCCTGCTGAGGCGCCATTGTTCGAAGCATGCTGCGACAGAGCTCCCTTAAGTACCATTTTAACTTTCAGCACAGCAATGTAGCTATAGTGTTATTAAGTTTCAGGTCGAGAGATGCTGCTGAAGGACCGTGAGGGATCCAGCAACTAGGAAGATTGAGAGCTTCGTACGACGCAAGTCCAGCGGTTCGCCACCTACATTCCACATGCGTGCATTTTCTAGATCATCGTGCATGCTGCCCGCGGGCAACTTGTCACGGATGAATTGAGTCTTGACTTGCCTTAAATGTCCACACTTGGGCTCTCACGACTCATCACCCAGAGATGGCGGTTCCTTTCTATGGCTCGCGCTACTCTCCAGATGATCTCAGCCAATCATTCGACATTACCGTGGGTTTGAGGGGACAGAAGCCCGACGTTTTACTGGTGGCGGGAGTGGATATCTCATGCTCCCGAGAACATTAGAAAGGAACCACAAGTCAGTGCTGGACTGCCTGTAAATTTTTACGTGCGGCCTATGCGATTCAACAACAACGCCGCAAAATAAATGCACAGAGATGATGAAGCGTCACGCCAGCACTCGATTAGGCATGCTGTTCTCGGTAAGGCCGGTCTGTCCAACCGTTCCTGTCCTCTATGGTACGGACTATTCCAACTACGTGATTGTAGAACCGCAGACCAAACATTTGACGTCCAATTCCCATTCTCGATCGCCGCAAGGGATGTTTTGCCGCAGATCAGCCACCTCCCATACCGCTTGGTTTCGATCTAACCGAAGCTTTGCATCGAAAAGGCCGGCGTAGGGCGCGCCATTTCCTCTTTCCTTTCTGCCCGATTCTGTTATGTGCTCCGACTGATTAAGCTTGTCGTGCGCCACTTCCATGACTTCTGTTGCAATCTCCGGCGTACCGGCTGGCTGTGATGTGAGGCCGTTTGTGCACTCTAACTTTGAGTAAGGCTTCTCACTCTCTTTCTCACCAGCAGCTGGCTTTGTCGTGTCGTCCTCCTTTGCCGCTATTTTTGCTTGTACGTCTGGCTGTGGATTTACCACAGTTTTCCCCTTCGATGCTAACTCCGTCTTATGCGGCTTGTCTGTGCCCAGCTGCTCGTAGACACTCATGAGACAGGCATGCAGAAGACACTCGTAATGAAGCCATTGATCGCAGCTTGGATTTGAGCAGCCAATCAATGTTTTGTCCGGATTCGCAGGCATCTTGCAATAACATGTGAGATCGACAGTCTAGCACCGAAAGATTAGCCTTTTCGCCATGGATAGATGAACCCCTTAGGTCATACCGAAAGCTCAGACGTTCGACAATCAAATGCTTGCCGCCAATACAGCGAATCCTGCACCGCTTCATCGTCCGACTCCACCCACTGCCTGACTTGAGCGCGCATAACAACACTGACAGCATCGATGACATCCACTGACTCTCAGTTAGTGACGGTTCGCGTTGAGTAGGTGAGGCAGCTCACTGTGATTGGACGCTATGAACTCGTTTTGTCCATGGTAAGCTTGCCGTCCTGATATCAGCTTGTTGTTTTCGAGTGCTTTGGAAGGCAAGTCGTCCGGAGAGTACATCCAATAAACACGAGCATAGACGTGGTGTTGATCCCGTGCCCTGATTTCGAGTATTTTGGCCACCCAGCAGTCGGCGAGCTGGAGCAAGCCGCTACTCTTTTGTTGCGCGATGGCCCGTTGGGTCGCCACATAAACGAAATCGTCATTGTAGTACTGCACCTTTTTCACTGAAGGTCCTTTCATTATTATCATTCTGATCGTCAGCGAGCTGCACAGTTGGGAGTCTTACAAACAAAGCTGTTGTAGCGTGTCATGTCAGACCATCCCTTATGCGGCTCGACAATATACGTCAAGTCCATCGTGTCATGCGTCGAAAACCTTCCTTTGGGCTCGAAGGGCGATCCTTGCCATCGCTCTTGCTCGATTTCTCGAGTGTCGCGCTTTCGCTTCCGCTTAGTCGACACTGTCACCACCGAAAAAGGACACAGGGCACGGCTTTTGCTCTTGGCCATGCGACGCCCTCGTCTCGCCGCTGGATTCATAGTCGAGACAATGACATGGCAGTCCAGTGGAGGGTCTTGGGGTGGTTGACTGTCTTCCTGTGAAGGCATGATTGAAATACAATCAGTAAGTGGGGCATCACTCGGTAACGGTGAGATTGATTGGATGTCGTCCATAATTATGTGGGACTTTGTTGACGCTTGAGCAAGCGCGTGAGTGAAGGCTTTTAGGCTTTTCTGCCTTCCGAAATTCTGAGCCGTGTGGGACATACTTGCCTTGGCGACCATGATGAAGTAGAGCTTTTGTGATTACGGGCATTGTTGACATGGCCACAAAGGGCTCCGCGTTTAGTTATGGGGGAGCTGTCACGATTCCAGAAGCTGATGCTTGTCGAGGGTATCACATGCCTTGGCACGTGATATCCCTATTGTTATACTTTGCCCAAGGGAGCCGCTTCCTGCGTTCTCTTGCTTCCTTGCGCTACGTCTTGAATCTAGAGGCGACTTATTCTGCTGTTGAATTGATAGATGGTTCAATCTGCATTACTAAGCCTGATCTTGACTTGATACCCTCACAGGCCCATTGGGTGCGAAAAGTGGCATTCTTGTGCAGCAACAGGAAGTGAGGAGCGACGCCGATATGTGCCAGATCACTGGGAGAACGGCAGTGGCCTTGGCTCATCGTAGCACCAGCAACGCCTGGAAACGTCGGAAGGGTTCATAAATACGCTATTCGTGTTTGAACATCCAGTGTGGCATTCTCAGCGGCCAGCACTGAGCTGGTCAGTGGCCAAAATCCTCATATGTCGGTATGGAGGGGAGCACCTGTCGCGCGAAAAGAAGGTACCAGCTCGAATAGTGATAGCGAATTTTTTCGCGAGACGTAACGCGAACGTGCACTTCATGGCTGTATGCACACAACTCGATGATGTGAGCTCTTATACATTGGCCGCGGTTTGCGAAAGGATGGAGTGCTGGAGTGAATCGCTGCTGGCGGAGGAACTCCGTGGCAGATGCGCCAGTAGCTCCGGCGCTCCGGCCAATCGCGCGACTTTGGGTGAGCCGGGTGAGCCATGCGGGTGTGGTTCGCGCGACTTGGGTGAGCCAGGCATCTCTGCAGCGCAAGATGAGGGGCGGCTGGCAGTCACCCTGCATGGCTGCACGCCATTGGTCCTCGCGTCGCAAACGGTGCCGCGACTCCCTCCACCATTCGCGTCAAGACACGCTCACGATCCGTCGCCAACCTCATCCAGCGCGCGTCAAGCTTCCCGTTGAACGAAGCACGCCGACTCATTTTGACCGAGTGTCGCCGCATAGAGACATCCGGACGTCGCCCATGCAAACCGCCCGATGGCCCCGCCACTTGCCCGACTCTCCCAAGATCGATTCCGACGAACTTCCTCCCCCTTCTCGGTATCGATAGACACGTCTCGGGCGAATGTGCCATGCGACGAAGGGCAACCGACCGACCAACGCCCGTTTCAGCAGTATGAAGGAAATGTTGTGCGTCATGGACGGATATGACGCACCGATCGGACGATTCTCCCATAACGCCGCAGCGGATGACGGTTGCACATTGATGCAGTGCGCGTTATGAGCTTGTCATTGGGTGATGCTGGTCAGCTTGGACTGAGCAGTGGCTGCCGTGACCAGGGTTTGACCAGGGCTTGATCGGTGATACGAGGCGTCGCACATGATGAGTTTGCGACCAACACTCTTCCGCCCGGCATCTGCGTGTCATGGCGGAGTCAGCTCTCTCAAGCGCTTCTACGGAGAAGCGGCTGCCTCGTCTGCTTGCTCCTTGGCCAATCATCCGGGCAAGTAGGAGGCCCAGATGCCCGCGCCCGCCTATTAATAAGCCTCTTCCCCCCGGCGGCATGTCGCGCTGTTTGCCCCTCTTCCCACTTTCTTTGGTCTCCCCTCTTGTTTCCTCCCGTTGATCCTTGACGACTCTCGTGATCTCTTGACTCACGATCGCCCCGCGACTCCGGAGGTAGCTCCTCAATCAGCATGCCATACAGCCCTTCATTGTTGGCCGAAGCGGCTCCAGGCGAAGGCCTAACGCACCATGGAGTGGACAGTCTAGATCCGAGGTTCCCTCCGACCCAGCCATACACCACCTGCTCAGATGATGGCCAGGCCGCAGAAAGCAAGGACACGGCGGCTTGCAGCTCATTTTTACTATTCGGCAAACTCCCACCGGAGATACGAATGCAAATATGGCACATCTCGCTGCGCGAAGCCGACAGGCCAGTCTTGCTGCCCTACAGGCGGGCTTGCCTGCGACTCTTGGACGTCTCGGAACCTGACGAAACGTATATCGCCGGTCAAAAAGCTGTTCGCGCGGACTTTGATGCACACTTGTTGGATAAGGTTCGCGTTCCAATGCATCTTGCCGCTATCTGTCGGGAATCCCGTTGCGCTGCCTTGTCCTGGATAACTCAAACGGAAGTGCGTCCTTGCGCGACCCGCCAGGGCTCTGGATTCGCGCGGCCGTTCGACCAAAGCCGCGATGCGCTCTACATTGAACCAGACAAAGCAGTACCCTTTGCCTCTGAGTGGGAGGACCTAATTGAGGACACCGGCGGAGGCCCGCTGAGAGCTTCAGCTATTGCCCGTCTCGCTGTGTCGGAATCCTTTCTTCGCGGCCAAGGTGAATTCCCTCCTAGAACAACTACCGCTGTCGTGCAGACAACCTCCGTCTTCGAACATATGTTAGAGGCGGCCCCTTGCGCGAACCTGATCCTAGTGGTCGTGGACGAGCAGCCTGGATGGAGAGATAACGCCCTCAAGTTGCAACGGCGATGGGTAGCCGAAGGCGCGGGCGATTACAGTCTTTCATGGGACCCCAATCGGCGGGGTTTTGAGGTTGCTGTTGGTCAAATGAGTGGCAACATTGACGAGTACGCATGGATGACGGCTATTTGTGAAACGTGGATTCAGTGGCTTGTTCGGCATCGACGAGGGCCTTTGGAGATCCGTCCTGTCTATGCGACCAGACCCGGCGCTGCCAGCTGAGAAGGATGGCCTCGCCTACAAATAGGTCATCGTGGAAGGCCGCGTCCCACGAGCCTTGAAGACATGCCTGGTGCGTCTGCTGAAGCATCCGTGTATTTCCATCATCGCGGATGGCGAGAACGAAGTGCCTGGCGTCCCGCCCAACAGCCTGGTTGCCTCGTGCACATTTGGGGCGAGGCTGGGCCTCCCTCGGGGCATGTCATTTCGCGGACTGGAAGTGTGGGCACCCTCGGCCTGAGCCGCTGCGCCACAGGCACGACATTGACGCATGGACTCGCGTGTCCGCAGCCATTCAACTCTGTCTTCATCACCTCTATGGCGTCCGTCGAGCGAAACGATAGCATGGCTTGGCTGAGGTTGGGCGGTCACGACACTGCGAAGGTCTATACTCGGTCGCTGTGGGCTCTTGGCATCTACCGACCGAGGCTGTTGGGGCGGCGTGAGTCCACGTGTGCTCCGGATCGGCGCCGAGTCCATGGACGGCAACGATGCTACAAATTTGTCAATGGGGCCTTCAGCTGGGGTGAGCGGAATCAACAAACTCGAACTTGGCAACCCCAGGATCGGACAGAACAGGAGCCGCTGTTGCTACCGCAGAGAATGGGAAAATGACGCTGGTCAAGCCGATCAAGCCGGTCAAGCTTCGAGAAGGCCGCAGAAACCCTTGACAGCTTACATGTAGTCCCTGCATGAAGCAGCAATTGGCGCTTTCGGCACACGGTTGCGCAAGCGGGAATCAGAGTGGCGCTGGAACTGCAGATATGGCGGAAAGGTGGACCTTGAAACCGCTGGAGGCTGAATGACGACGGGATGTCCAGGCCCTCAGCCGCTCAGCCGCTACCCCCGGATTCGCACGAAAGAAGTAGCCAGGGTAACGATTGGACAGGGTCGCGTGGACAGCTCCAATGCGTGCTGCATTCCAGTCGGTTTTGCAAGATGGTCAATCATGGTCCGGTATCAGTCGCCATGGTGGGGCGTTCAGATGCGCCCGCCTTAAATACCGGGACCAACGCGGCGTCGTGGAGTGTCGCAGTGTCACCAGACCACAGCAGCAGAGTAACGACATCGCCAAAGGCTTCCGCCGTTGCCACGTCGCTGTCGATCCTTGAAGGGGCATATTTGCAAATGCCTTTCTCACACACTCCCCAAAGAGCTTTCTTCCTCCCATTTTGCTGGGACACACCAACCGTCGTATGCGGTACAGGGGTAACAACATGTGCGGGTATCTTGCACTGCTTGCGGTGGGTGGTGGGGCCTGATGCAGGCTCTTGGCCTGTGATCATCAAGAATCCTGTCGAGGCGACACTTGCCGCAGCAGGGCCGCATAATGTGGTCATCGCGCCCTTATAACAAAAGTGGCGTGAACGCCTGAGCTAGCCGCATCGTCCACAGGCCAATGTCCAGTCGACACGCACTCACACAGTCTGCCTGGACGTGTGCCTTACCCCATGTTCCTCCGCCTTACATGCCGCCCCAGTCCGATTGGTGGTGTGTCAGTTGGCGGCTGAACGATAGCAGAGCGCGGGTATAACATCCCATCGCGGGACAGGTGACACTAGTCATGGCGGTAAGAATTATTCCCAATGCCCGGCTTTTCTTTGTGCCAGCAACATGGCAGAACTGGCCCTTGGTGCTTTTGGCGCTGGTATTGCGGCTGTCCAAACTGCTGAAGGTCTTCGAAAGCTGGTAGCAGCGTTTGAAGACATAAGTCATGCCTCCGACGATATCAACTACTTTCACCTTGAAACGAGAAACTTCATCAACATATTGGACATGTTTTGCTCTACCGTCCCAAATTCTCTTCGCCATATTCGAAAGGGGCAACGGAGACAAAGACTGGGATTGTACAACTCGACAGTCAAGATGTTTGACTCCGCCCGGAAAGACATTCAATTGGCCGCTAAGAACATCATCCCACAAGTCGAAAATATTGAGACATTGGTCTACAAATACACAATCCGGGTCAGATGGTATTGGAGAAGAAGCTTGATCGCCGCGTTGCGCTTGAAAATGGAGCGTATCAAAACTTCTGCCAATCTTTTCATAGGTGTTATCACCTGCGAGGATCTTCAATGCCAGATCCACGAACTTGAGAGAGCTAAAGAGGAGGTGTCAGAAGAATTGAAAGCCACAATGTTTGTTATCACCAAAACGATCAAAATATCTCGATGTTGTTACGGATTACTAACTCTGCTCAGGCTTTATTATACACAGCGGGTGTCTGAGGCAAAGTCGGATGCTCGGAAGGCAGTCAACGCCATGCAGGTATTTCAGAGATCGCATAATGGTGCAAATGCAATCTCGGAGAGCGGTATGCGGTCAACAGAAAGAGCTATTCAGCGCGAGGCTTCGACGTTTGTACCCGATAGGGGGCGCCGAAAACGCCGCGGTGGCCAAGGCAGAGGAGTCGCCGTGTCTCCTTTTGACCGTGGGCTCGCGCCTGATGAACTTTCCACGCCATACTCGCTGGAGACAAGTGCGCATCGCGTCAAACGCCATCATTCGCATTCAACGTCAGAGGCTAGTCTCACGAGCCTCGGGTCATACTCGCCAAGCTCGTCTCCTTCGCCATCACTTGGTACGTCTGCTGCAGCGAGACGAACGAAGCATCCTGCAGCTGGGCAAGCGAAAAGCTTTGCGTCGATTAGGGGTTATCGTGTACGAGATGATGGTCAAGGTATACGCGTGGAAAAGGGAGACTGGCCATGGAGCGTAGTGGACCAGATCGAGCGAGTACCGGCTCGTGAGAACCAAAGGGGGCCTGCCGTTGAAACAATGAGCGAGAGAAGCCCCACATCGGAAGCAACCAGACCAGATCCACAAAGTGGTGATGATTGGGACAAAGACACTGGATCAACGATCAGTGACCGCAGCAGGGAAGATGCCACGCACCCTGATGCCACGCATCTCGAAGCAAAGAAGTTGAGGCCCTGCCCACCTTTCAATTACGGCGATCTGGAGGAGCGTCATAAGCGTCGAAATCAGTCTTAAATTCTGTTTTGACTACCCTGGTCAGATGATGCATTTCGCGAAGTAGAAGAGCCAAGAAAAAAGTGAAAGTGGCGTCTGCACGAGATCGTTCAAGCAGCTTACAAAGGCGGCCAGCCTTTGTCGCCGACACCCTGATCCTCATATACCTTCCTCAAGCACCGGCATACTGGTCAGCGCCGCGAAAGTGCTACAGCATCGATTAGGGGAGAACTGCCGTACACGTAGGTAGAACTGAAACTCAGCGGACCTCGTCCCTGCCCAATATCAGATTTGGTGATTATTCTTCGATAGGGAAGCCTCAAAAGACTGCAGTGAGAAATTTATTGCGCTCCATTTGATACAGACATGAAGCTTATACCCTTTCCCAGCGCACAACGGCGACGGTTCTCGCAACGGATCTGCCGATCGGCAAGCCGTTGTTAATTGTGTGCGCACTCGAGCACTCTGGTCCAGTTGTGAGGTCACAAGGCCCATGCCGTGTTCAAACCTCAGTAACAGACTTGTCAAACTTGGCAAAACGGGCGTGTCACCGCCGCTCTGGACATTGACTGATCTCAAGGCTGGCTCCAGAGCGGTCGCAAGTCGGGCAAAGCAACTATTGTGGATCATGTGCGTATCTGCACCGCTTACCCCAGGTACAGATGTCGTGTGCGGCAGCAATTTCCGTGCCCGCCCAAGGTCTAAGCTCTTCATTTGTGCGACAATGGGGAAGCTCTACTACTTCCAAGCTCCTACCCTCGACATCAACCCGGAGAGCGAGATGGCGCCCACGCTGGGGAGCATTTTCTCGACGCTTGAGACACTCACGGCGCCGCTCAACCAATACGAGTACGTGCGCCCGCCCATGAGCCTCGTGAATGCGAGCTCCAGCGCCCATTTCGAAGAGACGGCGAGCAGCAGCCTCAACGCCAACGTGGGTTTCAGAGTCACTGCGGTTTACGGCGCCGGGGGTTCCTGCGACCTGGTCTACGCCTTTGCACGCGGCAGAAAGAATGTATACAGCTGCGAGCTGCTTGAGACAGCCGAGTTCGCGCCCACACCCGATTTCGTAACCGAGTGCATACGCGCCTAGCAGCAAGTACAGGATTATATGGAAAACACTTTCGTGGGTCGCAAACGTGTCTACATGGTGACGGGGCTCAAGATCGCCACAGGCTTCTCCTCATCATCGACTCGGGAGATGCAGAGCAATCCCAAGCTGAAAATCGGCGTCGACGCCACCCCCGCAGGCATGTTCGTGCAGGGCGGCCCGAAGCTCGATGTCACAGTGGCAGGGAAGGGGACCTTAGGCCTCGGCAGGTCGGCTAACAAGATCATCTTCGCCTATCGCGTCATCCGCATCAAGATGAAGTGGGATGGCGAGGCCCAGTACAAGTCCAGGCCCGGCGGGAAGTATGGAATGAACGACAGCGACGAGAATAGCGATGACGACGAATGGGGCAGTAGGAAGAAGGACTTGTGGGACCTAGAGCTATTGGATAACAAGGACATTGCGAAGGAGTTCCCGAGCGCCGTGAAAATAGATATAGAGGAGAACGAGGCCGAGGATAGGCCTGCTGCGATGTTCCGCGCCTTCAGCTACTTTCTCGATCGAGAAACATTATGCAGTTCCCCGGTTTCTACGAGTATGTTCTCCTTCATGTACGCGATGTCGCCGCTCACACGAGCAGTTTGCTTTCGCGAACAACACAGATATCACCCAAGGGAATACACACTCTTCCTTGGTATCTGGGTTATCTCGTTGTTCGAGAATACCTAGCGAGGGCGACCATGCCAGTGATATTCGTCAACCAACACTTTTGCGAGAGCGGTCAGTGCGTCCTATTACTCTCATATCTGGTAAGCTGACTCCAGCCAGGCTACCACTTGAATATTTACATGGGGTTCATACCACGTAAAGACAACCAACAACAGGTACGCCTTGGCCATTCTGGAACATTTGATACCTGTTTCACAATCAAAATTAGGAGCCAGACGGGGAAACCAAATCAGTGGCAGGTTGGTCACTCGAACGTGCCAATGTTATCAAACTTCAAAGTTGCCAAGCTAAGGATCCACACATTGTCTTCATTGGAAACAGTGTTAATGGAACCTCATCCGACTACTCGGCTTTAATGATATCAAGTACTCATGAGCCTCGACCGCTGCGGACTTTCCCACATGAGTCTGCTTGTGCTTCCAACGAACACCGCGACGTGGAATATGATTGAGGTGGGCGGTGTGGCTGGTCTTGTCCTTGCTCATGGTGGGGTCGGCACTGAGTGTTCTTGCTGCTACAATCGACCGCTGTACTTTGCTTTCTTGTTCTGATCGGAATCGGCGTAAAGAGAACCCAGTGCAATGCTCTTCCATGATTCAGGAACGTATACTCATAATCTAATGATCAAAATATGCCCTTTCGACCGTACCGATTTCCAATCTGCACAGCAGAACCGCCCTTCGCCGCGATAGAGCCTGCTGTGTTCGTGGTCTGATCCACAACGCCTTGTCGATGGTCGAAAGTAAGGTAGCTCAACTCATTCCCCACGAGCACCCTCGCCTTCTCGTCGCTCTTGATACTCTTCGCGTAATTTCTCACTATATACTCGGTGCGGAAACAGCCACTCACCCAACATCACCCAAAACAGATGCACTTCGATTGCGCACGTTTCATAGCTGTGGTGTCTTCGCTCGTCATGGCCTTAGCGTGCAGAAATAAGACCGGTCGTGCGGACACTGCAGCTGCAGCAATGGCGGTGATGCCCCCTGCTACATGTCGCGCCACTCGGTCCGTCGAGGCCAAGGTCCACCGACCCCAGCGTAGCCCGCGTTCTGCGACGCTCAAAGCCTTGTCCGATCCTGGCTATGTCAATTTTGCAAGTTCTCGCTCTATGCACAATTAAAATGAAACGCAGGTCGTTTCAGCGTACGTTGGTATGTAACCGTGCCAGAGTGCTTCAGGGGTGTCGAATTTTCCCCAGTGTCCAGAGGCTTAGTACTTCACCAGCCTCGTCGTCGTACGGAATTCGGGTATGGGACTTGAATGCTGCTCTAATAACTTTCTGCGCTACCAGTGCCCTGATTACAGCCGTGAGCATAAATAACTTCCTCTCGGAACACATCTCCGCTTTATTGTGAGCAATCGCGGAACCTGGGACTACATAGCGGGCCATGCTGACACATAAAAATCTATGCTAGATCTGGCAAGTTTAGGGTACTCGCAAGTTCATAGCTGACAGCAAGGGGGGCAACCGATGCTACCCAGTGCGGGCTTGTTCAGCAGTACCTGCGCTTGGCCGGGCACGGGGCTCTGCGGACAAGCCACACATCCATTCCTGGCTCTGACGCCTGGACAACTGATTCTGGCTGTCAAGCCGTACTCTACAGTACTATGAACTCACAGGCTTTTGTTCCATTTCCTAATCTCATTGTTTGCGCGAGAAGTTCCATTTCTAGCGGTAGTCACGTGATCCGGATCGTAAACAGCGTGGAAGTGTCTGGAACGGTGTCAGCGCGTTTACGGAAAAACGATGTTCCGGCCACTTGGTTACATGTGCATTTCTGAGGATGACGGTGCTGCTGCAGGTAGTCTCAGCCGCAGGATGTCGGTAATCTGTTGGCCCCTATTCGCAAATGACCACCCCGACCGACTGATGGTAGATTCAACGCGCAGCATCCGACGGCGATACAGTTACGAAGTAATCGACATGGCTTCATCGAGATTGTCGCGGCTGGCCGAGCTAACGAAACGGGAACTATCTCGGGAGCCCCGCACGCTAAATCATAATGTGGAGCACCCGCAAGGCCTCGAGGTTGTTTTCGAGGGGGACAATCCGATCGTCGAGTACGTGCCATCTACGTCGCCACTCCTTCCTGTCTCACAACGGTAGCATCGTCACACTGCATGGCCTCAACGGCCACCGGGATAAAACATGGACGGCTAGAAGACCGGCTACCGGAGAGGGACTTTCTGGTGGTGTCTGTGTATGTGCAAGGAAAGAGCGCCGAGATACTGGTATCGGTCACGGAGCTATTACATGACCGGATTCAGTCATTCCGCAACCTTCCCAGCGAGGCCACGTCTTACGGTCCTGCGAGAACGCCGTGGAAACCAAGAGCCACTGAATGCTGATCGACCTCATAATGCCACTAGCTTCGCCTCCTCCTTTCTTTACATCTCCGTTGCAAGCATCAATGAGGATTTGGAAGGATGCCGTGAGAGATTCGGAGGGATACCGAGGGACCGGCCCTTCTGTGGAGTTATCGACCCCACTCCCAAGGCGGCCGTCGCTGCTTCTTCCGGTGAGACGCTCGACGACGTCTGAGCGAGGAGAAGCCCAAGGAATAATGCGGGTCGGCGGACATCACAGCCGTCGTAGCTGGTGGCGTTCGATCAGCAGCGCGACCGCGGCCTTCTACCTGGGCTTCGCCGACTGATTGCAGAAAGGGGACGAGCAGAGACTCGTTCATGAGTTCACAGACCATGCGGCACACCTAGTCAAGCTCAAATGAATCAGGTGAAATCGAGTCGCAAGATTTCCTAAGAAAAGAATCTTGCACTGCAGACGGTATGTTGATTTGACGAGGAGCAGACGGAGTAATGTGCACCTGCATGAGTCTTTTCCACCATCCGTGGGCCTGCTCCGGGCTTTCGGGTGACGGCGGTTGCTCAAGCTTCAGCTGCTCGTAATCGTGGCACACTACTTTAGCCCAGGCCACCTGGGCAGAGCATTTCAGCACAAGGATTGCACCAGCTAAGTATTTGTTGCAGTACCGCAATTCACTCCTGCTTCTCGACATGCAAGATTTCTCACAATTCGACGCCGTGTACTGTTTCACCTCAAACATCGTCCCGCTGCGCTCTCGGCGTAATTGCCCGCATTTTCTCATATCGGCTCGTGCTGCTCTCTTGCAGTCACAGAGAAGGTGCAACCTATATTTCTAGTCTGGCCACTTTGACATAGACATATTTCTCTGCATGACTTATGTGATCTGTTCCGATTTGCTCCACCGAGTCCGTTAACAGTCTGAATGAGACGACAGAAAATGCCACGAACAAGTTGCAGAGTACCCAATGCTTTGTGACAGTGATGAGCATCATGACAACGTAAGCACGCATACCAGGAATCTGGCGCAAACGCGAAATGATGCTAAAATACTACGTTGGTTTCTAGCAATATAACGATACAAGACATTTTATGGTGTTACAGCCACAGCAGCAATGCACACCCAATCCCGATCGTACCCATGACGGAGCGACTCATCCTGGTGGCGATACCGGTCTTCGATTGAGTGGGCGATGCAGCCCCTGCCGGGGAAGTTGAGTCCGCTTTTTGAGTTGTGGCAGGCTTTGTGGCCTGAACTTGGATGCCACTAACAATACTCGTCGCGGAGGCCGCGTATGATATCGACGAAAAGGAGCATTGCGACATGATCTTATCGACATCTACACGTTGCTCATCAGTTTAACATTTAACACCTCGCGGTCCTTAGGGCTTTATACCTTTCGTTTTCTTGCCATTCTGCGAGATGCAGCTAGCGCAAAGTGCCATCACAGTAGGAACATTGAAGCTTTTGTTATTGCAGATGCAGGCAGCTTCGATTACCTCATCCGACTCCGTGTTTTCCCGGGTGTAACGCAGCTTTCGCTTTTTGCCGTCTTTGTCGGCCTCATTTGGATCAATATCGCAAGTGTTCGTCAAGGAAACAATTGGCTGGCATATCGCTGTGCATGCTGCTGGTACATCACCCGCGCGAAGTTCTTCGCCAAGAACTGACGGAACAACTACGGCCAGCGTAGCAAACGCGATACGGAAATGCATGAGGAGAATAGAGACAAAACAGAGTTGGAGGTGTTAAGTTTGAGAGAACATTTCGTAGCAACAGCAATGGTACATCCACGCGGTGCGCAGCGCTACGAACAAGCTTTTATACTTTCCGGCAAGAGTATATGCTACTAGTCAATATTGATTTATCCCAAAAGTTCGCTGCTTGAGTCGTGAAACTGTCCCAGAAATAGATGCAGCCACGTTTTGGTGCTGTCTAACGCTCTAAACAGGGACGGTCCCTGTTTCACAGCAGTCTTAAGGAGTGGCACGCGCATCGTGTGACGGCTGTGTGGAGAGCTGGGAAGGTGACCCTCTTCTCGGGCGCCACTTTCAAGGGGTCCGTGCTCCCGACGTTTTGCCGCGTCAGCTGTTCTGATATCTCCCTTCAGCGTTCATGCGAACCAACCTGCGCGTTTCATGAGCCATCGCATCTCTTACGCAAAACGGCCCCCTGCGCGTTTCACGACCCCTCGCAGTTGTCTGCTGAATACCACTCGTTGCCAGACATGGCACAAACAGCTTTTGTGCCCTTCAATACAGGCGCATTTGTCTCGACACTGTTTCTTTCGAGTTCGGAGCCGACAAATTCATCGAACACACCGCAGTTGTCGCCAACCGCATTGGCGTTTCTGAAGTGGTCATAGGACCGCAAGCCGGGCAAGGACTGCAAGGTCAGTAGTACGGGGCATGACGACGACGTGCTCGTGCTCGAGACGTTTCCCCTCACGTTCATTCGCGAAGCCGCCAGCAAGTTGGGGTCGTCCTTCTACTCGGCCCTGACGGACATCAACGCCTACCGCATGGAGAAGTTTGACACCTTGACCGGGTTCGGCGACTATCAAGTCGGCAGCATGATGCCCTTCGCCAAGAACCACGGGTGGGTTTCCTCGGTGTATGTGGCCGCTCCAGTGTCCCAGCTGAGGAGGACGGACCACGAGGCAGTGGCCGGCTGGGTGATTCAGGAAAACGCTGGCGTGCGAATTCGTTATGCCGGCATCCTGGCTTCGTCCGAGGACCCTCTGAAGAACGAGGAGGATCCCATCAACGCTCTCGTCACGACCATAGGCAGAGAGAGGGAGGAGGGAAGTGAGAGAGGTAGGATGATGCTCAAGCAGGATCCCGACCGGACCTGCGCTCCAAGCTTCGGGGATTGGCTGGGAAGAAATCTGTCTACTATGCCGTGGTCCTGTCCGACGACTTTGGGCTGCAGTTTGATTTGCTGCTCCAGACGGCCAAAATACGGCTCCCCACGCCAGGGATCAAGAGATACCTATGCAAGGTTGGCACCTTCTGGACCCAAAGCAGGATGGACACGGTGCCAAGCACAAAAGTAAACTGGGTCGTGGCATACTTCCATGTGTTTGTATCACATTCTATTGTGGTGTTGTTTAGCTAGGTAGATGCATACGTCTGCGCTGGCGCATTGCAATGGAATAGTGACCCCAGCGGGTGCTTGAGCGGCTACAGCGTGTCGCGACGAGCTAGCTCGAGTGAGAGACAAACAACTGGGAATGGTAGCTAATGTCCTATTCCACGGCCCCGAACATGTTTCGAGGTCCCAGGTCTTGACGAAACTCACTCCGCCAATGCCAGAAATCAACTGATGGGAGGCGAGACGGCACCACCTGCGGAATAGGTAGCTACCTTCAAGGGCCCTCGCTGCCCATCTTGGCAGCTCCGCCAATAGGCGAATGCTATTCTCTCCCCTTCCCCTTTGCTCATGGGGAACGCCGGCGAGACGAGGAAAGGAGGAGACGGAGCTGACTCGTGTATCTCCCAGAGTCAACTTTGCCAACGCAGCGTGCTGCCCTAATGCCCGCGCTCAGCGGCCTCCATTCTTCCTGCTCGGGCTCTGCCGCTCGCGTCGGTGGTGTTGCCAAAGCGTTCGAGGGGCGGCGCCTTGAGCGAGATACTTCATAGTTTCGATAGGGCGGCAGTGAAGATGAAACCTCAAATATCCTGTGAAGAGTGGCAACCAGTAACAACCCGGGCCAGCCAAAGAGCGCGATGATGAAGTCAATGACTCTACGAGTCAGCGTGAGGAAGGGCATGCCGGCAGCTTGGGTCCCTGGGGGGTTGCGCCGCACGAATGACATGGCAGGGGTTGTCAATGAAGCGCTCGCCTTTGGACTTGAAGTGTCAATGCAATCGCTTCATGTTGCTGCACTACGAATAAGGAAGGCAAGGAAACGGGGGCGGCAAAGGGCCAAAGGGAGGGAACCAAACGGAAGAGTCCCGGAATCGGGGGCAAAAGTCAGGGACCGGCGGCACGTAGATAGTCCTTTCGGAACTTCGTTCCTCAAGGCACACGAGAGAGAGGTCCAGGAGCGCGCCGAGACTGCTCATTTGTGGTACAAGGAGGGAAAGTTTCGTCCCGCGGCTGAGGGCAAGCCTTCGGGACAGCCTCCAACGCTGCCAAGTGTATAACTAGTGCTTCACAAATTACTCATTTGCTGTTGCTGTCCATCAGGGCTCGTGTACTGAGTGATGGTGGCGTATGAGCCATCTTCGTGAAAACAGGTCAGAATCCTCCTGAGTTTGTCCAGAACAGCCTTCTGTTTTGCCACGTCGTTCATGTGTGACTTGTTACTAGCATCTCCAATGCTGATAGACGCACTGCATTTACTTCTGTGGACGACGTGCTTCTCCCACGGTAGTTGTTTGGTCTTGCACCACTCGACGTCCTCGCGCGACGAGTTCGCTTTACTGATACGGGAGAGGACAAACACAAAGTCGCTAGTTGCATTGCAACCGCTGCCGTACTTGGGAAGGTTAATATTGAGGAATGTATCTTCAGGAAGATACGGCTTCCCAGATTTGATGATTTCCTGCGTGACCGCCGCTGCAACGTCACCGTAAACGACGCTCCGGTTGGGGACCGGGCGAGTATCCCAGGGCTGGGATGTGAGCCTTGTGGGCGGCGTAAACAGCGGCACCGACGGTTCCAGACTGTCGGACTGGGGCCCCGAGGTTGGAGCCAACGTTAGGGCCGCTCACGGCGAGCTCTGGCGAATTACCACCCCAGAGGTCAGGGCCAAATTTCTCAATGCCGTACTTGATGGCGGTAGCAGGATAGGAGTTGACCCAGTTGAGGTCGGGGCGTGTTGAGTTGCAGCCAGTAGCGCCCGAATGTGCAGGACAACTGTGATACTGGCACGCATGCCTTCTTTTAGACGGCTTCTTCTGGGAAGATCCTACATCAATACAGCATTAGACCCGGGTTGTGCAGGCATGGAGAGCTGCTTACCAGTACCAGACTGGTTCTCCGCTGGCGCAGAAAGGACCACATCGTGACCGCTGGATCTCAGTGCATCATTGAAAGAGCGCGTATATAGCTCGGCCCAACCGTCATCATTGCCTTGTACGATGCGAACGGCTCGGCTCGTGATGAAGAGGACCTCGAGGGCCAGTAGAGCCCCTGCAATGACCTTCATGACTTGGCGCCAGTGTTTGCAAGTCCTGATTCAGCAACATATAAATGATCAACTGGCGGGCATGTGACAGCATGAACAAAGCCGCTTTTCTTTTCAGTCGTAAGATACGTCCATCTGGGCATGATATACACCCCTTGATCCAGTAGAGTTGTCCGGAAATATTATCACCATAGTTACCGCCGGTTTCAGCTGGCAGTGGCGTAGCCCAGCCGTACGTTCGCCGGAGTTTCCACCCGCACGCTAAAAGTGCAAGCTCAAAATCCCTAGCGCCACCATGAACATGTGAAAGTCGTTTTGGCGGCGGCTGCTGGAGGCATTCAGCCCGTTTTTGTTTGGGCATGAGACAGAATGCCGATAATTCTAGAACGGCACTGTGGATGTAGGCATTACGAGAGGACGATGTCAATCTACAAGGTCAGCCGGGTGCAGAGCGCGTCTGGCGTCATCGAGCACGGCCACAACGAACTGGTCAGAACCACAGCAATTACACCGTTAGCACCGACGGAAGAAGTGATGGTGCAGTCACAGTGTCGCATATCCTGCATACAGTAGCTGCAGCTGCCTAGTAGGCAGCTGCCACTGCCTAAACCGGCAAAGCTTTCATTTGTGTATAAGAGCTGCACGGGAGCCGTGCAGCTTCTCGTGGAGCTCTTGCTCCTTAGATAATTCTCATCAATTACACGATGTCAACTGTGATCCCTGTGGAGCCAATTGTCTGACAAGTTGCTTAGTGCTAGGGCGCGCTGGTGCGTCATCATGCCATTGCGAAATCTGCCGCTGCATAGCGCATACGCATCGCGGAGTATGGCCTCGTCGCCGACAAGGATGCGCGCCAGGTCCGACTCCGCGCGGCCCTCTTCGCCCCCCCCTTCGTCGTCGTCGTCGTCGTCGTCGTCGCCGGACCAACCGCTGACGGTGCCGCCCGCCGCCCGCGGCAGCCTGTACGATGACTTGATTTCGGCTCCGTCGAGCCCCTGGAGGTGGGCGGGGAACAGGGTCCGGATGAGGCACGACTCGTGGTCCGCCCGCGAATCCCCCGTGTCGTCCGCCCTCGCGGCTTTTTCATCGAGGTCACGCACCGCCGTCTTCCGATCCTCCTTCAGGCTTTCGAACAGCTCCATCTCCTCCTTGCACGAGGGCGGCAGTGTCTGCGTCGACGTTCCTGGCCCCGCGGCATTCTCGTCGGCGGTCGGCGGCCCCGGCACACCCTCCACGAGGAAATAGTCGATCAAGCCCTCCGCCGTGAAGTACGTTTGCAGACGGCACGACTACCAGAGCGCCCTGCCCATCGTCCCGTGCTGTGACGCCTTCTTTCCGTGCCTGGGCATGTGGTCGTGCATCGCGGCGAGCCGTATCGTGCAGAAGTCACAGTCGGCGGCGCACGCGCAGCGGTACCCGGCGTACACGCGCAGTCCGTCAATCGCCCGGCACGGCCGCGTCCTCTCCGGCCGCCATCGCCGCAGCTCCTCCGTGGGCCGCAGGCTGTAGCTCGAGAGTAGTTCGACCGTCGCCTTTAACTCGTCGCCCCTCATGCGGTGCGCGTCGGCCCGCAAGTGCCGTCTCCACCCCGTCGCCTTTGCGGCCAGGCACGTCCCGCAAGCACGGCAGACGACAACACGGTGATCAGCGTCGTACGCGAAGGTATTGAGGCCCATGGCAGCGCAGCAGGGCCAGGGCAGGATTTGTGTGTATACAAAGGCACGTGAATGCGTGTGAACGCGTGGACTCCATATTCTGCGAGATGAGACGAAGAACAACGAAACAGAGCGTACGTAGTAGAAGGAACAAGAGTCGCTTGTATTGGCTGTACTATATTGCTTGCAATCTCTCCGTTATGTTGCCCCTGACCGGGGGACCCGAGATCGCAAGGCAAGCAGCCCCCGTCTACATATGACATGCGTACGGTCCACATATATGCCCATATGCGCAGCAGCGAAGACGGCATTGGTCTTCGTCTTCGTGTTCCTCGCCGCAGTCCGTCCTGGCGCAACCCTTTCTTTTGCTTTTGGCGTCCCGCTCTTTTCGTCGGCCCCTCCAATCGACGTTGGCCTTTTCATCGAACTCCTTTTTCACCGTACCACCATGGACATAGGGGGCCCGGCGCCATGTCATTTCCCGCGCGACGCCTGCGCGCAACGGTACCTGGACGACCCGACAGGGGCATCCTTTTCGTCGAAAAAGGCCCGGTGCAATGGTAGCTAGGGCAGCATACGACTACCATTTTCCCGGTTTCCAATAAGCTATTAATCAGTGCCATGCGGCCCGACACCGCTCGCTGCTGTCTCCGCTGTATGAGAGGCGGGTTGATGTTCGGCTCGGTGCACATCGGGACTAACGGCGTCAAGCTCTTGTGGTGGCTTTGATGGTGCATGTACCCAAGTCGGCGGAGGAGTAGGAAATGCAGATGTAATGTACGAGTCCCGGCCGTAGTAGCTGATAGGTGCAGGTGAGGCTGCGGTCATTCCCATCTGACTAGAAGCAGGTGCGTTCCTCGCCGTCTTAGCCCGCTTGTGGCGTCGGAAGAAGTAGAGCCCCATGCCAGCTGCCGCCAGTGAACCAGCCACAGACCCGATGATAATGCCTCCAATTGCACCTCCTGAGAGAGTAGAATTCGACTCGACAGCCGCCGTGGTAGAAGCCGCGCTGGAAGATGCCGAGGTCGCTGTAGTGGTGGTTGTCGGCGCGGAGGATGAAGTCCCTGAAGTGGTTGGCAGCACCACACTTGCAGTGCCGCTTGGAGGCACTGTTCCATTAACGCCAAAAGGCTGTACGTTGGAATATACTTCGCATTCTGGACTAGGTGCAGCAAGAGGGCAATCGTCTGCAAGGCAGATCGAGTAAAGTTGACCATCAATTGGCGGCGAGCAGCGGATGTTATATCTGGCGTTCATAAACGTAGAAAGCGTCATAGCGTCGGTATCTGAGAAGCCATAGAATCTGCTAGCGGTGATGAGCTGGTCGATAAAGTATCCGATTTGGGTCTGGTTCAAGCCCATGAATTTATGCACATAAGCTGGAGTGAGAGGAGTGAAGCTAGTCTCGAGGAAGTCCTTGGCAAGACTGCACCCGTATATCTTTCCAAACGCGACATACCAGTGAGAGAAGAGCTTACTGGTTTAGAAGGTGGTGAGCGGATATACCGTAAATAAGGTCCGAGTCCCAAGGTGCGAGAAACTCACTCCTGGTTCGTTCCGTTTTTTATTTCAGCGGTCGTAGTACTCCCATTCAGAAAAGCAATCAGAGGGTCAGTACCACCGCCGTCCAACCAGTCAACGCCTACGGCTTGGCTATTGAGGTTGGTGGTTGCGTCTGTCCGATATCTTCAGTTTTGAATGTCCAAGAGTACGCTTGTCGGGTCGTCGCCATACTCGAACCGTCAAACCACGGCCGGAGGAAAACATTTTGACCATTGAACTGCCCATGATTGAAAATTCCGGTACTATTAGGCTCGGCGTGTGGGACTGTACTGCCCCCAGCGTAGGCGTAGGCAACAATGCCCTGCATCAGACGTAGTTGCGTCGTACGGTTGTTTTGACCATAGCGCTGAGCGGCATAGTAGTCACAAATAGATTCGTTCGCTGGTCGATCAGCGACGGCCTGACTGCCCAAGGACAAGATCAAAACGGCGACGATGCAGATCGAAAGCATGCTGGCACCCTTGTAGCACCTCTAAACCTGGAGCATCAGGAGGAACGGCGTGTGTCGGTAGCAAAACCGCAAAAATTTGGTTCGTCCAAGAGATTCCACTACTATAGCTATAGGAGAAAGCAAAAATCAAATAGGCATGGCATTGAGCACCCACCTGTGCTATATAGAGGACATGTGCATCTAGCGGCCCTGGAGGAGTATGACCTGCCACGCAATCTCGCCAAATCGAGCCGGGTGGTCGCTAAACCGACAACGGGAAGCCACAGGTTCAGCTCCAATCCGCGGGTGCTCCAAAGAGCGACCGAGTCACACAATACTTGCAAATGTAAAATGGTTTGAACAGCTAGGTGGCACGACTGTTCAGAGTGCTTGAGATGGATCGTCACTCATGGAAAGCTCCGAAAGCTTGTTTTCATGTAGAGCTTGGGGTGGGCGGCAGTCATGAGGCTTGTTCGGTTCAGAGTGTGTGTTATGTGGCGGTAAGCTTCCAGCATGGTGACCGCCAAAAGCCCTCCCCAACAAAGCCAAAACAAAGAAGTTAAAGCCCGACTGAGCCAGGTGGTATTAAAAGGCACGCATTCAGCTGCCGAAGAAGGTTCACAGCAGAAGACCATGTATATTCCCAAGACAAGGTCGCCCAGAATGAAGATCAGTATACCCAGCATGTCCACTTGCAGGCAGAAATGTTCCACGTGTTCGGAGAACCCTAGGAGAGTGATAGAAACATCGTTGAGTCTACACTGTTGGGAGGGTATACTTTATGGGCTTTCAGGATACCATGTCAAAGATTGAGAAACGTACATGTCCTTAACCAGATAGTTGCCTTAAGTCCCTGCACCTAGAAATGGGACACCCACTCATTTGGGACACCCACTCATTTGGGACACCCTCCAAACCCCGCTTCCGCAACCACCCCATCAACTTCCACTCTCGATTGCTCCGTGAATCGCATCTCAATTTGGCTGTAATTTGGTACATGCGTTCTCTGAATAATGACGCCCCAATACAATGAGTATGATATTAGCTAGGCGCTTGAGGCGGTCGCCAAGGGCAAATCTGTCCGGAAGGCCTCGGCGGCGTGGGGTGTACCAAGCATGACACTCTTCAACCGCCTGCATGGCCACGAATGTAGAAAAGATGCATTTTCTCCTCTTCAAAGGCTCTCTCAGACGCAGGAGAATTAGCTTACTGAATGGGTTCTCCTCCAGGACGCCCTGGGCCTCCCTCCCACGCACTCGCAGATCAAGCAGTTCGCGCAGCGCATGCTGGCCGTCAAAGGCGACCACGTCCCACTCGGAAAACATTGGATGCAAGCATTTTTGAGAAGAAATCCTGCAATTCGGACACAGAAGTGCCAGCATAGAGATTCTGCGCGTGTCAACGGCGCGTCTACCGAGGTAATTCGGCCTTGGTTCGCCAATTTCTTCCTTCCTGAGATTCAGGCCATTAAGCCCGAGCACAGGTACAACATGGATGAAGCGGGCATCATGGAAGGACTCGGGGAGAATGGGTTAGTGGTAGGCAATGCCGAAAAACGATCTGTTCAAAAGAAAACGTCTGAGTGCGTGTCCGCCACAGGCAACTGTGTCCCTCCCCTCGTCATTTTTAAGGGGAAATCAGTTCAGCAGCAGTGGTTCCTACAGGATCTCAGTCTTTTCAAGGATTGGCAATTCACTGCGACAAAGAACGGCTGGACTTCAAATGAAACTGCGATGGAATGGCTCGAAAGGCTCTTCATCCCGAGTACTCAGCCATCTGACCCTTCGGATAGAAGACTACTAGTATTGGACGGCCATGGAAGCCACGAGACGGTCGATTTCATGTATCTATGCTATCAGCATAAGATTCATCTGATTTATCTGGCTCCTCATACCTCGCATGTCTTGCAACCTCTCGATTTGTCTGTCTTCTCCCCTCTCAAGCATTACTACCGCAAACAGATCGGATGCCTCAGTCTGTTGACCGATTCGAGCCCTGTCGGCAAGCAAAATTTTCTCATCTGCTACCAGAAAGCTCGTGAACAGGCGCTCTCTGCGTCAAACATCAAGGGTGACTGGAAAGCGACCGGTCTGTGGCCTATGTCGGTTGCGAAGCCACTTCTTAGGCCTCTTCTGCTGGAAAACAGCAACAAGGGCAAGAAGGATGCAAATGGCTCACAATGCATTCAGCAGCCCTTTTGATATTAATAGCTGGCAGTCAGAGACTTCTCAGGTCGCGTGGTCGACTCGAGGCAGGCCCAGGATCTGAAGGTTCAAGTTGTTCAATTCAACCAGTTGGACGACGACGTGCCCACGAAGAGACTGCTGTTCAAGAAGATAACGAAAGGGTTTGACGCGAAGGATGGCCTTCTGGCAAAAGCTTAATTACGGATTCAGGCACTAGAAGCACAACTGGAGGCTGTCAGGCCGAAGAAGAGGAAGAAGGTGGAAACCAGCCCCAATTCGAGGTTCACTGACATTGAGGCAATACGGCGAGCTCAATTGGAAGTCAATGCAAGTGATAGTGGAGAACCTGATGAAAATGAGTCGGCACTATTTGAGAACGATAATGACTGCATCGTAGTACGAAGTGGTGGTGGATAAATAGCGATTGAATTGGCGGTTGTCGAAACGGACCATGATTTTGTGGGCATCCCAAATCAGGGGGGGTCCCATTTCTACGTGCAGGGACTTAAGTACCCATTGCCAAGGACAAGGCACACGGGCATAATCCCATCGATTCAGGCCCCAAGCACAAAACATTGGTTAAATAGGCGCGGGTATGCTTCAACCGTTATCACCAATAACCTTAACGTCCCGTTAATGAGTGCTTCTGCCCCCAAAGGGGCCCCAAAACAAGAGGCACCGTATTGAGAAAACCATGACGTGTGCGCTTCTGGCGTCAATCCGGAAATGGTAGTGGCAGAACAGTCTTGAAACTAGGAACGCCGACAGGGAAGACGTCCGTGTTGTCGTCCGCCCTCTGCTACGGTAGCTCGCTGGCAACACCTCTATTGCCGCCCTGCTGTGTTGGGAGCTCGGACGGCGGTAGCAGACACGCCAGTTTCGGGCTACCGGGACCGGACGCCATCACCCAGGTACCAACGGACGTGTGCGGGCTGACCGTGCTCTGTTCCCCAGCCGTGCTGCCGCCGCTGTACGAAGCCTGCGTCATTTCCGATTGGCGCCGATTCTCCCGACTGCGGACGACCCTCCTCCGAATGAGGAGCCACACAAACAGCACGAGCAGTAGCCCCACGGTGCCGCCGATAACGATGCCGACGATTGCGCCGGTAGAGAGCGCCGGCCCTGGAGGGGTCGACGACGTCGGCGTCGGCGTCGATGAGGTGGTCGGGCTGGGGATGTGGCGAGTCGGAGACCGCGGTGGAATCGATGGCCTCCGCCCCAAAAGGTCCTGGAGAGGTTTGTTGCTAGAGTCGAATCCGGCTTTGGGACTCACGAGTGTTGCGCCGCCGTCCTTTGTCCCACCAACGACATTATAGACGTCAACGGAGACGACGTTACTTGTGACGTTGGGATCGTACAACGCCCAGTACGTCTGGTTATCGCCGGCGTTCTGGCTCGTCCCCGTCCAAAAATTGTGCTGCGCCCATGCGTCGACCGCGAGGTCGCAGGCATCAGTATCCGTGTACGTACCGCCGATGACGAACAGCTGCGACATTGACTTGACCATGTTGCAGGAAGCACTGTAGTGGCCATATTGCGGAGGCAGCGTGGCGTTCCCGTGGTGATCAGGATAGGCCTTCACCCAGATGAATGAGGGGAGGGTTAAGATGTATATATCATTAAACGAGGTTGCGTTTACATCCGGGGGCGGCACGCTCAAGCCCCCCCACAGGTAACTTTTGCTTAATTAGGTTTGCGCTGTCATTGAGAATGAGATTAGCACTTACATGTTAAAGCTTGATTTGTCGGGCGCCCAGGCAACGTCAACACAGAACTGGCGCCTATTTTGAGGTATCTCTCCGGTTGCTGTCTGAGTCGACCATGAGTTTCCCTTGGCATCAAACACAAAGATCTTGTCAAATGGTTGGGGAGCTGCCGTGCCATTACCCGTGCCATTACCCGTGCCATTACCATATGGAGTGACAATACCCCCCATGTATACAAGCAGTCCAAGGGTATCGCCCGCTGGAATCCATACCATGGCACCTTCGGCTCTCGGGTTTTTGTCTGGGCTAGCTGCCTGGGCGAATGTGTCTGTATCGTAGGCGTATGTGTAGAAACTCGAGCTCATTGTTCGCGGTTGAGTCCATCCGCTCATGGAGGCATTACTTATCCATCCTCCATAGTAGTAGCCCATACCAGTCTCCGATACACCGACTCCGGCGCCATATGAGCCAATTTGTGGTGGGGGTTTAATACTGGGCGGTCCAAAGTCATCCCATTTGTCGTATAGGATATCGTAGCTTAAAAGGTGGTAGGGCTCTTGTGCAAACCCGACAGTCCACTCGCCGCCGTAGAGGTAGAATCTCTTATTAACATCATCACCCCATAGAACCCCACCATGTACTGTTGGAATGCTACAAGATAGG